ACCGACAGCGGGAGCCTCGGCTGGCGGCCAGCCGCTGCAGTCGTTGCCAGACTGATATGAACACGGAATGGTGATGTACTTGCGACAGCGACCATAACCTCTGTAAGAGAGATTGAGACCTGGGGCACGAGTTCTGAATGACACATGAGTTCTGATGCGTTCGTGTGACAGCGACAGGCTTAACTACTTGGTCAAGATCACTCTGCCCAGGCCGGCTAGCACAGAACTCGTTAGCATGGTGACGGTAAGGTGGATAAGTCAGCCGCTGCAACCCAGCGTATCTGGTTACCCTGAAGAAGGACTTGTGGGGCGCTCGGGCCGGCAGCGAAGTTGTACACCCGAAGCGAAAACGGTAAGCAAGTGCCGCGAGTGGCAGGGCCAGAATGTGCAAGCAATTGTTGTGAGTGGCAGGGCCAGAATGTGCCACCCCTGTCCCGTGCATATCCATAAAGGCACTGCGAGATCTAGTGGTGAGCGCACTCAAGGGGTCGTAGTGCACTGTAGCGCACGTGTAGAGCAAGCTAGGGAGGGCTAGCCGTCCCCATGAACCCAAACTTTGGCTGACGGAGACATCACCTAGGATGGTACATCCAACACCTTGTCGCTGGCAGATCCTACCGCACAACTCCTGATGCTTCAAGAGGCAGTCTATGGCTATGGGTGAGCGGCGCTCCCACCACATGCTAGAACAGGAGCCGCTGCACCTGCCGCAAGCCCTGGGTTGGGACTGGGCGCACCTGACCGTCATGCGCCTGGTGGCGGCCCAGCTGGGGTCACACCCGTTCCACTAAACATGTCTGAGCTCATCAGCCGATAGGCCCAGCCCATGTCGGGGACGGCGATGTGCCGCCCAACCCTCACGTCCGAGGTGTGTGGACCACTCGGAGCAGATGATGCTACGAAGACCCGAGGACACGCAGGTCCTGTGAGCACGGGCACCCAGTCTGAAGCCTACCCGCCGGTAGCCGTACGTGATGGCGTGCAACTGCCATGGCCATGAGCCCGCCGTGTCCCTGACGCCCCTGTGCACCCTCAGGTAGGGCTGGAACTCCAGAGGCGCGGCCCTACCACAGCCCCTTAGCCTGCGGTGGTCCGCAATCCACAGACAAAACTTCCAGCAAAGCATGTGGAGCTGGACACTTTGGTCCGCTACTGGAGCGGTGCTGACTAGCCATCAAGCTGCAACGGCCCGCAAGACTCGACACAAGGGCCAACCGCGCGCGGATGGCCCTGGATGGCCTCGCGGGTGGGCCGCCACCATTGGGCCCTGCCGATCAGGGCGTGCCACACCCTCCCGGCGGCCAGGAATCTGAGGCCTAAGAGCCATTGAAACACGGTTGAGCACAGGTTGCCATGTGTTACGCCGGGGCGGTGTGAGTTGGGAATAGCTACAGGCAGGGAGGAGACTGGGCAATATCTGCGGCCCACAGTCCGGTTAGAGGAGGTGACCGCAGAGGCAATGATAGCAGAGCCGATGGCAGCGTACCGGTAGTGGCGGGAAGGAGGACTACCCGCAAGTGACCCACGGGTCAGGGAACCATGGGCACGACCGGGACAGGAATGGGAGCATCCACCCCCAGTGGACCACTGCCCGGGTGGACTAAGGGGAAAAGGCGACATCGGGGTTGAACTATTGGTGGGTCGTAATGCGTCTGGGAGGAGGGCAGTGAACCAAGGGTCCATCGCCCAGGTAACTTGCAAGGGGCGACTCACCATGAGCCCGCAGGCGGCGGACACATGTTCGCGGATAATCTGGGTCCGATACTGGCAACGAGATCCGGATGGCTGACTGCCGGGTAGGCTCAGGGAGAGGGCTGATGGCTCAGGGCAGCCATGGAGAACAGCGGTGGGGAAATCTGATGGTATAGTGCTGTCGTGTGGCAAGGCGACCCCGGTCAGCCGCTGAGCGGTGTGATGTGGGGAGGCGTTAGAAAGTACATGGGTACGGGTAGACCCGGCGCTAACGGGCGCCTTGCCAAACTCACTTTACCCTAGAGTACGGCGAGAGAGATTGAACTTTAGGAGTGAATGATACTTAAATGCTCGTCCATTGCGAATTCCGTACCCCTGTGAACACTAAGCCCAGGTGCGCCCCTGGTCTAGTTGCTGCCAGTGCCCATACGATGGTTCAGAATTTAGAAATGAGTTATTCGTGCCATTCTTAGCCGCGAACCCCCCCCCCGCCCATTTCGCGGCTAGTCAGCCGTATGACTGGGAGCTAGCCTGCATTCTCGACCCCAGCCCTGATAACCTCTTCCCAAGAGACCCCTCGCTGGTAGCCTACGCCCCTACAGTATCCAGGCAGCGTCTCTCTTCGCAACTTCTTTCCCCGCCCGCTCAGGTGGCGTGTCTGATCCGTGTAGCGCCCCAGGACTGCAGTACTCTTGTTCTGGCCCAAAGCCTTCAGCGCCTCGTCGCCCAAACCACGCTTGGCAGCCGCCTGGAGCACCCCGCGGCGGAAGCTGTGGTTGGTTTCACCCGCATGCAGTGCAGCAGCCCACAGGTGCCGCTGCATCCGGGCCCCCAGCGCGGAGCTGCTGAGAGGCGCCGCCTTGAAGGACTTGCGGTCTGGGGCTAACGGCCGGAAGAGGTAGTCCGTGATGGCGAAGCCCGTGGCGTCCGGCTGGCTGGCCCGCCAGACATAGAATGCGAGTGTCCGGGGAAAGCTCCGGGACGGCCGGCCCAAGTCGGACTCCAGGTATACTGCAGGCGCGCGCTGCACGCGCGCAGTTTTGGTGCCGTGCTCTCGCACACGCAGGCGGTAGCCGACACCATCCGGCCACTCCCATGGGGGAGGCAGTGGAAGCCGCTTGTCCGCCTCTGCTGGCCGCTCAGGGTCGCAGAAATCCGCCATGGCCAGCTTCCCAACGTCGTAACCCCAGTAGGTGCTCTGGAACATGAACTGCGCGCAGAGCAAGTCGCGGGTGGCAAGGAGGATATCCACCACTTGCTGTGACGAGTCCATCTTGGCCGCAAGGTAGTCGCACAAGCTCCCGAACTTATTGCTGCTCGCTACCTCCCAGCGTTACAGCGGAACCCCACAACAAGTCCCATTGTCTGGTCGCCACCGGGACCACTCACGAACCCCCATCGTTTTAATTTGAATAAGTCGCCGACAGTAACCAAGCAAGGTTGCACTTCCTAGCCCGCGGGTGCATCCCCGGCAGAAGGCCGCCGTGTGCACCCCGGCAACACAAACCGTGCCGCCCAACCTGTCGCCACCAGCGGGAACCGCCGCCGGCCCTACCCGGCGCCCGGCGCTGCCCGTGGGGGTGGTTGGGTGACAACGCCAAACTAAACGCTGAACTCAGCCAAAACCTAAACCTCAGGTGATGCGCCACCGGCCCTGAGCGGCGCCCGGTGGTGCCTGCAGGCTGAGGAACAAGTAAAACCGAGCCACACAAGGCGAGCCCAAACCCATAGTGCCAGGAAAAACAGCCGTCCCTATACGGCGCCCGACGCTGGCTACACGGGTGGGTGGGTGGGTTCATGGGGCCCGTCCTGGCAGAAGGACGGCACCTCTTGCCTATGAAGTGGAACTGTGGCAAGTTAAGAAATCAGGCACAGCCTCTGCGAGAAAGCCACCGACCACTGAAAAGTACGACATCGCTTACACGCTGATCGGTAGCTTGCGCAATAAGTGAACTTTCCACTTCGTGATAAGTTGACACTTCTACTCTGTCAGAGGTATAGCGGACGTCTCCTCATACCCGCCCAGCATCCTCAACCGGGTGTAGCCCCGTCCGTTACCCACTGAGATTCGCAAGGGTTACCTCGGCTGGTGACGGGGTCGTATGGCCCTACCCGACCAGCGCGGGCGAACCACCCGCTCAAAGCCGACAGAAACCCCTTCACCGCCTGGGGACCGGCCTCCTCCTGCTTCCGACCGGGGTGGGTTGGCAGCCACCCCTCCTCGACGTACACCAAGATGTGCTCGGGCCCCACGTCAGACAAAGTCACCCCTCACCGGCCGCCAACAACCACACCCCCAATGAGGCCGCGGCCTCATCCTGCTTGGCAAGGGTGCTGGGCGCCAGGGAGTGGTCCATGACAGCCTGCGCCTTGAGAAGACACCGCTCGTAGTAACCCGCAACAGGGCGAGTGGCCGGGCGGACCCCTACCTGAGCCGCGCGTAAGGCCCGCAACTCTGAGAATCCCACCCGCGCCTGCAGCATGCCACAAGAGTCAGATAGAAGTGATCCCGACCCTCAATGAATTGCGGAAACAGATGCTTACTTACAGGACAGAGGGGCTCGGAAACGGGAGGGCCCATTAGAGGCGACGAGACGCCAATGATAGACGGTGACAAGCCCACCCAACTAGCAAGGGGGGGAAAACCCCGGGCTTACGGCGGGGGCAGGCAGCAGTGGGCCCAGCAATCCCAGTGGACACGCAGCAGCGCCTCGACCCAGCCGCCCAAGTAATGCGTCTTCCGACATGACGGCCCCAGGGTAGTTGAGCACTGCCCCGGGATACACCTGCGCAGCGCTGCAACGAGTAAGAAAGGCCCGCAGCACAGGCCGAACCTGAAACAGTATGCCAAAGGCCTACTGACCTCCGTAACAGGCTGCAAGCCCGGTCCCAGAACGGGAAAGTCCAGCCCCCACGAAGGCGCCGGGTCGGCGGACCCCTTGCTGGGAAACCCAAGGTCAACAGCCGTTCTCGGACGCAGAGGAATATTTTCCGTTATGCCCTGAGTGCAGGCCCGAAAGTATTACTCGAGGTAGATTACATACATAGGGCTCGCTACCCCTTACCGCCACAGAAAAGTTCAGTGCTTCAGGTCGAGAAGCCGGAAGGCATCTTAACAAACTAACGAACTCGTCGTATGAGAGGCTCGCTACTCCGTTCACGCCAGGCCCACCCATTGGGGGAGGCGTTAGAAAGTACATGGGTACGGGTAGACCCGGCGCTAACGGGCGCCTTGCCAAACTCACTTTACCCTAGAGTACGGCGAGAGAGATTGAACTTTAGGAGTTCTCGCTAGCGTACTGCCATTGTCTGGGAATTCATTACACGTTCGCTTCATCAGTGGCCCTTTTAGGAGGCCAATGTACACGCATGAAGTTTAGCTCTCTGTGCCTAGCTGCGCTGCTGGCAATGTTACCTCGGTTGATTGTCCCCACACCCTTGCTAGGATGCCAATATGGTTTACACAAATATCTTGCCCTCCATCTAGTCTGGATACCCAATAAACAAACCGTGACACCACATTCCGGACAGCAGTAGCCCCCAGTAAAGGAGTTCCAATCGGACCACCCCAGCGGATCAGAACCAGGGAAAGCGCATTAAACGTGAGTCATAGGCCCCAGCAGATGGATCCTTCTACTCGTGTATATACTGACCGCCCTGGAATTGAGAGACAGCCTTTCTTCCTGGTCCCTTCAACCACGGTTTCTCTACATAATGCTGTACCGGCCAGCAGCAGGGGCATCTCTCCGCATAACCTTCTCTGTGGTCTCCTCAATAATCTTCTTAATCTCTGCCTTTGCCTTCTTGACATGCGACTCCGTAGGGCCCTCGATCAAGAGGAAAAGCTTACGCTCACCTGCATGCGGCAATAAGGGCTTGTGAGAAGGCAAGGCAGCCTTGAATGACGCACCATGTACTTCTATAGCCCATTGAACAGCATGTTTTACGCATAGGATTGTGGTGGACAATATCGTTTCGTTCCCTGCTTTTATCACTAGCTCTTTCCTCCAACTAGAGCCAGCCGTTCATATAGCAGTACCTCGCAAGACGCCCAGGAGCCTAACTTGTACCTTGCTATAAGCATCAGCCAAGCATTTCAGAGACATAACAAACGTACCTTCCGGGACGGCCCTGCCTGGTGGCACGTACGTGCCACGGACTGTCAGAGCTGCGCCTGTGAGCTCGTTAATCTGGTTCATCGTTTCACGATGGGTGATCTTCCAGCGCGCGTGCTGGGGGAAGTCGTTAATTTCCAGCTCCGCCTCAAAGCCAGCCGTGGCATTGGGTGCCGTGACCGACCTACCCGCGGCAGCCCCAGCACCGCCGCTGCCAGGCAGCGCAATGGTGCCACCAAACTTGGCGGCAATGGCAGCAGCGCGTGCAAGAGCATCCGCCGATATGGCGCCGGCAGTGGCACCAGGAGCAGCAGCAGGGGCCACGGGCTGTGTGACAGGGAAGAACAACAAGCGGGAATTTGAGCCGTTGACTCACGAATGCATATTCAAGCCGATGATCTGCGAGCCTGGCGCTAGCCAAACAAGGCACGACACGGGGCGACCGTTGCCACTCACTACTTACCATTCATTAGCTAACCACTTAAACAACAAAAAATACGAATAAGCTCTTTCTAAGTGGCTGTTCTTTACAATGGTTCCCAAAAAGGGAGGAAACCATACACAGCACTTACCGCTGCAAAGCCCCCAGCAGTGGAGAGTGGCAAAGCTCCCGAAGCTGACAATGGGACGCCCGCTGTCACCTGCGCCGACAGCTTCGCTGCCACCTGTTGTGCTGCCGCAAGCAGGGGGTTGGCGGCAGAAGCAGCCGCATTGGTCTGTGGGGCTGATGCGGCCGAAGTCGGCGCAGGCAGAGCACTAGCAGCCACACCAAGAGCAGCTGCGGCCGCGGGAATGGGTATAAGGCCAGCTTTCGCTGCTTCCGCTAACTTCTCCCGAGCCGCTGCCACAACCGCCGAGACCGAGTCCGCCGGGTTCAGCGGCGTGCTAGCTGCGACAACGGCGTTGGCAGCGGCCTTGGCAGCCGAGATTGGGCGGATATCATCCTGGTACAAGGACAGCAGCGGAGGGGAAGGCACTGTCGTAAGAAAGCGCGTTATATAAACCTGTTACCGGTATATGGAACTCCATGTGCATGCGTTGCAAGGGTATTAAGGACAGGGGCTGCCTCGCTCTCGGAAGAAACGGTTCATGGTTCAAGCAAACAAAGCAATTTCGCATTTTACATTTTAAAGCGTTTAGGCAAGCACACAACCGCGCGAGACCTTTGCATTCTCAGCTTTTGGCGCAGAAAAACAACACGAAACACGCTATTGCCCACACATCGCCTCACCGCTTCTAGCGCTGCGACAGCTGCATCCAATGCGGCCTCCTCAGCCTCATCCTCGCCCTCGACCTCCAGTCCCATGGCTTTAGCCTTGGCCTTCTTGTCTACGCGGAAGCGCTCCTCCTCGTTGCTGTCAAACTTGAAGCCGCTGCCGCCGTAGCCGCTGCCATGCGCCTGCAAGGAGCGAGGCCATGCGCCAAGCGATGGTACGAATTTGTACAGTCGAAACCTTGCGGGCACGAGGCCAGGGTTTCAGGGCAATGAAGCACGGCAAAAGCAGGTTCCTAATGCCCCGGTTTTGAGTAAGCGCTGGAGCAGAGCTTCCCGAAAAGGGGTGGGAAGGAGGTCCTTACGTAGCGTGCAGACTGCCATGGCTGAGTAGGTGTTTGGAAAAGCCAAAGGAATGACCCAAAGCTCACCTTGACCAGACCAGCCTTATGCTTGGTGTGGAATGCATCCGCGAGGGCCTGTCGGCAGCGCAGCCATGCAGAGAGGAGGGCGCAGTAGTTACCGAGTACAGAAACAACTAGGAACCCAGCCGAGTGGCCCTTTCTCGGGGACTACAAGAAGCGGCGCGGTGCTGCACCAACGCAATGCGCTTTCATGGCTCGGTCCTTCAGCAACCAAACCGCCACGTGTCATCAAGCCCCCATCCAGGCGCTTAGATTCCCTTTACATCACCACCCACATCTCCACCCACACCTGCAGGTCCTGCGGTATCCCCGCCCCGCTCTCCCGCAGCGCCTTGACCAGGTCCGGTGCGTAGCGCTCCTCATCCGGGCCGATGAAGGTGATGGCGGTGCCCTTGGCGCCCGCGCGGCCGGTGCGGCCCACCCTGTGCACGTAGTCCTCGTGGTGGTTGGGCACGTCGTAGTTGACCACCAGCACCAAGTCCTTCACGTCCAGACCGCGTGCGGCAATGGAGGTGGCGACCAGGATGTTGCACACAGCGCCCTTGTAGTCGGCGATGGTGGACTCGCGGTCGCTCTGGTCCTTCCCGCCGTGCAGGCTGAGGCAGGGGTAGCCGTAGCGCAGCAAGTCCCTGCCCGGGAGGTTAAGGACAGAAGACAGATGCACGCTGGTCTTGGTTTGCGCGAGTGTTTGGGTTTTGCTTTCTTCCTCCGCAAAAAGGCGCCGTCACACATGACGCAGGGAGTGGAACGACAGCGGCTTTCCCAACCTTAAGCTGCTACGAACATTGCATTGCGCTGCGCTGCACACCCACCTGAACAGGTTGTCGCAGCTCTCCTGCTTGTCCACGAAGATGAGCAGCTTGCCCCGCTCGTACCACTCGCCCAGGATCTCCAGCAGCCGGTGGAAGCGCTCGCGCTCCGGCCGTATCTCCACGTACTGCGTGATGTTCTCGTTCACCACACTGCGGCCGCCCACCTGGAGAGACGGGAGCGCAAGGGGGCCGAGCCGGGTGTGAGGACACACAGCTCTCCCGCAATGAGCAGCGCGGCCCCTGAGGCGCCCAGCCGTAGGTGTGACACTGTCCTTAGCGGCTGGTTTCATGCCTCGCAGACATCCCTGCTGCATAGTCTGCTCACTCCTTGCTCACTGAGCACACTGACGCCGGGCCTTCAGCCGACATGCCAATGCGCCATGTACCCCTCGACAGCCCACAGTTAACCGATGGTGACGTACCCCCTCTGGTTGCCATGAGCCCGCCTGTCCGTACCTGGATCTCCACGGGGTCTAACAGGATCTTGCGCGCTAGCACCTCCACCTGGCGCGGGAAGGTCGCGCTGAACATGACCGTCTGCCGGTCGGGTCGGATGTTCTGAGGGGCGCACCGGTCAGCAGCACGCTTGCATGTGAGTTGAGGGCTAACACAGGAGGACCGCATGTGCATGTGCGTGCATGCAATCGGGAGCAACGAGCTGCAACTGCTGCGAGGCAGGCAAGGCAGGAAACAGAACCGTAACAATGCAGAAGCCAAAAAACGGATGTTGGGTGCATGTATGGGGCAAGCAACTGCCTGCGTGTGCGTGTGCTTGTCCAGACGCCTACAACAGGTTGCACCCCTCCTGCTCGTCCCGCGGCGACCACTTCATCCTCGCCAGCCAGCCGCCGCAGCCCCCTGCCTGCGTCCGTGCCTCCGTGCCTGCCTCCGTGCGCCTTGCGCCAGAGCCTCTCTCCCTGAGAGCTTCACTACTTACCGATACTTCACCTACCCACCCGCTCACATACCTGTACAATGCGGCTGATCTGCGGTTCGAACCCCATGTCGAACATGCGGTCCGCCTCGTCCAGCACCAGGTAGGTGACGCGGCGCAGGTTGGTGATCTTGCCGTTGGACGTCACCAGCAGGTCAATCATGCGGCCGGGCGTGCAGGCCACGATCTCCACACCGCGCTTGAGCTCCGTGATCTGGTTGGCCACACCTGCGCACAACACGGTGCGGTGCGGTACGGTATACGATGTTACTGTCATGCGGAAAGCAGCTGTTTCGGTGGAGGCAATTGAAGCACCACCGAATGGGTTGTAAAGCCACCCATGGCAAGGCACATAATAAATTAGCGTCTTCCGTGAAACCAGTACCAGGGGTGAGGCGAAAACCGAGGCGCGTCCAGAAATACCTCCGGGTAAAGGGTAGCCACCCAACACGCTCCCCTGCCCTGCTGCGCTTGCTCGTGCCCCTCTTCTCCCGACCGCAACCCTCTACTTCTCCGGCCGCAACCCGCCGGGAGGAGGTCCCTCCTCCCGGTCGCCTGGCATGGTACGCAGCTCCGCTACACTGCCCGGTTGCAGTACCACGCCCCCGCCACCCACCTGAGCCCCCAAACACCGCCAGCGCGTTCAGTCCCATCGCCTTGCCGAACGCCTTGGCCTCCTTGGCGATCTGCGCCACCAGCTCGCGAGTGGGCGCAATCACCAGTGCCACCGGCCCGTCACCCTGCCGGAGCAGCGCAGCGCACACACAGGCAGCAGACACAGACCACATCAGCTAGGCGTCAACCGTACGGCATGGGGGCATACGGCAAGAGGTGGGGAATGCAGCTGAGGGCGATACGGCAAAGCGCAAAAAGGTCTTCAAGGATCGGCTCTAGCCGGGCACCCTAGGGTGGTTCTTAGCGGCTTTGCATGACAACGCCGTTCAAAGCAACCCACCCCAGCACTACAAGTGTGCACCCCAACACCGCATGCCCCAACCAGAGCGCCAGATATCCCTGCCCCGGCCCCCCTCTGCCACGTCCACCCCCCGCTCGTAACCACACACACACACACACCCACACACACACCTACGTTATGTTCCTACTCGCGGCCAGTTTTCTTAACACACCTACGTTACTACTCGCGGCCAGTTTTCTTATCACACACACCTGCTGCAGCGGCGGCTGGTCCTTGATGTGCCGCATCATGGGCAGCACGAACGCCAGCGTCTTGCCGCTGCCCGTCTTGGCAATGCCGATGCAGTCGCGGCCCGACATTATGATGGGCAGCGCCTGCGCCTGGATGGGCAGCGGCCGGTCGAAGCCGCGCTTGTGCATCACCTCGAGCAGCCGGCCTGACAGCCCGGCCTGCGTCCAGGCGCGGATGGGCGCGGGGATGTTCTTGCCCCGCACCTTGATGCCTGCGGGCGGCGGAGGTGCAGGCGGGGGAGGAGGTACGGTGGGAACAGCCAGAGGGTGCGGCGCGGGTCGGTCGATGATGGACTTGACAAAGAAAGCCAACCGGGGGAACCAGCAGTCAGGGTGGAGCCGGAGTCAGGGTGGAGCCGGAGTCAGGGTTGAGCCGCAGCCTGCCTGGCCGCACTTCCATCCATCAAGGGCCGCTGCCTTGTCGGTTAGCCTGGTACCACGTTGCAGTGGGGCCGCCGAAGGACTCGTCCTGTGGTTCCACCCCACCCTGACCCCAGACCCATTGTGTTGCCCCAACCTTTGGTCTTCTATGCTTCGGTACGGTCTTCGACCCCAGACCCGGGCTCGCTTGTGACGGCTGTCCACCCCTACCATGCATCCATGCACTGCCCATGCTCCCCCGCACCGCGGAACCCACCATCCATCTCCTTGCGGAGCTCCGCCCGCTCCGCCTCGCTGAGCTTGGAGAGCTCCGACACCTCGATGTAGAAGTTCTTGCGGAAGGGCAGGTAGGAGATGGCGGAGTGGTCCACCGCCACCAGCTTCTCGCCCTTGGACAGCTTGCCGCTCGTCACCATGCGGGCCCACTCCTGCATAGCAGCGGCAGCAGCAGCGGAGGAGGAAGAGGGTCGTCAGCTCGTCACCTGCATATACGTTATGCCCGCCTCCCCGCCCGCTGTTTCGCTCTGTCAGACAGGCGTGACGCATACATACGCATACAGGCCGGATCCTACAGCACCCATCCTAATCACTGCGTCAGTGCAACCAGGTGTCGACCACCGGATTAACCCTCCGCCCCTCTTGCTACAACACACCCCCACACAAGGTTCGGAGCACATCCGAATCCGGTGTACGGCCCAGCACTCACCGCATCGTCGACCTCCTTCTCCTCCTCCTCCTCCTCCGCGTCGCTGCCCTCACTGCTGTCCTCGTCGCTGCTCTGATAGGCGCGGCGGGAGATGGCGGCTCGCGGCTTGCGGCGCTGTTGGGATCCGCCGCGCTGGGCAGCCGCAGCCGCAGCAGCCGCTGAGCCGTTGTAGCGCGCCGAGGGCCCCGCGACAGGCGGCGGAGACAGTCGGCTGCTGGGACCCGGCAGGTGCTGCGAATCGGCTTCGGGCTTGACCTGTTTGGGAGGAGGACGTGAGGGTGGGGGAAGCGGACAAAAGGGGCAGACAAGGTTAGAAGGTTGGGAGCAAGAGGCGGCAAGCAGGATAGCTTCTGACCATGGGCGTCATAGCAGGAATGGGGCAGGAAGCTGAGCAGCTGGCAAGTAGTGAAGTGAGGACATGAGCAAGGTCAGACGTTAAACCGGAGCCTCTAAGGACGCTAAGTGCAACACCCCCGGGTCCTAAGCGCAGGGTACTGGTTGAGGCGCGCATGCAGCCGCACGAATCGACCCATCAGCCCGCCTGGCTGCCCCGCCCAGCAGGCGTGCGGGTCTGACCTGGCACTAGGCCCAGGCCGGCGCCTCGGGCCCCCGCCGGGCGCCTGCAGCGGCAAGGCGGGCGACAGGGGCGGGCGGGGCAGCCAGCCTGGTGGCCGATGGGTCCGCGGATAACCAGTGCCTGAAGCCATAGCGCATGCATCCCACGGACCTTCCATACGGTGTGCTTAAACCCCACCCTCCCCTCTTTGCAGTCACCGCTGTCACCCTCGGTCCCACACCTCCTCATCACCGCCTGCCACCCGACCGCCCAACCCACCTCTGCCGCAGCCATCTCCACGTCCCCTGCAGCCCCCGCCCCCGGCGCCGGTGACACCTCTTCTCGTGCCCCCGCTGCCGCCCTTCGCTCCGCCTCCTGCGCCGCCAGCTTGTGCACCTCCGGCAGCACCTCCGCAGCCATGAAGGCGTCCAGGGGGTCCACCTCCTCCGACTCACCACCGCCGCCACCCGCACCGGCTGCTGCTGAGGCGCCTGCTGCCGGGCCTTTGAGGGTGAAGAAATGGATGGGGCGGGAGCGTGGGGTTGGGGAGGGGGAGGGGGAGGGGTGCGGTGGACTGCACGGCAAGCAGAGGACATGGCTGGGTGCCGCTGGTGCCGGGAGACGGCTTCGTCGGGAGTCCTGCACCGCACTCAGGAAGCTTCCACCGGCACATACTCACTTATCCTGGTTGGAAGTTTGCTCTATGTTGGGTGTGCAGCTGAAGGTGCACATTACCATGGGGGCAAATCTAAGGGAGGACGAGGGTCAAGCGTAGGACGAACGAGCTATTCAATGCATTCTCCTTGCGAAGCCCAACAGCCCAGACCCTGCCCACCTGCGGTCACTGGCGCCCACCGCCGCCGGGGCTTCGCCGCTGCCGCCCCCTGCCCCTCCGCAGCTCCCGCACCCGTCCCCGCCGCTGCTGCTGACTGCGACCCGGTAGAGGGCTCCGCCTCCGCCTCCCACTTCACCGCTGCGGCTGCTGAAGTGCTGGGTGCAGCTCCAGCCCCAGCGCTACCGGGAGTCGCTATGACTAGGCCCTTCTTGCCAAAGCCCCCGAACCTGCCTGCTGCTCCTGCGGTGGGCCTACCCGGCGTTGGCTTCGCTGGCTGCTGCTGCGGCCTGCCTGCTGCCATGCCCGACATGAAGGCGTCCAGGGGGTCCTCCTCCTCGTCGTCGTCCTGCTCTCGCTTGATGGCTGCGGACAGCGCGCAATGGGGCAGGGCGGGGCGGGAGAGGCACAGGGTTACACGCAGGCGGGAGAGGCAGGGAGTGCGCACGGGGCGGAGGAGCCCGAGAGGTTGTGAGGACAGCGGGCAAGAGCCATCCGAAGGAGCAGCCAAGTCCTGAGGCCACGCATGCATGCATGCTGTAGGGACATGCGGCCTGCAGCAGCAGCATGTGCGACGCCATGCGTGCAGTACGGCGCACACCCACACCGCTTTCCTTAACACACCTGGTAACGGCGGCTGCAGGGCCCCATCCGCGTCAGCATCCGCATCCGCCATCTCCGCGTCCTCCCCGCCCCCGCCGCCGTCCTCCTCGTCGTCCTCATCCTCCAGCGTCCAGCCCTTCTTCCTAGCCGGCCCGCCCTCACTTCCGGCCTGACCCAGGGCTGCATCCGCATCCGCCGGTTCACCGCCGCCGGCCGCCTGCCCCTCACCCTGCGTGGGCTGCTCCGAAGCGGGCTGCTGCTGCTGCTGCGCCTGGTCCGCCCCTCCCTGCGGAAAGTAAAGATCCAAGTACGAGGACGCGTGGAGTTTAGTCAGTTGCGAAGAAGCGGTAGAAGACGCACAACTGCTGCAGAAGGCAGCTGTGGAGCTATGGAAGCCTAGGGAAAACCCCCGTGCCTGGCAGGACAAGTCCTTATCGTATGCGCAGGTGACAGCGCCCCTCGCCCGCTGCACTCATGTGCACGTACCTGCTCCGCGACCCGCTTCTTGCGCCACTCCTCCACCGCCCGCCGCCTCCGCTCCACCTGGGCCTCCAGCGCCGCCGCCTCCGCGTCCCTCCGCTGCTGGGCCGCCTCCTGCAAGCGGCACACGTGCAAAAGCGGCACAAGCACATAAGCGGCACACGTGCAAACAAGTAAACCACAAGGTCCGGCTGCAAAAGCCTCTTGTGCGCACACATGCAGACCCGCAGGTCCGGCGAGCAGCTGGTGCTTCGCTCCTCAAGTACACGTGCATCCTCGCTGCAGCTGGTAAGGTGAAGACAACAACGCGCTTGGCGATCGGACCAACCTAAGTAACAAGACGCAACCACCAGCAACTGTGTCACGAAAGCGGCATGGAGTACCGGTGAGAGACTGCTCCTGCGCTTGGCAACCCGTCACCACCCCTACCTCTGCGGTCAGGCCCGGGGCCGCTCCTGCTGCCACTGCCTCCGCAGTCACTCCCAGCGCCAGAGCTACGTCGCCGGACAGCTCCCCCTCCGCCGGCACCCCTTCACGTCTGCGTTTGGAGGGCGGCTCTTCGCTGGTGCCGCCAGCCTCCTCACGACCGCGTCTCTCCTCGCCCCGCTCCTGTTCACGCGCCCGTTCCCGCTCTCTTTCTCTCTCCCTTTCGCGCTCCCTGTCACGGTCCCGGTCCCGATCCCGCTCTCGTTCGCGTTCCCGCTCTCGTTCGCGGTCACGGCCCCGTTCCCGCTCGCGATTCGCGTCCCAGTCACGGTCACGGTCACGGTCGCGGTAATCCCTATCGCCGCGGCCATCACCACGACCACCGCGATACTCCGAACCGTCGTAGTCAGGGTACCTGTCGATGAGTTGAAAGCAAGAGGGACAGTGAGACCTGGTGAGAACCGGTAAAGAACAACATCGGCAGCAAAGTAAGGTGAACGACGATTGAGCTGGCGACTCACCTGTCACGGCTTTCTGCTCCGTATTTCCCGCGACCGGAGTAACCGCCGTCATCCCGGGGCCTGTCACGATACTCCTCGCGGTCCTGCAAATGGTTCAGCGTGTCAACACCGTCGGGGCGGCCATTGACAATTCCCATCCAAGCCTCACCGCAGGCGAACGCTCTCGGTGCCCGCGATCGTAGTCACGATCGTAGTCCCGCTTGTCGCGTTTCTCTTTCTTATCCTTCTTGTCTTTGTGCTCCTTCTTGTCCTTCTTCCGCGAAGGCGACCGCGACTTGTCCCTCCCCTATCAGGACCAATTCAGAAGGATTATTCGGGCCAAGCAGATCTAGCAGTGTAACAGGGCGCTAGAGTGCACCCAACCAACGATGACACTTACCATTTCGCGGCCACCCCAGCGCCAAAAGGTAGAGTCCTCTTCGTATCAGCTTATTTCTTAGTGTCTTGGTGCAGCTTATGTATCAACGGGTTATGACCCGCATAGATTTGTGCCAGATGCCAAGGCCAAGTGCCACCTAAAGCCTAATAAAGTGAGCAGCATGGGTAACTGTGTTAAGAAGAATACAGCACTCCAAGTTCTTAAGGAAGGCGAGTGCAAAGCTGTCGGATGGGCATTAGTACAAGCCTGCAATACCGCAATACTTGCATGTGGTTTAATGGAAATCCGAACCTCTTTAGGGACTACGCTTCTCAAACGGGATGTATTGTTGCTTAGGCATGTTGTCGCGTCGATAGAAGGGCCCATTGTCACAGGCACCTCTACCCGGCTCCCCGGGGATTACCCCAAGGTTACCCCGGAGTTCCCATCCAAACAGGCTACACATTGACACAAGCTCCGACATTTATGGCAATGCATCATAAAGCTTGGTGCCGAAAGCTGATCCCCATATGCTCCTTTGCATGATCTGGAGTGCCCAAAGTTTTGCCATGTCGCTGTGTAACATGTGTCAGGTACAGACTTACAGAGTAGCCCGACCCTGCATGGCTTGCGGGTCATGCCATGTTATGCTAGATGAGGAGCTCGTTAAGCTGCTTGGAATGCAGTCAGTCTTTCCTAACAGACATTTCCTTGCAGTAGATAGGCCAGGTATGCCCGGAAAGGGTTTTGCCACGTTCACGTGCAACGCTGGATACACTGCCGCCGCTGTAATGTGGCGTGGCGGGCTACCTGCTCAAGCAAAGGGTATTCGTGCGTTTGAAGCAGTTGTGCCATCAGTACGATCGATCAGGGACAACTTGACAGCTTTGACGTACCGGAGAGCAACCGACGGTATTGCCCACACGAGTTCTTCACACATTCATGTGACTGAAAGCTTTTTTTAACACGAAGTTTGTATCCCCGTATGGCGTCGAGCTTTACTCAGCTCATCTACCTGGACTTTCTGTAGAGCTAAACTCCAGGCCACACTGAGGATCCAAGACGATTAGCCGTGTCCTGTGATCACCAAACTAGCAGGAAATTCAACTGTCGGCGATTGAGTAACTGTCGCTGTCTGGAGCCATGGCAAAGGAGTTGGTTCCAACCGCAGAGCAAGCAGGCAAGCTGGACACGTTGCTCGGGGCTTGGGGTTGCATCGTCGATTATTTAACTTGCGATCACGAAATTAGCGTTATGATCGGCATTGCTTAAAGGAAGGGTTCGGCCGTTAGTTTTTGGCCACTTCCCATCCGGGATTAGCGCAAGCATCATAAGTACTCAGCCTTCGGGCATGAATTTAATCAAAGACGTTATAAGAAGCTCTAACTTCGACGTTTATGAAGGACTCAACCCAGAGGTTGCGCACTCCCCTTCCCCCGGTTCCCCGCTCTACCGTGCAGCACGCCTGCGTCCCCGCTCACTTATCCGCCTACCCGATTACTCGTACTGTTGCCCATTATTTTCTGCCATCCTTGCTTTTAGAGAATACCAAGTTCAGCCCCTGAAAGCTTAAGCTTTCACATACCCAACCTTCGCTTTTGCTGCCAGCCTTACCCTCAACACATAGCCATGTGTCTACGCATCCAACCCACCAGCGCATGCTACAACACCTTCCCCATCACACGCCAAGCTTCCAACGCCCCTCCTCCCTGCTCCTCCCTGCTCCTCCCTGCTCCCTCCACCTTCCCCCAGCTACCCTGCTGCGCTCCAGCCTGGCCCTGTTCGAGCGCGAGCCAGCCCGCTACGCGCTGCGACCCGGCGTGGCGGCGGTGCTGCGCGACATGCTGGCCGCGTGCAGCGGGGGCGGGGAGGCGGAGGAGCGCGCCGTACGGGAGTACGACGACCGGGTGGCGTACAGGTGGGGGCGGGGGGCTGCTGGCTGAGGAGGGCAGTTGGCTGAGAAGGAGTGGGACAAGCGTTGTAGGATGAAACGGTGGGGCGTATAGGCATGGAGGCATGCTCTGTCCCTGCTAAACCGTAATGCCCTCCTTCCTTGTGCCTCATCTGGTACCCATGTTCAACCCCCACTCACCTGCCGCCGCTGCCCCCCCCGCCTTTCATACAGCTCGTCAGTTGCTTCGTCAGTGTCTCATTATATATATTTTTACCCCCCCCCCGCGCCCAGGGAGGGCGAGGCCCTGTACGTGCTGGCGCTGCAGCGGAGCGGGTGCCAGCGGGTGCTGGAGGGCATGTCGTACAAGGCGCTGCCCGCAACACCAGCCGCCGGGGCAGGTAGCAGCAGCTGCAGCAGGAGCAAAGAGGGGACGGAGGGCCGTGGCTCCGGCGCCCCTCCCGCTGCCCCTCCCTCTGCTGCTGCTGCTGCTGCTGAACCCAGGCTGCATGCCGCTGCGGGGCCGGCGGAAGGGGGGCCGGCGGAAGGGGGGCCGGCGGAAGGGGGGCCGGCGGAAGGGGGGCCGGCGGAAGGGGGGCCGGCGGAGGCAGCGGATGCGGGTTCCGCAGCCCTGCGCGGGCCCTACGTGCAGGCCACGCTGGCAGCCGTCAGTGCGGCGCTGCATGCGGCGGAGGTGGGTGGGTGGGGAGAGAGGGAGGGGAGGGAGGGTGGGATCCTCACCCTTCATACCCCTCTGTCCCTCTCTTTCGGCCTGCCTGCCTGCCTGTCCGTCTCCTCTCCTGCTCGCTTACCCCATCGCGCCTCCCCCCTACCTTCCACTCCTCGCCCTCACCCCCCCCCCCGCCCTCACACCCCCTCCCCCAGGCCTACACCCGCTGGCGCAACGCCGCGGTGGCTGCCGCGGGCCGCCTGCCCTGCCGGCTGGAGCGGCTGGAGCGGCGGCTGGGGCTGAGCGGCAAGGAGGCGGCGCTGTGGGTGCAGGGGGAGGGGGGAGGGGAGGGCAGGGGAGCGGGTAGTAGTAGGAGGAGGGGGATGGAGGGTGGGTGTGTGTGGGGGGGGGAGTACGGCAGGTGAGATAAGGGCAGTAAGGGGCAGCGCAGTGTGGTTGCAGTACGGGAGCCTACAGGGTCGGGTGCAGGGTCGGGTGCAGGGTCGGGTGCAGGTGCTGCCGCCTGCTCCACCATCGCTCGATGACTGCCCTCTCGGTCACCACTTTCGCCCCTCCCGCCCCTTTGCCTCCTTGCCGCAGCCTCCGCTTCGTGCTGTTCAGCCAGACCAGCCAGGAGGAGCTGCTGACGGCGCTGACGGGGGAGGGGCGGCTGGCCAGGCTGGCGCAGCCCTCAGCACCCGCATTCGTGGGCATGGTGAGGAGGAGGGGGGTGGGGGGAGAAAATGGTTACGCCAATCTGTGAACGATGTTGGCTACCCCTCGTGGTACGGCTCTGTGCTCAGCTGCAACGCAAGCCGGCCCCCACACCTTTGCTGTTGCTGTCGCCGTCACTAACTCGGTCGGCGTTTCCCCTACCCCCCCCCACCCCCACTCCCCCCCCACCTGCAGAGCACGCAGGAGTTCCTGGCCTTCGTGGCTCCGGAGCGCCGCCACATCCGCGAGGGACTGCTGCAGGACATTTCAAAGGTGGGGGAGGGGAGGGGGAGGGGGAGGAGGAGGGGGCAGGCGACAGGAACAAACCGCTGGAGGGTGAGGGGGTCAGGGAGCAATCCAACCCGCCGAAGCAAACACACACCCAGCCCCCGGATCCAGCACACAGGCGCCAGCCTCCGGCCAGCCGCGGTGTAAACGACAGCACGTCCCTCCCGCCCCCTCCTCTGGATTTGGTTTTGGTACTTCAGTTGCTTCACTTTTCATATACTTACTCTCCCCCCCCCTCCCGCCCCTCCTCCCCCCTCCCCCCCGCCCGCAGGCCCTGCTGAGCGGCACGGAGGGGCTGAGCCCCTGGGGCGGGCTGACCCGCGGCTGCTCGCTGACGCTGGGACTGGAGGTGGTGAAGGCGCTCATCGGGGAGGGGCTCAGCCAGGAGGAGCTGCTCAAGGTAGGGGGGAGGGGGCGGGGAGGGGGTCGCTGTAGGGGGGGCAAACAACATGTAACGAGACACTGACGGTGCAACTGACGAGCTGTATGACATGTAGGCTTCACCATGAGGGGGTGCAGCCATGGTGGCAGTAGTCCATCCGGGGGGGGCGGGGGTGGGGGTGACGGGCGGGGGCTGTGAGAGGGGCTGTGCCGTACGGCGGCCTCCCAGCACGAGGCCCAAGGGGACCACAGGACATAGCGGCGCCCTACTTGGCCTTGTGGGGCGCTTTGAGGCGCATGTTGGGCTGCTAGACGTCCGTGTCGCAGCTCCCAGCCCGCAACCCGCAACCACCCGATTCCCGGTCTTGGCACACCGCATCCTCCTCACGCCCCCGTCCCCCATTGCCTTTCCCTAACATGTGGTTTCTTATTTTGTGTTGTGGGCTTTGCCCCCCACCACCCCAGATCGACAAGACTGCGGTGATGGAGGTGCTGTGCGAGGAGCCAGGGTTCGCGGCCTCACGGGAGGGACACGCCTTCCCACTGGGACCGGAGGCGGCGGGGGCAGCGGGGGCGGCAGCGGGGAAGGAGGAGGAGGAGGAGGCGGGTGGAGAGGGCGCGGCGGCGGGGGACCCGCTGGCGCTGGCTGGCAAGAAGATTGGCGGTACAGGTGCTGCATGGGGGGTTGCATGTGGGGGGGGGGCATGGAGGGTTGCATGGGGGGTGTGGTGAAGGGGCAAGGCGCACGCAAGCAGCAGCCTGCAACTCCTTCATGCCCGTCTTCCCTTCTCATAGCCGTATCTTTACCGGCTCCCGCGCCGTTCGTACACCGCAGGTACCGCCGACCTGTACGAGCTGATCAAGGCGGAGGTACGGCGGGATACCTCGGCCATAAAGGGCCCACGGGGCCTGGGGGACCTCTTCTCGGACGCCGCAGCGGCGGCGAAGACAGCGGCGACTGCAGCGGCCACCGCCAGGGCCGCCAAGCGGCAGCGCGTGGATGCCTCGGTGTCCCCTGACGGCACCGCGGCCACGGCCTCCGCCGCAGAGGGTACGACAGCCGCCACGGCAGCGGCGATGGATGGCGGTGGGGGGGCTGTCGCCGACGCTGTTGAAGACGATGAGGATGAGGAGATGGCGGAGGGTGACGGCGGCGGCGGTGCTGTAGGCGCATCGGCAGCGGCGGCGACATCCCCGGCCGGCAAGGCCGTCGGCAGCAAGAAAGGTGGGGGCCTCTTCTCATCCGCATACCGCTGGCCTTCTAGCAAACCTCGGCCTTGCCTCGCGCCTCTTGTTGCTTGAGGGCACGCCTCTTCCGCCTCCTCCCACCTCTTCCCCCCTCCTCCACCCCTCTCCCCCCCCCCCACCCCTCCCCCTCCTGCTCCCCCCCAGGCGAGCTGCGCCCCTACACCTCCGACCTGGACTACCTGGAGAGCTGCTTCAAGCTGCTCATGACGGAGCTGCTGGCGGGCAAACACAGGAGGTGCGGGGGGAGGGGAAGGGGGGGGGAGGGAAGGGGGGGCGGGAAGGAAGCCCAGGGTGTTGGATGAGAATGGCAAACAAGATGACAAGCTCCTGGTACAGGGGGAAGAGAGTAAAGAGGAAATTAGCCACAGTGGTTACTGCCAACCATGTTGTCGGGGGGTGGGTGCAGTTGGAGCGCATAAGTAGGTGCATGCGGTGCGCTGGCAGGAGGAGAGGTAGCATAAGGCCCCAACATGCAACCCGCACCTCCTCCGCTCCCCGCCCACCCGCCTCCTCTCCCCGCCCTCCCCCCTCCTGTCAGGGTGCTTGCCTGCAGCGAGGAGGGCAGCGAGGGCGCGGGTCTGCACCCCTCCCTGGAGGACTACGACGACTTCTACGCACCCCACCGGGGCACCACACGGGCTCGGGCTAGCCAGCAGGTGAGGGGGCGGGAGCTGGGGGCGGGGCAGGGAGGGCGGGAGGTGGTGGGGTGGATGAGGGGTAACGGGGAAAAAAAGGCCTGGAGGGCATTTGCAAGACTCTTTAAAGGAGGTTCGCCCATACTGCGCCTGTCGTTGGGGCTGTGGATGGCATCTTCCCTCCCGCCACGCTCTTTCCTGCGCTGCGGCATCCCCCTTCCCGTCCTCCCCGCCTGCCCTCCCGCCACCTGCCCCCCTCCCCGCCTCCCAGGTGCGGGAGCTGGAGGGGCGCGAGCGGCTGGAGCGCAGTCGCATCGAGGCGCGGCTGCGGCTGACGGCGGCGCAGCGCCAGGCGGACGGACAGCAGCCCTGGAAGCCCAGGTGGGGGGTGCCGGGGTGAGGCGGAGGGGGGCTCGGTGGGGTCTGGGCCCGTCCGTGGTGTTTGCCTCCCCTAACCTGTGTGTCCCCCTCCCCCTCACACCTCTCTTGGTCCTTTCTGCTAGCTCTCCACCCCGCCTCCCCCGCCTCCCCCGCCTCCAGGCTGGAGCGGCTGGCCGAGGCCCGCTCGCTGGCTCCCTTCGAGAAGAAGGTGCTGCTGCTGCTGGTGGGCTGCCGGGTCAGCCCCTCCGTGTCCAGGACGCTGCAGGTGAGGGGGGCGGGGGTTGCGGGGGCAGCGGGGGCAGGGGGGGCGGGGGCAGCGGGGGGGCGGGGGCAGCGGGGGGGGCGGGGGCAGGGGGGGCGGGGGCAGCGGGGGGGCGGGGGCAGCGGGGGGGCGGGGGCAGCGGGGGGGCGGGGGCAGCGGGGGGGCGGGGGCAGCGGGGGGGGCGGGGGCAGGGGGGGCGGGGGCAGCGGGGGGGCGGGGGCAGCGGGGGGGCGCACTGTGGGTGGTTGGGGTGCCTGGGATGGGCGCCTTCGCTGCCTTATGTCGCCTTTCATTGCTTGCTATCAATAGAATCACCCCGGGCCCGAATGCTCGCTTGCACAATGGCCCCTGCGTACCGGGCCATGTTGCGAGTTCCACGGAAACTGGAGGCCTGCTGCCCCGCTGCCCTTGAAACCCCCTCCCCCCTCCCGGCTGCTGTTGCCCCGCCGCTGCAGGCTTGTGTCTCCAACGGCTGCTTCAGCGGTGGCCTGGTGGGTGGCGAGGGGGGGGGGGCGTGAGTGGGGGTGGCGAGGGGAGTGGTGAGGGTGGCTGTGCTGTGCTGTATCGGATGGTTGGCGTGGGCCCCTAGCGGCTTGAAGCCAATAGCCCCCCACCTTCCCTAACTTACGGTACCATTGGTTTCGCTTTGCCCCCCCCTCCCCCCACCCCCCACCCCTATTCAGCTGACGGTTGGCAACCTGCTGCTGGCCTTCTACCCGGACGACCTGGGCGAGCAGATCAACGCGCGGCGCTACTTCTACAAGAGCGGCAGGCTCATACAGGCAGGGGGGCGGCTGGGGAGGGGGGCAGGGGGGCTGGAAGGGAAGGGGGACAGGGGTTCACCGCCCCTGGGCGCATCTGGGCCCCTGGGTGGTAGGGGTGCATCAGCGGAGGATGAGCCACGGGTGTGCCGTTGGGCGGGTGCCCGCCTCAGGAGGCAGCTGGAGGCGGGGAGAGGCGAGGCGAGGGGGTACCGGTAGTTGGGGGGTTGGGTGTTGTGAGGAGCACCTCCTTCGAGACACCGCCTCTGCTGACCTCGCTCCTGTCTGTGTTCGTGTCCCTACCCTGACCTCCCCCTCCCTCCCCCCCCCAGGACGGCATCCTGACCCTCTCCGGTACCGACTTCTCCAAGGACATCATGGAGCAGGTGGGCAGGCGGGGCGGGGGGGGGCAGAGGGGGGGGTAAGACAGGGTGCCCGATGTGGCGGTGTTCGGGCAGTGCACTGCATGGCACATGATTCGCGTGAACCACATGCCTTGTCACCTCCCCCCCCCCTCCCTCCCCCTCCCTCCCTCCCCCCCCCCCCCTCCCTCCCTCCCGCCCCCCAGGGTGTTGACCTGGACCGGCGCATGCTTGACTTCCTGGTGGGGCTGGACACGGAGTTCAGTGACATGGTGGACGGCAGCCACCTCTACTTCCCCGCATACGCGAGGCTGGAGGACGTGGTGCTGCCGGCGGAGCAGAAACAGGTGGGGGGGGTGGGGGGCGGGTGGGGGGGGGGAGGGGGGGGGGATCGGTTGCCTTACCTGCTGCTACTGCATGCAGTGCGCTAGCTGGAGTAACGCGCACATGTGACGCTGCCTTACCTACTACTGTTAACCATTGCCTGGCCCGGCCCCGTGCTGTGACCTGCCCTGTCTTCAATCAGCGCGTCATGGCTTGCCCCATCACCTGCAGCATCACCGCCTGCTCCTCCCTCCCCTGCCCCGATTGCAGCTGATCGTGGAGACGGTGGAGAACTTCTCACGCTACAAGAAGGCTCGTACGGCACTGGGCATGGATGCGGGTGAGGGAGAGGGATGGCAGGAGCGGGTGAAGGGGGGTTTGGGAGGGAGGAGGTTGGGGTTGAGGCTGTTGAGTCGAGCTGCACTGCTGTAGGGTGGGATTGCTGACTTGGTGATACGACTTGGATCGCGCCTCCCCCTCCTGCCGTCCCCTCCCCCCAGGTCCCGGCTGCGGTCTGGTGCTGCTGTTCCACGGCGCCTCGGGGGTGGGCAAGACCATGATGGCGAATGCGGTGGCGAAGCATGTGGGGAAGAAGGGTGAGAGGAAGGGGGCTGGGGGGTGGGGGCGCGGGTAGAGGGGGCGGGGGTGGAGTATAGGTGCAGTTTGCCCCGGGGACAGTACTAATAAAGTGCTCGCGGCCGCGATTGCTGCCTTCCCAGTTGCTGCCTTCCCTTGCTGTGCCAGTATGCCCCCTCCCTGCCGGCGCCCCCCCCCTCCCCTCCCGCCCCCAGTGCTCCTCATCAACTTCCCCTCCCTGGGCGGCAACCAGTCGGGCGAGATTGTGCGGTTCATATTCAGGTGGGGCGGCGGGGGGGGGGGGGCGGCGGGAGAGGGGCGGGAGAGGGGCGGGAGAGGGGCGGGAGAGGGGCGGGAGAGGGGCGGGAGAGGGGCGGGAGAGGGGCGGGAGAGGGGCGGCCGCGGCCCGCATCCCTGTCCATGCGAGCACACTGCCGCTGTACCTTGAAGCAAGTGACCTCATCAGCACCGTCATGCCCCCACCGCTAGTAGCAGGGATCCGCCCCTCCCTTGTCGATCCTCCCCCCTGTCGACCCCTCCCCCCTTGTCGTACTCCGAACTGCAGGGAGGCCAAGATCCACGATGCGCTGCTGTTCTTCGATGAGTGAGTGGAGCTGAGTGGGAGGCGTGGAGGGGTGGTGGGGGTGGTAAGGGTGAGCGCCCGTAAGGAGGCAGAGATTGCTCCCCTCTCTGCTGCCGCTGGCCGCTGCCTGGGTTCGCCCTGTCTCAGCAACACTCAGTCCTCCTCCCCTTCCCTTTCCCCTCCCCTTCCCTCCCTTCCCCTTCCCCTCCTCCCTCCCCTTCCCCCCTCCCCCTTCCCTCCCCTCCCCCAGGTGTGAGTCCATCTTCGAGGACCGCGAGCGCGGCTCCCACGCGGTCAACATGCTGCTCACGGAGGTGGAGCGGTACGACGGAATCAGCATCATGGCAACAAACAGGTGGGGGGGGGCGCATCATGGCAACAAACAGGTGGGGGGGGGGCGCATCATGGCAACAAACAGGTGGGGGGGGGGAGAAGAATATGCAATGTGTGGTGTGTGGGGAAGAGAGGGGGGCATGAGGGGGAAGAGAGGGCGGGGTGTAATGTGGTGTAGTGTCGTGTCGTGTCGGGCAAGGCTGCTAGGTAACAGAGGTCCGTTCAACTCCCGTTGTTATCGAAACCTCGCCGCCCGCCTTTGCACTCTACCTGCCGATCTCACCCGCCCCTCCCTCCCCCCCTCCCTCCCTCCTCTGTTTGCATTTCTTATATAATTTCCCCCCCCCCCTCCCTCCCTTGATATGGGATTGGGACTTTAGTTGTTAGCATTTCTGATATAATTTTCCCTCCCCCCTCCCCCCCTCCCCTCTCCCCCCAGGCCGCACGACATCGACGAGGCCATGCACCGGCGCATCACCATGGCCTTCGAGTTCCGCCGCCCCGACCACCTGCAGCGGCTGGAGATCTGGAGGAAGCAGCTGCCGCCCGCTTGCAGGCTGGAGGTGGGGGAGGGGGAGGGGCGGGCTAGGGAAGGGAGCTGCGGAGGGGGCTGGAGGGGGAAGGAGGCTCTAGGCAGGCCGGGGAGGGCCGGATGAGTCTCGCATGAGCACCGTCTCAACTTGACGTAACCTCAGCCATGGTAAGGCTCGCATGCTTCCCGCTGAGCTTGTGCATCTCCACCCACCCGTGGGTGGCCTTCGTCTCCCGGAAACGTCCTGTACCACCCTGCTCTCCCGCCTTTCCTCCTCCCTGCCCGGCACCACGCTGCCTCCCCTCCCCCCCTCCCCAGCCCGACGTGAACCTGCCCGCTCTGGCGCTCAAGTACGAACTGTCGGGCGGATACATCAAGAACGCCGTACAGGTGTGTGGGGTACGGCAGGTGGGGGTACGGCAGGGGGGGTTAGCGGAGCAGCGAGTGGTGAGGTGGTGGTGGAGGAGGGCTCGCTGGGGGCACGTCGAGTTCCCGACGGCTGCCTCCTGCACAGCGGGCTCGGCGCGTCTCCACTGGTACCGACACCATGCCCGTGCATGTCACCCCCTCCCTACCTCCCCCCCTGCCTCCCTATCTCTGCCCACACTCCCTCCTGGCCCCCCCCGAAAGCGCTCACTGCATGAATTGGGATATGGGATTGGGACTGGTTGTTTCACTTATGTCATATAACCCCCAAACCCAACCCCCCCCCCAGGCAGCGCTGTCCAAGGCCACCTCGCGCACCACCGAGGGGCAGCCCATCTCTCTGAGCCAGGTGAGGCGGGGATTAGGTGGGGACTGGGGACGAGGGACGAGCGAGGTGGGGCAGGGCTGCCTGCTGCCTGCTGCCTGCTGCCTGCTGCCTGCTGCCTGCTGCCTGCTGCCTGCTGCCTGCTGCCTGCTGCCTGCTGCAGACCCTGCCCTCAGCTGGGGGGTCCTCAGCTCTTGCATGGACTCCCGCCATGCTTTCATCCCTCCCCCCACCCGCCTACCCCCTCCCCCCACCCGCCTCCCCCCAGTCCGACCTGCTGGCAGGAGCGGCGCTGCAGCTGCGGGGCGCACTGCGGCTCAAGGTGCGGGGAGCAGGGGCGGGGCGGGGCGGGCGGGCAGCAGCGGCCTGATGGGAGGAAGGGTTTCGGCGCTCAGCTGTGTGAGATCATCCGGGATGCGTGCAGCGTGCAGTTCAGGTATTCCTGTTGGTGTGGCGCCCTCAGGCCTCCTTCATGTCTGCCTCCCTCCCTTGTCCCCCCCCATGTGCCATGTCCCTTCCCGCCCCCCCCATCAGGACCAGGACCGGCAGCGGGTACCCCGGCGGGGTCTGGAGGAGGTGCTGCTGCCCGCCCCGCTCAAGGAGCAGCTGGAGAAGGTAGGCAGAGGAGGGGGGCGGGGGTTTGGGGGTGTGGGGGAGGGAAGGTGTGGGGGAGGGAGATGGGGGAAAGGAAAGGAGAGAGGCAGGCAGGGAAGGAGAGGAGAGAGTGGCCGCGAGAAGGGAGGGAAAGGGAGGATTTAGAGGACGTGTGGAGGAGAGCTTGGACTTGGTATTCGGGTATGCTTCACTTCTTTGCCCTCCCTTGCCTCCTCCCTTCCCTCCTCCCTTCCAGATCGTGCAGCACGAGAAGGCCCGCGCGGTGCTGGTGGGGCAGTGGGGCTTCGGGGCGGGTGGGGAGCTGTCCGGCACCACCTGCCTCTTCCACGGGCCGCCGGGCACCGGCAAGACGCTGGCGGCGGAGGCGGTGGGGTACGAGACAGGCAGGCCGCTCAAGGTGGGGGGTAGGGTAGGGTAGGGGGGGGGTAAAGGGGAGCATAGTGGGATTTAGCGCTTGCTAGGAACGGGGTGCGGGGCTGAGAAGTGCTTCGTCTTAGAATGGTCCTTCTCCTCTGTGCCTTTGCCCTGACTTTGCGGTTTCACTCGGAACGGCTTAGTGCTCTGGCCCAGCTTCTCCGACCCCCTTTCCCCTGCCCACTGCCCCTCCACCTCCTCCCCCCCTCCCGGCCCCCCCCCAGGTGGTCAACTGCGCGGGTCTGGTGTCCAAGTGGGTGGGCGACACGCCCAAGAACATCGACGCGCTGTTCGCGGAGGCTCGCGCGCTGGACGCGGTGCTTGTGTTCGACGAGGCGGAGGGGCTGTTCGGCAGCAGGCCCTCCGACGTGAGCTCGGCGACCGACCGGTAGGCGGGCGGAGGGGGGCGGGGGGGGGTTAATTTGGAGACGTAATCCGCCTTAGGCTGGATTACGGGGGGGGGGGAGAGGAGGGTGGAGGGGGGGATGATGGGGCGGGTGGTCTCCGCTGAAGCCATTTTCCTCCCATGGTTAGCGCGTGCTTCCTCCCAAGCACGTGATATCGTCCTCGGCTTATATCTGTGAACGAGGAAGATATCACGCGCTTGGGAGAAAGCATGCGCCAACCATGGAGGAAGATGTCTTCAGCGGAAGTGGAGGAAAGTTGTTGACAAAGGAAAAGCGCCCGGCCCTAGGCCGTATTAATTCCTTCCCTTCCAGAGGTATATGTTGGCCCCCCCCCCCGCCCCCCCCCCAGCTACGCCGCCATGGACGTGGGTGTGCTGCTGTACCACCTGGAGGTGCACCCGGGCATCGTGGTGCTCATCACCAACCAGCCGGCCGCGCTGGACAGGGCCTTCTCGCGCCGCATCCGCTTCATGCTGGCCTTCCAGATGCCGGACGCGGCGCTGAGGGCGCGGCTGTGGAGGGCGGCGGTGCCGGCGCAGACACCGCTGGCGGGTGCGTGGTGGTGGTGGGGGGATGGGAGGGGCGGGGCTAGATGGGGATGTGGAGGGCTGGGGAAGGCGGTGTGGGGACGAGACATGCAGCTGGGGTGCGTGCCGCTGTGGGCTTGTTACGAAGCCCTTTACGGGGCACACGTCCACTCATCTCACTACGCCCATGCCCGCTCTTCCCTCTGTGCTCTCCTCTCCTCCCTCCCTCCCCACCTTACGTCCTCCTCTTCCTCCTCCTCCTCTCCCCCCAAAGCCGACGTGGACTGGACGGTCCTGGGAGAGCGTTACGAGCTGTCCGGCGGCGCCATCCGCAACGCCGTCATCCGGGCTGCCACGCGGGCCGCACTGCGCATGACGGATGCGGGGAAAGAGGGCACCGCCGCCGCAGCTGCCGCACCAGCCTCTGAAGCAGCCGGTGGCGGTGCTGCTGCTGCTGCTGCCGCTGGGTCAGCTAAAGCGGCAGGCAGCGGTGCAAGCCCCGCTGTTAAAGCAAGTGCCGGTGGTGGTGGTGGTGGTGGTGGTGCTGGTAAAGGTGCGGCGGTGGGTGGGGTGGTGTGCATGGCGGATCTGACTGCGGAGGCGGCGGAGGAGGTGAGCCGGGGGGACGGAGCCGTCGCGCAGCAGGTGCGGGCCATGTACATGTGAAGGCAGGCCAGGGCGGAAGGCAGGGGCGTGTGGGTGTGGGTGTTGGAGCAACGGAGCAGCGGAAGTGTACTGATGACCCTAGCTGTCGACTGGGTGGGTGCTTCATGGACGGATACGGGACCGTGGCTGTGCTGGGGGGCTGGGGGGCAGGTGGGGCAGCTGGGTGGTGGGGCTAGGAAGGACGGTGTGGGCCCGCGATCTACTGCTTACCTGGCTACAACTACCGGACGACCCGCAGAGATATGAGGAGTGAGCGAGTGACCGATGCCGTTGAGGTTTGTTGGCTGTTTGGTTGGTTGGTTGCTCTGGGAGTTGCGGCGTTAGTGGGCGCAGTTGGCATCGCTCTCAGCCGGTAGCAACGGTGTGGGAGGTAGTGAGATACAGCTGTGCGGGGGGAACCGCTGGGCGGATGTGGGCGCATGCAGCTGGAATAAGCGAGTGCGGGTTGGGCCTGAGTTGGCTGGGAGGCGAATACTGTGTTGGCAGGGCACCGAGCAGGGTTTGAAACCTGGTATCCTTTAGCCTTTGTCGTGCCTCATGTTACAGGGACACGCACGCATTGCTGGTTTGCCGCATGTTGCACGCGTTCCTCCTTTCTCCTTGAGCAAGTCTATCTCCATCTCACCATCTCCCCGGAGACCAAGCGATAGCTGCCCCCAACCTGCCCCAAAACAATACTAAAACCACATAGGTTTTGCACAGTCGCTGGCAATGTGGGTGTGCGGCAAATGCGGTGCACATGCAAGGATCGATTGTACCGCAATGCAGGTTACCTGCGACACACAAGTGAAGAGATACACTCGGAAACATGTGCCCATTCAGGTACCCCCTGTCATAGCCCCGTGCCCACAACAGCATGCCTCCAAGTTCCAACACGTAAGCAAGCCTCGCTGTTCAACAAACGCTCCATGCACTCCTCCCTCCCTCAACGGCTTCAACCCCCTTAGTAAGGCCCCCTCAAATCGCACGTCGCAAAAACCACCGTACGCTTTAAAGCATTGTATGGCTGCTGCTGGTCCAAGCCCTTCCACAAGGGCCACGGCCTCCCACCCCAGCCGCTGCTAGCATCCGACACGCCGAGCCGCTGTGTCCGTGTTTGCGCAGAACGGGATATCCCACATACCGCAGCGCTTATCGAGGTCTTTGAAGACTCGTGGCAAGGTTTTGGTTCGCACAGACGAGACGTCACTCACATGCGCCCGCATGCACGGTATGACCGCAGCTCGCGGCCTATGCACACCACTTCCAGTACTCCTCCTGCATCAGTGTGAGGCTGCCGCTGATCTTGCCGTCCCGCAGGTACTCAGACCAGCCGGCAAGCAGCTGGGCGATGTCCCCACCCCCACCCCCACCGCCACCCCCGACCACGTGCCCCTGCTGCCGGAGAAGCTGTCCGACATGATACCCGGAGCTACGTCCCACGCTCACGAAATTGTCACTCAGCATCAGCCATTTCTTTTCCCCTCGTACCTTGTTTACCGTCACATACGCGCACACACTAGCCGCGGCAGGTGCCTGGCTGACTCCTGCTGCAGGAGGCATCCTGCACTTGAGGTACACTTCGGCTGCTGTAGCTCCGGAGTGGAAGTCGAGGAAGGGCGTCCACTCGAATCCATGGGCGGCAACTCCCTGCAAGCCGGCACCGAAGGTGCCGAAAACGCGCGCAGACTTCCCCGGCTGCAGCTGCCCCAGCCCCTGCTCCAGCTCCTCCCGTGTGATGTGCCAGTTGTAGGTGAGGCCTGTTAGCGTTGACATGCACTGACTGCGGGGCACGGTGCGATACATGGGCGAGTTGAGGCTGTACACGTTTGCCGCTGTCTCTAACAGCTGAATCCGCTCCACCTCGGAGGCCCTCGCGAAGTGGGCGATGAAGCTTGCTTCCATGACGGTGATGGGGAACCAGGCGGCCGGCTTGTGCGTCTCATAGCCAACCGCAAGCGCCGGCAGCACGAAACTGAGGTAGGGCCTGCTCAGCTGCACCAGCCGCACCAGCCGGCACAGCCGCTCGCGTGTTTCCGCGTCCGTCTTGTCGTGGTTGGCCTCCATCCAGGTCGCCAGCAGCAGCAGCACGCTGGACTCGCTGTCGGTGCCGAAGCTGTCCGACTCGAGCAGCACCTCCACCGCCACCGCCGGCAGATCCAGCAGCTGCTGGCGGAGGGAGGGCGTGTTGAGGACCCGCAGCGCGTCGCCAAAGTACGACACAAGGTGGGGCTTGGATGAAGAGAGGAGGGTTTGGAAACTGGAATCCTTTTCAGGCCACAGCGGCGTGCAGGCGTACAGCTCTAGCAGGGGCGGCTGCTGCTGGCCTGCTTCACTGGCGCCGCCGGCTCGACCACTGCGACGCCGCCAGCGGGCCATCCGGCGCTTGATAGTCTTTTCGCACGCCTCAGCGCAGCTCTCGATCTGCAGGTATGCCGCCTGCCGCCGCACCTCCAGCACCTCCCGCACGCTGCTCGCGTGCACCTCCCCCGTGTAGGCGAAGCGGATGGCCGCTCGGGCGACAGTAAGCTCAGCCTCGCTGCCCAGCGGAATGCGCAGCTCGGGCCGGCTAGGGGTGGTGGAAGAGGCGGCGGCGGCGGAGGTGGAGGCGGAAGAGGAAGAGGCGGCGGACGAGGAGGCGGACGAGGAGGGCGGCAGGGGCTGTTTGTCGCCTACCCAGCGCTCGAACTGCATGTAGGACAGCAAGAAGGCCAATAGGTCAGTGTTGACGTTTATAGGGGTCCGAAAAGGTCACAATTGCGGGTAATGTATGCTACAGGCAATGGAACCTGACCCACGGGTCACGCAGGGCGCTGCTACCGTCGCATGTATGCTGGTAGGTACAACCCCAGGGCACCACCCCCGCATCCTATCCTACCACATCCCGCCGCGTGATGGCCGCCTGCTGGGCCTCACGCACGGAGTCAAGCCCTTCACATGTGGCTCGATACCGACCGAAGTACGAGTCCATGCGCCGAACTGCGACCCAGCCCTATCTACCTGGGCTGAGAACCGCTCGGAGCTGTGGCAAAGGAAGACGCGATGCGCGGGCAGCGGATCGCCCAGGAAGACAACATCCCGCGAGCAGCCAGCAGCGGCGGTCGCTGTGTCCGATAATAGCTGCGTTTCATGGCTCTTCTCCTCCTCCTCGCGCTCCAAAGCATTCGCCTCCAAGTGAAAGCGTATTACGCAATCCGATTCCGTTTCATTCTCGAAGAGAGCAGCGACTGACTTATAAAAGTGCCTGTTTCCAAAGAGCATATGGCGGATTCGGTGTGCACCGCGCGAGGCACCTAAAGCGGTAAGGACCCTCGGGACACTGATGAAAGGTTTCGCGAGGCCTGCCAGCAGAAACAGAAGAAATGAAAGAAGCTTTCTAATGTATCCGATCAAGCTTTGCAATAGGCCTGGCATGGGAAACTTGTCGGAGACGACAACTACTGGACATAGGTTAGATAAAGATTTCGCCTTGGGTTGGCTCCTAAGCCCTATACAAAAACGCTATATGCGTCCCTGCGCCTGCTCCGTCCACAATGCGACTAAAGGACAACAGTCTGGCGGGAACCGGCTCATGTGCTGCGTCGTCCAATGACCGTATGCGCCAAAGTGGAATCGTCAGCTGCATTGCTTCGCTGTCGAAGTCCGTGTCTGTGTGCATGCGCGATATCGGTGTCCAAAATAAGTACTACAGACAGTGGCGGCAGGGGCTTGCCGTCTTACACGGCAATGGCTAAAGGGCATTCCGTCCGGGCACCTGAAACCTAGCAACAAGTACAACAGCAAGCCGCCCAGGACAGGATTATAAACTCACCAGCAGTGCACTTGGGTCACTGGGGCCCGCAGCGTGACGACCATGCATGCAGAAGCAGTGCACATACATGCAGGGCCGAGGCATGTCGTACGGCAACGCAGCCTACAGCTCACGACACGGCATTCGCAGCAGCCAAGCCGTGTACGGTTCTCCAGCTAGCCCAGCACCACACCAGCAAGTCAGCACACCCCAAGATGACCTCAACCGCAAACAGCGCCCGGAAGGTCATCCGGAATTACCGGTGTCGTCATCTCACAACGCCACGTAGCGCTGCCCTCATGCCGTACCCCTCGCTCACACCCATACACGCAAGTACCCTCAAGCTCGCCACACATCCCCTACCAGCGCCCGCAAACCCGGCAAACAAGCCTACCCTTGCTGTCCGTAACGTGCCTGTGCCATGCAATAAGCCATGTAGGCAATCTCCAATGCTATGCACTCCTGCTTCTGCTGCTTCAACCCTGGTAGCAGCCCCTGGTAAAGGGCACGATCTCCGACTGCTGGTAGGGGCTTAACCAGCCGCTTTGAGCATCCAACACACCAAACACCATTGGTGCTGCTTGTACCCCAGGTACCCCACAGCAGCGCTTACTGAGGGTATGTGAATACGGTAGCCAGATGCAGTGCTACGATTAGACATGATTCAATAGTAAAAACCAACATGCATGAAACCCGTACAGCACCCGTAACAGATACCGGTAATCGATAATGATCTGCATGCGGTTCACAGTTCTTCCACAACCAACATCAACTCAGAGGAGAGCGGCAGAGCTAGGGCAGAGCAGCTCATGCAACAGGGGCCTCCAGTTCAACTCATCCCCACAGGCAAGCAACAAAACCCCGTGCCTGGAACTCTTACCCCGTAAATAACAATGTAAATGCATACATTCATAATCACGTCGCCGTATAATAAATCCCATAAGCCACATGCCACCTCCCCAGCATGCATGGAGGGCGGCATTTCCCTTGCAAACCATCTTACCAGCCTCCGTTCAGGGAACGGAAACATCAACGCAACGCATTCCTCTCACCGCTTCTTCCCGGCTGGCTGCCGCAGCAGTGTGAGGCTGCCGCTTATCTTACCGCCCTGCAGGTACTCGGACCAGCCGGCAAGCAGCTGCAAGCCAACAGCAGCACCACCTCCGCCACCCCCGGCCGCCATCAGCCGCCGCAGGGGCAGCGCTCCAGGTGAGCCCCAGCCCTGCCCCACGATGAAAAAGTCACCTGTGCCGAACAGCTGCTGGACACATGCTTTGCTGGCCCGGGCCACTGTCAGGCGCGCGCAGGAGCTTACCACTGCAGGTGTGTGACCCCTCATGCACAGTGCACCAGGCAGCTTGCAATCAAGGTACAGTCCGGCAGCTTTGGCGCCATGCTTCAGACCCAGACAGGGCGTCCAATCGAAGCCCTGAGCAGAGACTGACTCCCAGCCATTGTCAAAGGTACAGTTGACATAGACTTCTTGCCCCGGCTGCAGCATCTCCAGCACCTGCTCCAGCTTCTCCTGGCTGACATGCCAGTGGTAGGTGAGGCCTGCCTCGGGCACGCACTGCTGCCGTGGATAGAAGCTGTACATGGGAGAGCCGATGTCGTAGGAGCTGCCCTTCGCGCTCACTAGAAGCTGCTTCCGTTCGGTTTTCTGGGCCCTAGCGAAGTGGCTGATGAAAGCTGTTTCGGACACCTTCGTTGTAAACCAGCCAGCAGTAAACGGCTTGGTTGTAGCATTGTCCTCTGCAAGCGCCGGCAGCACGAAACTGAGGTAGGGCTTGATCAGCTGCACCAGCCGCACCAGCCGGCACAGCCGCTTGCGTGTCTCCGCGTCCGTCTTATAGTGGTTGGCCTGCATCCACACCGCCAGCATCAGCAGCACGCTGGACTCGCTGTCGGTGCCGAAGCTGTCCGACTCAAGCAGCGCCTCCACCGCCACCGCCGGCAGATCCAGCAGCTGCCGACGGAGGGGGGGCGTGTTGAGGACCCGCAGCGTGTTGCCAAAGTATGACACGAGCTGCTGATCTGCGGCAGAGATGAGGGATTGGAAGCTGTGGTCCTCATCGGCATCCGACCACAGTGTTTCACAAGCGTAAAACGCTAGCACTGCGTGTTGTTGGTCTGCAGCTCCGCATTCTTCACTGCTGTCGCCTCCAGACTCCTCGGCTTCCACCATGCCCCGGATGGCCTCATCGCAAGCAGCAGTGCAGCCCTTAATCTGCAGGTATGCCGCCTGCCGCCGCACCTCCAGCACCTCCCGCACGGTACTCACGTGCACCTCCCCCGTGTAGGCGAAGCGGATGGCCGCTCGTGCGCTAGGCAGTTCAGCCTCGCTGCCCAGCGGAATGCGCAGCTCGGGCCGGCCGGTGTTGCATCCAGGAGTGCACATGGTCCTTGCCTCACGCTTACCATCATTCCAACGGGACAGCTGCGAGAGCGTGGTGACTCATGGTTAGAAAACGTGAGACCAGTAGAATTAGGTTGAAGAATGGCGATGCATATCCTTGCCTGGGCTGCAAAATGAGGAGAGGCATGGCGTAGGACAACAGGCAAGGGGTCGCCTATAACTGTTATCGCTGCTTGCCTCAGACCAATTGCTGAATGTTGAACTCCATTGTGGCTACGCTTAACTGGTGCGTCAAGTTCAAGGGTGAAGACAACAGCGCAGTCCGAATCGGTATGGTCCTGAAACAGCGACGCTACTGCGGCTGCAATGTATTTATTGCCAGCCATGTTGGTGTAATGGTTTGCTTACGACGTGTTTTTCCACAATGTTAAACTTTGTGTATTCTGAATCCTCGCATTTCGGCCTCGCGTAAGCCTCGCCTATGTTCCACATAAGGCCCGACCACCTCGCAATTTATCTTTCTCAATACTACACCAATTACTGTTCTGTTTTTTGAGATGTATTCCTATTTACCTATTTAAACCGCTGCCTTTGCTTCCGCTCCTGTAAGTTCCCACCCGGACTCCTCGGCTAGCAACATCTACTAGGCATGTACACACCTCAATGCCTGCGCACTAAAGAGCTTCTGCTTTGTTGTTTAGGTTAGATAGGAAGCCTAGGTGCTGACGTTTACTAGCCCTAGAGAGGCGCACGCGATGTGTGCGGTCGACCTCATTGCCTGTCTCTTTCCACCTGTCCCCTCACGTGCAGCGCCTGCCTCCCTTGCCGCTTCCCTGTGCGGTCGCCCTTTCATGTTTAACACCTGTCCCTCCCTGCCGTTCCCTGTGCGGTGCTCGCATCCCCACGGTTGGGTGTGGCCCTCCCCACGCGCGACTTCTGCTTCCTGTGCCCTGTTCCGTGCAGCGTGACGTGCGGGGTCCTGCGCCCCAACAGGACCCCTTTGCCCTTGCCCGTGCGGTGTCTGGGTCCTTATGCCCATCCCCACACACTACCTGTCTTCCCCGCGGTGCCTGCCTCCCCCTGCTGCTGCCCATGCCCCGTGTGCCTCGGCCCCTCATGGGGGGATACCAAATTAGACCAAACCATATGAAGGGAGGCGGAAGAGGAGATGGAGGAGCTCGTTGGCTTGAGCTCGCTGGCTGCGGCTGTGACAGCGCGTGCTTCAGCAGGCAATTCAGAGTCTTCAGGAGCGGATGCAGCGGCAACGGTTTATATATACCGGTATTTAATAGAAATACATATCATAAAACCGAACAGTACTTGGTGCAGTATCGATAAAGATTTTTTGCGAGGTGGTCGGGCCTTATGTGGAACATAGGCGAGGCTTACGCGAGGCCTAGGATTGGCCTTTCCCGCGCGTCGTACTTCCCGGGTGTTGTACAAATAACTTGGGCGCAGGAAAGGATTTAGGCCATTTTAACGGATTTCTCGTCGGTGCATAGTATCAAGGCGTCCCATTTGTACTTACATGGACGCCTAAGACGCCCCGGAACGATTGGCGTTAACGCCGTTAACCCTAATAAACATAACAAACAAAACATCCGCAGTAAACATGGGTTGCTGCAAATCGTGTGAATCAAGTAGAACTGTATCATACGCCATGACCATGCAGCATGCGCGTAAAGGTTAATAGTGCAACGGCGTCTCCCATGGCGAACGTCCATTTCATGCAGCCAAGGATCAGACGGCCAGGCCTATACTCCAACCCTTGTGACGCTTTATTCCCGATACATCCATTTTTTGCGGTGTCAGTTAAGTATAGAGGGCTAGTCCAACCCAGGGGTATGCAGCTGCTTGGGATGTCGGGCCACGTCTTCGTCAACGAAGGCAGGACAGGTTTCTGTTTTACTTTGTATTACTATAACTCAAGAACTCCGCCTCCAACTCCTACAGGCCTTTGCGCTCGTACCACCGCCTGCTTTGCTCATCGACCCCTACCAGGTAGAAGGCTCCTGCCGGCAAGTCAGCCAAATCCCCGCTGGGCCTGTACGGCGCTGGACAGGCGTACGACACCTCCACATGCTTGGAGACCGCGTCGAAGTACGACACAGGGCGCTCCACCCTGGAGCGCAGCTGCGTGTCTAGGTTTAAGGCGCTCTGGATCGCCTCCAGGGTGAACCGTGGGTCGCTTGGCCCCACGTCACCACCTCCCACACCTCCTCCGTCCCTATCGCCCTCATACCGCTTGACGCCCCCATCCCCCCATCCACGCCCCTCGGCTTCACCCTCCTGCACAGCCCCATTGTCCCGGTGCTCCACTTGCGCATCCTTCACCCCAGCGCTTGCTCCACACCGGCTGTCCTCCCTGCCGGCACTGCTCCCAGCACCACCTCCGCCAGCACCACCCCCGCCAGCAGCCCCGCCGCCCCCTCGCGCCACCAGGCTGAAGAGCGCCGCCACCGTCCCCGACCCGAAGGAGAACAGCAGCAGGCGGCGGCCCGCCAGCTGCCCCCCTCGGCGGTACACAAGCGCGGCCAGGCCCTGCCACAGGCTGGCAGTGTAGGAGTTGCCCAACTGAACGCGGGAAGTGGAAAGGGAGAAAGCAGGGGAGAGGAAAGAATGAGAGAAGTAAAAGTAGCTTTCTAGGTCTTGGGAGGGTAACAGCCTGTCTCCTTAACTCCTGCCGTGGTGCTCATGGCATTGCCGGACATTAAGTTTCCCTCATTAGACCTTCCCTCGTATGACAGCGCGGCTTTTAAGCGATCCAATGTCGTATTCATCGCTGTACTCAGACACGCCTAGGCAAGAAATACCCCGGCACCTCGCGGTCATCAGCAGGGCAACCATCTGTTTCCCAACTTTCCCAATGACAGTCACGACCACCCTGCCAATCGCACCTGCTTCTGCAGCCATGCAGCGTCCTCCGCCATTCGCTCGTACAGCGCAGAGGTGGCGGTTACAAGCTGCGCTTCCAACGCCTTGTCGTCCAACCGCCAAGTGCCGTATGACTCGTGCGATTCAGGCAACTGCAAGCGTGACTGCTGCTTCTGCAGTGGGGGATCTTGGCTTTGCGTTGGGATCTGCTGCCGACCTAGAAGCGCCTCCAAGCTAGGAACCGCGTGTGCTGAGACCGGCGGGATCAACACCGTCACCGCTGTTGTTGCAGTGGTAGCTGAGGGTGGCTGTCCGGCGCACTGTGCCGCTGTTGCCCCTGCCGGTGCGTCTGCTGGCGCTGTTGACGCCGCAGCGGTTGGTGCTTGCACGCAGGCGGTTGGTACAGGCGCGCTTGCAGCCGCTGGCGATGTTGTTGCCGCTCCTGAGGGAGGCCCGGGGGGCTGAGTGGTGCTGCCCGGGGCTGCTGCAGGAGGGGACGCAGCCGCCGCTGGGGCGCCCCTCGCCGCGCCCTCCCGCTGCGGCTCCGTTCCCAGCTCTGAGCCCGTTTGCTGCTGCTCCAGCACCCACTCCGCCACCCACTCCTGAGGCGGCGGCAGTTGCTGCTGCGGCTGCGCTGTTTTCTGCCCCCAGGCACTAGGAAGTCCCTGGGGAGCTGTTGCTGCCGCTTCAGCCGTCCCCGACTGTGACCTAGCTCCTCCTCCCGCTCCTTCCTCGGCCGCACTGGCAGCTGGGAGCACCTGCTCTGCAGCCGCCCCAGTGGGCCCCGCCTCCTCCGGCGCCTCCGCCTCCGCACCACACGCAGCCGTGGTTGTGGCCGCCCCTGCAGCACCACCCGCGGGCGCCGCTGCCGCAGTGCCGGCAGCCGCCCGCCTCAGCGCGTCCACCAGCGCCACCCGGGCCAGCCCCTTCCGCAGCAGCTTGTTGAAGGGCGCGTGGCCCAGGAAGTGCGACACGCGGGACAGGAAGCCTGCAGACAAGGGGCGGAGAGGGGAGGAGCATGCCGGTATGCGCTGGAAGTAGCAAGATGTCCCAGACACCGGATCCCCTATGTATCCGGCAGCCAAGACCTTAGTCATCCCATTCCTGACGCATTTCTGCCAGCATTCCAATCGCGGCCTCAGACCCACACTAGCCACCCCACGCGCCCCACACGTGTCATCGCCCCCACACCCACCCACTCACTCTCCCCCGGTGCCAGCTCCCCCGCCGCCGCCAGCCGCTGCCCCAGCCGCTCCGCGCAGCCCCCCGCCGCCCCCAGGTATTGCGTCAGCGTCAGCGCGCCCGCCACCTCCGGGTACGGCAGGCGGCCCAGCGGCTTGCAGAAGTCCCACGCGTGCTCCGCGTGGCCGCCGTACCACAGCGGGTCCAGCACCAGTGGCGCGTCGGGGCCCACCAGCAGCGCGGCGGCGCCACAGCCGCCTGGGGGCGGGGGGGGGGGGGAGGAGGCAGAGGGGTGAGTAGCGGTGGGTTCGGGGACTCAAAAGGGCTACGCTTCCACCCCGACTGCTCCCTGTTCCAATGGGGCTTTCTGACCCTCACACACCCCAGGTACAGTGGGAGCAACCGCAACACAAACCGGTCGTTGCCCCAACCTCCGCCCGGCTGACTGACCCGTGGGTCTGGCTGCGCTGCCCGGCGCGTACAGCGCCACATCCGCCGCCACCACCATCGCCAGGCGCCCGTCCCAGCGGCGGCTCTCCACCCAGGCTGCTGCCGCCATCAGCGCCGAGGTGCCTCCGAAGCAAGCGTGCATGCAGTCCACCCCCTCGGCGGGGGGGCCGGACGCGGTGGGGACCCAGCCGGCAGCAGGGCGCCGGGAGGGCCCCTGCTGGGGCTGAGGTTGCTGCTGGGAGGGCTGCTGGGGTTGCGCGGGCTGCTGCTGTGGCTGCTGTTGGTTGAAGAGCTGCATGAGATGCGACTTGATGCTCTTGCTGCGGTCCACTCCCGACTCGGTGGCGACCTGGGGAGACGGAGAAGGGGCGGGCAGCAGCAGGCAGGAGAGCGGTGGGGGAAGAGCTGGGGAGGGAGAGAGGTGGAGGGGAGCGGTAAGGCGCCATGCCAACTGCCCCCGTGTTACCCCATGGGTCCGGGTCCTTCCCCACGAGCTCTCCTTCCACGAGCGACTGCCTCGCGGCATACAAACCCTCATGTTGTGTTTCCTGGGTACGACACCCACCGGCACCCAACTCCTGCCTGCGGGCTCCCCTCACCTGCAGGTAGCCCACCTCCTGCGGCCGCACGCCGTACCGCTCCATGAGCCGCTGCGCCGCCGTGAGCGACATGGACACCGCGTCCTCGCGGTCGCTGCAGAACGCCATCGCCTCCTGCGGGAGGGGGGGGAGGCGCGAGACATGGGTGACGAGTACAGAAGGCGTACGACAGCAGGGTTGCAGTGTACCGGCAGGCAAGCAAACAGGTATACGGGTACTCTATCGATGACAACTGCAGGAAACCGGGTACGGCAGTAGGAGGCGCTGGTGCGGATTGTTTGGTGGCAGGTTGTGATGCCTCTCGTGCCCACCTGGCCCAGACCGAGGGTGTACTTGCCCGGACAGCCGTCTGCGGCCTCCATGTCCGCCATGTTCACCTTGCGGTGGAAAGGAGGGAGAGGTAGCTGAAAGAATGACAAGGAACAGAATGAGGTGACTCTTGAAGAATAAACTGTAGAGAATGCGGAGGCAGGACACTGCGCCTTGAAGGTTAGATGGGAAGACGGTTGACAGGTCATCTGTCGACCTCGTTCCCTATCTTGCTTCGTGCTCGGCAAGGAAACCATTGTATTGCAAACCGAATTGCTAGTGCGGTATGGGGAATGCGGCAGTTTTAGAGATCTTCTACCTTCTGCGTTGGAAAGTACATCTCGATGGCAAGGATGCCAACCGCGTCCGGCCGGGGCGGGTCAAGTCCATGTTTCCAGCTGGCTGACATCAATATTGGTATGCGAAAAGTTTCTGGTGTTGGGGGAGATGTCGTCAACGGAACGTGCTGTGTTATGCTTTGCACTGATTTGCACAGAAACTTTTGTTACTCCGAATTGAACTACAAAACGTGCTAGTTTGTTAAAGCGGGTACAGTACTTGCGAGTCGGAACGAGTTCGGCGCTTGCTTTGGCTTCGGGTAAAGATCAGTTTTGTACGATTATTATCTAGTCATCCCAAGAAGTGAAAGGCAGGCTTTCAGGTGAAACACAATTAGATAACTATGATTCAAGCTAAGCTTTCCATACACCCGGGACGGCACTGCCGACGGGCAGTGGCTTGTTGCCACTTGCAGAATTGCGCCCTCTCGTCCAGCCACGAAACATGTAATCGTCGACTTAGTGTATTACAATGTGCTAGCACCTCGGTCGATGCACCTACACTATCCCGATTCTCGTCGCTCGGAACGCACGACCCGTCGCAATGTCTCGACTTGGCCCTTTCGAGAAGGCCGCTGCTGGCGTTGGCAGGGCTTTCCGTCATCTCAGCCACCGGAAGCGGTTGTTCTATAGCCCATGCTGAAGGTAGGACCAGGTTTGGGCTAGGCATGAACAGGCTGCCTTGGCCACCACCCAATTGGAAGAGCCACCGCGGCCTAGGGTATTGTAGCGCCAACTCGTCCCCCAATCCCCTTACGTCTTCCCGGACCTGCCGACCATAACGCGCAGATGCCACAACTCAGCTGGAGTCCCCCACCTCCCCACCTGCTGAGATAACTGCCAGCAGCAGCAGCAGCTCCGAAACCCTCACCGAGTACGGCAACGCCAAGCAGCAATACCGACTGCTGGTGCCCGCATCCTGGGATGTCAAGGGCAAGGCAGGTGGGCCCCACTCGCAATACAGCGCTACATACGGCAGTACCCTTTCCTCATGACTTGTTCGCTCCCCTAACGCACCTAGTGCCTGTAAAGCGCCTTGTTCGTTCTCCATCACCTTTTCTTCGTTCACCCCCGAAACACACGCACGCACAAAACACACGCTGGTTCTGCCGTACGACCCAGCAGGCGCCGACGTGTTGTTCGAGGACCCCTCCCGCCGCTCCACCAGTGTCGGCATCACGGTGAGCCCCGTCAAGGTGTCCTCCCTGGAGCAATTCGGGGGCCTGCGGGAGGTGGGCGACCGGCTGCTGCAGGCGGAGAGGAACAAGGTGGGCTGGGGGCAGCGGGAGGGAGCCGGGCGGGGCTGCTGCTGCTGCTGCAGACACGTGGTGGCTTATGAGGCAGTTGTGGCTGCAGACTGATACCGGTGCCTGAAGGGTGCGCCGAAGAGTGAATTGGCTGACCTGTCCCGTTTCCCTACCGGGGGCGCCTCTCTAACTGGGGAACTCCACTAACTGGGACCACCACCCTCCTCCCCTCTTCCCCCCGGTGTCTCCGCATGCAGGAGAGCACCCTGGACGTGGCGCTGCTGTCCGCCTCCTCGCGCCGCGGGGCCGCCGGGGCCACCCTGTACGAATACGAGTACGAACTGAACAGCACGCGCGGGCGCAAGCGCATCCTCAACACCGTCACCATCTTCAAGTCCAGGTAGGGGCTGACTGGCAGGGGCTGCTGGGCTGGTGGGGCGGGTGGCGGTGGTCGCGAGCATGATGGTGAAAACATGGAGGTGCGCGCATGGGAGGAGGCTAGTGACGTAATGAGGACCAACCCAACAAGGCAGACCGGCGGCATGGAGTGACTGTTCACGGTTGGCAGGCATGTCCGCTTGCGCGGGGATCTGGTCTGCTTGCGCACCAGCCTCGGAAGCAGGGGTGTGCCTCTGGGTGTGCCTGTGCCCGCTGCTTGACGCGCCTATGCATGCCGCTTTGACGTGAGGGTACCGGTTCCCCATGCATGGCGCACTGCTGCCTTCACCAGCGCCTTTCCCGCTCTGGGCGCAGGTTGTACATCCTGAATGCGGCCTACAGCTGCGGGCGGGAGGCGTGCGGCGAGGCGGCGCAGGGCGGCGTGCAGCTCCTGCGGCGGGTGGCGGCCACCTTCGATGTGACTGCGGGCTAGGCAGGGTACTTTGTGGTGCTTGAGGGCTAGCTGTGCTGATAAGCTATGGTGGTGGTGGTGGTTGTGTCTTGATGGACGCGGCACGACCCATGGGCCACACGTTCTTCAGGGCTGTGATACAGGTCGCAACATTGCTGTGCCAGAAAGTTCGGTGAGCTCTGACTTGGATGTACCATGTCCACTTAGCGCTGAAAGCGAGTCTGACACTTGGTTCAAGTTGCGGCCGTTGGACTCTGCTCGGTACGGTTCTAGGGCCACTTTGCACACTCAATGCATCCTCCCTGCATCCTCTAGGGCCTGTACAAGTTAGCTACGCGATACGAAGCCAGCGATGTATAGAGTGTTGCGAACTCGATCGATACACGTTGGAACTGTTTAAAAAATGCCCTTCGCAAAGCTTGTGGCCTTCACATTAATCGCCCTGCTGTTGCATCTTACAAGAACCACGAATGCAGCAACCAAGGTACGGCCCAGCCTCCAAAGCGAGCCCAGCTTTGCGGATTCTGACTGGCAACGGCAACAGCTCTCGGGCCGCATCCCGAACCGGGAGGAGCTCATGCGGCGGCCTCGGGTGGTGCTCGGCCACCTGGGGGAGGCCGACTGGGCGTTCATCGAGTTCCTGTGTTTCATGCATGCCAGCTGGCGATACGTGACCACGCTGGGCAAGGTGGGTGTGTGCCGCAACTGGGGTTCCCTCGCCCACTGGCCTGATGAGGAGTGATGACCCATGGGTCGTCCGCATCCTAAGCTTCAGTGAGCACCGTAGTCAGTTGCGTCTGTGTCCAATCCCTGATCCGCGTTGTACGCTGTATGTTGTCTTCTCTCCTTGCAGCCCTCCGGCTACCGTATCGACCTGCTAGTGGTTTCGGAGCCGCGCTGGCTGCGGCAGGCCAGCACCCTCTGCCAGCGACTTGACGACCTGGACCCGGACCTGGACCTGGGTGCAGCACACAGCAGCGAGGTGGAGCGCCTCCGACAGCTCATATTGCAGCCCCCGGCCTCCAACCCGAACGCATCCAGGTGCTGGGTGATGCCGAGCTCGGGGCTGCGGGTGCCCCCCGCGGTGCAAGGTCACAGCTGGCGGAGCGGCTACCCGCACGCGGCGCTCATCCAGCTGCTGGCGGATGAGCGGGTGGGGCAGGTGCTGGGGGGCGTGTACGGATACGCCTTGAAGACGGGTGAGGAGGATGTAGCCGGTGGATGCTGTACCGGACTACCGGTATGTGTGGCACGAGCGGTCACAATTACAAACTGAACGTGGATGCTGGGAGCGACGGAATATGGAAGCTTGCATGGACGCAGGGTGTAATGGTGACACCCCTCAATGCAGCCGCACCAGAGGCAGTGCCGTACTGTCAGTCCCGCTGGGTTGTGTAAATGGGTGCCCCCTCTCGGTGCCCAGCCGGCGATGCCCTGGTGGCGTTACATCTCACACGCTTGCTGTATCATGTACTGCGTGCAGATTTAGACAGCTTTCTGACGGCCTCTTTCATACACCACTTCCCACGGCAACTGGAGGTAGGCCGGGCTGGTGTCAACCTCCCTTGTGTGCGAGCTGCCTTTCCCTTAAGTTGCGGTGTTGGACGAGGGAGTACTCCTGTGCACATCGACTACTCCGTCAACGGCTGCGAGCGCGTCTTGAAACGTGTAACTCCCTCTGCAATGCGCTACCGGGGCGGCGGCCAATCTGCCAGGCTGCTGCCACTTAGGCCGTCATGGACCTACCCTACCAGTAGCAAACCGAATCCGTCTGAAACACCACTACAAGATCCCCAAGCACCCAGTAGAGCCTCAACCGCTCAAACCGCACTACCCCCCTCCCAACGCGTCCGCGCGCCCCAGCTGGGCCGAATGCCTCTCACCCCGCTCCTCCCTGCCGGCGCCCCCGCCCGCCTGAACCGCATGGCCGGCCGTCTGGGGCTGCGGCGGGGCGCTGGGCGGTACGACGCAGGGGCCACCTGGTACGGCAGCGCAGCCGGGCTGGCGGCGGTGGGGAAGGCGTTACTGCCGCTGCTATACGGCTTGCTGACTGAGGAGTACGGCAACTGGAATACGGCAGCCGAGGGAACAAGCATGGGGGAAGGAGGCGAGGTGTGAGGGTTGTCAGGGCGAGAGGTTGCTGTACACACGGCAATGCTGGTGGGCACAAGCCTGTGGGGGCACCGAACGGGTAGCTAGGAGAACTAGGGAAGCAGTACTGCTTGCGTTTTAACCAATGCATGAAGGCAGTAGGACTCCATGGAAGGCTAAATGGTCTTACGCCCTGAGGCGGACATGTGGGCCGTGTGGTACAAATACCGGTACCACTTGCTTCGCTGCCCACAGGGCTGGGCGGAGTGGAGCAGGGAGCTGGTCGTCTTGTACGGCACCAACCTCGCCCTCAACCACCTGCTGCTCGACACCTTCCAGCTCTCCAACAAGTGGGTGAACCGCTGGGGTACCGGCAAGCGGGGTGCCCGAGCTAGGCGCTTCCTGGTTGTCGGCTGGTGGTCGGACTAGCGGTGAAGCTGTACAGGCGGGTGCAAGCGCGCAACAGTGGCTTCACAGGCTTGGGGAGGACAAATGCGCCCAGGTCATGGAGGCAGGCGTCCTTTACTCACCCATGGCGCCTATTGCCAATGTCGCAACGGCCCCCCTCCTCCCAGGTACGATGTACCCTGTGACGTGCAGCGCTACACCTTCTCCCTGCTCCACACCCACTGCTGGCCGCCGGACGCGGGCAACTTCAGCAAGTACGAGTTCTTCGCGCACAAGTACTCAGACAGGTAGGCCATACGCGATGTGTTGGTGTTAGACTGCCGATTTCATTCCCTGGTACGGTGCTGCTTGAACATGCCTTGGAGTAGCGTAACCTCTTCCTTGTTTGCCTAACTTTGAGCCGTGTCAGCTAGGGAGGAGCGCAAGTGTTCAGCAGTTCCTCCAGGCTCTTGCGTATGCTTACAAGCCGAAACTTTCTTTCGGCTCTCCCACAGGGACCTCACTTCGGGCATCAACTTCCACCTGGTTCCGGACTACACCATGTGGCTGGCGGCCAGCACCTGGAGGCAGGTGGTGGGAATCAGGGCGGCAGCAGCCTGGGCAGGCAATAGGGAAGGTGTGGTTAGCGCTGCCGGTGTGGATGCCGGCGCTGGTAGGAATGGAAGAAGCGGACGACAAAACCTTGTGACGGCGGTGGGGCCAGGAAGCCGGGAGGGTGAGCTCTAGTGCGTTGCATCGGCTGCAGGGCGGTCCTCCCTTTAAGACGATGGCCTGCTTAGCAGTGATTGCTATGAAGTGATGAAAAGAAGCGAACAGCAGTATACATGTATGTAACCACTAATTTGCTGAAAACGACTGTGGACAACGGTTTCGCAGACAGGATCCAGGTTCCGGCCGGGCGCGAAAATAGCTGATGTTACTATGCGGCACTTATACAAACTTTCATGACCATTGGTGCTTATTTGGCTTGACTATCTTGACAATTCCATAGCAAGTTTCTTAGCGGGAAAGGGATAGAAAATGACATCTAACCTGGCTGACTCTTCAACAATCGAGCAGCCTTCCAAAAGCACCAATGATTGCTCGCGTATCCCTAAGCAGTTTTTTGGGCAGCCCTTCTTGCACCAAATCCTTACTACGCCTATGCCCGCTCCACTTGCGGGCGCGCTTGGCGCTGCTGGAGTAGCCGTTGTTGCTGGAATCATTGGCGCGGTAATTCGACGCAAAGCTTCAAAGAAGCGGATTGATTCCAGCGCTGCTGTTAGCGCTGAGCCTGTGGCAGAGGTTGCCACTGATTCCATTGCGAATCCTCCACAAGCACCTGATGCGGCAGTCGACTTGTCACCGTTTGGAAGCCCCGTCGGTAGCACACCAGTAAGGATCCCGCCGCTGAAGCGACGGGACAAAACCGTCGCCCCTGCAGCCTCAAGTGAGGCACCAACACCCACCGCACGAAGCGAAGTGCCTGACGACGACCAGTAAGTCTGCCTTACAGCTGCAACGCTCACCCCGTTGCACGTTCAGGATGGCAGGCTTGCGAGGAAGCTGGCGGGTGAAACTCCTATCGGTTTTCCCTGTTCCCTGCAGGTCTGACAATGCGTCTGTGCGGGACCAGCGGCAGACGCAACCACTCGTGGACGCTGCTCAGCTGCAGAAGACGCTGAAGCAGATGCAGGAGATGGCCGAGGAGAACCGCAAGCTCTCCGCCTTCCTGGCTGAGTACAAGGCTGACGCTGAGAAGGTAAGCGAGTTTTGCAGCGCTCACGCTACGTACCAGCATGGGTTTACACGGAAGAAACGGGCTAGGTTAGCAGCATCTTGCCTCAACACCGGGTCCACCCCGTTCCCCTCTGCCGCCGTCGTCTCCGCAGCTCTCCAAGCTGGAGGAAGAGAACCGGGCGCTGCGCGACGTGACTCGGCAGCTGGAGCAGGAGATGCAGGAGCTCAAGGTCTCCACCATGCCCCGAACCGGAGCCGAGCTGGAGGTAAGGCAGGGTTACGGGCGGGCCGCGGAAGGATGCGGTACCATAGTGGTGGAACGTCATGGGCGCTGGGCTGCAACGAGACCGCCCGAATGCATTCTGCTGGGCCTATGTGTGGTCGTTACATGAGTCCAGCCAGTCATTCTCGCCGCTTTCCTGATTGCACGCACTGTAGCCACACTGCCTCTTGTTAACCGCGTTAGCCTTGGTATTGTGTTTGCAGATGTTCAAGAGCAACCTCCACGCGCCCCCGGTCGCACGCAGCGTCTACAGCACCGACGACCCCGCCGGTCTGGGCATCAGTACGGCATCCGTGGACGGCGTCCACCCGGGTGCGTTGGGGCGTCGTGGTGGATGTATGCCCTCTTATCGTATGGCTGATGCGACACAAAATGTCAGCTGCAATAACCGGATGACGGGATAAGCCCAGGGCTTGAGTTGCTCTACGTCAGGGCACCAGGTGTTCATGGTTGCACACTACCGTGGTCCTCACCATAAATTCGTCCTTTTCAGGCCACATTCCCAACCACCCAAACCATCTACGGTACCCCCTGCCCACAGAGACGCGAGCCCGCCGCAACAGCCTCTTCAAGCAGCTGCTGGCCTCCCTGCAGGGCACCCCCAGCGCCGGCGTGTCGCAGGCCGCCACCCCCCGCAGCACCTCTGGTGGCGGCCACGCCCCCAGCACCGCCGCCGCCAGCTCCCGGCAGCGCAAGCAGCCGCGCCCCGAGGAGGCGGCCGCCATCGGGCAGGCGGTGTACCAGCTGGTGAGTGCGGGGTGGGGCGTCATGGCGGGGTATGTTTAATGGACATCCTGACATGGCTGGGAGACTTGATGCAGGGTAGGGTAATCTGGGGGTGGTTCCGGCGCCTGGTAGGGGCTAAGCATGAGTGGTAACTTCTAAGCATGAGTGGTTTGGTGCATGTATCATTCTTACATCCCCAATACGGTACCCACTCCATGTCCTCGCAGCTCGACTCTTTCGGCGGTCGCATGATGTAAGGCAAGCTCCATTCTTGAGGAGCCAAGGCGTGGCTGCGAGGCCCTATGTAGAAGCGCCCAGTGCCATCGGCCTTGGAAGGGTGCCTTGGATGCGCAGTGCCATGCTTGCGGTTCAATGTCTGGGTGTGCTGACAGCCTGCATGGTTTCTCGTCAATGTGCATCTGCATGCCGGGGTGGCGAGCTGCTGCGTTTACTGCTGGATGTGAATTCATCGAGGTGGATTGACTTTTAACTTGTATGCTGCACCTGGCCCATGGGCCCTTGCTTCTCCGGACCCTAACGGATAGTGGTAAGATGCCGTTTACTGTGTTTTACCGTGGCAATGCGATGGTGTCAAAAGCTTTAAATGCAATTCTGTTGTCTTGCGTGCATTTGCTGTTTGCGCGGGATGCTGCTGGATGGATTTACGACAGGGTGGACCGTTATGTCACGCACTACAAGATTCTTTGTATTCAGTGTAACACGCGTTTATCCTACCTGAGAACACGTTCGCCTCCCGTCTTACTGTAACCGATCATCGCGGTGCCACAGCACCAGGCAAGAAGCGCCCCCATGTTTGTATTGTTGTACGTGAATGGAGCTAGTAGGTAGAATACAATTGCATAGCGCTGCTGGATAGTACAGCGAAACCCTTTCCTTGAGTATCGCCATGGCGCGAAGCAACAAACAGCCCGTGTGGGCGCCGGCCTGGGCATTGGTAATTATACTGGTGATCTTGAACAGCCATATAGCAGCAATTTCCGCAAACATATTCAGCGGCAGGCAAGGGCGTGCTGTTACGGATGGCAGTGCGCATGGACGCCGCGTCTTCGCATCAGAGCTAGAGCGGCATGGCAACAGCACTTACCATCCCTCTTTTGGACTCTTTCCAAAGGGCTGTCGGTGGCGCTCTGTCACACACGACAACTCCTCTAAAGTAGACTACCAATTCTGGGACTTCAGTGCGGAAACATGGGTTGACCAGCGGCCCGCAGCCTGCGTGCCTACCACCTACCCAGCTCCCGGCCCACCGGGCTGGCGCTGGCACAACAACACGCCGCGCACCGAGGTCACCTGCGAGACCTCCCATTGCGTGTACACCAACATGTACTACAACAATGGGCGCTGGTACGCGCTGGTGGATGGCGAGCTGTTCATCCCCTCCTGGCGCTTCAGCCGCAATCAGGAGGTGATTCCCTTCCACGTGAAAAACGCGTCCGACTTCGCCGACTCGGTGCAGTGGCGGGTGGTGCCGGGGGACACCATCTTGTTCGACTTCATTTTCTTCATCCACCCGACCGCTATTGGCCACTGGTGGGAGATGCTGGGGCCGCTCTACAGGTGAGGCGGCGCCCCGCTGTGTGAGTGTGTTAAGAAAACTGGCCGCGAGTAGGAACGTACTGTGCGAGTGTGTGGGTGTATCAAGGAAACTGGCCGGAACGTGTGCCCGGTGGCGTTGCAAGTATACATGCAGCCAGCAGCGGTGTGCGTACGGAGCGTCAGAGAGGCGGTTCACGCTGGGCGGCCCCTCTCCTCTTCCTCCCTCCCTCTCATAAACATACTGGATATTAATCTCCCCCCCTCACCCGCACCCTCCTCCCCCACCCTCCTCACCCCTCCTCACCCCACCTCCCCCCCGGCAGCATCCTGAAGACGCTGCACTTCAAGCGCCCCTGCGACCAGTTCGTGCTGCTGCACCTGGGTCGGCAGCACCTGCTGGAGTGGGTGCGCGCCATGATGGCGGTCACCCTGGGGGTGGGGCTGGCGGAGGAGCTGCCGCCCATCATCATGCAGGAGGAGACGGACAACGCGTGGAACCAAATTAGTAAGAGGGGGCGGAACGGGGGTGGGGGCGGGGGGCGGGGTTGGGGAATGGGAGGGGTAGAGGCGGGTGGGTGGGAGGGTGCTGCTGCTGCTGCTGCTGCTGCGGATGCCGACCGGTTGGGTGTGAGAGGTCTGGGTGGGAGGTCTGGGTGGGAGGTCTGGGTGGGAGGTCTGGGTGGGAGGTCTGGGTGGGAGGTCTGGGTGGGAGGTCTGGGTGGGAGGTCTGGGTGGGTGGTTCAATCCCTGAGCCACGCTGAGAAGCACTGAACCCCCCCCGCACTCCCCCCCCCGCGCAGCCCAGCAGCTGACCGGCTTCTCGCGCGACACCTGGTACGTCTTCGAGCGGGTGCTCATCGTCAAGGTGGGGGGGGGGCCACGGGGAGGGGAGGGAGGTTGGGAGGGGCCAGGGGGGGGGAGGGTACGTGTCGGGGCGGCTGACCGGCTCGCGCACCTGCATGGGTTGCTGCTCTGCAGCCCCAACTGCCACCGCCTTCCCAGCGCTAATACCGGTGCGTGAAGGGCAGTGCTACTACTCAGCATCTCACTCGCCCTAACACGTCCCCCTCCACCCCCTTCCACCCCCCCCCCTACAGGACCTCTCCACGGGCGGCGGCCGCACCTTCCTCACCTTTGATGACGCGCGCGAGTTCCGCGAACACCTGTACCGGCAGTACGGTAGGCGGGGGCGGGGGGGAGGGCGGCAGGGCAGGGCGGCAGGGGGGGCACCTGTACCGGCAGTACGGTAGGGGGGAGTGATCGCGCCCGTTAGCTCGCACCGCCCTTCAACGTCTCCCTACCCTTCCGCTCCCCCCACCACCCCCTCCCTCCCTCCCTGTCCCCGCAGGCCTGCCCCCTCCCGCCCCGCGCCCCCACATCCCCCGAGTCATCACCTTCCAACGCAAGCGAGCCAACCGCCGCATCATCAACGAACCCGAGTTCCTGCAGCTGCTGGCGGAATTCGGGGAACTGAAGGTGGGGGGTAAAAGTTAGGGAACTGACCAAAGGTGCGGGGAGGGGCAAGTGGAGGAACCAAGTAACCGCGTAAAAAGGCCACCCCACCCAGACTAGGCTAGAGGCCGGGGTTCCTGCCAACCCCAACCCCACTCACGGGTCTCAAGGCATTGGGTTTCAGCTCCCATGTCCCCCCCCTCCTTTGAGATGCGTGTCTTTAGGATAGTGTCTCCGAATGCGCTCACTGCATGAGTCGGGATATGGGATTGGGACTCGTTGTTTCACATATTTAATTTTTCCCCCTCCCCCCCCCCCCAGGTTGTGGAGTACAACAGCAGCTCCTCTCTGTACGAGCAGCTGCTGCAGATGCGGCAGACCGGGGTCTACGTGTCCGTGCACACCTCCAACCTGGCCAATGCGCCGCTGCTGCAGCCGGGCTCGGCGGTGTTCGAGGTCATACAGGTGGGGGTGGGGGGCCTGCTGGGGGGTGGCTGGGGAGGTGGGGGTGGGGGGAGGTGGGGGTGGGGGGCCTGCTGGGGGGTGGCTGGGGAGGTGGGGGTGGGGGGAGGTGGGGGTGGGGGGCCTGCTGGGGGGTGGCTGCGGTGGGTTATATCAGCTGAGAGCCGCGATGAAGCAATGGCCATGACTTTGGGTGGCTGGGGGCGTGCCGGGGTGCAGCTGGGGTGCGGCTTATTGCGGCGGTTGTTGTCACCTACCGGTGTTACATGTCCACCGGATAAGTGACACCGCTCTCGCTACGCCTTCTCGCGCCCCTCGCCTGTGAGCCCTACCTGCCTCCCCTGCCCCCCCCCAACTCCCCGCCCCCCCGCCCCTCCCCCTCTCCCCCCCTGCACAGCGCAACTGGATGTGGAACGGGTTGGACCGCTCCTTCCGCGACCAGACCCACATGATGTTGGACATCCACCACTTCGCGTGGAGGGCCAAACACCTCAACGAGACCGTCTACCTCAATGAGAGGGACCTGCACAAGTATGGGGAGGAGGGGAAAATTATATAAGAAATGCAAACAAGTATGGGGAGGAGGGGGGGGATCGAGGGGGCAGGGGACAGGGAAGGGGCTATCAGTGCCACCATAACACACGACCGCCTTCTTCCTTTGCTCCTCCTCACTCATCCATGTTCTCCTTCAGCCTCCTATCCGTCCCCATGCTCACCCCGTTCCGCTCCGCTGCCTTCCACCAACTACCCCCCACCTCCTCCCCCCCAGGGTGGGCCACTGGCCTGCCGCCCAGTGCGGCACGGAGGAGTGTGTGGAGGCGCACACCAATGTGGATGTGGTGGTGGACATTCCCGCCTTCCGGGAGCTGCTGGAGGACCGGCTGCCGTACGTGTGGAGGGGGGCGAGCGTGCAGGAGGCGGCGCTGCCCTGGCCCGACTGGTAGAGGGGGAGGGAGGTGGGAGGTGATGGGGAGGGGGAATGAAGTGCGAGCTGCGTGCGGCTTGTGCGGAAAGCAATGAGAGCACTGCTGCGGCGGCGGCTCTACCGGTAGCTGCTGGTGAGAGGTTGTGAGAGGCTGCTGGTGGGGCGGTCTGCTGGGGCGGTCTGGGGACCGGTACGGCTTGAGGAGGAGGAGGTGGTGGTGGGGGAGGGGCGCTGCGGGGCGCGGAGCTGCCGTACTGCTGCTGCGGGCTACATTGGAAACCGTGGTGCGGTGGGTGGTGGCTGGTAGTGATGGGTGGTGGAGGAGATGCAGGAGGAGGACAGTGGAGGGAAAGGCAAGGTAGGGGAGCGGGCGGCAGCAGGCCTTACACGTGCAGGTATGGCTGATGGCCACCGCCCTCCTTCCTCGGCCGGGTGGACCCGGACCCCGCTGCCACATTGACCCCGCTGCGACGGACCACCCCCACCGCACCACCAAGCGACCGGAAGCCACATCTTCCCGAACCCAGAAGCCAGTGTGCAGGGGTTTAACTCTGCCTGACGGGTCAGCAGTGGCTCCTGTAATGAACAACAACCCATCATACCTTGGACCCCTCCCCGTCAGTAACACGCTGGCAACTGAAGCCAGAGGGCCAGAAGCAGCCCGAACACCGTTGTTGTTGGCAGCATCCATTAATGACAGCTGAGCGAACTATAATTCAATGCTTCCCAAGCGCAATGCTACAATACTCACACCCGGCGGCGACCAGACAGTGCAACCATAACAATATAGCCATGCTACACAGCGTATATGTATACCTGTAACCCCCAACTACAATATGTTGTAACATAACTTCTCCACCCATATCCGGTCTGCCCGCCACCTTGCCGTACATGGCCCCCGCTACACATCCCAAACTGCCCTAAGCACGGCGCCACCCTCGATCGCAGCACAACCCTTGTCCCTTGGGAGGCGGTTGGTACGGCGGGGCCCACATGGCTGGGCGCTCTGCCGCCGGCAGGGGTCCCCAGGACTGCAATATGAAGCCCCTCAGGGACCACCCGGGGGGGCGACCAGGGTACCGGCAGTGCAGCCCCATGCAGGCGCGGAGTTGCTATTAACCCTGAGCCCTTAGTCGTTACCAGATGTCAATTGGGACTGTCCGGCATAACACTGCAGCCCCGTGCACGACTGCTGAAGAGGACAAACAGCCGCAGCTGCCACAACCACAGCGGCAGGAGAGCCCCCGCTTGGGCCACAAACGCACACACACAACCTTCCGCCAGCGCGGTATACCGTATATGGCAACACCAGTACGGCATCTGCCGTGCAGTTTCTCCTTCCCAACGTACGGTGTCACAATGGCAAGGTGCCGTCTGTGATGACCCATGGGTCACTGGCAAGGTACCCGGCCTTTTGCTGAGGATTAATGTAAACCTGGCAAAGGACGAACAGCTACAACAGTCGGGCACGAGTATGAGGCTCAAGAGGAGCCATGCATAGAAAGCGCGTACGGCAAATTCCCGGCCGTACAACACGCACGTACGACAATATAGAACGCACGAACGACACTTCCCATGTGGAGAAACAGCAGCAGCAGTCGCGCACGTGGTCGAGCAGCCCAGCACAACATTACACGCTAGAGCCACACACACGCATATCACCTGCGAACCTAGCAGCTGCTAGCACCCCACTACAAGCGGAAAGCGCAGGGGAATGTTTAGGATGAGCCGAGAAACGCCGCCAATTGAGCAGTGTCAGAAGCAGTGTTCATCTGGAATGAAGGCCTAAAAGGACCTGAAGGCTGTCAGCAGTACCTTTTGAGTTTCCTTTGAACTATAAACACGGCCACCAAACCAGGACAAGAGCGCCTGAAGCACGGTAAGAGGCCTCATCCCGCCAAACACACCCCCACGGGGCCGGGGGGCAGTGCAGCTGAAAGACCCCACCTCCTAACAAGCGACAAGCCCGTAGCTCCCCCACACATTATCACCCCGCGGCCGTCCGCCGTGTCACGTTTGGGCCCACAAATACCCCATCCGGATCCCACACGTGCGGGAATCGCTGCTGCTGCCGGTTATTGGATTTTTATGACTAATGACAAACGCATCCAATCGGGTGATCCTCGAGAGGAACGGGGGACACCCCGCCACCTTGACACCACCATTCTTGAGCACGAGTGCAGCGACCCACATTAGTAACACCGAAAGAGGCGGTGTGGCAGCAGGGATTCGCACAAGCTGCACAAGTGTAACGCCGTGACGCCGTGGATCGACCACATGCGGTATTCCCCCAGCAGCAAAATGACTACACATACAGCAGCAAAAAAACAGTGAAAACACCCCATAACCACAACAATGCTTTTAGCGACAGACGTGCCAGTGCTAAGACACTACCCTACCACTGATGTAAACACTGGCCCAGCGGCCGATCTTTGAATAGCAGAGGACGCAAAGAGAGAACGACAAGGACAACACAAGTCGAGCGGAAGGAGTCGATCATGACATGTGAACTGCTGCTCTGCAACTGAACTACCGAAACAAAACTATACTGCCCCTGTTGCGAACAGTATACGGACTGTTTTTGTACGTGCAGCTTACAACTGCCAACCCCCACAGCCCAACAAACCACCCGGCACGTGGCCATTCGGCCAACCAAGCAATCAACGGTGTACACGCATCGAAGCATAATAAGCGATACGAAGCACATGCAATGGACCAACACGCACTTGGCATGAATCCTGTTATGACGACCATGATATTACGTGAGTAGATAGGAAACCTCCTTTCTTGTCCTCACCCCACATCTCGTGCAATGCTAGCCTGCTTGGAACTGACACGACCATCATGTACCCCACAACAAGTATGCATGCGCCATCCAACAGCCAACCAACCATAACGCAACGCAAATGCAGCGTCAAAGCCACAGCAGTCAGCACACCCCATCCCTTCTATGACAACCCACCCACCCAGCCCCCGCAAGCAGTACAAAGGAAGTACAGCCACGCCAACTTTCGATTGGGAGACCACTTAAGCCCTAACCCGGCCTAATAATACAACCTTTCCGGCACAGTGTGTGCCGTACATTACCCGAACCATGCCCGCGGTAGCAAGCCGGGCCAAACGATGCCCTCCCAAAACCACAGCCAGTCAAACCCGCAGCAACGGGCTGCGTCAGTTCTGTCGTACATCCAATGCGCAATGTGCCGCGGCTAGGATACCGTACTCCCCCCTCCCGGCCCTCGCGTGCCGAATTAGATACACGCGGGATCTGGATCCCCCAACCAACTGAACGACCAACCAACAACAACTGCAACCAACAAAACCATCTTACCACAGATGCATGCGCATAATCATGCGGCATGTGTACATGCGCGCGGAGCAACATGGCATGTGTACGTACAACCCATTTGTAAGGAGAGCGCAGACGTGGGCACAAGCCACGACACGTGCATTGCCTGCTCGCTAGGAAGTCCCAACACCACCAAAGCACCTCAGCAAAGGAATAAGTGGGTCAGCAATGCCTGGGCACGGTCAACAACATCAACGTCGCGGCATGGGTGTCAAGACCCTGACGATCCGTTTTGGACACAGCTCCCTGCCAGCTGCCATGCCGGCCTTTCTGACCAGCAGGCCAAACCATCCATACCCACCAACACACGTGGTGTCGAACCTGCAGCTACATATCCTCACTCGCTACAAGAAGAAGACGACATCACGGCCGTTGCCACACCCGTTCACCTCAGCACACAGGGGCTGGCATGCGCGGGTGCGCCCCCACAACCATCGCTGCCTAGCGAGGCAGCGGTGTGAGGGGGAGCGGCTGGGGTGAGGGGGCGGCGGTCGCAGCTGCTGTGGAGGAGGTGCTGGTAGGCAACGAGGCGGCCCAGCTGCCGCCCTGGTGCTGCCGGTGCTGCAGGGCCTCCAGGTGGCAGTGCTGGCTAGGCCGGACAGGCTGCGGCCGGTGCTCGTGATGCTGGTGCTGGTACTGGTACGGGTACTGCTGCTGCACGTCGTGATGTCGGTCGAGCTGGTGGTGGTGGTGGTCTTGGTGGTGGTGGAGGGAGCGATGCAGGTGTTGCTGCAGGCGGTTGGGGTGCGGGTGCTGCTGCAGGGAGGAGGGTGCAGTGGGGTGAGGGGCCGGTCGGTGGGCGGAGGAGCAGCCGCTGCAGGCGCTGCTAGGCGGACTCGAGGTTGTTGTTGTCAGGTTGGAGTCGGAGCAATCAGCTTGGCAGGAGCGCCAGCGCGGCGCGTATTGGTCGAGTATGCGTTGTACGGCGTACGGCGTAAGCGGCTTGCGCTGCGAAGGCAGATATGCCGGCAACAGAGAGCATTGAGTTAGGAAGGTAAGGATGTTTGGGCTTGCGCCTAACTTGGTATACTTCTTAGGTGGACCCTTGGGTAAGAGTATGGTGCCTACTAACTAGAGTTTGACAGAAGACCAGCATAAGCCTATCAACTCACCACGGCCCCATCGGCTCCGAGAGATAGCGCACGCTGGGCGACCGTCTGACCATCTTCGACTAAGTCATCCAAACATGAGGCTGTACAGACGACAACAGGAACGCGCAGGTACTCGGCGCCCTGTGCCTGGGACTCGAGCTCGCGGATACCTTTGGTAGCTGTCCATCCGTCAGCCACCGGCATTTGTAGGTCGAGGAACACACAGACTAGATGCGTCCGCTCCTGGCTATATACATCGATACACTGAAGACCGTTTTCGGCCTCAAGGACCTCGAAGCCAAGCTGCAAGGAAAGGGCCGATGGAGGAGTTAGGACAAGGGCGGTCAATGAAGCTAACCAGAAAACGTTGCAAAGAGTGTTTTGTATGCATGAGCCAATACCAAACGAGAGAACACGCTGCGTCCTGTTCCGACATGCCCGACATACGTAAGCCCGTTCGGGTAAGACTAGGTCCCTTTGTGCAAAAGTACCTTGCTGAGAATGGTGCCCAGGATGAGGCGGTTAACGGGCAGGTCATCAACAACGAGCGCCTTCTGAGGCCGCGCCATGGGGCCTGTTGCTAAGCCTGTTCCGAAAGATTAAGCAGCTTACGACAGCCCGTATGCTCAGTTAGGTGTGCCTTTGCGTAGAAAGTTAAGGAGGACGCGCTGCATATATTGTTGAAGGCCTCTGGGGGCTCGGCAGTTGGTTTAGTATAATTCACTATCTTGCAAATAGCAGGGCTTTGTAGATGAATATGGGTGCTGTCTATATAAATGTATTCCATACGCAGGATGAAGTGGCAGGTAGAAGTGCTTTTGGGTAGATAGGGAAAATCGAATCCCGTTACTCAATCATATCCCGTACAGGCGCAAGATACTTTGACTCATGTTTCTATGTTTCTACGCAGTTGATTAGAAAGTGAGCTACAACGCACCCTCTTAGTCTAACAATTGTTTCAGGGTAGGCATTCGTCCTCTGCGGCTTGCCTGCCGTTCCGGAACAGGTTGTGAGCACCAGCCAATAAATTAACGTGTTCCGCTTCGGGACAGAAAAACAGAATACTGCTTAACACTAACACCGACATCATGTAGGCGAGCTTTGTAATCCCGGTTGTCTGGCGGTTGGTCGTTAGGGTATGGCCGGCAATGGACGAGGTGATGCCAGGTCATCCGTATCTGGTACGCTTGAAGACGATTCTCCGAAGCGCCATCTAATCTAACGCTTAGGCTGTCATTGCCAAGATTCCATCACGGCAAGTCCGAATGCGCACGCAGGAACCTTTGTACCCATGAATGGATATTGCTTGCTTGCGAAGAAGGACCCAAAATTGCCGCCTCTTTGCGTCACAAGGAGAGTTACCGCGTACCGTTACAGAAATAACCCAAACTCTTCCTCCAATGGCTCCGAATGGCGGAACTTCCGTTTCAGGAAATGCCAAAGACAACGACCTTCAAGCCACCCGATTCATGGCATTTGAACAAGCCAACCCAGTATTCCATCTAGCAGCTCGCGCACTTCGTAACCCGTCCGAGCTCAAGGAGCTGCAAACGCGACCCATAACAAACTTTACCAAGCTGTCCCATTCATTCCTCCCTAATCTTACCTTACCAAAAGGCATCTAAAGTCCTTCCTAAAAGTCATCTAAAGCCCTCCTCTGCAAACCTAGCAAATCCCTCCACGCTATGCCAACGTCGCTCGCTTCTCCTTCCTATCTGGATCCGCTTGCTGCCTAGCCCCGGGGGCCTCCCTGTCCTGCCTAAAGCGCGCGTACAGCGCGGCCAGCCTCGCCGCCTCCGCCGCCGGCAGCGAGGGCCGCGCAGCCGCCAGGGCTCGCAGCAGGTGCCGCATGCATATGACCGGCCCCGCACCACCACCACCACCACCACCACCAGCCCCGCTCGCTGCTGCCCCCTCCATCGCCGCACCACTACCAGCGTTACCGCTGCTGCCACCGCTGCTACTACCACTACCACTGCTGCTGCTGCTGCCGACGTCCTGGCCTGCACTGCTGCCTGCAACCCCACCACTGCCACCACTGCCGCCTGCACCTGCTGCCCTGTCTCTGCCCCCTGCCGCCGCCGGCTGCCCCCCAGCCCCTGCCACCCCCTCCCCCTCCTCCCCAGCCGCCTGCAGCGCCTCGTTGATGGCCAGCAGCTGCGCCTCCGACAGCAGGGCGCCCAGGTCCGCACCTGAGGGAGGGGGAGTTGGGGAAGATAAGTGACCAGTGCGGCAACGGAGTCCCAAACCCCAAAGCCCGACGCAACATGCAGTGAGCGCAGCAACAGAAGGGAATGCAAGGAGGGTGGGGCGGGAGGAAAAGGGTACGCCGCAGGGGCACCAGGAGCCGATGGCACCCAGACTTGCTAACCCTTGCAGTACAGGGCCACCCTGATGCCGGAGCGGGGTGCGCCGCTCGCTGAAACGCCAACCCGCTCATCCAACACCCCCCCCCCACCCGCCCCCACCCGTCATGCCGGCAGTGGCCTCCGCCAGCCTCCGCAGCTGCACATCGCCCGACAGCGGCAGCCGCCGACTGAGCGCACGCAGGATCTGGGGGGGGAGAGGGGGAAGGGGGGGGGAGGGAAGGGAAGGGGGTCAGTGACCTCGGAGGCGTGCGATGTGGCATATCGGATTTGCAGTGCGGCCGCACACCCCTCACCAGCCCTAGAGCACCCTCCGCACAAACCCTCACCTCGCTTTTTCCTCCACAGCTGCACAACCCTTTCTCACAGCACCCTCTCCCTCCGCCTCCCTGCCCTCCCCACCCCCCCACCTCCAGCCTCTGCCCCTCCGTCTCCGGCGGCCCGCAGAACAGCAGTCGGTCCAGCCGCCCCGGCCGCAGCAGCGCCGCGTCCACCAGGTCGGGGCGGGAGGTGGCGGCCAGCACCACCACCCCGCGCAGCCCGCCCACCCCGTCCAGCTCCGTCAGCAGCTGGTTCACCACGCGGTCGGTCACACCTGGGAGGGGTGGAGAAGGGGGGAGGGTTGAGAGATAGGTTCAACCATGTGAAACACCCTCCCAAACCACACACACCCTCCCACGGGACATTTCCGACAATTTAGTATGTTCCTACTCGCGGCCAGTTTTCACACACCCTTTCCCCCCTCCCCCACCCCATTGCTTTGCCCTAACTTGTGGTCTCCTATGGTTTGGTATGGTCTTTGACCCCCCGGCCCCCACCCGTGGAGTCGTGCCCCCTCGGCGGCGCGATGGCGTCGAACTCGTCGAAGAACAGCACCGCGGGCGCCGCTGCGGCCGCCCGCGCGAACAGCTCCCGCACCGCCGCCTCGGAGGCGCCGATGTACTTGTTAAGCAGCTCGGGGCCTTTGACGGACAGGAAGCTGGGGGGGGGGCGGGGGAGGGGGCGGCAGGAAAGGGAGGGGGGAGGAGGGGAGGTAACAAGTGTGGAGGTGACAGGTGGAGGAGGGTGTCTTGCAGAGGTACGGAACGAGGAACCATGTGCCCCCATGTGGCAAGGCTCCACCACCACCATGTGTCGCAAACACATGAAGACACGGCTCCTCCCCCTCCTCTCCCTCCATCCAGCAACCCCTCCCCCCGCACACCCTCCCTTTCTTCCCCCTCCGTCTCTCCCTCACACATATTCTCCCCCCCCCTCCCCCCCTTCCCTCACCGCACGGGTGCAATCCCCGCCACCGCCGCCACCGCCGCCCCCACCACGTGCGTCTTGCCGCACCCCGGCGGGCCGTACAGCAGCGCCCCCGTGCGCAGCCGCAGCGGCGCCCCCGCCACCAGCCGCCGGTGCCGCACGGGCAGCAGCAGCGCCTCGCGCAGGGCGGAGACCACATGGGGCAGACCGCCAACGTCCTCCCAGCCCTCAGCCTGCAAGAAGGGGGGAGGGGAGGGGAGGGGGGTAGGAGGGGGTTGGGAGGGGGTTAAAAGAGGGTTTGGACACGGTGTAAAAGGTGAGTGCAGGCAGGAGGGTTGGGATAGGAGTAAAGGGTGACAGCGAGTATGGACAGCAAGCAAGGGAAGTACCGGAAGGGAAGGTGGGTGAGCAGCGACCCCCCCTCCTCCCGAAGCGACACCCCTCCTGCTGGCGTACCTTGCCCGCCACCGCTGCCGCCTGCTGCACCCCCCAGAAGGCGGCGGGCACGAACCCCTCCAGCGCGGTGCGCAGGTCGGCCTCCGTGACCGCCAGAGACACGGGGGCGGCGGGGGGCAGGGGGGGTGAGGAGGAGGAGGAGGAGGAGGTGGTGGTGGTGGTGGTGGTGGTGGTGGTGGTGGTGGTGGTGGTGGTGGTGGTGGGAGGTTGCAGCAGTGGCGGCTGGGGTTGGCGGAGCTGGCGGCGTAGGGCGTTATGGATGGCCCTGCGGAGGAGGTAGGGGGGAGGTGGGGAGGGGGAGGTAAGGGAAGTTGTTGCGGCTTGCGGGTATAGTGGGTGAACAAGACGGGGGGTTTTAACCCACCTGAGGAGCGAAGCAGTGCTGGCTTCATACCTCCAGCGCTGGCCGCCCCGCACGTACCATGTCCCTGATACCCCCCTGTCCCCTTCCCGCTCCTCGCCGCCCCCCCCCTCCCCACCTGTCGAGCAGCAGCCTCAGGTCCGCCCCCTCGTACCCCTCCGCCGCCCCCGCCACCGCCGCCAGCTGCCCCGCGTCCACCGCCAGCCCCCGCTGCCGGGCGGACGCAGCCAGCATGGCGGCACGACCCAGCGACCCGGGGGTCGGCAGCCGCACCTGGGAGGGGGGCGGAGAAGGGGGTGGTGGGGTGGGATTATTGGCAACCTTTCCACTCACCCTCATCCACACAACGCAACATAAGAGGCCACAAGATCGACAAAAGGGGCAACACAAGGGGCAACACAAGGGGCAACGCACGCGCTCCCGACCCCCACCCACCCACCTCGAAGTCCAGTCGCCCCACCCGCCTCAGTGCTGCATGTACGGCAGCAGCATCGCGGGCAGTCGCCGCAATCGCAATCGCTGGCGCCGCCGCCGCCATTGACGACGACGTAACGCCCGCCGGCCCGTCGCCCTGTACGGCCGCCGCCGTCGCCGCCGCCAGCTCGTCCATGAGTGTCGCCAGCCAGTCGGCGAGTCGCGAGGCGGCGGCTGCTCCCTCGGGGTGCTGCGTGCCGTAGTCGGAACCCTCCTGGGGGGTGGGGTGGGGGGCGGGTGGAACAGGCCGGGTGTCCCAATTGGTGGGTACACAGGGGCATGTCATATGTGACAGGCTTCCGGATCCCTCCTTCTGGTCAACTTATTTAGACAGCCCGTCCAAGACAGCCTGTCCTGCCCTTCTTGTCCCGCCCGCCCTCCTCTCCTTCCCTCCTTCCACAGGAACTGTGATTCCGTCACTGCGGTTAAACACACACACATCCCCCCTCCCCCGCCCCCTCCCTCCTCCCCCTCACCGCCGCCGCGGGGCACAGGGTGTCCAGGTCGTCCAGCAGCAGCAGGCAGGGCGAGCAGGACAGTGCCTGGGAGGCCAGGGAGGCCAGGGCGGAGGTGGTGGAGCCGTGGGAGCCGCCTGAGGGGGGGGAGGGGGGGAATCAAATAAGGGGAACAACGAGTCCCAATCATGAGGGGGGGAGAGGGGGGGAGGTCGCGGGGTGGGGTTAAGTGGGTGAGTGGGCGGGATAAGGGAGGCGGCTGTCGGTGAGGACAGGGAAGCCCCCGTGTCCGGCCGCGTGTGTGTTTCATACGTCCCGTGCTTCCCCCCCCCGCATCCTCCCCCTCCCCCCTCACACCCACCCGCCAGCTGTCCGCAGCGCACATGCAGCACGTGTGCTGGGCAGCAGGCGGGGCCCGGCAGCCGCTCCGCCACGTCACCCAGCGCCGACAGCAGCTGCGAGCGACCGCTGCCTGGGGGGGGCGCGTGGGCAGGGGGCGGGAGGGGTTGGGGAGCATATCATAAGAGGGTACTAAGTGTAGGTAGACTCGCAGCGGTTGCACGACCAAAACGTAATAACAGGACGTACCACACACACACACTTCACTGGTTCAGGTTCGGTCACCTCTGTTTTGTCTGTTTTGCCTGTACTCGCGGTTCACATGCGAACCTATCCCAACTGCTTGCTTTTGTCCTACTCAACTACACACACTTCACTTCACCTGTGGCGTTTTCGGTGGGAGGACTTCATCTTTCGGCAATCACAGTACGTTTCGCCTCGCGGCCAGTTATTTTAACACACACACTTCCTCGCACCCCCGCCCCTCACCGGGCTGCCCCGTCACCAGCACGCCGCCGCAGCGGGGGAGGCCCGCTGCCGCCAGCGCCGCAGCGACCCGTGGGTCCAACTGCGGCAGCAGCCGCCGCAAGCACCGCTCCAGGGGCTCCTCCAGCCAGCTGATGTGCTGCAGATCCAAACCCAGATCCAATCGTCCGAGATCCAATCGTCCGAGATCCAATCGTCCGAGATCCAAGGCTGCTGCCGCTGCGGGGGAGCCCTCCGTGCGGGCCACCGCTTCTTGTCCCCGCCGCCCCGCCTCCTGTGCCATCATCGAGCATGCGTTTGCTGCTGCTGCTGCTGCTGATGTTGATGATGATGGCTCGGGTGTATCACGCACGGCCGCCGGCACCGCTGAACAAGGTCTTGCGGGGCTGACCAGCGGCGGTGGTGGCGGCAGCGGCCGCGCCGACAGTACGGCCGCATGACGCGAGGCGGCGTACGACACCTCCTGCAGTACGACAGGCTGGCCGAGCTTGACTGCCGGGGGGTGCGGCCTGGATGCTGCTGCTGCTGCTGCGCGGGAGGCAGCAGATGTTGGGGGTGCTGCCTGGGTTGCGGGGGAGGAGGCGGGTGGTGCGGGTGGAGCTGAGGTGGGCAGCCAGGCAGCAAGCATGCGCTGGGTGATCAGCGGGGGCAGTTGGGGGGGTTGTGGCGGTTGGGTTGCAGATGCACTGCCCTGCTGTACAGCAGCAGGCGTGGAGGTTTGTCGTACCGCATGCACAAGCAAGCAGTAGTCCCCCGGTGGTGCCGACGTCATAAGGCCTCCACCACCACCTCCGCCTCCTAATCCGCTGCCGTTGCTGCTGATGGCAACTGCTGTTGGCACGCCGCCCGCAGCCGCAGCTGTTGAAGTAACGGTCGCATGAATACGGAAATGGACAACCATTCCGGATGTTAGCGGTAGCAGGAGCCCTGGATCACTGCCTCCCCCACTGCCGCCACCACCACCACCATTGTCAATCGCGCTGACCCTCTCTTCCGGGCAGCCACAGCAACAACTGCACGACAGAACGGCCCGGCGAATACCCTCCATTTGCGCCGCCAGCCACTGCTGTACGGCAGCTGTCAGGTCCTGAGGCTGTACGGCAGGAAGCGCTGCCGTACTCGCAACAGACAACAGCGCTACCTGGTGGTACGGCAGCCCGTCCTCAGCCTGCCCACCCGCGGATGCACTGCTGCCTGTTCGGACGGCGGCAGCGGCGCCTGGGGCCGCTGTGGCGCCTCCGCCACCGCTGCTGAACCGCAGCTCCGGCACCGGCAGCGGATGCAACGTCAACGTTGGCATTGCAGCCGCCTCCGCCGCCTCCGCTGCATCCGCCGCCAGCGGTACCGCCGCCGCCGTCACGTGCATGTGCGGCAGCACGCACAGCACATGCTGCAGCGGCGGCGCCAGCATGACATGACCCACGGGACACGAGGGATCCGAAACCAACACGCCCAGAACCTCCCGTACGGCACCGCGGCCGGACAGCCGTACCAGCGCCCCGTTTGCGATGCCGCTGTCTGTGTCCCCTTCGTCCTGGAGCCGTGCTGGAGCCATGCCCAGCAACGCAGCAGCCGTTGGCGGCGCTACGGCCACCGCCAGCGTCAACCATGTGGTCACAGCAGCAGCTACACCTCTCCCGCTGCTGGGGGCTTGCTCCTCAGGAGGTGCAGATGGAGGTAGGCGAGGTGAGTCAGCGGGCGGCGGCAGCGGTACCAGGTACCTAGCGGGCGGCGGGTTCAGCACCCGCAGCTGCAGCGGCTGGGGCACCAGCGCCGCCAGCAGCTGCCGCCGCCGCTGCTCCCGCTGTTGCTGCTCTTCAGCGTGTGCTTGTCGGCAATCCCGCTCCCCATCTTGTCCAGGTGGCTGCTGCTGCCGCTGCTGCCGTTGCCGCGTGTCCTGATGGTCCTCCGGGGCTGCCGGGAGGAGGCTGCTGGCCCCCTGCGGGCCGCTGCACCTGCTGCTGCTGCTGCGGTCGTGTGAGGCATGCAGCGGCGGGGCCGGCAGCAGCGAGGCAGGAGGGGCAGGATGGGCTGGTGCGGAGGAGGGCGGCGGAGGGGGAGGTGCGTCTGTGGCGGGGCTAGCGGTAGCGGGGGGCCCCGCCGCAGCCGCAGCCACCGCAACGTGAGCCGCTTTGGTCGGCGATGAGATGCAGGAGGAGGTGGCGCACACAGCGGCTGCCTGGGAGGCTGCATGTGCCCCCGGCCCCCTGCCCACCCCTTTCACTCCACTCATTGGGCCTACAGCTGCACTGACAGCCGCAGCAGCACCACCACATGCGGCCCCAGCGGCGGGGGAGGGGTCCAGCGGTGCCCCGACAGCCCCGCAGCACCCCTCACCACAAGCAGCCGCCTGCGACCAGCTGCCCGCCCCGGCAGGGCCCGCCCCTGCAGGAACCTCCCCGAATGGACCTTCCACGGCAGGACTCGCCCCTGCCGGCGCCGCACGCTGGGCTAGAGCCCGGGCGGTCGGAGTGCCGGAGCCCGCGCTACCAGCCCGGCCGCTGCCGCCACCATTACCGTTGGCTACTGCTGCCGCCGCCGCCGCCTCCACCTCCGCCACCTTCTCTGCGACGCTCTTTCGGCTCTCCACCACGGGTTCCGGAGCCGGTCGGCCCGGGGGCGGCTTCTCTACCTGCCCCGCCCACGCAGGCCGCGCCTGCAGTCCCGAGCTGCCCCGGTCCCAGGCCTCCGACCAACTGCCAGCGCCAGCGCCGCCGCCGCCAGCAGCGCTGCTGCTGCTGCTGCTGCCGTCCTGCAGACGTGGCGATCCAGATCCGTAGCTTGCGATTCCATTCGCGTAACTGCTGCTGCTGTTCCCGTTGCTGGCGGAATGGCCCCACGACGCGTAGGAGGGCAAGCCTCCAGTCCGCCTCTCCTGCTGCTGGGACTGCTGCTGCGGTCCCTGGTGCTGCTGCCGTGGCAGCAGCCGCCCGCTGCTACCGCTGCCGCTACCATTGTCACTGCTCGTCAGTGGGACTACCACCGTCTCCTCGCCGCCTCCTGCCGCCCCAGCGGCAGCCCCCCGCCCTCCAGCCCCCGCCCCCGCCCCCGCCGCCCGCTGCCGCTGTTTGGGCGCCACCCTCAGTTCGCATCCGGCCACCAGCCGCACCAGGTCGGTGGGCTGCGTGGCGGTCACCCGCAGGCGCACTGCCGCACCCGCGCGGCCGTACACGGTGAAGGGCTGCCCGCGAGCTAGCACACCCACCTGGGGGGGGAGGGAGGGGGGAGCAGGGAAGCGGTGCACGGGAGGGGGGCACACGCATAGGGGTGGGGGTGCAGCTGATGCGACGTCGGGTGCAGTGAAAGTACGCGGTGACGGAGGCTGCATGGGGGCTGCAGTGCAGGTGCCGTGAGGGGGCCACACCGCCGACCAGTCCGGCCACCAGTTGGGCTCCGCATGTTCCGCAGTGCGGGATGGTCCGGCCACCGTAGTCAGCTTACAGACACCCCGTTCTGGTAGGTAGCAGTAGAAATACCAGAACAGCCTTCCCACACCCACCCACAGTCGGTTCCTCCCCCCCTACCCGCCCCACCTGCTCCGGAATGTGGTCCTCCAGGAACCCCGCGTTGCCCGCCACCACCTCCCAGTCGTCCGCGCCCGCCGGCTCCACCTCCACCACAGTGCCCGCCGGCACCCCCAGCAGCGGCACGGCATGCACCGCCAGCCCCGCCCGCAGCCCCAGACACCCCGCAAGCGCCGCGGGCAGCCCCAGCAGCCCGCCGCCACCCGCGCTGCTGCTGCTGCCGGAGGAGGCGGCAACAGCGCTGCTGCTGTACGGCAGTACGGCTCCGGACCAGGCCACATGATGGGTTGTTTTGGAGGGCAAGCCTGGGGGTCCGGGGGAGGCGGTGGTGAGGGGTAGGGGAGCGGGTGGTAGGTGCGGGGATGAGGGAAGGGTCGCAGGTGCGTGGGTCATGGTGTGCCGTGAGGCGTACCTGAGGCGTCCAGCACACGCAGCTGAAGGATCACGGGCAGCGTTTGCAGGTTGAGGAGCTGGTTGGCCAGGTGGCTGGAGATGCTGACCCAGTTCGAGCGCTCCTGAAGGGTTACGACTGTAAGGCGCATAACCCTACGAAGGCAAGGAGAAACGACCATTGTCAAGAGGCCGGCTGCACAGATGCACCGCAGCACGCAGCTGTGCTTGCGTTAGTCAAGAAGCAACACATGATCGCGGCTCCGAGCGCCGAACCGCACCTAGCGGGGTTACCGCTCCTGGACATGCTTTCTACAAACTCCATGGCGGTGTTTATTGGCTTATATATTGGCGTATGCAGCTAGACTTTTAAGACAGCTTAGCGGCCGCCGCCCATAGTGGTTAGAAGCTATTCACACAAGCACAGAAAGCAAAGCTATTCGAAACTTGGCCATACTGATAGCGAAACGTTCCAAACCGGAGGCAAGTGAACGGTTAGCGCTGGTCTCAGCTGCCAGCGCTGAACATAAAGATACCGAAAGTCTATAATAGGCGCGCTAGCTAATTATAAGTATGCTTCTGCGCACTTGAGAAAAGGGGTAGCCAAAAGCACTGAGCATGTTTGTGCTGCTGCTGACGTGGACCTTTACTTCAAGCAAGGAAGTCGCACCGTCTTCAGCAACACCTGGCATACAGCAACAGCTAGGGAGCACAACTACACAATATACAGCAGCACAGCACCAACGTGGTGTACGGCACAATCGTAAGATGGTACGTGGGATTTAGGTCTGCAGACCGCAGGCATGGACGGTGGGGCGACTTCTGCTCAGCCGACGACGGAAGCATAGGAGGGCGAAGGACGGCTGCGTAGGCTGTATGATGATTAGCCCCTTGCGACGCATGGAGGGGCCATGGCAAGAGTGGAGGAGGGTGATAGCGCGGCATGATGATGTGCGGTGCTCATAGCTGGGGCTTTCGTACAGTTGGGTGTCCACACTGATAGTGGGGCATGTAGTGAGGTATGCAGGCCTTGGTTCAGGGTGCTAGGAGACAGCGCTGCATGCTTTGTCCAATGTGTGACCGGCAGCGGTTGACAGTATGGATTTCGTACAGAGCTGAGCTACTGCATGCTCTGCGTGCCGGGGAGGAGGAGAGGGATACACGCAGGGGCGCCGGCCACACAGGCGGCATGAGGCAGAAAGCAGGCCGCCCACTGAGCGTTGGCTGCGGGACGCCGACCGATGAGACCTATTCAGTAAGGTGCTGCTAGCACATAACCGCTTCATTGCATCTTAGATAGCGATATCAATGCCTCGTTGCCGATCGTAAGGTAACGAACGAGCGTTCCAGCACTGCCCGCAGCAAAGGGATCCTGCAGAAGGCATATAAGCTACGATGACAAAACGTGTTATCACCGGTTGTTGGTCGGCGTATAGGGTTGGAAGAGGCGATGCGGCGCGGCTATTAGCTGGCATGCGCGTCTTCCTGTGCAGTTTAACACCTTTAATCTGCGAGTAAGATATGAACTATCCTTAGCTATAAGGGACACCCATGCGGTAAGCCGCAGCTCGGACGTTGGCTCCGGTAAGCCTAGCAGGAAGACGTCACGTTGATAGAACTATACGCCGCGTACGGTCAGATATAGCACAGCGGCTTGGCCCATGTTCTGGCTATCAAGGGGCCCAGGGATCACTAGTAACCGTATTAGTCGGACGAGCACGTGGAACGTACTTAGAGAAATTCAACCAGGAACCGTTGATTGCGCAAAATGTTGTTACTGCCCAAAGCTTAATGTTCTTGTCGCTGCAGCGTCTACCTGAATACGCTCCAATGGTTTGCCAATGAAGTTGTAGTATCGACGAATCCCAGCCAGCTGGAATGTCCTCACTTCAAATATAGCACCCGTCTGCAGTTCATACATCCTTTCATTACTAAATTTTACCTTCATCTGGCAGGCAGCTAACATTCGCGTTTTTGCTCGGGATGCCGCTACCTAGGATGGCGATAGAGCGAAGAGCCTTGCTAGGCTTCAGCATTGACGTGGCGCATGGTGTAGCCCTCTAGCTTATAGAGACCTGGATATTGCGATTATGGCGGTGAGTAAGCCCGCCACCATGTAACACCTGCAACAAAAGGGTTACATTTGTTACCTGTTAAGGCGCGTCTAAAGGCTACTGGTGTTATCACATAGCAATAACAACTGTCCTCGACATTTGTTTTATTATGTCGCACCGTTCCCGTTTCGCCAACCTTCGCCAGCTGGTATTCATTAAGTCCCTCGTGGCATCAGCATAGCTGTGGTATCTATAGAGTATAAGTACGAAGAAACATACAAAAAATAGCGCGTCGAATTCTTGCACCGGCTAGACTGTCGTCTCTTACGGCCACCATCCTACTATCCCGCTTAACCCTAGCCATCAAGCTCGAGCGGAACCCACGCTTTCCTGATCCAGCTCATCCTCCTCCTGGTACCAAACAATCCCCTTTATCCCCTTCCCTATAATGATCGCAGAACCAACAATTCTTCGGCCTCACGGCCGTGGACATGGCGGGTCCCCCCACCCCCCTCACCCCGGGGCCGCCACCCACGGAACCCGCCTTCCCACCACCTCCCGGCACTGCCTCCCAACCACCAACCGCCACTTCCCAACTACCAGACATCCAGTCAGCTTCCGCCGCCGCCTACATCACAGAAGTAACAACCACCGCCCCAACCTCCGCCGGCAGCCCCCGCGGCGGCCCCACACCCCCGGCTCCCTCCCAACCCCAACCGCCGCCCTCCCGCGGCCCAACCAAGCCGCCGCCCCTCACCCCCGTGGCCGTACCTCCCGGCCCCGCCCCTCCCCCTCCCCCCCCGCCAGCACCCCCAACCCCCCCTAGCACCGCCGGCACTCCCGCTACCCCCACCACCCCCTCCCTCCCCCTCCCGCTGCAATCCTCCCGCGGCCGTCTACCCCCCATCAGCAAAGATGGCACCCCAAACACCGCCGGCGCCAGCAGCAGTAGCGCAGGCGGCTCTGGCCTCCGCGGCCTCAGCAACGGCAGCAGCAACGCCAACAACCCCAACCGCTCGCCCGACCGAGACATCGCCACCGCCTCCTCCTCCTCCGCCCCCGCGTCCCGCTCCTCCAACCGTCGCAGCACCAACAACCTCCCGTCCACGGGCCAGATGGGCTCCACGCCACCCTCCCAACAGTCGCAGCGAGCGTTACAGTCGCGCAGCAGCGCCGCCGCCACGCCACTCGACCCGCATCGCGACTCGCGGCAGTTTGACGGTCGCGACCTGCACGACCTGGTGCGAGTGAGCACGGAGGACTATCGTGACGTGGCTCGGCTGCAGCGGATCGTGCAGATGGCGCTGGGGGGGAAGAGCACGGAGGCGGCCAAGGCGGAGGCGCTGCTGCTCGTGAGGGAGGTGAGGGGGTTAGGTAAACTGAACAGGACAGGGGGGGGTGGGAAAGAAGGGTTGGGAAAGGGAGGAAGTGAGGGGTGGGAGGTGGAGGGTTGCTAGGCGGAGTGAGTGAGTGAGGGGGGCGGATGGGTGGGCCTGCAGGCAGGGTGGGGGTGCTGGGTGGGGGAAGAGAGAAGCCGTTGCATCAGCAGGGGGCCAGCGCAACAAGGAGGGCTAGGCGCCTGGTGACGGGTAGGGGGGAACCGTCACAGCCTTCACACCCTCCCTCCCTTCCCTCACCACCTCCCTCCCCTCCCCCCCTATGGTATGCTCTTTGCCCCCCCTCCCCCCTCCCTTCCAGGCCTCCATCCAGAACCCGCTCTTCATGCTGACCCCCACCATGCTGCACCTGGTGCTGCAGCAGCTGCACGGGCGCAACCGCCTGCTGCGACCCGCGGCCGCGTACGCGCTGGCGGGGTACGCGGCCAACAGTCGGCAGGGGCGCGGGCTGATGACCATCAACCTGCGGGCGCTGCTGCCGCGGCTGAACGCCATGCTGCGGTGTCGGGTGGACTCGCTGGATGCAAGGTGGGGGCTTGGGGGGAAAGGGGGTGTTTAAGGGCATGCGGTTCGTAAGGTTGTCATTCTTCACCGCAGGCTGGGCAAAGCCCGGCTGGCGTTTTGGTCAAGTAACAAATACGATCCTTCCAGAAGGCGGGCTGTGCGCGTGTATTAGCTCTAGGATTACTACGGGTATCCAAGTAGTAGGTACCATCAAATAAACTATGACTGACTTAATGAGCCATTCGCAGTTTCACAGTGCAAGCAGTTTATACTTAGATACTAAGGCATGGCTTAACCTTTGAGACAAGCATATGACTACTTGCAGGTTCAACCTTACGTTGCACAGCCCTCCACAGCAAGGCATAGCTTTCCCCCTTCCTGGTCCCGTTGTCCCCTCCTCGCCTCCTCTTCCGCCTCCTCAGCTTGTCCCATCCTCCTCCCCCCCGCCACCCCCCCTCCCCCCACCCTCACGCAGGTACGCCTCCCTGGCAGTTGCCGCCGCCTGCCTGCACCCCGAGAACAAGGAGCTGGTGGGGCGCAGCGGGGCCATTCCGCTGCTCATGGGCCTGCTCAGGCAGAACATGGGCAGGTGGGGGAGGGGTGGGGGCGGGGGTGGTAGGGGGGGAAGTTTTTAAAAGTTAAACATCGAGTCCCAATCCGGGGTCGGGCTATGGGGCTCTACTGCTCATCCTGCCCGATATGAGTTTTAAAGGGTGTTGGGGAAGGCGAAGGCGCAGAGGAGGCTGCTTCTCTGCATCTCACGCGCTGCCCTCCCTAAGCCCCGCCTCCCACCTCCTGCCCCTCCCCCCCCAGGCACTCAGCAACTTGTATCATTATCATACCACACTTTGGAATTTCTTTTTTTCCCCCCAGGCACTCCGCGGGGGCCTACGGCGAGGGCTGCCTCACCGCCGTGCTCTCCCTCACTCGCTGCGACTCGGGCAGCGGGGAGGAGGGCGGCAGTGGCGGCAGTGGGAGGCACCAGGCCGGCTGGGAGGGCAGCAGCGCCGCGGCAGGGGGGGCAGGAGGGGCAGGAGTAGCAGCGGGCTCTGTTGGGGGCAGCAGCGGGCCGCCCACGCACGGCATGCATTCCCTAGGCGGCTGCAGCCTGTCAGCGGAGGATAGCGGGACGTACAGTACGGCAGGAGGAGGGGGGTGGTTCCCGCCACCGCCGCCGTCCTCGTCCCATGCGCCGTCGGGGATCCACAGCGAGCGGCCGCCGCCGCCGTCACCGCCGCCGACACAGTCCCAATTATACCCCGGCGGGGGCGGCGGCGGCGGCGGACTGTCGATTGCGGATCTGGTGGCGTTGGAGCGACGTGGGATGTCCGCATCGCAAGTGCCCTTGTACGGCGGCGGAGGCGGGGGAGGCGCCGCAGCAATCGCGGCCGCCGCCGCCGCTGCCGCGGCGGCTGCCCCCGCCACTCCGAGCGAGGGCAAGGGCACGTACGTGTTGATCGTGAAGCCGGCGGCGGCGCATGCGGCGGCAGCGCTGGTGAACCTGGCGGAGCTGCCGACCAACCGGCAGCGTATGCGGGACGCGGGGATAAACTCGCTGGTAGGGTGATTGGTTTGTTGGGTACCGTTAGTTGGTTAGTTAGTTAGTTAGTTAGTTTCACGTGTGCACGCATGGCGCCATGTGTTTTAACGGCTGGGGAATGCTGTAACCTGGGGGATGCGTGCGGTCTAGGTGTGTAGGTGACCTACTCTTCCTCCCGTTCACCCTCCTGCCCTCCCTCAAGGTTCCTGCCTCTCCCCTCCCTCCCCCTGCCCCTCCCCCCCCTGCCCCTCCCACCCCAGCTGGAGGACGCGCTAGCCAGCCGCAATGACAACTGCATCAAGGAGCGCTGCCGGCTGCTGGTGGACCTGCTGCAGGTGGGGCGGGGCGGGCAGTAGAGGTTGGGGATTACGCATTCGGCTGGATTTGGGGAGGGAGGGAAGGGAGAGGAGGGGAGGGGAGGTGGGTTTGGAGCGGACAGACGCAGCGGAAGGCAACTGGAAGTAGTAAAAGGACGAGTGCTGCTGCCGGGGGGGGAAGGAAGCTTGAGTTACTTGTTGGGGTCCAGCCAGTGCTGCGACACTGGCGGCCCTTCTATACGGGTGCCTGCAGGTGCCCCCTGTTTCCTCACCTCACCTCACCTCAGGCTCGTCCCCCCACTGCCTCTCAGCACCCCCCCGACCCCCCACCACACCTCATAGATGGACACCGCCCGCTACCGGGAAGCCAAGGCCGAGACCGCCACCGCCGCCTTCGCCACCTTCACTCACGCAGCCATGTCGTTCGGTCGACACACCCTGGCAGCACACCGCGCCGCCGCCGCCACCGCCTCCCACGGCGGGCCCCCCGGCGGCCCCTCCAACCGCAACTCCCTCACCTGGACCCTGCTCAAGCAAATGGACCGAGCGGAGGAGGAAGCCGAGCGGCTGCAACATCTACTGAACAACAGCACAGCGGCGGCAGCAGCGGCGGCGGCCACGACGGGTAAGGATTCCGCCAACGGCGCCGGAAGCGGAGGCGGCGGCGGCGGCGGAGGCGGAGGCGCTCTGTCCTCCAGTTTGTTGCGTCAACACACCTCGACTGGGTTGCGGCCGCCGGGGACAGCGGGGGGCGGGCTGTCTCGCGCCGTGTCCCTGGCGTCGCGGCGCGCAGCCACGGCGGGCTCGGGGCCGTCGCCGGTGCTGGCGGCGGCGGCAGCGGCGGCGGCGGCTGCCGCCACCGCGCCGACGTTGTCGAGCGAGGTGATGCCGAGCGTGGTGACGTCGCGTGTGGGGGTGGGGGGCGCGGTGGTGACGACCACTGTGATCACCACCACAACCACAACCACCACCGTTGGGGCCGCCGGTTGAGGTGCTGCAGTGGGGGCAGTGGGCAGTGGGGAAAACGAATGAACAGTGAAGCAACGGAGTCCCAATCCCATATCCCGACTCATGCAGTGGAACGGGGCAGGGGTGTCTTGTGCGGGTGGGTGGGTGGGTGGACGCTCTGGGGAGGTGCCCTGCCTGGGGGCCCAGCACTGGGCGGGGCGGCAACTGGCGCGCGGCAGCAGCAGCAGCAGCGGCAGTAGCAGCAGCGGCTGCTGAGCCGCGGGGGGGGAACCAGAGGCGTGCCCGCCCCAGCCGCTGCCGCTGCAGCCCCGTGTTATAGCTGTCTGAAGGGTTTACTAGAGAGAGTTAGCGCGAGGGGCTTGAGAGGGGGGAGAGCAGGAGAGCGTGAGGGAGAGAAGGGAAGAGAAGGCGGGGGGAGGTGGGAGGTGTGTCATAGTGAGGTCGCTCCGGCTGTGTCTTGTTGGCGGCATGCAGCGGGGCAAAAGCCCCCGGACACATGCACATGCACACGCGCGCGTCGCGACCAGTTTTCTTGCCATAAACTTGGAGGTAGTGAGGTGGAACCACCCGGAGCCGCCCCTGGTGTGCAACAGGACGGGGCTCTTTTCCTGCTGGTCAGGGATGAGAGGTTCTATAGTCTCTGGAAACTGAATGCTGGTGTTGTGTGGGGAGATGCGTGGGGGGGGGTCACTGCGTGCGTTATGTGGCTGCGCTAGTTGCGCTAGTTCCCCCGGGCACTGCCGGGCACTGCAATAAAGACGAAACAGGCATCAGGGCCTTGACTGCCGACCCACTGGAGCTCCACCTTGGGCATATTACCTTGGTGTGAGCGGTTGGGATGCCCGCCGTCCTACACGGCTTGCGTACTTTGTCAGAGCGTCGCGTCGTCCGCAGCCAGTCAGGAGGGTGCCTGCGATGATGACTAAGGAGTGTTGCGCCTAACGTTCTCACGGCGTTGGCAGAGCGCGCGCGTGTGTGTGCATGTGTTAAGGAAACGTGTGAGTGTACGTGTAGAGCAGGATGACGTCGTTTGTAGTGATCTTGTAGTTAAGCTCGTAGGTATGATGTAGGCGTGGATGTAGGTATTAAGGGAAGGCAGTTGAGGTCAAACGGAAGAGTACCGCGGGGAATACCTACCACGGGTGTAGCTGCAGCGGCGGAAACCGCTTTCTCGTTCCGTACGGATGGACGGTGACATGGGTACGAACGATGCGTTTCCAACTCCTTCACAGTTGTAGCACTTGATAACTTGCTTAACAATGGTAATAAGTCGCCTGATGCGAGTAATAAGTGGTTGCTGCTGGGAATGGAAAGAAGGTGGAGGAGGAATAAAAACGGACGGCGTTTCGGTCGTTGCCAGTTGGGGCCGTTGTGCCGTATTTTGCGCGCGAGTGTAGGCTTCCGATCGGAAACGAAAACCTCTCATGTTAACGTGTTTTCCGCATGCCTTGAAGCATGCGTAAAGGTGAGGAAAGGAATGGTGTGAACTCGAGCATATGTGGCCACCTGAGTGCACACATGTCGCCACGGCATAGCTGGGCTCTGCTTTGGGCGGAAGAGGTTATCATCCTCTCAGGCGCCGATGGGGTCCGTAGCTATGTGAATAGCGTCCAACACTAATAACGAGCCCATGAAGTCTACAAGTTACAGCCTACAACATGTTATACCATGCGTTTCTTTCACCGCATGTGGCCTCGCACGGCTTTCCAGACGGGGAAATGAGGACAACAAGTGGCGAGCGGCTTTGAGTTGGCGGGGCCCGTCGCAATCAATGGCTGTTACCGTACGCAGCTCGCCCTTCCCCAGCAGCTGACGCGGACGGGGGCGGGCGGCCCAGACAACGTTTCAAAGGCAACCAACCGCCTTCCAACGGTTCTCATGAACTTCCTTCGCTAGAGGACAACAGCCCAAATGCAGATGCAGATGCTTCTGGTAGCCAACAACGCCTAGAAGGCCGCCTCAAACGGCCCTCCGGCAACAAGCAGCTAGCGGCAAGATCCTGAGCAACTCACATCACTTCACACCGACCTAGTCATCAGCCAGCCTACGTAAGGCGCCCATCCGTGAAACATCACAACATTTGCACGACAACGTGAGTAAGACAACGTGAGTACGGCATCAGCAACCGCACCAGCGCTAGCTAGCATCAACAGCAACAGCAGCAGCAGGCGATATCGTGGCACCTGCTGCTACAACTGCTCCCACAGCGGTCACCCCCCTCACGACGCGCCCATGACGTTCTTCAGAAAGCCGCACATCAGCTCAATCGCCCTGCCCGCCGCGGCAGCCACCTCGGGCTTCGACCAGTCGCCTCGCGCCGCCACGAAACCGTGGATCTGAGTGAGGCGGGAGGCAGCGAGTGAGTCGCGGTTGTGACGAGCGGTTTCCTTTACGGTATGTAGCACACTTGGTAGGACGAGGATAAAAGAAGAGAATGGGAAGCAGGCACGAGGAAAGGCATGCCTGTCACGCATGCATGCATGCAAACTCGGACACCTCTTGCGCCGGTGCCCCCCACCGAGCCAGCCAGCGTGCCCCAACTGGGTTGGCAACAGCGGTGGACACAGCGGCCAACCAACGGTCAACGACCCCCTCCCCCCCACCACCGGACCCCCTCCCTCCGCCCACCCAAGCAATCCACCTGGTCGTCGAAGCGCTGGTACACGCACTTGTCACCTGCATGCGGGCGACAACACGCGCCACCGGCGTCTACAGTTGCGCCCTAGCAGACAGGCAGGTAAAGCAAACCATGCCATGGATAGAAGCCCACACACTACGGTATAACCCATAGACCCCCAGCTGCTCAGGCCTCCTCCCTCCTCACCCCCCTCCGCCCTCCTCCTCCCCTCTCTCACCGTACGGCCGGCTGCTCAGTGTGGTTTTGAAAACGTCGTACGACGCATCTCCCTTGGCGGGCAGCAGCACCACCGGCACCGCCACCTTACTCGCCAGCTCCTTGTCGGCGCCGAACAGCGCGGGATGGGCGCCGCCCACCCCACTGAAGGTGGCGGCGTCCTGAGGCGCGGGAGAAGGGAAGGGAGGGGGAAGGGAAAACATTATTAAATAAGTGAAACAACGAGTCCCAATCCCATATCCCGACTCATGCAGTGAAGGGAAGGAAAGGAAAGGAAAGGAAAGGAAAGGAAAAAGAAGAATACCCTATGCGTTGGATGAGAATGGCTAACAAGGGAAGGGGAGGAAGGTGGGGGTGCGGCTGGTGCTGTGTGGCAACGGTGCGTGGAGGAGATGCGGGTCTTAGCCCTGGTGGCCGCCGCTTACCTGCCCTGCCCTCAGCGCTGGCCCCACCGCCCAGCAGAAGCCGATGCAGGCCAGCTTGGTGGCGCCCTCCGCCCGCAGCCGCTCCACTGCCGAGTGCACCTGCGGCCGCATCTTGTCCCAGGCGCCCACGCGCCCGATCCAGCCCTGGAAGTCGTCAGCTGGAGAAAGCAGGAAACAGCAGGAAGCAGGCGCACCGAAACCACAGTACGGCAGCGGCGGATGGAGCACAGTACGTTGAGTGAGTTTGTAGGAGGGATGCGTCAGGGACGTGGAATTGGAATGTGGATGTGGGTGGTGACAATGGATGCGCACCTGGCTTGGGAGGAAATTTAGCCAGGGTCCAAGGATGGCCGTGGAAGGGATCAATTGCGCAGACGTTAAATCCAGCACCAGCGAAACGGTCGCAGACCTGGAAAACCTGCACGGCAAGCAAGGGAAGACCGTCCCACACATAATCACATCCATCCAAGGCTCGGGCAAAGCCACCGAAAGGCATACGCAAAGCTGCCATTCCATACCTGCTTCTCGCCAAATCCAAAGATGTCGGGAATTATTACCAGGCCGTAAGGACCGGACCCAGAGCGGTAAATGGGCAATTTGTCAATCTTCTCGAACCTCCCCTTTGGTTCATAGTTCAACTGCACCGGCTTTCCAGCCGCGCAGCAAGCATCAGAAGCCATAGCACAAACGCCTATTGACACGTGTGGAACTTTGCGTGGGACGGAGCTTGCAGGCGATGTGCTACGAAGCTGGCTCGCGATCTTATGCGCGTGGAGGGCACTACGCATCGTCAGATGTCTAACATGCAAAAGTTTTTAAATTAACAATTCGTATGCGGTACTGCCCTCCGACATATGCTGACCCGCTGGGTCATTTCCCATGGCATGGTTCCGCAATTAGGACCCCTCATCGGGCGCAAAAGGCCGCTCACGTGTGCTACCTGGCATCCTCCAACAAAGCAGTATTAGGTTCTGCCACTGTCGTTGTGAAGGATGTTGAAACAAACCAAAAGGGTGCTTGCGGAGTCCCCTGGGCACGGAACGCCGCTTGCCCGAGGCGATGATGACGCTATGTGCCTGTCAGAGCGATATCAGCTGGCGCCGCCGCGGACTCCAAGCGGCGGAGAGTTCAGGCATTTGGCATTCATCATGGCAGTGCTCCTGGGATGCAGCTGGGATGCCTTGCCGCCTCCTCCTCCTCCGATAGAAAGCCCTCAGCGCTCGGCTCTCTATCAAGCACCTACCCAGCAATGAATGTTGCGCTTCATGCCGCGCTTCGCTCACGCTCCAGAGTCCAGACGACCACTCCTCGCAAGTAACAGCAATGGCACGCAAACAGACAAACGTAAGAAAACTTTGCCAAGTATCGGTCCGTAGTTCACAGGCATACGACATGCCGTACCACACCATCTATTACTCCTCTTAGCTTTACCCCTTTCAACCTGCTACGTGCTGCCTAAACGCCGTCTTTATGCCGTATGCTCTTCCTGTTAGCTACCCTCAACAGTGCATGTCGTACAATGCAACAGCGCTACCCCCGTCAACCACCACAGTTCATGACAGTCCTGAGCTGCGTCCAGACTAGGTGACAACGGTCCCGTGACGTCCGTCTGCCCCGCAGGTGTTCCTTTCGGAGCGGCGAGAGCAGGTGCAAGACTGCGGTAGACATGACAGCCCAGCATCGGCCGGTGCTCCCCACCACCCCCACCACACCCGCGATGAAGCCCCCTCACCGCACTCCACCGCACCGCACAACCCCAACCCCCCAATCTCCGCGCATACCCACATCGAACCCGGCTGCCAGCAAGACAAGCCCTTCCACGTCACCTGGCCTCGTCCGAGTGTTGACCGGGAGCGGGGGGAAGCCACCTCCGGGGTCAGGGCCCGCACGGGCACAGTCGTGCCCTCCATGCCCCTCATCTCAGCAGCAATTCAACCGCATCCTAAGAACTCCCAACAGCTATAGCTGCTCTGACTGTTCAGCACAACAGGGAGTCAGGCGCCTTCCGTAAGACCATATGACACGCCAGAAGACCTCGCTTGGGTCATATGCAAGAAAGAAGAGGTTAGCCTGATGTTCAGCAACACAGGTACTGCAAATGCGTGGGGGTAGCATGCAAACGGGGCAAGCGGGGCATTGCGTCTGTGCACGACCGGCAAAATAAAAGTCCATAAGGCCCCGACCCCAAGAGGAAGAAGGTTTCATACACTTGGCGTCAGGGCACGTCACAGTCATCAATAACCCTGTACGGCCTAGTAAAACCCATGCAAGGGAGCATGATGAGTACTTTCTTGCTCGCCTTCCCAGTTCCATGCAAAAAGAAACAGGTTGCCGCATCAACGCCTCATGCCCTCAGGCTTCCTTTCCATTCGCCCTTCCCATCTGCACTTGTAGACACTACAAAGCAAAACCATAAAAACAAGCAACCACATGCTGGGAACAATCAGCGCAATGGCGCCGTACGTTCAACGGAAACCTATCGTTGCGCCAACCGCCGCATGGGGCCCACATCGCGATATAACCCACAGCACACGCAGCCAGTGTGTGCCAGCGTGCTGCCGCCTGCCCCTGCAGCCTCTCGCATGCCGGCGAGCTTGCATGGATAACCCGAGGGCGGAGCGGGTGCAGGCATTAGCTGCAAAGAAACATCAATGGGTAGAAAAGTCCAAGAAACCCCTACAGCCCCGCTCCCTTCGCCAGCGGTGCAGCCAAAGCGGCCGCGCTGACGGAAGGAGCACCTGAAGCGGCTCCTGTAGCGGCACCCGCACCATCCCCTGCCGCCTCCGCCCCCTGCTGCTGCTGCTGCTTCCTGTCCAGCGCCATGAAGGAGGCCAGCAGCAGCAGCAGCAGGTTGGGTCGCGCCGCCACCACGTCCTCCCACACCAGGAAGATGACGCACCCCACCTTGCGAGCGCAGCTCAGCAGGTACCTGCGGGGGGGGCGGGGGAGGGGGAGAGCAGGTGGGGCGGGCAGGTGGGGCGTGGCGGGGAGAGGGCAAGGGGACGGAGAGGGCACGGGTAACGCTTTGTGAGCAAGGAACGATGCGAGGAATGCGAGCAGCAGAACCCCAACCCACCAAACTTGTCTCATCATCACCATCCCCAACACCCTACACAGCAGCAGTTGCCGCCCCCCCGCAAACCCACTTTGCGTTGCTCTCCCGCTCCTCCGCGGTCCTGCCGGGCAGCACGAACTGCGGCTTGACGGCTCGCGGGCGGATGGCGGCTAGCAGCCGCAGCAGCACTGCACCTGCAGCCAGACGCGGGTCGGAGAAGCTGGCGAGCGGAGGGAAGCAGGAGGGGGCGGTGGAGGGGGCGGTGGGTGATGCGGAGGAGGTGGCGGAATAGGCAGCAGCAGCCGCTTCAGTGAGTTTGGCGTTGGCCCACGCCAGCACCGCCTTCTCCACCTCCACATGCTGCCGCGGGTGGTGGGGGTGGTGGGGGTGCTGCGAGTGGTGGGCTGGACTGGAGTGGCAGCCGCCGCGAGCACATGATGGCTGCTGCTGCTGCTGCGGGTGCTGCTGTCCTCCACTTGGCTGCTGCAGTGGCGCCACCAGCCCCAGCATCATGCCGGTATGGTGCCGCATCATCTGGAACACCAGCGACAGGGTTGCGCGGCGCTGGCCCTGGGGGGGGGGAGCAGTAGGGATGCGGCAGGGGGGGAAATTATAGATACGTGCAACAACACGGGGGGGAGAGGCGGCGGGGCATGTGGTGGCAGGCGAGGCAGGGGTGAGAGGAGGAATGGAGCGCGAGGCGGAAGGGCAAGCAGAGCCCGCGGATTACACTAGCCCTCACCCCAATCACCCCACCCCCCCACCCTCCCCTACCAGCGCCAGGTCCAGCCCCCCGATGTTGACGAGCGGCGGCATGGCCAGTCGGTGGGTGCACAGCTGGATTACCAGGTTGCAGTTCTGCACGCTCAGGATCTTGCGGAGCTGCGGGGGGGGCGCAGGTAGGTGGGTAGGTGGGTAGGTAGGTGGGTAGGTAGGAGCAGCCACAAAGGAGCAGCAGCAGGTGGAGCAGGGGAGGAGCAGGAGGGGCCGGCGTTGGGAGGAGGGAAGAGGGAGGGAGCCGGGGAGCAGGGAACGGCTGCGGACAACCAGCGTCAGACGGGCTGCCTTGCATCCCACTGCAGCCCAGTCAGTGCACCGTAGCACAGTTGCGCGCGCGCGAGGACACACCACACACCATGCGGCCCTGGACGGCAGGACAAAGGGGGTCGGTACGTCAAGAGGGGTACACGCAAGGGGCGCGCTCGTACCTTCTCCTTGAAGGGCGGGCGGAAGGCGTTGTGCCAGCTGACGCAGCCGGGCTGGATGGCGTCCAGGGCCTGGGGGGGGCAGGGGGTGGGGTTGTGCAGGGGAGAAAAAATAAATAAGTGAAACAACGAATCCCAATCCCATATCAGGGGAGGGGACAGGGGTTGGAGGGGTGAGGAGTGGGGGTGTGCGGGTGGGGGGAAGCATGGCCCCGCAGCTGTAAGGATGCGACGGAGGGCACAGGAGAAGCAGCCACGCCAGCCCTCAGGCCCTCCGCCCCCTCCCCCCTCCCCCCTTCCCACCAGCAGCAGCGGCCAGCCGGTGGCCACCTCCCGGTCGAACAGCGAGGCCACGTGCAGGGACCCCGGGGCCAGGCTGTTGAGCCACAACCGCAGCACTCGCTCCTCCTGTGCGCGGGTGGGGTGAACAAAAGGAAGAGGGGGGGCGGGTGAGTGCGTGACATTGGCAGGGAGGGGGGCAGGCAGAGGGATGGAAGGGGGGTGCTTGGGAGCGGTGTGGCAGCACATGCCCAGCCCAAATTATCCACGCCCCAGTACACCCATCAACCACCACACGCCCCCACCCGCCCACCCCCACCCCACCTGGTCCTCTCCAGCCGCGTCCTCCCCATCATCCCTCCACAGCTCCAGCTGGCACCCCCTTTCACCACCACCCCCGGCGCCACCACTCGCCCCCGCAGCTGACCCCCCGCGTAGCCCGCCCCCACCGCTACCGCCCGCCCCCGCCCCCGCAGTCGCTGCTGCTCCCCCGCCCCCGCCACTCCGCTGCTGCTGTCGCCGCATCTCCCGCTGCGTGTGCTCCCAACGCACCAGCTCGTTGTGCTCGGACAACACGTCCCCCGCCCGCCGCCCGCCGAGCCCAGCAGCGCACCCTCGCCCGCCGCGCCGCATGCGGGGCAGCGGAGGCGCCGGGGACGCCGGCGGAGGCGCAGCCAGCACCGCCGCCGCGACAGCGGCAGCAGCAGCCGCGGCGGCTGCTGCATCTCCTCCGCCCCCAACCTTATCCGACAGCTCTGCGCTGAGCGGCTCCTCGCTGAGCGGCTCCTCGCTGCCTCCTCCGCTGTCGCTACCTCGCTTGGGGGTGGCAGTGGCAGCCGCTGCTCCTCCCTCGCTACCCGCCCCCAGTGCTGCTGCTGCAGCCGCTGCTGCCCCAGGGGGTCCCGGGGCGCTCACGCCGTCCCTGCCCCTGCAGCCCGCGAGCAGTGCATGCGCCAGCAGCGCCGACCTCAACCCCGCGTGCCGGCAGCGCAGGTGGCGGGGGCGCAGTGGGGGGAGCGGGGGGCCGTGAGCCGGCGCCAGGACACGAGACAGAGCGACCGCTGCTGCCGCCCAGCGCGCCTCGGGAGCAGCGTCCGCAGGGTCAGTAGCCGGATTGGTGCTGGTGGCGGCGGCGGGAGTAGCAGCGGCGGCGATGGGGGTCGGGCCTAGGGCCACGGGGCTTTGTGCGGAGGAGGAGCTGCAAGGGGAGGAGCAGGAGGGGCATGACGTGCTGCCCTTACTGCCTTCCGCGACCCGTGGGTCTTTTCCGACGCTTCCGACGTCATTGCTGCTGCTGTCAGCCCTTGCTGCTGGCAACCCTAGGCCTTGCTGCTTCGCCAGCGCCGCGGCTAGCAGCTCCCATGCCTCCAGGTCCAAGGGGTCCGCTGCCTCTCCTCCGCAACCAACACCAGCCCCCTCCCGACAAACGCCCCCGGAGACGACATCCGGAGGGGCACCTGCGCACCCCTCATGCTCGCCATCAACGTCATGCTGCCTGGCGCCTTCGCCACAAGTGTGCCCATGCCCCCCGCCATCACCACTGCCTCCAGCAGCAGCGGCAGCAGTAACAGCTTGCAGCGCCCAGCGCTCCAGTCCCGCAGCTGCCCGGCGAGCGGCGGCGGTACCACCCGCTGTTGCTGCTACTGCCTGCGGCCCGCCCCCGCCCCCGCCCCCGCTGCTATCGCCCTCATCCTTCCCGTCACCGCCACTGCTGCTGGCACGGGACGGCGCCACACTGCCCCCCGCTGCACCCCCCGCCTGGGCGGTCGCAGCAGCCCCCCTGCTCCCAAGGCCGCCAAAGGTCCCCTCAGCTTCAGCGCCGTCCTGGGGATCCCCAACGTCCCGCGCCGCACAGCCGCTACCGGTGCTCCTCACTCGCCTGCGCCCCGGAGGCCACCCGCCCTCTTCCCGCACCGTCTCATGATGATGAGGCTGATGCCCGGACCCGACCTGACCACCTCCACGACTGCTGCTGCTGCTGCCGGCTCCGCTGCCTTCGCTGCGGTGCGGCTGAGCTCGCTGGGCGCCCCGAGTGGGTGCGGGGGCCGGCGGCATGTCGTTACTCCGTCCCTCCCCGTGAGGCCCGGCGGTGTGCGGTCGAGCTGTCCACCGCGGGGGTGCCAGGGGGGTTCCGGGAGGGGGTCTGGGGGCCTGAGCCGGCGCAGCGGCGGCAGCAGCAGCAGCCTCGGGGGGCGCGGGCGGCAGCAGCCAGTGGCGGTCACCGGGCGGCAGCGCCTGCGAGGAAGGGGTGGGGTGGAGGGAGAGTTTGTGAGTGACTTATACCCAGATCACCTGTCTGTGTATATAGACTTCATGGCTACGTCGTAGCACTGATAGCACCCTTGGCTTGCAGTGTCCTGCCCTGCCATTCGCTTAACTCCGTGTTTCTTACAGACCCAGTAAGGATAACCTGCACGTTCCAGACGGCCCACCTGCACCGCAGCCATGCGCAGCACCTCGAGGACAAAGTCCGCCAGCACCGGGGCCTGCAGCCAGGGACAGTAGGGAGGGTGAGGGGTGAGGTAGTAACGACTGGGAGAAACCAGGCGGTGTACCGCCTGTGTCAAGCTGTGAAGAGCCGCCAGGACGGGTCATAAGCTCGGTGGGCTCACCTCGCACGTTTGTAGCTGCTCAGCGGTCAAAGACTGCACGTCGCAGCCCTGCGCCTGTGCGCAGCTGTGGCACAACTGGAAGTTTTCAAGCGCCTCGGCATCTGCAATGTCCCCGCTGCTACTGCAGTTAATGGCGCGCTCGTCCAGGCTGCCCGGAATCGATGTCGCCAAAAGTTTGCTGCAAAAATGTGGTTGGTCGGGAGCCGGAAATGAGGTACATGGGAGGTAAGCCGCGTAAAACATCCAAAGACGACCAGCCCTAGTCGTGTTCGCGCTTACCAAAGTACAGAGCCGCTCCAGCAAAGCCGCTCCAATGCTTTATGGACAAACATATTAACATCCTCGGTCAAGGTTCCGTTGATGTAATCAAGCGCAAAGCTGACCTCAGCTGACAGATGCTCCAAATCGCGCGCCCCATCAGGGCCTAGATCTTTGTCTGTTGGTATCTGTACATCGCATTTCTGGGCCTCGTTTTCCTGCCGAGGACTCTCTGCTGGCTCCGATGGCTGTGACAAACTGCCAGAAGGGAAGGCCTGAAGCTCTGTGCCTTCAGGCTTAGACCTACTGAGCAGCTCAACTTCATTGTGGATAGGTAACGCTGCACGATTTCTCCGGCTGCGGGAGGCGCCATACGTTCCAGGCGAGCGCAGGAGCGCGAGGAGAATGGACATAGGATGAAGTTTTTAAAATTGCCCTAGCTTTGCATTTCAGTAATGACACACAGAAAAGGATGTGCATTGTAAAAGCCGCAGAGGACAATAGAAGACTGATTGTTGTTGTACGGCGCCTGTTTTGGACTGGAGGATCGGCCGAAGCATAGCGGTTGCGGGGCAGGGGAAATCGCCTGGGAAGGGATAATAGGCTAAGGCAACCTGACGTAGAGGAACTGGTATGTTGAAATACAGACCGTGAGGCCCCCGCTGCCAGCCTCCCGCAGGTGCTGAGGCCAACGGAGGTGCTCCGCGCTGTTAACATGTGCCCTGCCAGCCGTGGAAAGGTGGATACTACGGTAATCGATACAAAACGATTTTGCGTTACAGGGTTTGTCTAGACACCGGGGGGGCACCGTGCCGCTAACAACTCGTCCTGCAACCCACGCTCCGTACCCTGTCGACGATGCCCCAGCCTCACTCCCATGAGTACGGCTAATCGGCTTTACATATGCTGCCCTGCCGTACACCTCAATAATACTGATGCCGTACCTGGCACCCGTCCATCCACATGCCAACAAGGCGACCATGAGGCACACTTACAAACCACACAGCCGCGCTCGGCATACTATTTAGATCCCGGGCAACACAGCGCAGACAGGGCTCCGCCACACCTGTCTTAACGCGCACCACGACAGGAGGACATGCAAGGCCGACCTCGTGTGCAGGCCACCCTCTTTATCCGTCCGTAACCTTCCAGTCCGTAATCTTCGCTGGTTTTCGCGCCCTTCCCATGCGGCGTCTCCCCCTTGCCAGGCAGCCGCAAGTAGGGTAGCGCGGCCACACACCCCCCGTCCCAACCTCCCGCGGCAAGCAGCTACGTGACCGCCCCAACGTCTCCTCATCGCACCCAGCAACGTACCGCGAGCCAACACAACAGAGCCACCCCCCACTGGGGCACCCCTGGAGAGCTCCTGCCGGCATGAAGGCAGAGACATGCTCCTCTGCGCCACCCGGGGCCCGGAAGCCAGGAGACCCGGGGAAGCCAGGAGACTCGGGGGTGGTACCCATCCCTTGGAATCGCACGCACTCGCCCCTTCACACACGCCCTAGTAAACATCCCTTCTGCTTACACTGTACCTTGCTTACACTAAACCTCCGTACACCCAAACCGTACCGTCCGCACCGCACTAAACAGCCTCCAGCCAGCCTCGACCAGCCCCGGCTAGCTCAGCCCACCTCCATCCCCTCCGGCTTCTCTGCCCCATCCGCCGCACCCGCCTCCTCCCCAGCAGCTCCCTCCGCAGCCCCGCTACCCCCATCCGCCTCCACCGGCTCCCCAGCAGCCCCCCCTGCCGCCTCCGCCCCCTCCCCAGCGGCCCCCATGTCCACGTCCTGCGGCCCGCCTTGCCCCCCCGCCCCCGCCGCCCGCTCCACCCGTATCTCCGACGGCAGGTGCCCCGACCGCAGCGCCTCCTCCAGCCGCTGGATCTCCTCCAGCGTCTGCGCGTTGGCAATGGCCGCCTTGATCGCCACCATCTGGTCCTGACTGGGGGCCGCAGAGGCGCGGACAGCCTCCTCCTCCTCTGCAGCTGCTGCAGCCCCTGCCTCGGCCCCGGCTGCTGCTTCGCCGTTTGCTGCTGCTGCCGCTGCCACGCCCGCTTGCCGCTGCGCCGCCGCCAGGTCCTCATCCGGTTCGAAGGTGTTGGACGCGTGCTTGGCCTGAGCATCCGCGGAGGAGAAGAGCGCCTTGGCGGCGTCGCGCTCCTGGAGGGGAGGGTGGGGAAAATTATAAATAAGTGCAACAACACAGTCCCAATCCCTCCCGGGTGGGGAGGGTTGTACGGCAGTGTACGGCACATGAGTGGGGAGTGTACGACAGGTTGTGTGACAGTTTGCCAGCTGGTAGCCATGGTCGTCAACGTACGGCCTCATGCATGCAACCCCCCACCTTTTGCTTGACCTTCTTGAAGTCCAGCACTTTAAGTCGCGGCAGCTTGCTGACCACATACAGCCTGCGTGTGTGTTCACACGGAGTTACGAGGGGTTGCTGTGCTAGGACACCACGTGGGCAGGGGGTTGCTCTGCTGGGGCCCCTGCAAGTCGCCGCATGCGAAGGAGGCAGAATCGCTCGGCGGGGGCACAAGGAGCCACCCGGACTCCCCCCGCGCCGACGCAGCTTCCACACATCGGCAGCAGCACAGAGCAGCAGCAGCGCACTTGGCCTGACACGTGCTAGGCGGGCATGCAGCGCGTGGGAGTAAGAGGAGCGCAGGAGTGCGGGGGGGGGGAAGCGGCCGGTCATGGCCGGTCGGGGTCCGCGGTCACAAGGGAGGTCCCGCGGGCCCCTCCTGACCCCTCCTGGGCCTTCTCGAGCGGCGTCCAGGACAGCCCTCGAGACATGCCCCGGCTGTACAACAGACTGCGGCAAGATCCCCACACCGCCCATCGCTCCACGGGGGGCTCTACAGAGACCAGCCAGCAAGCCAGCCAGCCGGACAGCGTGCATGAGTCGGACAGCAACCGTAGATGCGGTGCTGTCTGGCCCTCGCCGCATGGCCCACACCGCTCTACCCGCACCCCCGCGCACCCACACCTGTAGTTGGGTTTGGTCATCACGGCGTTGCCGTGCAACGACAGCTGCTCCAGCTTAGGGAGCGTGGCGAGCGGGTCGATGTCCTGGGAGGGGCAAGGACAAGGAGGAAGGGTTGTTGTTGTCTTTGTCGTACTACATATGATGTCGTACGGTTGCATGTCGCTAGGTGGCGGGCGCCTGTGCTGACAGGGTCTGGAAAGCGAGAGGAGAAGAGACGGGAAAGCGAGAGGAGACGAGACGGGACGGTGGCGCTAGAGGGACAACACCATTGAAGCTTTCCCAGCCCTTTGAACCGACATTGCTATTGCCCCAGCGCACCTGGAGGTTGTTTATCCTGTTGTTGGTGAGGATGAGAACCTCCAGGTTTGGGATGAACTCTGAGAGAGCCGAGCAAGTGGTGTTAGACAAGCATGAGGCATCACCCATCGCACCAGCACGGGCTGCAGCTGCACAACTGACCTTCGAGCCCCCTCGAGATTCTCCCCACGCGGTTGTTGTTCAGTAGCAGCTGCTTTAACCGCGGGAGCTTTGGGAAGCCATCCAGTCGCACTATTGCGTTGTCCGAGAGGTCGATGCTGTCGAATTGGTTCTGTAACCCGGTCAACAACACGCGTAGGTAAGTATTCCGCATAGTAAACGCAATGGACTTCTAACATAGCAAGCAATGTGACCATAAGTGACCGAAAAGCCGCCGCTGACCCGCCTATTCCCACGGGCTCACTCCGCACCTGTGTTGCGCCCAGGTTCTCTATTGCTGCAATTTTGTTCCCTACAACACAAGTAATGCTCGTCGTGAGGCCTCACAGCCCTATCAAGCTAGTGATCTCAAGCAGCGCATACCACGCAGGTCAATCTCGTATTGTTTAATACAGCTCATGTATTGAGGGCTCCTCAAAATAAGCTCTGCTGTAATGCGTCCTGGCAGCCGGGGGCCAACCCCGGCTGCTGGGCGCGCCTCCATGCTTCTTTGTGTCACCTATCGACTCAGCAGCTAAGAAAGCGCAAGAACAACAGCATCTAAAGTATATGTGACTTCAAGCAAACAGATGTGCAAGAATACCGTCCAGGCCTTGCCGTTGGTTAAGCCCAACTCATCGGGCTCCGGAGTCCGGACCTCAATGCAGAGTCATTGCCCGACCCGCATAACACAATCCACACCAAACGTTCGCTGCCCTCATGCAGTAGATCCTTTTATATGGTCAAATAGTAAGCTCCCAACGTCCTCTACCGACTTCAACGGCAACACCTGCGAAAGCAAAGTACCCCAAGCCCGACCCGCAACCGTTAGCAACGCAGCGCAATGGCCGAGTGCGGTGTGCAGAGCAATGCATCGCTTGCAGCTGCTATTGCCGGCGCCAGCTTCAGCCTCTTCCTCGGGGCGCTTCCGTTAGCTACCACCCCTCAGGGCTGCTTCCTTTCGCCTCTCAGCATCATCTACGCACTGTCGCTCGCTCTTAACGGAGCCGGTGGGTGACTTCCGCGCTGTGTGCTGCTGCGGGAAGGTGCTGCTGCAGCAACTGTTGCGAACCCTAGGCCATGAAGCGTCCTGCAACATCCCTGTTGTCGCACAGCTTATCCAGCCCTCATCAAACTGCTTTTCACAACTCCCGGCTTGCCAACACGACTTCTCTTCCCTTTCCTTCCCCCATACTCGCAGGTCCCTCCTCCAACACCCATTCCGAGATCCTGCGCGCCATCACAACCGCCTCACACCTGCAACCGCAACAACAGCAACCGCAGCAGCAACCGCAGCAGCAGCAGCTCTCCGAGGCCGATCTGAACTCCTTCCTGGGGACCACCATGTCGCTCCTGAACGGCCAGTGCCCAGCCGCCCTCAACCCTGCAGCAGCAGCAGCAGACGGCACCGGCAGTCAAGCGGCGGCAGGGGAGGCGGCTGCAGCAGGTGGTGAGGCCGGCAGCAGCAGCAGCAACAGCAGCGGCCCCGGCGGCAGCTCCGAGCTCATCCTGGCCAACAGCATCTGGACTGCTCCCGGCACGCAGCTCAAGTCGGGGTACGTGGAGGAGATGCGGACGCTGTACCAGGTGAGATGCGGAGGTGGGCGGGGGGAAAAGAAATTCCAAAGTGTGGTGTGATAATGATACAAGTTGCTGACAATCCCTGGTGGAATCAACCGTGAGTCGAGCCGAAATGGTGGTTAAAGCAAAGCGAGCTAAACTTACCGAACTTACCAATGATGGAGCAACCTTACCATAGGCTTGGGCATGTGTGGAGGCTGCTGAAGGTGAGCTGGAGACCCACCGCGCCGTGGGGCAAAGGCAAACAACAGGAACAGCACAACACGAGCACTCATAAAAAACAACACAGACTGACACACGATAAAACACGTACCTAGGTACACAAAGAGGCGGGCGGGGGAGCGGGTGGGGTGGGGTTTAGGAGGGGCACTCTTCACACACCGGTATGTAAGGCCGCCGACAGGCGTGTTACTTGGGCGGGCCTGGTGAGGAACTAAGGGAGGGAGGGTCTCGGGGCTTGGCTGCGTGATGAGGCCGTCGTGAGGTGGACGGGGTTGAGGTGCGCCCCCTACCAGCGCAACACCAGCCAAGAGGGTGCCGCTCGGGTCGTGTGCCGCTCGGGTATTGTGCCGCTCGGGTATTGTGCCGCTCGGGTATTGTGCCGCTCGGGTATTGTGCCGCCCGGGTCGTGTGCAACCCGCCACACTCCCACACCTCCAGCAACTCCCCCCCTCCCTGCGCTGCAGGCGACTGCCCGGGAGGCCGCTGGGGGCGCGGGGGAGGTGAACGCCTGGGTGGCGGGCGTCACGCGGGGGCTCATAAAGCAGCTCATCCCCAACGACAAGTGAGCAGCAGCAGGGGGGGTTGGTTGTGGAGGTTGGTTGCGGAGGTGCTGTGTGCAGCCCCCGATCACTGACGTGCGGGCCTGTGGGGACTGCGGCTGCGGCTAGGAGGGGTACCGGTGTAATGCCCCTCTGTGTAGTGTCCCTCTGTGGTCGCGGCAAGGGCGAGGCCATGTGGCAGTGTATCATGGCTAGCATCTGGGGGGGGGGAGTCGATACGGGTACGTTGACCGGTGTGTACCCAATCTCACCTCGTACGGCAACCCATTCTGATGCTTCCCCCCGCGCCCCCCCTGCCTCCCACCGCAGCTTCGACGCCATCCTCGCCAACGCCATCTACTTCAAGGGGCTGTGGGCGTCCGCATTCAAACCCCAGTGAGTACGGACCAGTGAGTACGGCCACTACTTCTCCCGATAGTCTTCATCCGCTCACCCTACCTTGCGCCGCGTACCTACCTTGCGCCCTACCTTACCTTAACATCCCGCCCACACATTGGCTTTCCTTCTTTCCCCCTCCCCCCCCCCCCCCTCACCTCACAGCCTCACCCAGCCCGGCGACTTCTCCACCTCCCGCGGCACCACCGCGCGCGTCAGCATGATGCAGCAGACCTTCGAGCCGCGGCACAACATCATGTCAGCGCGCAAGGAGGGGGTGTACGACGCAGTCTCGCTGCCGTACCGGGGCGGCGACTTCAGCGCGGTGGCGCTGCTGCCGGCGCCGGGCGTGGAGGTGGCGGCGGCGCTGCGGGAGTGGGCCGCGTCGGGGCCGCAGGTGGGGGGGGGCGCTGGGCGCATGTATGCTTGCGGAGCAGGGTTAATTGTGTTACAATGCTGCCTCGCCCCTCGTTTCTTCCCTGATAGATGTTAAGGGTGTGTGAGATATTGCTGAAGTTATGTAAGCCGTAAATAGGCGTGGCAACGGTGTGGTGGACTTGTTGCGTGCTGTGGGCGATGACCCGTGGGTCGCAGGCGCTCAAGCGGGTGGGTCAGCTGCGGGTGGTGCTGCCCAAGTTCAAGGTGTCCTCCTCCATGTCGGTCACGCCGCTGCTGGAGCAGCTGGGCGTGCAGGCGGCGTTCGGGCCTGCCGCGGACTTCAGCCGCATGACAGAGTCCCGCCTGCACATCAGCGACGTGGTGCACAAGGTGGGGGGGTGGGGGGCTACCGGTATCAGGGTCACGCTGGTTAGACAAGGGCTATTTATTGGCGATGGCGACAACAGGCCTATGCGGCCCAGTCGGGCTGTCGAGGGCGCCTCCCGAGGGCGCTCTTCCGGAGGGCGGGTGTGGGGACTTCTGTTCGAAGCTTGGGAGTGCGTGTCGAGCCATGTGAAAGGATATCACAGCGATGGGAAAGGAGATTACGATGAGGGCCACTGCCTGTGTGCATGGTTGAGAACCCAGAAGGCGTTGTGATTATCGCGCTCATTGCTGTCATCCTCCGGCTGCTCGCTGCTGTGGCAGGCGGTGGTGGAGGTGGACGAAGAGGGAACGGTGGCAGCCGCGGCAACCGCCGTCATTATGCTGACGTCGGTGCCCATGCCGCCGCCCGAGCTCGTCTTCAACCGCCCGTTTGCGTTCATGATTTACCACAACCCGACCAAGCTGCCCATCTTTACGGGCGTAGTGAATGACCCCAGCGCGACCTAAGCAGCCTACTTAAGGGTAAATGGGCACGTATACCCTTGGCTCAGTGGCCGTGAACATGTTTGGGGCAGGGTCCTGAGCACACGCTTGCTTGCCTTAAGCTGCTGATTGCTGGACATACGGACATCATCCCACATGTTTTCAGCTGCCATGCTCATTACCGGCCCCTTCCCTGCGCCCGCGCCCCTCCTGCCTCTGCCCCTGCAGGCTGTTTTGGAGGTGGACGAGGAGGGCACCCTTGCAGCGGCGGCCGCAGCGGTCATCATGAACAGGGCGATGCCGCTGCCGCCGCCCGAGCTGGTCTTCGACCGCCCCTTCGCCTTCATGGTCTACCACACCGCCACCAGCCTGCCGGTGTTTGTGGGCGTGGTGCATGACCCCAGCGCGGCCTGAGAGGGCACATGATGACGTGTGCAGCAGGCCCAGCAGCTGTGCGGCAATGATGGATTTGCGTGTAGATGTCGGATGCAGGGCAATGTGCTGCTGGCTGGAGTTGTTGTTGCTGTGGTTGCTACGTTGTCCTTGCATGCTTGCCGGTGTTGTTGTTGTTGTTGATGCGTTATGTGCAATGCCGGTTGGATTGGTGTGTTGATGTGGAGGGCAAGGAACCAACTTGTTGCGTTGCAAACCGGAATCAACCGAATTGGGACACATTGTTTTCTGATGCGTTCCAGATTTTGACAGCACAGTGCCTGTCCCCTAGAAGTCACACCATAAGCAAAGCACCATAGCACCATGACCGCCACCAGAAACACGCACGTAAACTAGAGCCTCCAAAACCAAGCTCCGTGTAACTCCGACTCCCTCTCATCTCGTCTCTAACAGACGTCTTCCACGCCACCATGTACGGGTAATGCTTTAGCGCGCCCTAAGAGCCAGTCCAGCGGCCCAGCTCCCTGGCGCCTGCTCTCCAGTTCCCCCTGCAAGCTGCAGTAAGGCCGCTTGTCGAGCCACTTACTCCCCGGACCTGCAAGCAAACACAAGGGGAAGGGTTAAACCTGCAGACGGGCGAGTAGCACGGGACTCGGCATCCAGGCTACCAGGTGCACGGCAAGCACGTACTTTGGCATCGCCTCGCCCGCCTTGATAAGCTCTTGGAGCTGCGAGAGGACCGCGGCAGGGTTTGCGCCCTGCACGCTGACAGACTTCTCCACGCCAAAGTCTGTATGGACAAAGCGTCGAGTTGTGTTACAGGAAGGTAAGGAAGACCAGTCAAGAGCGTGCTGCATGCCACCCACCATAGCGGGCCGTCAGCTTTGCCTCCGCACCAGCGCACTCCCGAATTAGGATGGGGAACTGAGGGTTTGCCTTCTTGATTTCGGCATAGTTAGCCACGACAAACTCCCTACAAAATGCAAATTGGGCTTAAGCGATGTCTTTGCCGAAGACGCTGCGCATGCGCATCCTACCTCACACCCTGGCTTGCTGGTGATGACTGGCACAAGTGGATTCTGCAAGGATCGGTATATCAATTGAGTTTCAGGTTCCGGCGCATAGCCATCAGCAAGCTAACCACAGAGCCCAGGAGCTGCCCACCTAAGCTCCTGCATGCTCTTGGAGAGGGCATTGCGCCACGCCATTATGCCTACGGGCCCCGCCGGCCAGTCACCTAGGAAAGAGTCGCAGCTAACAGCTGCCTAACAGATACGGCTCCTAGGGCCTAATAAAGCAAAGCAAGTACTTTCACCTAAACGGTGTTGAAGGCAAATTTCGAGCAACAAAGCCGCTCGGCCAATGCCGTAACTGCTGTACAAGTCTAGACTCTCTTGCAACGACGTCCCTGCCTTCTGTGGTGGATTGCTTCCGACTCTGTCATTTATACCGACTAACTGCTCTCTCCCGCAAGCAATTAGCCTCGCCTTTATTAGTTGGCGGCAGCAACCCATCTGGCAAAATGGGAAAGATGAAGAAGACGCGGAAATTTGCTGAAGTCAAGCGAATGCTCAATCCTAAAGACGTCGCGTAAGCCAGAGTGCAGCTGCTGCCGTGAGGCATGGTGTATCAACGTCATGGTGCGTCCTTGCAGGCCTCCGGCCAAGCGACAGAAGACCGAGAAGAAGGAGGACGAAGTGCGCCACGTGTAAGTGTTTGCGAGCTCCCCTAGCCGCGATATAATTACTGCGGCGGCGTGGACGCTGTGTTAACTCTTTGCCCCGCCCCGTCGCCCATCCCTCCGACCCCGATCCGCAGCGAGAAGGTTTCCTCCGCGCTGTTCTTCCGCTATAACACCCAGCTGGGCCCACCGTACCAGGTCCTGGTGGACACAAACTTCATCAATTTCTCCATCAAAAACAAGGTACGACAGCTACTCTGCGGGGCCTCCAGCCATCCACATTCTCCGCTTCGCGTAGCGCAGCCTTCACCCATGCATCTCGTCTAACCCCGCCGCTCTTATCACAAGCTTTTTGCGCATTCAAAACCATCAAGCAAAGCATCACCCCATCCCTCCCACCGCACACATCCCACCGCCTGCCCAACCAGCCCGCACCCCCTACCCTTCCACCCCTCCCCGTCTGACCCAGATCGACCTGGTTCGCGGCATGGTGGACTGCCTGTATGCGGAGTGCCGGCCCTGCATCACCGACTGCGTGATGGCGGAGCTGGAGAAGCTGGGGCAGAAGTACCGCGTGGCGCTCAAAGTGGCCAAGGTGGGGGCGTACGGCAGTGGGGGGGTTGCCTGTTGGTGGGGGCGTACGGCAGTGGGGAGGTGCCTGTGGGAGGGAACTCCGGTGGGGTGGATGGCTGGATGCATGGCGTGCATGGTACCTCCCTTGCTGCGGTTGGGCGGGTTTGTGGGTTGCTGGTTCGCTACTTGTGTGGATCCAAGAAGACAGGTGCTGGGGGCTTGTGGCGTCGGGGTGGGGCTGTGGCGGCAGGGTAGCTTGTCGTACATGTTGGCAAGGAAGGGGCGCTTGCGATTGCGGCTTGCAACTTGTTGCAGCCCTAGACCCTTGAGTACGATGCACGGCCGGAGAGCACATGGTGCGCCCAGTAGCCATGCTTGCGCGCTCGCTCGCTCTCTGCCCGGGGCTGTGCAGCTGTGCGCCTTGGGAAGCCCTCCCCGCCTACCCATGTTGGCGCCTTATCCCTCAGTCCGTTAGTTATTTCCTCTTTACTCCTTCTTACCCCGCCTAACATACGTTGGGAAACCCAGTTTACCGCCGTGCCCCCTGCTGCTCCTGCGTCCGCTTCAGGACCCGCGCGTGGAGCGGCTGCCGTGCAGCCACAAGGGCACTTACGCGGATGACTGCATCTGCCAGCGCGTGCAGCAGCACCGCTGCTACATCGTGGCCACATGCGACAGGGACCTGCGCCGCCGCATCCGCAAGGTAGGTGCTCTGGGATGGCGGTGTTGGGGCTTGGGGCGGGGCGGGGAGGCTGCGGGAAAGCAAGGCGAACCGGTTCGCCTTGCCTTCTCTTATCTGAATTTGCACGTCTTGGTTGCGCAAGCGGTCCTTTGTACTTCCGCTTCTCTTGCAAGCAGAGATGTTAACACTGGTTCCCTTCGGCGTCCCTGGTGTCCGTCCGCGCAGATCCCCGGTGTCCCCATCATGTACCTCCAGTCGCATCGCTACTCGATAGAGCGCCTGCCGGAGGCCACCATGGGAGGCGCGCCGCGCTCCTAATGTACTTATATCGCATACTGCCTATGGGTTGCCGTTGCAGCGACTGAACGGCATTGAGACTGGGGGTGGGCTGAGCGCAACTGGAGTCTCTCTAGTAAACTGTTGTAGATTACGCTTAAATTGTGGGGGTGTTTGGGTATGTCGAGCGATGGCGTTACGAGTTTTTCGGCAAGCGCTGAAAGGAGCAAGGCGGTTGGTTACAGTTATGACATTTGAGGTAGGGAGAAGGAATGCGAAAGGCCAATGCTGGAGTCTGCGTCCGTTGTGCGCGTCATTAAGCATGATTTGCCTCGCAATGTTGGAGAACGAATGATGGTGTTGGGCGGCGACGCAAGACAGATCGGAGCGCGGGAAACCCGATGAAGGGCCCATGCGCCGTTTCTTATGAAGAGACAATACTTTGTTAGTTACTTTCTAATGGTATATCTACCTCGTATAAGTTTGCTTTTAGTGATGCGTGCTGGCGCGCTTACTGTACAGGCTAGCTTAAGCCTTTCAGGCAACACCTCACGGAAGAGCTTGTGATCGCGCTCTACCATTATCATCTGTAAGGAAAGGAGAGAGAGGATATGCTTACGAAGTAAAGGCTTTGTTTCATTTGCATATGGCGTCCGTTGGAAGCCGCGGGGAGCTTTTCCGTTCCAGTGGGCCGCTAGTCAGCCAGCCACCAGTGGGAAATCGAAGGGAGTACGGCTCTCAGGGTGGCGTCCGCCCAGCGCAAGCAGCTGATGCACCGGAGGTTAGCATTTAAGGCTCCACATCCGGTTAACAGCGTTAATCCTGTATGAGCAGACATGTCCTCCTCTTCGGGTTGACGTTATAACATGCTGGATACAATCCTGCCAACAGGATTCCGGCTGGCAAGTCGTGGACGCGCGAAATGGCCGTTCGGGACGCTCTTGGGCAAAGCTGTTTAAGCAGCTTAACAAGTGAGTTTTGCAAGATTAGGACACACAATTGTGGTTCCGACGATCTCTTAACTGTGCATCCATGCTGGTGCATGGTGTGCGGTGTTACGCGGATGGATGGGCAAAGGGCATCGACGGAGACTTGCCCTGCTTTTGCCGGCACCATGCTATCGGCTAACGTTAACATATTCACCCTGGGTACTCGCATTTTCTTCCTCCTTGCTCCTCCTCCTTTCTTTTTCGAAGATTGCTAGATGACATGTACCTAAGCTGCGAGTTGGACTGCAACCTGGGTCAGGTGCGGGCACTGGTGGAGTATCTGGAGGACTCGGCAGCGGACTTTGCGGAGGTGAGCGCCCGTCCCTGGGGCCCTGCTGGCCCTCTGCTGGGGTGCAGGCAGGGGCGGTGCTGTCTCGCACCTTGCGTCACTGCCCCTCCCAAGCCGCCCATGTTGCTTAGCCCCACCTGACCACCTTTTGGCCTCGTCCTTATTTTGCCCTCTCCTCTTCTTTTCGTTTCCTCATTCTAACCTCTCCCCTCCACCGTGTGCACGTGTGTGTGTGTGTGTGTGCTTCGCAGCTGCACCTGCAGCTGGAGTCGGTGGTGTCGCCCCGGGGGCAGAAGGTGGCGTGGGAGGTGCGTGCGCGCTGCAGAGGCAGCCCGGACAGGGGGGGCAGGACAGGGGGGGCAGGACGGGGCCAGACACCAGCACGCACATCACCTGCCTGGCGCGACGACAGGGCGCATGCGTGGCCGGGGTGCAGGACGCTGGGGGGCAACGGAGGAAGGCCTCTTGCCAGAAGCCTAAGAAGTGTCCGTACCCCTGTGCTCTCTCCACGACTCCCTGACTTCCTCCTCCACCTCGCTCCCCCCCTTCCCCCTCCTCGCCCCTCCCCAAGCCCAGGTTCGCACCTCCCGCCGCGCCAGCAACCGCAGCCCTCGCCCCGGTGCCCTCGGGCCCTTCAGCTCCGGCGCCCCGGGCAGTGCTGCTGCCGCCACCACCGCCGCCGGCCGCGCCAACACAGCACCTCCTCCCGGCGTGGATGTTGCCGGCGGCGGCGGGGCAGCAGCAGGACCCCCCCACCCGGCCGCCGTGGGGCTCCCAGGCAGCCAGGGCGCCGCAGCGGCGGTGGCAGCCCCCGCCACCTCCGCCTCCGCCTCGGCCCCTGCCTGTGTGAGCGGCGCGGTGGGCACACCGTTTGCACATGCGGCTGGGTCGCGGCATGGGAGGCAGGGCGGGGCGGGGGTGGCGCCTGGACACAGGGCCGGCAGCGGAGGCGGTGAGGAGGATCCCGCTGGGACTGGGGCTGCTGCTGCCGGGGCTGCTGCTGCTGCTGCTGGGGGCGGCGGAGGTGGAGGAGGTGGAGGCAGTGGCGGGGCGCACAACTCCTGGACCGGGCGGAAACTCAACTGGAGCGAGCTCTTCACCCACAACCACCACCAACAGCAACAGCAGCCCGCCACGCACCCCCACCCTCCCATGCATCCTCATCCTCAGCATCAGCAGCACCCCCCGCTGCCCCCGCGAGGCGCAGGGCCGAGTGGCGGCAGCGGCCCCCCCTCCGCAGCCCCCTCCGCAGCCCCCTCCGCAGCCCCCCCTGCGGGTGCCTTCCGTCTGGGCGCGCTGCCGCCCCCTCCCCGGCTGGACACCACGGGCGGGGGTGCGGGCGGGGGCGGCGAGGGCTGCAGCAGCCCCACTGCGGGCGGGGGAGGGGGCGGAGGGGGCGACTCGCTTCACCACAAGATGCTGTCCTCGCCAGGTGGGGGTGGGGGGGGGAAGGGGTTCTGGGTGGGGTGCTGGGGGGTGGGTACCGGTGATGGGGCCCACCTCCCCATGCAGCTGGTCAGTCTCCTCCCCTTCCCTCCCCTTGCCCTCCATGCCTCCTTTCCCTCCGTGCCCTCCATGCCTCCCCTCCCCCCTCCCCCCCCAGGTCGCAAGCTGACCCCCGCGGAGGTGCTGCGCGCCAGCGAGGAGCGGCAGGCCCGCGCGGAGAAGGCGCGGCAGGCCATGGCGGAGGAGAAGCAGGCCAGGCTGGCGCAGGCGGCGCAGAGCAGGCAGACCGCCAAGACAATCATGGTGGGGGGGTGGAGGCGGTGGGGGGGGGCCAGGTGAGGGGGGCGGCATGGGCACATTTCGGAGGTGGCAGCCAACATGCACTGCTGCTGTGTGCTGCGGGTCTTGCCGAGGGACGGCATTGATGCCACTGCTGCTGCCTCTGCTTGATCTTGCTGCCCCTCCTTGCCTCCCCCCCTCCTTGCATGAGTCGGGATATGGGATTGGGACTGGTTGTTGCACTTATATAATTTTTCCCCTCCTTGCAGGAGGAGCGTGCGGGTGCCATCGCGGCCCGCGTGGAGGTCAAGATCGCTCGCAGTGCGGAGCTGCGGCAGGCGCACCTGGCGGGGCGGGTGCAGAAGGCGGTGGAGGAGACGAAAAAGGTGGGGGAGTGAGAGGGAGAGGGGGGGGCAGGGGGAGAGGGGGAGGGAGATGGAGAGAGGGGGGGAGGGGGTGCGGCTGAACAACACGACACAGGCAGCAGCGGTGCACCGGGGGAGGGTGGGGGGCTGCGCGGTTGCTCTCCTCTTGCTGCCTCTTCGGTTGGAAACACTCCTGCTGCCCCCCTGCCCCCCCCCGCCCCCAGGTAGCCGAGGTGGCGTTCATCAACCAGATGTTGGAGCAGGACAAGAAGCTGGCGCTGCAGGAGAAGCTGGAGGAAGGTGCGGTAGGCAAGGGGGGGGAGGGGGAGGGGGCCCTGCCGCCGCCTGCTGCCCCCTGTTTTCCTACCCACCTACTCACCTATCCCCCTGCCTGCCCCGCAGGCGAGGTGCGGCGGCGTCAGGCGCTGGAGGCGCTGCAGCAGCGGGGCAAGGGCGCGGCGGCGGCGGTGGAGGAGGCGCAGGAGCGGCGGAAGATGCTGGAGGTGAGGGGGTGGGTGGGGGGTTTGAGGGGTGTATTAAGGACCGCAAGCCCACCTCCCCCCCCAATGCAACCCCAGCTGGGGCCTTCACGTCGCTCGGTTGGTTGGTCTCCTCCCTTTCACTCCTCGCCCTGGTTTGGTTTGGTCTTTGACCCCCCTCAGGCTGAGCGGCGGGAGCAGTGGGCGGACCGGCAGCGGCGCAAGCTGGCAGCCCAGGTGGGGGAGGGTGGGGGGGGGGTAGGGACATGCGGGTGGGCCATGCAGTTGTGGTGGCGCTCGGGTGACCCATGGGTCGTCAGGTGGGAAGCAGCGGGACACACCACACAAAGCGAGCACCCCCAACCCCACCCCCAACCCCGCTCCTCCCTCCCTACCTCCCAACAGGCCAAGCTGGAGGAGGAGCGCAGGGCTGCTGCCGCCGCACGCGAGGCCGCCAGTCGTGCCGCCCGCGCCGCCGCCGCGCAGGCCGCCGAGGCGCGTCAGCGGCAGCGCGACGTGCTGTCTGGTCGCATCGAGGAGCGGCTGCGGGAGGCGGCGGCCAGGAGGGCGCAGCACCTGGAGCTGATCAAGGAGAGGGCGGCGCTGGGGAAGGTGGGGGGAGGGGGGTGGTGAAGGAGGCGGGAAGCAGGGGAAGGGAGAGGGATAATAGAGTACATGCGCCAAGAGTGTATGAGGGCTAAGTGTACGAGGCGACTGTTGGCAGCCAGGCAACCAGCAGATGCTGACAAACGGAGCCCCCGCGTAACCAAAACCTGCTGCTGCTTGTTGGTGATGCTGCTGTCTTGCCGCTCTTACTGGCCTCCGTCCGTCCGCCCCCACCTACCCACCTACCCACGTCCGCCCACCTACCCATCTACCCACGTCCGCCCACCTACCCACCCACCCACGTCGCCCCCACAGGACTTGTACGACCGCCGCACTGCCGACGGCCAGACCGGCTCACCCCGCTCCCCGCAATCTCGATTCACGCGCCCGCAGTCGTCTGAAGCAGCCACAGCCGCTGCTGCCGCCGCTGGCAGCAGTGCAAGCTTCTCCTCCGCACCACCGCCACTGCCGCTGTCCCGACCAGTAACCCCTCCGGGAGGGCCCCGCAGCACCGCCGCTGCCGCCCTGACCCTCGATCCCTCCTCCTCCGCCTCCTTCTCCTCCGCATGCTGCACTGCCGCTACCTTCACCTCCGCCACCATCACCGCCACCACCATTGCAGTGACCAACAACATGGGCGGCAGCGGCAGCGGCGGCAGCAGCCACGGCGGTGCAGGTGGCGGCGGCGGCAGCGGCGGCGGCAGCCCGCTGCGCTCCTCCGACCGCTCCATCACGCTGTCCTCCGACCCCAAGCGGCGTGTGAAGGGCATGCGGCGGAGGGCGTGCAAGACGCTGGCGAGGCTGGAGGCGGCCAGGTGGAGCGGGAAGGGAGGGGGAGGGGAGGGAGGAGGGGTGGGGTGGAATTGGGTAGGGCCTGGGGCGGCGGCAAACAAGAACCCGGCCTCTACGATCCCAGACCGTGTGCAGCAACCGGACGGTGTTAGGAACTGCACAGCCTGCGAACTGTGCGCACTGCGTGTGGGCTGGGACATGGGATTGGGACTCCGATGCTTCACACTTCTCATCTGTGTTCCCCCTTTCCCCCCCTTCCCCTCTCCTCCCCCATGCAGGCCTGAGTACACTGAGCCCGCCCCCCTGGCCGCCCTGCTGGACAGTGCTGAGGGGCGGGAGCAGGTAGCGGCGTGGGCGCAGCTGGTGGAGGGGGCGCGCAGGGAGACAGCGGCGGCAGCAGCGGCTGCAGCAGCGGCAGCAGTGGCGTCTGGAGGGAGGAGGAGGGGCGCTACCAGTGCTGGCGGCAGCGGTGGCAGGGGGGATGCCTCGGGTGCAGGTGCTGCCTTGGCGGCTGCGGGCGGTGGTCCTTCTTCTTCCAGTTCCAGTGCTGCGGCGGCGGCGGCGGCTGCTGCCGCAGCAGCTGCCTCCGTGAAGCACCTGCTACAGCGAGTGCATACGGACCTAGGGGGGCGGAACAAGGTGGGGAATAGATGGGGGAGGGGCTGCTACGGGGGCTGTCCATGCGGGCTATGTGGCCTGTGTGCCATGCAGGCAGGCCACACTGGGGTTAAGCGCTGTGGGCTGCTGTTACCGTGGTGCCCTGTGTGCAATGCCCTAGTGCCATGCAATGCGTGCCGCGCCCTACACGCTATGCCGTACATGCTATGCCCTACGTGCCGTGCCCTGCATGCCATGCCCTGGGTGCCATGCAATGCATGCTATGCCCTACATGCTATGCAATGCATGCTATGCCCCCGCGTGCTATGCCCCGCATGCCATACCCTGGTGCGATGCAATGCATGCTATGCCCTACATGCTATGCCCTACGTGCCGTGCCCTGCATGCCATGCCCTGGTGCCATGCAATGCATGCTACTGGTATGCCCTGGTGCCATGCAATGCATGCTATGCCCCGCGTGCTATGCCCCGCATGCCATACCCTGGTGCCATGCAATGCGTGCTATGTCCTACACGCCATGCAATGCATGCCATGTCCTGCGTGCTATGCCCCGCGTGCCATAACCCTCACAGCCAGCAGGTTCCAACTCGCGGCCAGTGCTGCCAACAACCCCACGCAGCCCCCATCAATCAAGGGATGTCACGCACATTCACGGCAATGCTGTTTCTTAAACCTTTCACCCCCCCCTTCCATCACCCCCCCGCATCATGCGTTCATGCCCCCTCTACTCATGCACAGGGTATAGCGCTGCACGCCGCGCGCCCCTCGGGTCTGCTGGCGGCACTGGCGGAGCTGCTGACGGCCCCGGCAGCGGCGGCAACCGCCCACCCGCCACAGACGTGTGTGCAGGTGAGTTGCTGCTGCTGCGGCTGCTGCTGCTGCGGCTGCACTGTAGTTCTTGCGTCGCACTGTTGGGCCGGACCCCCTTCCCTCCCTGCATGTAACCCCATACACATCCCCCCTCCCTCCCCCCCCCCCTTGCCCCCCAGCTCATGGAGTTGCTGGCCCTGCTGGTCACATCCTCGCCGCACAACGCGCGCTGGCTGCTGGCGTGTGGGGGCAGCGGGCGGCTGGCGGGGCTGGTGCGGGCGTGCATGCGGGCGCTGGATAGGTGGGGGACAGGGATGTAGGCAACCAAAACAATTGCAGAAATAATAAATATTGTTTATCAATACTCAATACAAATCTATTTTATTTCAAATGATGGAAGTTGAAGTATGATAGGCTACAATTCATTTATTACTTTATATTTTTATTTTCATGTTTATTAGAAACTACATGCTGTTGTCGCTCCGGCTGCCAGGTACAACGGGCTGGCGGCGGACGAGGTGTGGGAGGAGCCGCCCGAGGCGCGATACCTTGCGGCGCTGCTGCAGGTGGGGGGGGGGAGGGGGTACTGCAGTTGTTGCTAGGGGGTTTGGAGGTGTTGCATGGCGTCGTACAGCTCAGCCCAGTAACATGCAACTCCTGATGCGTGTGTGTTCCTGGCTCCCCGCGCTCCCCGCCCCACCCATTCAACACATTGGGTATTCTCCCCCGCCCTCCCCCCCAGACGCTGGCCTGCCTGTGCCGCACCCCCTGCTGCGAGCAGCCGTCCCTGGGGTCGCAGCAGGAGGAGCTGGTGGCGTATGTGGTGGCGTGCGGCCTGGTGCACAGGTGGGGGCTGCGGGGTGGGGGCTGCGGGGTGGGGGTTGCGGGGAGGGGGGCCGAGGTAGGGCCCCATAGACAAGTGGGGCCAGCTGTGAAGTTAGGCGGGGCGAGAGAGGGGGTTAAGACATTGAGCTGCTTGTGCCACCAAACACATGCAAGGCCTCTACCCATCCCTCCCCTCCCGCCCCCCCTCCCCCACAGGTCCACGGAGCTGTTCAGCCTGTTCGACCAGCCGGCCGCCAACGACACGGCGCCCATACCGGGCTACGTGCTGCAGTGCCTGGCGCTGCTGGAGGCGATCACGGGTACGGCAGGGAGGGGGGGGAGGGGGGTTAGGCGGGGAGGGTGAAGGAGACGAGAAGACGGTGTATAAGGGACAGTATTGCTTGGGGTTAGGTGAGGACAGGTGTGGTAAGAAGATCACCCAGGCTAGCTACCAAACCAACCCGCCGCTCCCTCCCCCCTCTGCCCCCCCAGGCGGTCCCGGTCGCCGCTCCCCCTCCGCCCGCCTGTGCTGTGGCAAGCGCTGGACACCGCCCGCCGCCAACGGAGCCGCCATCGCACTGGCGTTCCAGGTGGGCCTGGGGGCTGGGGGCTGGGAACTGGGGGATGGGGTGGGGATTCGTTCTCCGCATGGGAGCCAGCAGCGTCCCTTCCCAACCTCCTCTTCCCTCCTGTCCCCATTGCTGTGCCCTAACCTGTGTGTTTTGCTTCATCCTTGCCCCCGGCCGCTCTCCCCCAGGAGACCAGCATGGCCGGCCTGCCCTCGCTGCTGACTGCCGTGCTGCTCCGCGCCGCCCCCAGCTGCACACCCGCGGAGGCGCGACCCGAGCGCCTGCCGCCCAACTTCGTTGAGGCGGCCGCGTGCGTGATGCGGGTGCTCAACAACTGTGCAAGGTGGGGGGGCGGGAGGGGTAAAATATATAATGAGACACTGACGGTGCAACTGACGAGCTGTATGACGGGGGGGCAGAGGGGGGGAGGAAGGGGGAGAGGGGGGAGGGCGGGTGGGCAGAGCCCCCTGCCCCTCACCCCTCCTGTTGCGCACACCTCGGAACATGGGACTGTGCTTCCTTCACTTGCCATCCCTTTTCTCCCAACCCACCCCCTACATCACCCCAGACTGGACCTTCTGGCCGCTCAAAGCACCCTTGGCGCCCCCGACCTGCGCGTCGTGTTCTTCCACCTGGTCGGCTTCCTCATCTCATACGCCACCAACCAGTGGCCCAGCGGACGCGGACCGGCCGGCGCACAACCCGCCATCCGAGCAGCACTGGCCGCTGCTGCCGCCGGCCCCGCCGCTGCTGCTGCTGGTGGTGCTGCCGCTGCTGTCCCACCCAGCGGCCTCCGCAGCAGCAGCTGCCTGTCCCCTCCGCCACCCTCCGCTCCCCAACCCCACCCTTCTCCTCACCCCTCTCCCCACCCACCTCCGCCTCCGCCTCCTCCCCCCGCGCACACCGGTTTGGTGCAGCTGCTTAACGAGGTGCTGCTGCTGGTGGGGTACTTCGGTCTGCTGGCGCCCGCCAACCAGGACGTGCTGCTGTGGGGCAAGAGCCCCACGCTGCTCCAGCGGCTGGCGGAGCTGCCGTTCGGGTACTTCGTGGAGCAGCAGCTGCTGCAGGTGGGGGGGGAGGGGGGTGCATGGGGGGGGAGGTGAAGAAAGGGGGTGCATGGGGGGGGAGGGGGGTGCATGGGGGGGGAGGGGGGTGCATGGGGGGGGAGGTGAAGAAGGGGGGTGCATGGGGGGGGAGGTGAAGAAGGGGGGTGCATGGGGGGGGAGGTGAAGAAAGGGGGTGCATGGGGGGGAGGTGAAGAAAGGGGGTGCATGGGGGGGAGGTGAAGAAAGGGGGTGCATGGGGGGGGAGGTGAAGAAAGGGGGTGCATGGGGGGGGAGGTGAAGAAGGGGGGTGCATGGGGGGGGGAGGTGAAGAAGGGGGGTGCATGGGGGGGGAGGTTATACAGAGGAAGAAGCTGACGAGGGTGGAGGCTGCATGGGGGGATGGAGGTAGGGGAGATGCAGTTAGAGGAAGATGCCTCTGCAAGCCCGCAGCGCCCCCTGGGGACTGCGGCCAGCCTCCACTGCGCTGCACCTTCGCCCTTACCACCATCGCCGCGGCACACTTACCTTGCCCCTCCCCCCTCTCCCCCCCTCTCCCCCCCTCTCCCCCAGGTTCTGATGCCCACGCTGCTGGCGGTGTGTCACGGCAGCGAGCGAGCGCTGGCCGCCCTGACACAGCACCTGGACCCGCTGCTGGTGCGCAGCTACGTGCAGGTAAGGGGGGGGGGGAAAGGGGGGAGGAGGGGCGGAGGAGGTGGTAACGAGCACTGACCGCGAGGAGGCAACGTACTGGATTGACGGAAGCGTATGCCCCCACCAAAACGCCACGGGAGTCACGGAACTTTGCTTGTGTGCGGGTGCTGCCCCCGCAGGCTATGATGCGCCAGTACCCACTGCCGCAGCCGCACGGGGGGGTTGGGGGTGCTGGTGCTGGTGCCGCTTCCTCCGCACCTCATACGGCGGGGGCGGCGGCAAGGCACATGCAGCAGCAGCGGCCACAGGAGGAGGAGCAGTCGCAGGGCGATCCGGCAGCCGCCGCCGCTGCAGCAGGCATGGGCACGGCTGGCGAGGGCACCCCAGCTATCACCTCCTCTGCTGCTGTTGCTCTTGCTACCGGCGACGGCGACGAAGAGGGGCTGTTGTCGCCGCGGCGCAAGCTGCTAGCCGACCTTCCGACAGCTGCCGACGGCGGCGGCGGCGCAAGCGTTGTTGGCGGCGGCGCCGCTGGTGCCGCCCCCGCCACTCCTGCTGGCTCCACCTCCGCCACCACCACCACCACCCTTCCCATCATTGACGGGTTCGAGGACCCGCTGTCGCTGCCCCCACCCACTGCCGAGCGCTACAGCCTGCCGCAGCGCTTTCCTCCTGAGCTGCTGCCGCAGGTGCTGGCGTTCCTGGAGCGGCAGGGGGCGGGGGGCGGCAGCAGCGGAGGCGGCAGCGGCGGGGGCAGGAGCAGCGGTGGCGGGGGCGATCCGCTGGCGGAGGCTGTGGCGGCGGCGGAGGCGGCGGGGCGGCGGAGGCCGTCAGCGGCGCTGCAGCTCTCCCAGACGCCGCTGGCGGTGCTGGGCGCCGCTGCTGCTGCTGCTGTTGGTGGCGGCGGCGTTCAGAGCTGTACTGCAACTGCGGGCTGTAACACCAACAGCAGCGGCGGCGGCGGCGGCGGTGCAGGCGAAGTACGGGGCCGCGTTGATGTTTCTTGTACGACAAGGTTGTTACCTGGAAACACATCGGCGGTTAGCGCTTGGGAGTCGTCCGCCTCAGCCTCAGCCTCGTCACATGCTGATGATCGTGCGGCGGCTAGCGGTAGCGGTAGCGGCGTGGCTGGGAGGTCGGCGTCGGCGTCAGCGGCTGGGAACGGCGGTGACGCTGGGGACGGAAGTATGGAGACTGGCAGCAGCAGCGACGGCAGTGGCAGCGGGGAGAGTGGTGGAGGAGCTGGCGGCGGCGGCGGCGGCAGCAGGAGCGAGGGATACGTCCGGCACTTCCGCCGCTACCTGGATGCAGCGGACGTGCCGGTGCCGTTTGCCGCTGGCGGCAGCATGGGCGTACGACGGCAACGAATACACGATGTTACCACCGCCGCTGCGGCTGCGGCGGTGGTGGCTACTGCGGCGGATAAGGACGCGGTTGTTAGCGGCGGAGGCGGCGGTGTTGGTGCAGACGGCGGTGGTGGCAACAACTGCGCCCGCTCATACGTATCCGAGTTGAGCTTTGGCGGCTATCTGACGCCTTCACGAACGGACGGCGAGGGACCCATATCACCTTGCGAGGATGAGCGGGCTCTTTTGGACGAGTTGGATCTAGAGCAGTACGAGCAGCAGCGGTTGGACGAGCAGCGACAGCTGGACGAGCAAGGCGTGCTGCTGTTGGACGAGCCGCAGCAACCGTATTCCAGGCGGGGAGCGTTCGGAGGCCGGCAAGGAGGTCTGCAGCCAGCCGAGGCTGCCGCTGCGCATGGTGAGAGATGTGGGGCAGGGCGAGCATCTAACGGCTTGGAAGAAAGTGAAAATGAAGACGGTCCGCCGGATCTGGGAGCGGGATTACTGGACGCAGCTATGCAAGCAGGAGCGTGCGGAAGAAGAACGGATCAGACCAACCTTAACGGTGCGTCAACTTCGACGGGTGTTGTGATGGAGGCTTGGTGGCGGCAAATGGGATACAGTTTCGCGGATGAGGATGACAGCAGCGATTCTGACTCGGTGCTCGATGCTTGATGAGCAAGATAGGCAGCGGGCGTTGTAATCCTTCATCCAGTCGTGGCGCGTTTTGCGTACGATCTTAACCTTCTCAACTACTGAGGAGGACGGGCGACGTTTCTTCCTTCGTTTCTCCTTTAACCAAACATATAAACTTGGTACATATTTATGTCGCTGTAGATAATTGTTGGGCCCTGAATAGATCATATGGGTGCAAGGGTTTGACCTTTGACCAAACGGACTTTTGCTGTAATGGCTTCTGATTTCAGCACCACTGTAAGCTTCAATGTGGGTGGCCAAATATTTACCACCGTTAGGGAGACATTGCTAAAGGAGGCAAACTCACGTCTAGCTCTCATTGCACGAGGAGTTTTGGCTAGCGCCCGAGATCCGTCGACGGGTGCTTATGTGCTTGACCGGGACCCAAAATACTTTCAGCTTGTGCTGAACTGGCTACGGGACGGCTGGTGTTTGCTACCTCGGACAGCTGAGGAGCGTCGGGAGCTCCTTCAGGAAGTACGCTTCTACCATGTAAGCAACAGCTATGGTACCTATATTATAGTTTTATTGCAATATAGTCGGGACGAGACCGCTTTTCAAAGGCAACACATACCCGAGCGGCCACATGTATAAGATGATCACACCCCTTACTACGCAGCTGAGCGCCTTTGAGTCTTGGTTGCGCACCCAAGAGGTTCTTGGGGACGCTGCAGGCGGGCCCGCTCCGGACCTTGTGGCCTATGAGGTGGGCGACTTGCAGCTCTGGAAGGGAGCATGGGGCTATAGCTTGCGGTATGCACCTGCGAGTCAGGAGGTTGCTTGGCTCTAACAGCAGGTGGTAGTTTGAACCTTAATTGACTGTAGCCCTGGATTGGCGACACACTATGCCGCTTATCACTACACAGCTGGCGGTGTTACCGCACGTGTGTCGCGTCACCAGGCGTCACTCACGTGCCCTCCTTCCCGTCCCATGCCCTCCTCCCCCTCCCTTCCCTCCTCCCCTTCCCTTCTCCTCCCCATGCCCTCCTCCCCTTCCCTTCCCTCCTCCCAGAGTCCTCGGCCCCGCACCCAGCAACCCGCAGCCCCCCAGCCGCAGCCCTTCACCTCCTTCTCCTACTCCACCCTCACCTCCCCCTCATCCGCGCCACCCGCCACCGCATCCGCCTCACCTCACACCAACCTAGGCGCCATGCCCACCGCCCGCCTCGCCCCCTCCGCCTGGACCTCCTCCGCCACCGCACCCCCCGCCTCCGCCGCACCCGTCACCCTGACTGGCTCCAGCCTGACGGGCAGGACGTCACCCTCGCCCATGCGCAGCCCGCCGCCGCCGTCACCGACGGCTGCTTATGGCGGCGCTGGGTTGACCAACGGCTGGAGGCGCAGCAGCGGCGGAGGTGGAGGCGGCAGCACTGGCAGCGGCATGGGCATGGGCGGGGCTCCGCCGGGGGATGCGGTGGCATCGCTGCGGGAGGCCTTCATGGCGGCCACAGCGCCGCAGCGGCCGGCAGCGCATGTGGCGCCGTACAGCCTGGCTGGCACGGTGGGTGGGTGGGGTGGGGGGTGAGGGGAGGGCTAGAGACATATACACTGCGAAGACAGGGCTGCAAAGTGTGCGGCACCTGTGAGGGCGCCTGTGCGTCATTGCAAGCCAAGTGCGAGACGTGTGTCCCCGCTGCTTCACCCCCCCCCCACACACCTCGACCCCCGCCTCACCCCGCCCCGCAGGCCGACGAGTCCGCCAGCTGGACCAGCAAGTACCTTCGCGGCAACGAGGGGCTGCGCGAGCTGGTCAACACGCTGCTGGAGCTGGCGTTCATGGCACCGCACAGGTGGGAGGTGGGGGGGGTGAAGACCACATGCCAAACCATAGGAAGCCACAGGTTAGGGCAAAGCAAAGGGGATAGGAGGCGGCAGGGGAAGGGGATGCGAGAGAAATCACGCCGGGGGCGTCGGTCGGAGGGAAACCTGCTCTCTTGCATGGGAGGCCCATGCAGGTCGCGCACGCGCAGCTGCACCGCCGCCTGACGTCGGCTGCTGTCCCCCGCCTGCACCCCACCCCCACCCCACCCGCCCCCCTGCAGGTCCCTGAACTGCGGCAAGGCGCACGTGTGCATCAGTGTGGCGTGCGGCCACCTGCAGGAGGCCAGCCTGGTGGGCAGCAAGCAGGAGCACATGCGGAGCAAGCTGCTGGTGGGGGGGGAAGGGGGGGGAGACGAGTGGGCGGGGCTGGGGTGGTGTTGGAGGGAGGCCGGGGAGCCGCGGAGCGCGGTTTGTGGGGTTGGGGACGCTGGGTACTGTTTGTGGAGGGCAGGCATGACGCTGCTGCGGCGAAGTGCGTTCCTCGCTCTTCCGCAACTGCAGCTACAGTCGGGGACCGGCGGCTAGAGTTAGAGCAGGTTGGCTGTCGGTCGCGCGGCGACATTGCGATGGATGGAAGAGGGAACAAGAAGGGCGGGGTGGTGGGAACAAAGTGGTGGGGACTTAGAGCGGATGCTGCGAGCGCAATCCCCGGTGGAACGCCCCGATGACCGGGGCTGAACAAGGTCAGGCGGGACCTTGCCGTGTCACGGGCCATGCCAGTTCGCGTGCCACATGCGCCTCGCATGTCGCCTCGGCAGCCTCCTCCTCCTCCTTTTCGTCTCATCCTTGGCGTCTTGGTCCCCCTGCTTCCTCCTCCTCCTCCGCCCCGCCCCGCTTGTTAGGAGGTGAAGGTGCGGGGCGCCATGGGCTGGTCGTTCGACCTCACGCTGCGCCCCAGCAGCGATGTGGCGCTGTGGGACAAGTACGGAGGGGTGGCGGCGGCGGTGCAGGTGAGGCGGGGGGGGGAGAAAAAGTTATATAAAAGTGAAACAAGGGGGTGCAGGGGCGCGCATGCGAAAAGGGGGGGTGCAGGGGCGCGCATGCGAAAAGGGGGGGTGCAGACCAGCTGCCGCGAAGCCCAACTACCAGCAACTTCCCCCCATACTCGTACATCTGAGAGCAGAGCAGACGCACAGTGGGCATGGGAAGTATACGAGATGCACACCTTGGGTACCGTATTGGTATTGGTCGCATGCCCTACCACCACTACCGTGAAACCTGCGCTACATGCACCCGCTGCTTACCGCTTTCCACGTGTTGTGTTCTTGCATGTACGGCGGCGATGTGCGGTATGTACGGCGGTTGCAGGACAACTGGTTCGTACTGGGTGCCGTGTTGAAGGACCAGTTCGGAGTGGTGCTGGAGGAGGACTCGTCGGCGCGCCCCACCTGCGCTGCCTGCCGCCGCACCTGCCTGGCCATCACGCTGAACAAGATCTTCTGATGATGATGATGATGATGATGGTGGTGGGGCCTGACATAACATGATGATGATGATGATGGTGGTGGGGCCTGACATAACATGATGATGATGATGATGGTGGTGGGGCCTGACATAACATGATGATGATGATGGTGGTGGGGCCTGACATAACAAGGTCGCCATGCCTGCGAGACAGCGCCTCACGTCGACCCGGCCAAGACCCGCTGGAAATGTGTATCGGCAAGTGCCAGACGGCCGACTCATGGGTTAAGGAAATGAAAAGCCCACGCTTACTGTTACATACGGGCTAGGCAGGTGGTCACGGGTTGCTGCTGTGATCATCATTCTTGTACATAGGACCATGCCCATGAGCGTGATGGCGTACACCGGTATAGGTAGTTCCTGGGACCGCAACAACTGACCGCAACAGTGTACTGTACTGATTGCCGTGCGTGCGAACAACTGTACTGATTGCCGTGCGTACGAAAGGGTATACTGGAGTGGGCGACGGATACTGAGTCTTGAAGTCATGTCGTGACTGGGTGGCGGGTTGAGCCCCTGCCAACGAATAATGTGCGGGCATCATCTGTCCTAGCCAAGGCGCGCTGGCAATTCGTAACCGGTGCTGGAATCACGTGCACAGAAGGCGCGAAGCGGACTGCTTTCGCTTGGGCTGGTGGGCCTTGAGGGGGGAGGGTAGCTAGCGAGGAAGCGTGAGGCGGACTGCAGCAGTGCGGGTGGTCCGTAGGCGGACGGGGAGTGTGGCCAGACGCCCTGAAGCGGCTTATAGCTTTATACAATAGCTAGTATTGAGCAGTGCATTTTTGGTCCGCCATGCCTCCTCTGTCCTCTCCCAACAGCAACATACCCTTCATGTTCACGACGTACGAGCGCCCCCTTTGCTCCCGTGGGACGGGGCATACCCGTACCGGTACCCACGACAGTCATGCGACCCGTCGCCCCCCCTGCTGGGCGCCAGGGACTCCTGATTAGCGAGTTACCATTGCTGACAGCCCCCAAACCGCAGTTCGATAGGGCATATACGTCTTGTATGCTCAGTCTCCCACGCCAGTTGCGCTATAAGCCGCCCTTGTAGACGTTAGGGTTTGTAGACGTCAGTTGCGCTCTAAGCCGCCCTTGTAGACGTTAGCTCTGCCCTGCCTTAACGTTACCACCAGACCACTCCAGCCCCTGTCCGGCATGCGCCTGCCAGCTATCATCCCCATAGCCATCCGCATGCCAGCTTCCATAGCCTCTCCTTACATGACCCTCTTCCACCAGCTCCCCTCCTCCCCGACGGCCTCACAAGTAGCCGTCCAGCTTGTCTTGCCGCTCTGCCTCCTCATTGAAGCCGTTGACTCCCTTTATGAACAGGAAACCTGCGGGCAACAGGGCGTGTGGCAGGAGTGGGATCCAAGGAGGGGAAGGAGTGTCTCAGCGCCCCCAGCTGCGATCCTCACCAGCTGTTGGGAGGCCGGTGGCTGCTAGGAAGAGCAGGATGGGGGCCCAAAGCGGGTTCTCGGGCGGAAGCACTCCGAAGAGTGGATTGCGGTCGGTGAACTCAAAGATAGATCCGACGGCCGCGATTGCTGTAAATATGGAGAAGAGGAGGTACAGCGGCCAGGGTAGGCCGGTAGGGCCTAGCTTGGATTGGAGCTCGCGCTCCTTCTCCCGACGCACCCAAGGTGGAAGTTCCTCGTCCGCAGCTACCTACGACGTAGAGCGGTTGTTACCTATGCGGCTCCTCTAAAGCAGTATCAGGGCACGCTCGTCGCCAAAGCAAGGCTACCGGTTTGGGAGGAGGTTGCTGCTCGGGCTGAGCTCGAAGAGGCCTCACGTCACATCCGTAGCCGATTCCACCTATCCGTGGTTGACGCCCGAACACAGATATCACAGCATTTGCTTTTCTTGTCGATTGCTGCAAGCCACAATGCCCAATGCACCTTGAAGGACTCAGCAGCGATTGCATCTTAGATGTAAAATTCCTATATGGGTCTGCCACTAGGCGGTAAATTAGCAGTTTGTAATACGTCTGCGGTAGAATTACCAAGTGTACGGCGTCGGTTTAGGTTGAGCGGCTCACAGCACTCACCGGTTCTTCGGTATTCCAGGCGCCAGCCCACCAGAGCTTTCACAGTTAATCTATAAGTCTGCTCGCACATTATACTACAGTAATCCCATGACTTTTGACTAGAGCGACGCGACTTGCAGCATCAGTCGCAACATCTCCTGCGGACTTAAGTTCAAGTAAGCAAGTTGGCTAAACTTATACACCCTCTACACTACAATCGTCAGCTAGATAGTGCAGCTATAGGCAGGTTCTAGAAAGCGATACGGTAGAGGATGCAGAGCCTTGGCAACCATGAGCTAACCTCCAGGAGAAGCTGCGGGAGAGCACGCCCATGGGTGCAACATATACACTTTTTCAGTAGACCGTCCACGCGGTTAGGTCGAGTCGTGCCTCAAGCAGCCGCGTCAAACAACGGCCCATCACCAAGCGATACGAGCCCAGCAGCGCGACGCGACTACAGCGTCAGCCTCTTTGGTGAGTACCCGCTGCTCACGCATCCCTGATCAGGCTTTTGGGAAGCCAACTGAACGATGATATCGTACCAATGAACCATGCTGTCGTACCAAGAAACCATGCTGTCGTACCAAAGCATTCTTGCAAAGGCTGTTGCCTACACATGACCCTGCACATACGTCACAGCGAATCACCTCGTTACCTGCACGCTATCCCCTTCACCCCCTTCGCTGGCGCCAATATTGCCCCGCTGTAATTCATCACTTCACTTCCTTCACTTCACACACAATACTCCACCTACTACATCTCGTCGCCTTCTCACCGGCAATTCCAAACCGGCAATCCCAACATCCTCCCCAGACGCGCTCAAGTTCAACGGCCCCGCGCCCGAGCTCATCAACGGCCGCCTCGCCATGCTGGGCCTGCTGGCCGGCGGCTGGCGCGAGGCGCACGGGGCCGGCACGCTGGCGCAGCAGGCGGCGCTGCTGCCACCGGGGGAGTGGCTGCTGCTGGGGGTGTGGGTGTGGGCCTCGCTGGTGCCCGTGCTAAAGGGCGCCAAGATGGAGGCGTTCGGTGGGTGGCGGTGGTTGTTATGGATGGATGACGGTGGTTCTGGTAGTCGCTCGTCGTTCCTGTTAGTGGGTGGGGGATGAGAGGTGGCGATATTGGATGGGGGTGAGGGGAGTCGGATTGGGCTTTGCAAGGTGCTTGGGCCCTGGGTAGTGCTGCTGTCCAAGGCGCTGTCCAACACTGCCTCTCCGGGACGTCCCCCTTGCCGCGAGCGGTGGGCCCCTTCCTCTTCCCCAACCGCCGCAGGCTGGTTCACGCCCCGCGCGGAGATCACCAACGGCCGCGCCGCCATGGTCGGATTCGCGGTATTGCTGTGGCTGGAGGACAAGGCGGGGGTGCCGTTCTTCTAGGAATGCTGGGTCCGCCTGGCGTAAGGAGGAAGTAACTAGCCACGTGGCAAGGGTCCTCCCAAAGGGTGTTGAATCAACGGTGTGTGCCTGGGCTCGCTGGTGTGGGCGTCACTGGCGGAATTGGTTGGTTGGTTGCCCGGAAGTAGGGGCTGCTTACCGCCAGAAGAGTGCTGTGATGCTGCTGTTGGGTGCTGCCTGGGAGGAGAGAACACTGGAGGACATGCGGAAGAGGCTGGTGGGTGCACGTGGTGTTGGTTGTTGGGGTCGCATAGGCCCGGTGCTTCGGAAAATCAGTTAAACACAAAACGTACAGCGAAAGTTGAGTTGGACAGCTGGAAACGTCAATATATATACAACGCTGCTACGATGCAAAACTACAGACAATGACCTATTTCGCAGCCTCAAAGCCCAATTCACGAGGTCGGAGTACACCAAAAGTGCGACCTGTGATGTCGACACAGCACAGCACGGGTGAAATGCACAATCCATGCAACGGAAGCACTGTCCACGCATTCATGGTTTATAAGCAAACCGGTACGTCAATAATGGAAAGACATGTCCATAAGGTACCCCCGCGTGTTTCGAAACCCAATCGGAAAAATTAGATATGCTTATGCAAATCGGATACGCTTAGGTACGTACGGCCCAACTAACCGCTAACATATACTTGGGGTCACTGTGCCATCATTCACTCACATACTACTGTTCTTTGGCGAACAGGACCTCCACTGCTTCAGCCTGGGCAGCTCTACACAGGGAGTATCCGATACCAGACCTGGCCGGGCTCCTTGGACTCCGGAACATACCCGATGCTCTGATCTTCCATTTTGCGGCATAACAGACTTGCCACAGTGGCCGCGCTCTTTCACATCCGCAGCTGCACCCCCTTCCATCATTAACTTCCAAACGGGTGGCTAGCCTCCGCCACCACCACCGTCGCCCCACGTCAGCGTGGCCTAGAACCAGAAGAGCATTGGCCCCCGTGGAATGGATGGGAACGGCATCACACCTCCGACGCTCTCGAGGTGGAGCATTGGCCCCCGTGGAATGGATGGGAACGGCATCACACCTCCGACGCTCTCGAGGTGGTGCTCCACGGTAGCCATATCCGGGCGGGCGTGGGGGTTTGGGTGCATGCAGTCGTGCTCCATTCGGTGGTAAGCCTGGGGCAAGTGCCCCATGCAGGCGCCCCTCATCAGGTTCAGCACGATGCCATAGCTGTATACGTCAGACTTCTTTGTGTAGACGTGCTGGCCGTCTCGAAAGCGTGGATCGCCGCGGGAAGGGGCGACGTTGCCGAGGACAGCAAGGCCCCAGTCACCGACCTGTAATAGACGTACGGCCGACAGCATGCGTTAGTTGTTAACGGTTACATCAGCAGAGCGGCTCGGCGCGCGGACCACTCACCTTCGGCCGAAAGTGATCGTCGAGCAGTATGTTTCCAGGCTTGAGGTCTCCGTGCAAAAAGTTCCGCGTGTGCGCATAAGTCAGAGCTCTGGCGACTCCAACAGCAATGCGCATCACAACCTCTGGTGTAAGGACCTGGTTGCGGATTGCCGTCCCGAGGCTGCCGCTGGAGCAAAATTCGTAGACCAGGGCGAGCTGTCGGTCGCTGTAGTTGCCACGCCCCTTCAGGGCCAGAATGTTCGGGTGGTGAAGCGAGAGCAGCGCATTAACCTCCCGTTCATAGCTACGCCTGTCAGATGTTATCTTGACAGCAATATCTTTTTCATCATCGCGACAGTGATACACCGTGCCAAAAGAACCACTCCCAACGTTTGTGCCCGTTCGCACGAAGTTCCGCAGGTCCTCAGTTCTATACCTTCTCATTCCTAACTAATATTGCAATTGGGCAGTCGTCACACCCGTTATTATAGCTGCATTGCGTTGCTTGTGGAGGGTGCGCGCAGCTGTACGGCATGAGAAGTACCGTAAGTACAGGAGGTTGGAGGAAGGCGATGGCACCTGGGACATTGCGGTGATTCGCCCTGGCAGTGGGGCGCAATGAGTGGCTAGGGATCAGCGTCTGTGCCATTTCTGTGATGCGCATGTCGTGGAGGATGATCCTTATTGAATTCGCGTGTTACGCGCCTTTGACAGCAGCTGCTGGTTTCCATTATCTGCCAAATCTCGCTGACGCAATTATGGCTAGGATTATGTGGACCTTTACAGTAATGTTGCTTAAATAGCCTGTCTCTATGTATGCGTATAGGTCCAGTCGCGCTTGATAGACAAGTGCCTAACAACAATTCTGTCTCCCTGCTGCTATTTGGTAATGCGCCTCTTGACCGGAATGGTTCGTGCGGTAGGACGACAAGGGTGTTAGGGCCCTACCACGGTGTGGTCCGATGAACTCCCAAACTTACTGTACCTTACAGTAATAAGCAGTATCATAATAGTAAGCGATATTGAAATAGAAAGTCAGCTACTTACTTTCAATAACACAAACCATTTCCAAGATGGCTCTCTTTGCTAAACGCATTATATGCTCACGAGTTCTTCAACCTCAAACACATATACTTTCAAAATAAATTCGATGCTGCATAAAAGCATAATGTGAAGCCTAGTTACGGTGCCAGTATGCGCTTCTCTTTGTCCTTATCAATGTATGGACGCGATGACGCGCTTGTTTTATCAATTACAACATATTACAATATAATAATCCATGCAAGCATATTCTTGAACGTCTCCGCCGCTGAATATGCGCATGTGTCTCCTAGACGCGTCTAGGTAGGGGCACCCAGGGCGCCGGGTACAAGGGGGTGGTGGGACCCCACCATAGGGGGACGACGGTGCAAGGGTGGTAGGGGCGGTAGGGGTGGAAGGGGTGGCAGGGGAGGCACTTGGAGAGTCAGGTTGGCGGAAGGAGGTTACATGGAATTGGTGGGGGCCTCCAACCCTCCGCAGGAATGCTGCACGGGGAAGGGCAGAGGGAGACAGGCGCAGCGTGGGGAGCGTCATGGGAAGGCAGGCCGTTCCCTGCTGAAGTACTGGCACCTGTGCGCTATTGCACGATACTGATCCTATTGCCACTGCACGACTACACCACTTCCCGACTTCACCAGTCGCCCCCATCGCCCCTTCGAAGCAGCTACACTGCAGGGGCTCCGCCCAAAACTGATGAGACTGGAAGTGCTATTTGCCGCCTTAGTTGACACAGATGGGGGGAGGGCATTCACTGGTGGTCAAGAAGATAAACCAACCCGTTCAAATTTCAGTGGTGGAGAACATGCCAGTGTGTCGAGCTATGGACATTTAAAGATACATACTGTGCATTTGTACTTGTCGACATGGGGTTGTCGTGACACTCGGTACACACGCCACATCACAGCACACGGTTATATGTCTATGAACACACTACACCTTATTGACGGGTAGGTAGTAATTGAGGGGCCTCAACCGGGTGTCATCCAGCATAAAAGGCAGTGGGAAATTCAAACAAGCGTCAAAAGTATTGCCTAGCAAGGTTTGCTGCCCCTTGACAGGACATATCGTCCCCTTGTGGCATACCACAGCACCACCGCAACCCACCCGCGCGTGATCTTCACCAAGACAGTTCGTCCACTCTAGACGCGTTTGACGCTCTTGCGTCGTAAGCGTTTTCTTCCAAGGCTCTTGTTTTCTCCTTACTGTACTTGGTTACTTCCTATACCCCAACAGCTTGCTCTGCTGCCACCGTATTCTCTCAACTCAGCAACCTCCTCACCAACCGCTGCCCACGCAAAGACCTGTCAGCAACCGTCAGTAATTGACACCTCAACTGACCGAGCGCCACTCCAACCCCAGACACACCGGCCCCTGCTTGTCCCAGCAGCACAAACAAGAAGACCATTCAAACGTTGAAAAGCGAAGTCATCATGCGGTCAGATGTCCGCAGAGTAGGTCACCGTGCGTCCAAAAAGTACCACCACTCAATACACCTGCAGTTGCTTTAATACATCTGCAGACGCGCCACGCATACGCGCAATTCCAGTATGTTCCTACTCGCGGCCAGTTTTCTAAACACAACCCGTCAGCACCGGCGAACGACCACGACGGCAACACGGAGCTACAACGCGTGTCGTACCGACTAAAAGTGTTGTTATAGGACTTAGATTGCCTCAGGTTGTGGTCCGTACAACCTTTTCTCTTTTTTCTCTTCCTTTTCCTCCCTTCTTTTCCCCCCCCTCTCTTTCTTCTTTTTCCTTTTCCCCCTCCACTCCGAAAGAGGGAGGAGGAAGGCGCTGCAAGATAGCTAACGGGTCCGTACTGTCATCTGAAGGGTCATAACTTATAAGTAGAGTATGTGCCCCCGTGGTGCACCTCGACCTCATCCAGCCCCAGCATGTGTACTCCAGGCTCGGTATATCCGTCTGGTTGCAGTGCTGCTGCAGGACCTCTGCAAAGGACCTGCTCTCGCTGCAGACTGCACACACCCGTGGCGGCGTGTTGTCGCGAACGAATTCAGCGAGATCGCAAGCGAACATTATCTGCTCCGATAATGGGATCTGAGGAGGCTGTTCATCGGCTGGTAAGCTTTGCACGCGATCTGGCCAACCCGCAGTCTGTGTCTCTAAGAAAGTCGACAGCTCAGGGCTCGCGGGATGATCGTGACGGAAAAGCGGTAAATGGAGGCAGTCTGAAAGGGACTCGAGGTAGTCAGCATGAGACAACACACCCGTAGCCCCAGAACGCGTACGCCGGCAAGCTCGCTTAAATGCTGCCACCTGTTGCCTCTGCTGAAGCTCTCGCGCCGAATTCAACCGCCTGCGGACCTGCCTGGCTGCTGCCATCATTCGCACCTGCTGGGACCGGCGCATTGAATCACTTGCCGCTGTGTCTGATGTTACCGCTGCCGCCGCTGGTACACTCAAAAGGCCGCTCTGCGGTGCATGCAGCGCGATAGGATCCCCTTGCCCCAATCCCAGCTTTGCTGTGGATGCCGCTGGCGTCGCTGCCATCACCACCCGGGTTCGGGTCCGCCCGTTGGAACAGAACCCGGCGACGTGGCAGGCGTCAGGAGCGCCGAGCGAATCACACCTGGCGCACCAGCCTCCGCCACCACTGCCGTCACGGCCGGTGCCCCTAGACCGAAACCCAAGCCAGCCTCCGCCGCCGCTGGTAGTACTGCCGCCGCAGCCGATGCCCCTAGCCCGAAGCCCCCGCCGACCCCCGCAGCCGTACCGCACAAACCCGCCTGCCCCGAGCCACCTCCTCCTGCTATTGTACACTGGACACCAGCGCTCGGCAGTTGCCCTCCCTGTTGTGCTTGCTCCTGTTGCAGACGAGCTACCGTATAGTCTGGTGCAACGCAACAGCAACAGCATCTGCCCGCATGAGGTCCTGTTGCCGCGCCACATCTGAATCCCACACGTTGAGCTGCCACCGTACCGAAGCGAGTGCGTTAGGAGGAAGGCGACCAGCAGCAAAAGCATACCGAGCGCACAGCGTAGCAACGACATACTCGCTGTCACTCCTCTGGCGTACTCGGTCCAGCAAGCCGTGCCCAAGTACGTACTCCCCAAGCTCCAGCATGTAAGTAGCCACCTCAGGCACTGTATGCCCGAACCCACGCAGATGGTCGACGACCCGCTGAACGAACTCCGACAGGAGCTCGGGGAAGCATAGAACCGCATAAACGGAACCTTGGCGCTCGGACAGCAGCAAGCTGGCAACTGCTTTAAACCACGGCCACACGCTGAGCCTGCGCAAGCCGCTGCAGTAGGGCATGCTGTCGAGCGGGTCACCTTTGCCTGCGACACGCCCAAGGGGAAGAAGAGAAAAAGAGGGAAGGAGATGGAGGGATGGGAGGAATGGTGAGAGGGGAGAGGAGAAATATGGAGGGAAGTGGGTGGGTGGGGGGGCGGGGGGGTAGGAAAACGGAGGGAAAAGAAGAAGGTGCTGGTTCTGCTGGTGGGTGTGGAGTTGGCGAGTGGGAGCTGGTGTCAGAGATATACCAAAACCACAGGAGCTGGGAGTTCACACGGAGCTGGGGGCTCCGGGTGCATGCATGAGAGCGCTGCATGTGGTGCTGCAGGGAGGGGAGACACAGCGGCAGGAAACACCGTGTAAAACGTGTTTTATCATCACATCATGTGACGGCGTCGTTATAATGCGGGAAGGGCATTCGCTCTTGGAGTGCACATGTCCAGTGTCGGGATATAAACTTACAACAATGCATACGTACTGTACATCTTTTGTACCTGGCTGCATGGGTCAGTGACACCGGGTATGTACGCACAACCAAACGCACACCGTCAAATGTCTAAATACACGGCACCTTTAATGGTGGGTAGGTGGCAAGCGAAGGGCCCAAACCCTGTGTCGCACAGTCACGAAACGCAAAAGTGAAAAAGAACCTAAACCAGCGTCAAAAGTATTGCTTAGCCAGGTTTGGCACCCTTAACTACACATGGCTAGCACATGGCGTACAACAGCACCGCAACTTCCGCATGTCTTTCATCAACACGGTCGTCGGTTTGAAGATGCGTCAGAGACAGCGTGCTCTTCGTCCAAAATACTTCAACACGTTCCTCCCTACTGTATTTCTTATACCCCGCCAGGTTGCTCTCTCACCCCATATATGGAACAATCCTCGTCAGCCACTTCCAACTGCCGCCTGCAGCCCACGCACCGCCCAGCAACCGCGTTCAACTGACTCAGCGCCGCGGCAACACCCCCTTCCCGGGACACACCCGCCCCTGCTTGTCCCAGCAGCACAGTAAACATACGTGGTTAAGGTGAAGTGTCTGCAACGTAAACGTCAACACGCGTTATCTGTCCGCAAGGTAAGTCAACATGCGTGCAAAGAACCTACCACCCGCTGAAACACCTGCGAACACGCAAGTGGGCACCCGCACAGGCACACGTGCAACACGTCAGCACCGGAATACTCAATCAGGACAGCGACTCCCGGGAACAGCACGCGTGTCGCACCGTTCTCATGCACCGTTCTCATAACCAGAACAGTTCTAGATACCGTAGCACATGTGCCTCTAGGTATACACATTGCGGAGAACAGCTGCTTCAGCCACCGCCCACCGAACTCCCCTGCTGCTCAGGGGCGGCAGCAGCAGCAGCAGCAGCGGCAGGTGGCCTGTAGCAGCAGCGGCAGTGAGCCTGCAGCAAGCGCCAGCACGATACCAACGAGCGCCAACGCACCGCCCACAGCGACAACCACTGCCATCCCAGACCCGCCGGACGCTAGCTGAAGCCCCTAACGTGGTCCCCTAACTGCCACCGATGCTGCTACCGCCGTCGCCGCTGCCACCGCTGCAAGTCATTAGCTAGCGTTCGGTGTTAAAAGTCAAGTGCCGGCAGCCACTCTTCTTCCGGCATGCAAAATTAGCCCACGCCGCATTCCCAGCCCCCCGCTCCCCTCCTTCCACCCACCCACTCCCGCCGCGGACCGCACCGCTCTCCGCTCTGGAACGCTCCTTGGTGCGCACCCCGCGCCCTCTCCCCCTTCCCCCCGCTCTCCTCCTGCCCCCTCCCTCCCTCCCCTCCTCCCTTCACTCAACAACCCTCTCCTCACAACCCTCTCCTCCCCGCTTCCCCTCACTTGCTCGGCCGCAGCAGCGTCAGCGTCCCCGTGATCTTCCCCTCATGCAGGTAGTCCGCCCAAGCAGCCAGCGGCCCGCCCCCGCTGCCCCCATCATGGCTGTCCGCCGTCGTCGGCCGCAGCGGCAGCACCTTGGACCAGCCCCGACCCCGCCCGATCGTCACCATGTCCTCAGAGCTGCTGTAGCTGTACTGCACCGTCCGCCGTACTCCATCCTGCCACTTGTGTACGGCAAGATGCGCGTCAAATTCCACCACCGCCGCCAGCTTGCTCTCGTCGCCCAGTCGCGACTCCGCGACTTCGAACGCGGAGGACATATTGCACCACAGGAACAGCCCCGCCGCCGCCTGGCCCACCGTGTACTTGAGCGAGGGGCGCCACAGGAACCCCCGCGCCACGATGTGCGCCTTCCCGCCGTCAAAGCTGGGATACACGTGTTCCCGCCGCAGCTGCCCCAGCTTCTGCTCCAGCTGCTCCTGCGTGACGTGCCAGTGGAAGGTCAACCCCGCCTCCGGCAGGCACTGCGGCCGGGGTGTGATGCTGTAGGCGGGCGTCTTCAGCCCGAACATTCCGCTGCCTGCCGTCTCCAGCTGCTCGCGCTCCACCGGGGAGGCGCGCGCCAGGTTGCTGATGAAGGCGGCCTCCATGCCGTTGACGGCCAGCCAGCCAGCAGGCGCCTGGGCGCCGGTTTCGTAGTCCAGCACCAGGGCGGGCAGCACGAAGCCGAGGTAGGGCTTGCTGAGCTGCACCAGGCGGACTTGTCGGCAAAGCCGCTCGCGCATCGTGGCGTCAGCTTTCGCGTAGTTCTTCTTCATCCAGGTGGCGAGCATCAGCAGGATGCTTGACTCGCTGTCGGTGCCGAAGGCGCTGGATTCCAGCAGTGCGTACACGGCGGCGGAGGGGAGCTTCAGCAGCTGCTGGCGGAGGAGTGGCGTGTTGAGGACGGAGATGGCATTGTTGAAGTAGGACACGAGCTGGGGCTTGGCAGCGGAGAGCACTGCGGCGAAGCTGGGGTCCTCGTCGGGGTCGGGCCACAGCGCTTCGTTGGTGTACAGCTCCAGCACGGGTGGGAGCTTGTCTGCGCTGGCGCCGGCTGCAGGAGATGCGTCGATGATGGCGGTACATGTGCCGGCGGCGCTTGACCGCTGGCTGGCAGCCTCCAGCTTTTCGCGCACAACTTCATCGCATGCTGTTGCACACTCGTCGATTTGCAAGTAGGCTGCTTGACGCCGTACTTCGAGAGCCTCGCGGATGCTGCCAGCGTGCACCTGTCCGGTGTAGGCGTACCGAATGGCTGCGTGGGCGCCGGCAAGCTCCCCTTCGCTTCCAAGCGTGATGCGCAGCTCCGGCCGTCCATTGGACAGCGCGAGGTGCAGGCCCTCTGCACATTCTTCCTCGCTTGCATCGGGCGACGACTTTAGCAACGGTACCCGTTGGTTGCCCCAGCGCTCAATCTATATTGATAGTTGCAAAGCAATCAACAATTGCAGTGTTATTCCTTTAAGCTTTCAGCTAGGCACAAAGGTGTCCTAGCCCCGACGGCCAAGTGCCGCTTGTAAGTTACCTGAACAGAAAATCGCTCCGATGCGTAGCGTAGGACAAACTGGTGAGCAGGTAGTGGATCTCCAACGACAACAGTGCCACAAGAAAGAGCTGCCGAAGAGCCATCCTCAAGCTTCTGCCGTTTGGCTGGGGCTTCGTCCACTTCAGCACCTAGGTCATCCAGCGGCGGGCTTTGCCTTAAGGGACAGCTAGGTTCTTCAAGGCAAAATACAATCGTGCAATCAGCATCCTTTTCGGACCCGAAGAGTCCGGAAATCGCCCTGGCGACGCTTTTGTTCACGGTAAAGCTCATGACGTCCGTGGCACCTACAGGTAGCGTCACCCGCCCCCGCTATATAGAGAAGTCCATGGGGCGTTACCAAGAGCCCGGATGTTTTCCATGAACCGTACCACGTGATCGAGGCAGTACAGACGCGACTAGCAAGTTGGTTGATACGGCTTTTATTGCACTTGGGGTCACCTTACATAGCACCTTATGGAAGTAGAACTCCCAGCTCCATCATAGATGTGCCGCACACGTTCAGAAAATGGCTTAAGCCTGGGGAGGTAGTTTGGATGGCATCATCAAACCCCGGCCATTGCCCAGCCTGCACAGCAAATGCTTTTCCCGATCAACAAGTTAAATGATAAAGGGCAGAACCTGCCCAACAGCACCTGCCGAGCTAACTAGCTTCCGGTCCGCAACCAAGCCCTTCCTCCATCCTAGTTTCCTACCTAACCTGATAACTGGCAATCTAGACTCCCTACGGCATCTAAATCTATCCTAGCCTACCCTTCACGTACCCTGCTAGTAACTGATGAACCCCGACTACAGTCGCGGCCACATTGATGAGTTAAATCGTTGCCACGCGTTGCACAACACCGCCCACGCCCCATACCGCCTTGCACCCCCCTCGAAGCATCGAAGCTAAGGTTCTTGGCCCCCCTGGCTCGTACGGAAGTGCTGTACACGATTACAGACTACAGATTACTATAAGTGTAACCCCCTTCCCCCGACCCCTTCCAAACCTCACCCACACCTAAGAGCTAAGACCTAACCCCTTGCCCCTCAGCCCTCGTCAACACCCCCTCACCTCCCTCCTATGCCACCTTCCCCCGTAGCCGCCCCCCCAGCTTCTACAGCCCCCCCGGAGGCACCGACAGCTCAACATGTCCCTTCGACACCCCTCCCCGCCCCTCACGCCATGCCGCATGACACCCCCCTCACGCCATGCCGCACGACACCCCCCTCACGCCATGCCGCACGACACCATGTAGTTCTTCACCACACTCATGGTCTTGGCCACGAACGCCTCCAGGTGGAAGATGGCCTTGGCGCCCTCCTGCAACCGCTGCTCGAACAGCGCGGCATGCGACACCGTCTCAAGCTGGGGGGAAGGGAGGGGCGGGATAAATAAAGAGTGCAGCAACTGGAGTCCCAATTCCAGATCCCGACTCATGCAGTGAGCGCTTGCGGAGGCACTGGGGTACAAATAGGAAGACACTGGGGTGGGGCGGGAGGGGGGAGGGGTAAGGAAGAAGAACAAACTGAGACGTTCCCAATGCCCGGACCCCAAGAGGAGAGGAGAGGGGAGAGGTAGGGCGGAGTGCAGAAGGAGCTCCACCCCAGCGCCGCGGCAGTGCCTGAAGCCAGAGGGGACCGAGGGGGCAAGGTACGGCAACCCCATCCCACCTCCTACCCTGAGGGAGGGCACCCCATCCCACCTCCCCCCAACCCCTCCCCCCTTGCTCTCCCCCTCCCCCCCACCTTGATCTCGTCGTCCATCTTTTTGAGCAGCTCCAGTGTGAGGGTGCGCAGGATGAGCTCCGGCGGGATGCAGTTGGCTAGCAGCTCGTACAGCTTGCCGCGGACCTGGGGGGGGAGGGAGGGAGGGGTGGTGATAACTTGCAGGGGCACGCGAGGAGGAGGCGGCGGGCAGGGCGTAGCGGATCCCAACATGCAGCAGCCGCATCCCCAGAGCCCGCCAACCCTCGTCACCCCACCCATCCCCTCGCACTCAATGTGTCGTTTTCCTCCCCCCCACCCCCCCCCCACCCCCTCCCTCCCCTCCCCTCCCCTTCCCCCCCACCAGATACAGCTGCTTGGGCGACTGCTCGTCCAGAATGTTTGCCGCCACCTCGGCGAGGTACAGCTCCCAGTCCGCCCGCTGCGGCTCCTGGTCCTCGGCGAAGGGGTAGCGCTGCACCCGGCACACCTCCAGACACAGCAGCGCGCTGGGGGGGGGGGCGGGTAAAAGAAGAAATTCCAAAGTGTGGTGTGATAATGATACAAGTTGCTGACAATCGGGGGTGGGGGTGGGGGGGAGAAGTGTTAGGGGAGAGGACAGGACTGAGAAGAGGGGGGGGGGTAGTTCAGCCGGAAGGAGTGGCCCGGGGAGTCAGAAAGTAACGTGATCGCTCTTTCCCCCGGTATGGTGGTGAAACCGCTACATGCCATTCCAAAGCAATCGGGCACACCCGGCGGCATTCCAAACATTCCCCTTCCATGCCCTCCCTCCCTCCCTCCCGCTCCCTCCCTCCTCCTCCTCACCGCCTCAGGTTCCTGGCCGAGTAGTCCACCACCCTCGCCGCAAACGCCGGCGGCAGCACCAGCGCCTCCTTCCTCGCCACCCCCGCCAACACCTCCATCACCTGCCCCTCGCTGGGCGCCGCCACGCGCACGCACAGGCAGCGCGAGCGCAGCGGCTCCATCACGCGGCTCACGTTGCTGCACACCATGACCAGGCGGCATGCGGAGGAGTACTTCTCCATGGTGCGGCGCAGGCCCTGCTGCGCCTCCTTGCTCAGCCGGTCCACCTCGTTGAGGACAAGGACCTGGGGGGTAAAGAGGAAACAACTAACTGACTGAGGGATAAGGCGTCAACATGGGTTGCAACATGTGAGCCAGCCCGACCCGCCCAGCCCGAAGGACCTGGGGGGGGAAGGGGAGGGAGAAAGCAGGCGGCGGGGAAAGAAGAATATTCGATGTTGGGGTCCAATATAGATAGGTGCATCAACGGTGTCGGGGAGGGGGAGGTCGCAGGTGGGGGGTGGGAGAGGCAGGGAGGGAGGATCGGGCGTTGGATGAGAGTGGCAAACTAGAGGTGACAAGCTACTGACGGCGGGAGGGAGGGAGGGACGGGTCGCGGCAGCCAAGAGAAGGTATGCGAGAATGCGACACGTGCAATTCCCCTTGTCACGTGGTGCTAGTCCTTCCTTCCTTCCTTCCTCCTCCTCCTCCCACCACATGCCCTTCCCCACCTTGAACCCCTTGCTCCCGTCCGCCCCCAGCGGCCTGCTGCGCGCCATGTCCTTGATGATCTCCTGCACCACGTAGCGGTCGTTGCCGCCCACATCGCTGGGGTTGAGCTCCAGGTGGTGGGCGGAGGAGAGGGTGGTCAGCTCCACCTCCAGCTTGCGGCTGGGGAGCTGGGGGGTGTGGGGGGAGGCGGGAGGGGAGGGGGGAAGGGGTGCGGAGGAGGCGAGGAGTGAGTAAGGAAGGGGGGAAGTGGAACCCGGGGTGTGCGGAGTATGGAGTTGTGGGAATAGGGTCGGGTGCCGTGCTGGCGCTGACAGCATGCGACCCAAACCCCCTGCCGCATGGCCTGTGCAGCACGGCCCCCCTGCCGCAGCACGGCCTCCCTGCCGCAGCGGCCCCCACCTCGATCTGCCAGGGCTTGGTCTCCACTCGGATCTGCGGAGGGGGGGCGGGGTGGGGAGGGGGCGAGGTGGAGATGGGGACACAACCAAGGGGGGGTTGAGGAGAGGTCGGGGACAGCCACCGGGGGGCCACAAACACACATGTATGTATGTAATACGTTCCTCCTCGTGGCCAGTTATTTCACATGGGGTGACGGGGACGTGGGAAAGGCTCGGGGTTTGCACCACCACCCTCACCCCCCTACCCTGCCATATGCCCGGCAGCAACAAAAGCGGCACACCGTTACTGCTCTTTCCGTTCTGTCACGCCAAGAACCTAACGAGCAGGAGTGCAGCAGACAGGCGCTATGTACCGGTGCACCCAGCGTGGGTGTTGCCTCAGGTGGATGCCCGACTAGGTGGGTGCCCGGGCCCTGTGGAGCTTGCAAGCTATACCCCGGCTTGCCTTTTCGACGCCGGGCCCGTACACCGCCCGCAGGAGCGCCATGACCAGCGTCTTCTTGCCGGCACCCGGGGGCCCATAGAAGAGCGTGTGCGGGAAGTCCCCGGTGGCAATCTGACAGGGGAGTTCCAGACATGGAAAGCGGCGAGATGCTAAGTTACAACCCAGACACTTGGATGATTACCAGTAAAAGAAACGTCATATACATGCTAAGTTGTAGCACCCTTGGCTACTACTGGCCGGCAACAGAAGGCCCCGAGCCCTTCTCAAGGAGGATGGAAGGAGGATTTTCCCGCCTTGAAGGGTTAAACAACAGACTGCCCTTTGCCTCTCACCAACTTCTTCAAATTTTCTGCTATCTCTTTATGGATTACGAATTGGTCGAAAGTTTTCGGTCGATACTGCAGAGAACACGGGCATGGCGAGTTAAATTCTGACGAGCAGGTACCGATTGCCAGCAAAAAGGCATACCTTGTCCACCCAGAGCATTTTTCCTCAAAGCTTAACGTATTAGCGTGCCTGTGGTTGGTGTCAACTCAAGCGCGTTCATACAACGTCAGTTAAACGTGTTGATAAAGGGGCACAGGGCGGCAATTCACTCCTAACCTGGTAAACCCTAATGAGTGGGAACAGACCTAACACAGACCCCGCAAGCTGTCTGGACAAACAAGCCACTCCAGTTACAGGGCAACCAACCTGTACGGAACTTCTGACCCATGGTCCATGGTTGTTTCAACTCTATTGTACGCTTTCCTGACCTGTTCTGATTTCGTAGTGCCTCACCCTTGAGGTGTTCCTAGGGCTTATCCAGCTGCAGGTCTTTCTTTTTCGTAGGCTCCACCCTTGCGTTCCGCTTTAGGCACTTTTGTTGGCTCTTTGGGAATAAGCACAATACAATAACATAGCTTTCTATGATAAATATGAGTATACATTAGCACAACAGTGGTCCTTTCCTAACTCGGAACTCTAGAGTTCAGACGACTAGTCGTTGAGGAGCTCGTTCTACAGGAGCCATGGGTGTACCAGCATTCTACAGATGGCTCAGCCAAAAGTAAGGAATCTGGCGGCGTCTTGTCGGCGGGAGTGTTGTTGTGCCTAGCCGGGTCCCTTGAAGCCGCAACCTATGGTTATTAAGTAATGATCGGACATAGCAGTCCGAGTATGCAAATTGTTTGTGTTGAGCGCCTGCCTTTCCTGAGGTCTTACCGTTACCCGTCATTGCGAACGTCGGTGCTCCCTACTCTAATCGTGCAGGTATCCCAAAATTGTAAAGGACTGCATAGAGGAGTTCCCGGAACTGGTCAACGGCGTCGAGGTCCCCGTGGATACCTCCAAGCCAAACCCCAACGGGATGGAATTTGACAACCTCTACCTGGTAGGACACAGGACTGGTTCCCGATCAGCTGCCGCGGTTATCCTATGCTGCCTCCTGCTGAACGCCGGCGGCTGACGCGGCAAGTAGCCTCGACCCATTTGGCGATCTGTGGATGGCTGGTCGTCCCATCATGCCCTTGGAAAAGCCGATACCCAGCAACCTCAGGCTTACCCTCGCTCCTCGTGTCCCCTTGCAGGACATGAACGGCATCATCCACCCCTGCTTCCATCCTGAAGACCGGGTGAGCCTCGGGTTGCGGTGCCGTAACCCGCCCTCCACCTGCTCCTCGGCTCCGTCCTCACGGGTGCATCAGTGTTAAGGCGTGAATGGCGGCCCACATTCCTCACCCATGTGCGGCCGCCCCCTTCTCATCCCTTCCCCTCCTCCTCCCCTCCTCCTCCCCTCTCCCCCCAGCCCGCCCCCACCACCGAGACCGAGGTCTTCATCAACATATTCGACTACATCGACCGCCTCTTCTCCATCGTGCGGCCGCGCAGGGTGCTGTTCATGGCCATTGGTGAGTCCTGGGGTGGGGGGGGGGGGGCGGGTGGGGGCGGGTTGCATGGCTGGGGGGGGGTGCTCGGGTGCTGCCGTGGGGCCACACACGCCCGCTTGCATGTCGTACCGCGATGCTTCCTCAACCTCGGTGCCTCCGCCCTCCTCAAACCCCCCTGCCCCTCCCTCCCTCCCTCTACACCCCCCAACCCTACACTCCATCTATACCCCCTCACCCTCCATTCCCTCCCCCCTCCCCCGCCCCGCCAGACGGTGTGGCCCCGCGTGCCAAGATGAACCAGCAGCGCAGCCGCCGTTTCCGCGCCGCACAGGACACCGCGGAGAAGGAGCAGGAGGAGGCGCGCATCCGGGCGGAGTTCGAGGCGCAGGGAATCAAGGTGGGGGCCGGGTGGGGGGCTGGGTTGGGGGTGGGGGTGGTTCACGGGGGGGTATTGGGGATAGGCGAGCGCGAGCGCGTGCTGTGCTGCCCGCTCACCGGTCACCACACGGGTTGCGTGCCTGGGGGGGGCTGTGAGTGGGAATGTGCGCTGTCGGTTGTAAGGCGGGGGGGGGGGGAGGGAGGGAGGGAGGGAGGGAGCACTGGGGGAGCCAGCCACTCCCGTGCGCCTCACAGCCCCCTCCTCCACCTCCCTGCTCCTCACACCTCCTCCACCCTGCCCTCCTCCCCCCCCCCCCACCAGGTTCCCAAGAAGGAGAAGACCGAGACGTGGGACAGCAACACCATCACCCCCGGCACCCCCTTCATGCACCGCCTCAGCGTGGCGCTGCAGTACTACATCCACGTGCGGCTCAACGGGGACCCGGGCTGGAGGGGGCTGGAGGTGGGAGGGGTGGGGGTGGGGCGGGGAGGGGCGGGGGGTGCATGGTGGGGGCTGGGCTAGGCATTGGAATGACTGTCTGCCGGGAAGCGGCCCGGGAAGGAGGGAAGGGGCGTCCATACCATACCGTCCTTCTTCCTTCCTACATCTCCCTGCCCTCCCCCTCCCTTCCTAATGCGGAATATGTATCCCTCCCCCTCCCTCCCTCCCCTCCAGGTGATCCTGTCCGACAGCAACGTCCCCGGCGAGGGCGAGCACAAGGCCATGGCCTTTGTTCGCGAGCAGCGCGGCCGCCCCGGCTGGAACCCCAACACGCGGCACTGTGTGTACGGCCTGGATGCGGACCTCATCATGCTGGCGCTGGCCACACACGAGCCGCACTTCGCAATCCTGCGGGAGGTGGTCATGAACGTGGCGGCGCCGGTGAGGGGGGAAAAAAGAAATTCCAAAGTGTGGGAAGAGGGGAGGGGAGGGGGAAGGGGTTTAGATGGTGGAGGGGACAGGGAGGAGGGGAAGGGGTGAGGAGGGAAGGGTGGGTATGGGATGGGTGGAGGTGTGCTAGATGGGTACTGGTAGTCCTTCCTCGCTACCTTCCGCCAGGGGTGCGGGTCGTGCCCGCCTCTCATGGCCGCCTGGTCCGGATCTTGCCCACACCCTCCCCTCTCAACCCCCCCTCTCCCCCCCTCCCCCCCTACCTCCGCCCCCAAACAGGACCAGAAGGAGCAGCTGCGAGCCCAGATGCTAGCCCGCAACGACCCCACTGCGCCGCAGCCGCTGCCGGAGCAGGAGGAGCGCAAGGCGCAGGTGGGGAGGGATGACTAGGGGGTGTGGGGGGTAAAAAGAGGAAACTGCCGGGCTGGGGGGGGGTCGGCGGGGGTGGCGGTTGCGGGGAGGACATGGCCGCGAGTCGGAACCACTGTCGGGTAGGTTCGTTCGTTGGAGCAGACCTAAAACTGACCATGAACCATCCCCCTCCCCCCCCCCTTCCCCCTCCATTCCCCCTCCCCTCCCCTTCCGACCCCCAGGTGGCCCGCAAGCCCTACCAGTTCCTGCTGGTGGGGGTGCTGCGCGAGTACCTGGCGCTGGAGCTGCGGGTGCCGGACCTGCCCTTCGCCTTCGACCCGGAGCGCGTGTTCGACGACTTCGTCTTCATGTGCTTCTTCTGCGGCAATGACTTCCTGCCGCACATGCCCACCCTGGAGATCAGGTGGGGAGGGTGTAAAAACAGGGAATTTGGGGGGTGGGGGAGAACCCGTGTGTTTTTGCCGTACACTGGAATCCACTGGCGGCTGCTGCCTGCTACCAGGGCGACTGGTGAGGACAGGGAGGGTTTACAAATTACTACCGGAATGATGCGACCACTAGGAGTACCCGACGTCGGTCTACCCCCCCCTCTCCCCCTCACCTCTCCCCCTTCCCCCCACACCCCCAAGGGAGGGCGCCATCGAGCTGATGATGCGGGTGTACCGGCAGGAGCTGGCGGGGCTGGGCGGCTACCTGGTGGCGGGGGCGGAGGTGCAGCTGGGGCGCGTGGAGGCGTTCATACGCAAGATAGGCGCGTTCGAGGACGCCATCTTCTCCAAGCGCATGAGGGAACTGAGGCGGCAGAAGGAGCGGCTGGGCCGGCAGAAGGCGGTAAGGGGGAGGGGGGGGGGAAATGGGGGTGGGGGGGGTTCCTGCAATGGAATGGGCGGGTATATATAATGTGAGGGCCACACGCGCCCCTGGCTGAACACCCGCACTGAGTGTCGCATGCATGCAGTCCCCCTCTTATCCCCTCCCCCCTCCCCTTGAAACCCCCCCTTCCCCCTCTTCTTCCCCCCTCCCTTCCCCCCTGAAACACAGGACCAGGCCCGGCACAAGGGCAAGCGCAAGTTCAGTGCCAGCGACGCCGCCCCCTCCGCCGGCCACGTGAGTCGGGAGGTGGCTGGCGGGCACATGCGGGCGCTGGGGCGGGGGGCGGTGGAGGCGGAGCGGGAGGAGCGGGCGGCGGCGCGGAAGGAGGCGTGGCGGGAAGCGCAGCAGCAGCGCGCCGCGGCGCATGCGGGGGGGCAGGGGGAGGAGGTGAAGCCGCCTCGGGCGCCGCTGTTTGCACGTGAGTGGAGTGGAGGGACTGGGGGGAAAGAAGAATTCCAAGGTGTGTAATGATGCTAGCAAACAAGCGGACGAGCTCCTGGAGTGGGGGGGGGAGGGAAAAACGGAAACGACTAACGAACCGTGTGATAAAGGGGGAGGGAAGGAGTGGGGGAGAGGGGTTGGGAGGGGCGTTGTTTAGGGGGGAGCTGCTGCTGCTGCTGCTGGTGCTGTTGGTGACACCCGATGATGATACATCCTTGAAACGTGGGGACTCCAGCACGCAGCACTGCTTACCCGCAACCCCTCCCTCCCCCTCGCCCCACCTCCCCAGCCGGCCTGGGTCCCTCCCCCCTGCCCCCTCCCCCCTCGGGCCCCGTGCCCCCCCTGCGCCCCATGGAGGACGCCGACGCCAACAAGTCGGCGGCGCAGCGGCTGCGACAGCGCATGGCCGCGGGCAGGAAGACAGCAGCAACCGGTGCGGCCGCTGCTGGGGAGGAGACGGCTGTCCCGGCTGCTGCTAGCGAGGCGGCAGCAGCAGCAAAGGCGGAGGCGCCAGCTGAGGGCAGTACAGGGGCGACAGTAGCAGCGGAGGGCGGGGAGGAGGAGGAGGGCGGTCCGCGGCAGCGGCGGAGGCGGGTGAGCGACGAGGACGTATCCACCGCACCAGCGGCGGAGGCGGAGGAGAAGGAGGAGAAGAAGAAAGAGGAGAAGGAGATGCAGGCTCCGGAGCCGGTTGCCGAGGCGGACGGTGTGGTGACGGATTGGACGTTTTCGGAGCTCCAAAACATGGCTGTACGGCCGGACGATCTGGGTGGGGAGGCCCTAGCAGCGGAGGGCGAGGCTCCCGGTGCGGTGGAGGTGGAGGTGTCGGAGGAGGAGGCGCTGGAGGTGCTTGCGGGTCATGTGGGTCCCGAGGAGGAGAGCGAGCTGGAGGTGGCGGCGGCTGCGGCGGATCCCGCTGCTGCTGCTGCGGCTGCTGCGGACATGAAGGAGCGGTTGGAGGAGCTGATGAAGTCGCGGAGTGATCGGTTCGATGAGATGTTTGTGGATGAGGAGCGCATCCGACTGGGGGAGGAGGGGTGGAAGGACAGGTGGGGGGGAGGGAGGGGAGGGGGAGGGTTTTACAGGGGACAATTTTTAGCTACTCCCCGCATCCATAGCCGCACGGCGACTCTTCCCCAGGGTCTGCCACCTGCCGTACCCCTGCCACACGTTGCCGTACCCCTGCCGTACCCCCTCCCCTCACCCCTGCAATAAATCCTGTCACTTTCTCTCCTCCCCCCCTCCCGTACCCCTCCCCCCCCAGGTACTACCATGAGAAGCTGCGTGTGCCTGCGGGCCCGGGTCAGCAGCGCATGCTGCGCTCCATCGTGGCGGCCTACGTGGAGGGTCTGTGCTGGGTGATGAAGTACTACTACGAGGGGGTGGCCAGCTGGAGGTGGTGAGTGGGGGGAGGGGGGGGGCAGGGAGGCAGCGCATGGAAACCATTGGGGTAGATTGGGAGGGCAGGGACGCACGCGCCTCACGGCCCCTCTCTGTAGCCCCCGCGGTTCTGCTTCTACAAGTCGCGGCTCCTACCATTTGCCAGGAGCAACCCCACCACCGCTACCCCTCCCCCATCACGGGTCTTCCTGTGTGGTCACGACCGGTGTTTCCTCGCGGCTCACTTCATGTACACCCCTCCCACCCTCCCACCCTTCTCCAGGTTCTACCCCTTCCACTACGCCCCCTTCGCCTCCGACCTGGTGGACCTGGCTGAGCTGGACATCCGCTTCGAGCTGGGTCAGCCCTTCTCGCCCTTCAACCAACTGATGGGGGTGCTGCCGGCGGCCTCCATGCACTGCCTGCCCAAACCATTCAGGTGGGGGGGGAGGGGGGAGCAGGGAGAGAGGAGGGAGGGAGGGAGGGGATGGGGGCTCCCTACATCGATTCCCCGGGCGGGTTCGGAAGGCTGGCTCGCCCGCAGCCAGCATGCATTACCCCTAGTTGTTTTCCTCACCACACCCGCAGCCTCCCCACGTCCCCCCTCTCCCTCCCCCCCCCACACGGTCATTGTTTTTAGCTGTCATTTCACTGACGCCGCATGTTTTGCACCCCCTGCATATCTAGATCATCATACCCATACTGCGCTTGCGCTAAATTAAGCATGCTCGTCCCATGCCGTACTTCGCATCGCCGCCTTTCGCATAAATACTAACTCTCGGCATAGTCCCGTCTCTTTCATCCTGATAAGCCAGCCATCTTCATCGTCATACAGCCTGCGTCGATATACAGCGCAGCTCGCAGCACCAGCACAGGGATGCATGCCTGTCTTCTGTTCGCTCGTCGCGCTGCCTTCTTGTGTCTCTGGACGCTTTTCGCTCACTATTAACGAAATTTGGTACGTCTTCGTTGCACAATTTTCCCTTGCTACGCAGGTTAGTCGGGTTCGGTCGTGGGTGGGCTGGGCTAAAGTTCGACCCAGGGGTCACTTGCGCGGGCGGGCGGGTGGGATGTTTAGGTGCACACAGCCGCATACCAGCCACAGCTTACAGCGCACTGGCGCTCAGCAATGCAGTGGAGCTCAGACGGCAGTTTATAGCTCGTCAGTAATTCGTCCAATGATATGATCTCAGCACGGCCGCCAGCTTATGGAGCTTTATCACGGTTTGTACTTTGTGTGCTGCTACTAACCCAACGAATTTGACTATGCGCAATCCTAAAATCCAGCTTAATGCGGAATCTTCATCCATATTACCCCCACACGGTTCGCTCGTTTCTGCCCCCTCACCCCCTCCCCCCAACCCCAGGAAGCTGTTCACCGACCCCGACAGCCCCATCCTGGACTTCTACCCCACCCAGTTCGAGGTGGACATGAACGGCAAGCGGTATGCGTGGCAGGTGAGGCTGAGGGGGTGGGGGTGGGGTGGGAGAGGACTGATGGGGGGGAGACAGACAGTCAGGGTGGGTGGCTGGGTGCGGGTGCGGCAGGTTCAAGCACAGGGGTGGCTGCATGTCATGTCATGCTGTCGTACACCGCCCGGTACACCCCCCTTGTTGCTCCCGCGACGGCTACCCTCCTATCCCCCCCGCATTGCCCCTCCCCAACATGTAGTACGGCAGTCACCTATGGTTGGGTATTTGGTCTTAGCTCTCCCCCCCCCCTCCCCCCTCCTCCCCCACCCATACTTGTTTTTGTGCCACCCTGCCGATTCTATCCCCATTGTCTTGCCCCAACCTGTGGCTTCCTATGGTTTGGTATGGTCTTTGAACCCCAGGGTGTAGCGCTGCTCCCCTTCATCGACGAGTCCCGCCTGCTGGCCGCCACCGGCCCGCTGCTGCCGCTGCTGGAGCCCGAGGAGGCCTTCCGCAACAGCACCCGCAGCGAGGTGATGTACCTGCACGCGGCTCACCCGCTGGCTCCCGCTGTGTACGAGATGGAGTCGGCGTGCGGCCACCTGGCGCCGGAAGGTGGGGGGGGAGGGGGGGGAGGGTGGGGGAGGTGTCTGTACTCCACTTGCTGCTGCTAATCCAACAAATTTGACTACTACATGCAATCCTTAATGCCAGCTTGTGCCCTAACCCCCTCTCCCCCTCCCTTCCCCCCTCCCGCCCCCAGAGCGCGGCGCCTCCGCGACCCCGCTGGACCCCGCCCTCAGTCGCGGGGTGCACGGCTTCATGCTGCTGTGTGCGGGGGAGACGCAGCCCTCCGTGGTGCCGGTGCCTTTCCAAGGTGTGGGGGAAAAATTTATATAAGTGAAACAACGAGGTGGGGGGGGGGAGGTGGGGCTCGGAGAGGCGAGGCGCGGGGCGCTGCTGTTCATGGTTTCCTGTAGTCTGCTATGGTCTTTCATCCCTCGCTCCCCCCTCCCCCACACCCCCTCCCACCTCCCCCGCACACAGGCCTGGGCTCCGACGTGCTCAACAACAGCGTGCTATGCATCACCTACCGCCTGCCGCCGCACCTGCCGCACCAGCCGCGCATCATGGAGGGCACGCAGCTGGACCCGCCCCTGCTCACGGAGGCGGACAGACCCGTGGTGGGTGGGTGGGGGGGGGGGGAAGAGGAAACTGACGAGCTGTGAGGGTGGGGGGCGGGGTCGGGGAGTGGGGGGATGATCTTTCTTGGCGGGGCATTTGGGTGGAGGGCAAAGAGGAAACTGACGAGCTGTATGAAGTGTAGGCTTCTCCATGGCCCCCGCTCGCACCCCGCCCGTCACCACTGCCCCCCTCCCCCCCACTCCCCTGCTACTTCAGGACCAAGCCCTGTGGCACGAGCGCGGCGCAGGTCGGGGTCCGCCCCACACCCGCGACCTGAGCGCCCCCATGGTGGGCGACCCGGCGCTGCGCATGCTCAACTTCCAGCTAGGCTACTCGGGCCGGGGGGGGCCGCCGCCGCCCGTACCCAGGAACTTTGGCGGAGGCGGCGGAGGGGCGCCGTACGAGCACGACCCCCGGGGGGGGCCGCCGGGGCCTGCGGGGTATCACCACCAGCAGCATCAGTACGGCGGAGGCGGATATGGTGGTGGAGGAGGAGGGGGAGGGGGGCGAGGGTATCCTGCTGCCGGGGGGCCGTACGGCGGTGGGTCGTACGATCGGGATGATCGGCGGTACGGCAGTAATGGCGATCGTGCTGGGTACGGCAGTGGCGGCGGTCGTGGCGGGGGTTACGGCGGCGGGTATGCGGGTGCTGGTCCTCAAGGAGGTGGGGGTTACGGAGCGCCGCCGCCTGGGGGCCGGTACTACCCGCCGGGGCCGGGAGGGGCGCCGCCGATGCCGTACCACCATGCGCCGCCGCCAGCGTACGGCGCCCCGCGACCCACGTCGCCGCCGCCGCCGGCTTCCTCGCAGTACGGCCCCCCCGGCGGCGGGAGAGGCGGGTACTACCCGCCTCCGCACCACCACCAGAGCCATCACCATGCGTCGTCGTACGGCGGAGGGTACGGCGGTCATGCAGGAGGGTACGGCGGAGGCGCGCCGCAGCCCGCGGGTCAGAGCTTTTACGCCAGCATAAGGCCCACTTACAGTGCCCCGCCGCCGGGTGCGGCGACTGGGTACGGCGCGCCGATGCAGCCCGGGGTACGGCCGCCGCCGCCAGCGGGCCCGCAGCAGCCGTACGGAAACAATCCGTACTCCGCTTTGCAGCGTCCACGTGATCCCCGGGGAGCGGGTAGCGGGGGCGGTGGAAGGTATTAGGGCGATGAGTGGCGCGCTCGGGTAGACTGGTGGTGTATGACAGTATTGCCCTGAACCCGGCTGTTAGTGCCCTGTGGGGATGATCGTGAGGGATGCGGCAGGGGGGGCGGGGGGGGGCATGGGACTGTCAAGTGAAGGTAGGCATGTAGACCGCCGCGTTTTGAGAAGATGAAGAATCGCACGCGCGCATAAGCTTACAAGTATCCTTTCCTTGTCGAACATTAGCATCATTAAGCCGTATGGCCGGGTTGCTGCTGGTGCGATGTGATCGCCTCTTGACCCCCACTCCATCCGGGAGTGTCTCGTTAGGTATTGCGGGCCCTGTGAATGGATGGATGGATGGATGGAAAGAGTGCGTTTTCACCCTTTACCGAAACCGTGACGCTTTGCTGTGTGCTGTGGGGAAACAATTGTCGTTCGGCTGTGTTGGCTTGCTTGGCCACTTTTTTGGTCTGGTTGACCGCGTTTGGTATGACGATAACAAAGCACAAGTCGCTGTGGCTACTTCACCTGTTTGTTTAGCGGTCCCTTGTTCGTTGTTGCGTTGTTGCCTACCGGTAGTAAGTGGTGTTACACCACATGAGGAGAAGGACAGCCGCCACGCATAGAGACATGACGTTTGCGTAGTTGTATTGTGTGTAAACGGACGCGGATTGGACGTGTGCGCTTGACATGGCTAAGAGCAGCCGATGGAGCACCTTGACGATTCACCTGCAGTAGAGGGATGTGGTGCAGTTGAAGGAGCGCACATTTAGGGTTGGCCTGGACTGACTGCAATTTCGTCTGGTTTGACACGAGGCGGGCTCGTGCTGGGCCCTGGCTGAACTGAATGTGAAAAAATGTGAACTGGTATGAGAGACCGGATGGCTGGCATGGCTGGCATGGCGGCATCAACTACTCACGTTCCCACGGCCTTAAGGAAGAAGCTGTGATGTACGATTGATACAATCATGTAAGGAACTGCTTCGAAACGGTAACACCACTACGCACCAAGCGGAAACCCTGGGAAATAACGGTAATCAACGGCCGAGTCTTCTCAACAAGGTGGCGGTATGCAAGAACCGAGGCAGGCTAGCGCGATAGCGGCTCGCAGTCTTAGTAGCTTGTTGCTTAGTTACGGAAAGAAATATGCTGACGTTGTAAACAAGGTCACGGACGACGACAATACCTGGCTTTTCCTTGGGCTAAAAAATTCGTTTAAGTCCTGCTTCTTTATTTGTTTCACATGGTCTGTTACTAGTCGAAATGCAAGATAACAATGCAGCCAGCAGTTAAGCAGTCAGCTTCCTCCCTCAGTAATCGAGGTTTGGGAGTCCAAGAAAGTGAAAACAACAACAACAATAGCTTACCACCGCATCTCCGGCCTGCCCGAAGCGAACATGGGGCGCTAAAACGTGATGTGGATGCGTGCAACGCCACACCTGAGGACGTTGGGAGGGGCAACGCCGTAGCAGCCGGAGCACCTAGCGGAAGCGTCAACAACTGCAATGGTAAGCGCGAAGCTGATAACACCGTTCCTGGTACTCACGGGCCAAGCATCCATTCCTAAAAAATTGCATAAATTTCCGCAGCTGCCCCAGCCCGTTATAACGTGGTGTTGCGGAGTAGCCAACTGTCATTGAGCGCGGCTCTCGTTCAACACGCGTTTCCATCTTTGGGAAGCGCCACCCGTCATGATGTCCGTGTATTCGGCAAGGACAGCGGCGGAGGTCTGCATGCGTTTGGGGTCGTGTTGTCTCGCTACGAGGGTCCCCAGTATCGCCTCAACCGCATTGGCGAGCTAAGCAGATGCCTGGGAGCGCGCACCGGCGACACCTTGTGGCTCTTTGTCCATCCCAACGGCAATGTCGTGCTGGAAAAGGCCAGCGGCAATCGCATCTCCGACCAACAGCAGCAGCACCAGCATCCGCAACCCCAACAGCAGTTCTGTCAGGATCAGGAAGAGGAGCAGCAGGAGGACATCCACAGCGTCCATGACAGCTCAGAGGAATGGCCTTCAGACGAGCCCCTCAGCGACGACGGCTGCGCTAGCAGCCGCGACGGCAGCAGTGACTTTGAATACCCCAGCACACAAGATCCAAAGAATGCAACCAGGCAGCAGCAGCAGCTGCAGCAGGATGACGAACAAGGCTGCTCCGCTGACGTCACGGCCCCGACCGCAACCGCCGCAACCACCGCCGCTGCCGCCGGCCCTGCGTCAGACACTCGGTTCAAGCTCACGCTTCGGGCCTCCCAGATCAATCTGGGCATGTCGGTTGTACGACAAGCCTTCGCAGCCCAGTACAAGGCCGCTCGGGAAGGCGGCATCAAGCAGCAGCGGCTGCGTGTGCTGGTGAGGGCGGCGGTGGACGGGCGGCTGCAGCCGCAGGAAGTTGTGTTTGCGCAATACATCGGGAGGCGCAACCAGGCGAAGCTGCACCGCCTGATCAGCATCCGCGACGTGGTGCGGTGCCTGGGGTTGCGGCAGGACGGGGAGGTGGGGCTGACGCTGCGGGCCGATGGGCAGCTGGTGCTGGAGGTGGCGGGCGGCGGGGGCGCGGGCGGTAGCATGGGAGGACGAGGGGGCCGGGGGCGAGGGGGGCAGCAGCAGCCGGGGTTGGAGGAGGAGGCGCGAGGGGGCGGGGAGCGTGGAGAGGAGAGTGAGGGCGGCAGCGGCCGCAGCAGCTCATCTGAGGAGGGCGAGTACGGCAGCAGCAGCGGGTCTGAGGACGAGGAGGATGAGGAGGATGAGGGTGGCAGTGCCGACGACGGCGACGAGCAGCAGCAGGGCGAGGAGGGTGGCAGCGGCCGCCGTCACCAAGCGCACACCCTTCGCTTGTCCTGCGGCGCGTTCTACGGCACGCAGGCCCTGCGCCTCGCCTTCCCCGCGCAGTTTGCGGAGTCCCAGCGAACCGGCAAGAGCCAGCCCGTCACGCTGCATGCGGCCGGCCCCTCCGGGCAGCTGCAACCGTACACGCTGTCGCTTGCCGTGTGCGGGGGGTCGCGTCGACTGGTCGCCAGTGCCTTGTTGGTCAGGGAGCTGGGGCTGGCGCAAGGGGCGCGGGTGTCGCTTGCAGGGCAGGATGGCAGCAGCGGCGACGGCGAAGGAAGCGGCGGTGTGGTGATGATCGTGCTTTCCAACCCTCCGAGCGCTGAGGGTGAGGCGGAACGCAGGATAACGAAACGGAAACGGAAACGAAAACAAGCAAGCGGTGGCGCGGAAGAAGGCGAGGGCGGCGGTGGTGGTGCGTGGCTTGCACGGGCCCTGGCTGCAGCATCTGCCAGCCAGCCGGTGAGCTGTACGGTGACCGAGTCCGCCATTCGACACGACAGGCTGAACGTTCCGCTGGCGGTTGTTGCTCGGTTGTTGGGGCGGGAGGCCATGGCACGCGGGACGCATGGTGGGAAGGCCATTCGTGTGGTGATTCAGGACGGCGACCGCACCTGGGCGAGGGAGGGCAGGCTGGAAGGCTACGTGAAGGCCAGGGGGGGAAGCCCCTCCTGGGTGCTCCGCAGCCTGAGGTCGTGGTTCAGGACGCGGGGTGTGGGGGCCGGGTCGGAGCTGCAGTTGGGAGTTGCGGTGCAGCCGGGGAGTGGTGGTGGTGGCGGTGGTGGTGGTTGCGTGCAGGCACGGCAGGACGACGCCTCCTCTCTCGCCAGCTTGGTTTACATGACGGTGAGTCTGGGGAAGCTGGTCCCTGCAGCTGCTTCAACTGCCGATGCGGCGGCTGGTGCGGCTGCTGCTGGTGCTGCTGAGCGGCGCGGGGCGGGCGCCGCACGCGCTGGTGCGGCTGGTGTGTATGGAGGAGGTGGAGGCGGAGGTGGCGGAAGAGGAGGAGGTGGTGCTGGGTCGGAGGAGGACGTCCCGCTGGCGTTCAAGACGCTGCGGAAGCCGGGGTCGGGTGCAGGTGGTGGCGGGGGTGGCGGGGGCGGTGGCAGTGGTGTGGCTTCGCCAGCACTGCATGGCGGCCCCAGTGGAGGTGGTGGAGAAGGTGGTGGCGGCGGCCGCAGTGCAGGTGTTGTTACCCGCGGAATTCAGCCCCCGCCGCTGCCGCTGCTGCTGGGCAAGCGGCCGCAGGAGAGGAGGTCGCAGGCCCCACCACCCCCGGCTGCTGCTGCTGCCGCTGCTGTGGAGCCCCCGCACAGCCGCAGTCGCAGCCGCAGCCCGGCCGCCAAGCGTCGTGATGTGGCTCCCGCACACGTCCCAGCACACAGGGCCCCGGAGCGCAGGTCCCCAGCACCCCCGGGCAGGGTCCCCGGCCCGCCTGCCAGCGTCCCTGCTGCTGGTGCTTCTGCTGCTGCTGCACCCCCGGCTGCTCCGGACGCGGGTGGAGGAGGAGCCGCTGCACGCGGGGGTAACAACACCCCGCTGCCCGCTTGCATGCTGCCCGCCGCGTCGCTGAGCTCCGCCCACCTGCGCGGCTGCATCCCGCCTGATGTGTGTCTGCCGCCGCTGCAGCCGGGCGAGCTGCGGCTGTGCGGCCTCACCTTCCACCCGGACGTGGCGCAGCGCGTGCGGAGGCGCATGGCGGAGTGGGCGGGGCGGCTGAGCTGCCCCCTGGCTCGTGTGGACTTAATGGCTCAGATGAACATCCTCGGTTTGGGTCCTGCTCCTGCTGCTGCTGCCGCTGCCTCGGCTCCTCCCTGGGCTGCGGTGTTTTCGGAGCGCAAGCTGAGTCAGAACATCATCTGCACGCGCCTAGCCCGCTTGCTAGGGCTGGCCGGGGAGAGCGGTCACGGAGACGCACCGCTACCCGAGTCCCTGCAGCGGCCGGTCGCAGCGGAAGTGCGGCAGTGTGCGGACGCCGCCCGAGGGGGCGCGGGGCTGCAGGCGTCAGCGCCCATCAAGCGTAACGCGGTGCTGGGTGTGTTTGGGGGTTACGTGATGTCGCGGGAGGCCGCCGAGGCGTTCCTGGCAGCCGGCCAGCAGCACTGCAGCGCGGAAACGCGGGCTCGGGTGAGTGGTGCGGTGCGGGGCACGGACGCGGACCTGACGACTGCTTGGCGGCTGCTGGCGGGGTCGTACCGGTTGAGCTACACAGCAGGGCTGGAGGCGGAGGCGGCGGGGGCGGCGGAGGCGGCAGGGGAGGCGGCTGGGGAGGCGGCAGGGGAGAAGGGTGAAGGCGCACATGGGTCCGACTTGGAGCTGAGCATGCTGGGGTACGGCAACCTGCTGTCGCTGGTGAACGACCCACGGGTCAACCCGCGAGCCTGGCTGCCGGACAACGACGTGGAGGCGATTGACGCGAGGACCGAGGGGCCGAACTGCCTGGTGCGGTTCGGGGTCGGGGTTGTTTTTGAGGTTTATGTGTTTGGGAGGGCTGCTGTGCAGCCACCGTATAGTTGGCAAGTGCCGGTAGTCGGGTAAGAATGTATGGAAACCACAGCACAGAAACCATGTACTGCGGCCGCTGTGCGGAGCAGCATCATCGGAAGCATGAAAGGGCGGATTTTCCTAGCTGCTTCCGTCCCTCCTCGCCCTCGCCCTCGTAACAGGTTCTTCCCATCTCGGTTCGCGGCCTGGTTCTGCCGGTGCTGGTCGCCACCCGCGACATCGCCCCCGGGGAGCAGCTGCTGCGCGACTACGGAGCCGACTGGTGGCGGGAGCTGGCGCCGGTGTGGGAGGTGGCGGAGGACGATGGACTGGATTTGGGTGCCCTGTTAGAGGCGGTGCAGCAGCAGGAGCCCCAGCCGGCGGCGGAAAGCGAGCCGGCGACGCAAGCCATCGCCCCCCTGCCAGCAGCGACCGAAGCCCCCCCTGCCGCTCTTGTGGCGCTGCAGCCGCCTGCTCTAGCCCACCAATCTCTGCAGTGCATGAACGACCCCTCCACCACAGCGGCAGCAGCAGCGACTGGCCAGCCCGGCCCTGCTGTGTTGGGTCAGCCTTGTCCCGCTGTGTTCGGCACCAGTTGGGCGGTTGCTGACTTGCAAGCCAGGGGGCAGCAGGCGCAGGCCAACATCGACCACCCCGCTATCGCGCTGCAGCGTGACAGCGGGGGGCGTCCCTCCGGATGCGGCCTTCCAAGCCAGGAGGCAGCAGGCTGGGGCAGCAGCGCGCGTTGGAGTGCAGCTGGTCCGGGAGGGGTGGCAGCAGCAGCAGCAGCAGCCGCGGAGCAGCAGGAGCAGCAGCAGCAACTCATGGGTCGCACGCGTGTACAAGAAGACACGGCCGACCGCACCCACGCTGAGCCCGTCGGTTGCTGGGATGATGGCGGTGATCGGGAGGGGGCATGCGGCGCCGGCGGGAGGGGCAACCACCGCGATCGCTCATACTGGTACGGCGACCAGGATGATCACCCTGCGTACGGCATGAGCAGCCGTGATGACCTCCGACGGTACGGCAGCCGGCGTGATGCCGACGGCCGCGGAGACAGTGACCGTGACCGCGACCGTGACCGTGACCGCGACCGTGACCGCGACCGCGACCGCAGCCGCGACAGGGAGCGCCGTTATCGCAGTCGCAGCCGCAGCCGAGGACGAGACTGGCGGCGAGGCGGCAGCTACTGGACGCAGGAATGGGGCCACAGGACACGCAGCCACAGCCGCGATCGTCACCTTGTGGGCCGGCAGCAGCAGCAGCAGCAAGCATCTAGCATGCGGGGCCGCAGCCGCAGCCCGGGGGCACAGGCGCGTGAGGGGGGCTGTGAGCCGCTGCTCCTACCGCGACAGCAGCAGCAGCGCGGCAGCAGCGCGGGTGCGGAGCGGCTGATGGCTGCCGAGCAGCTGCCGGGGGGGTCGAGGTGGGGGCCGGCGGCGGATCCACAGCAGCAGCAGCAGGGGCAGCAGCAGCAGCAGCAAGGCGATACGGGCGCTCTGCCACCCGGCCTGCAGCGGGAACAGCAGGGGCAGCAGCAGCAGCCTCGATCGAGGAGGTGGGGGGACGTTTCCCACTTGACGCCAGTAGGCCCTACAGCGACAACTGCAGCAGCAACTGCGGCTGCGGCAGCGGGTGTGTCACCAAGCAGTGCCAGCACTGCCGGGTCCGCGGCGCCAACGGCAGCAGCAGCACCAGCACCAGCGGCAGCACCCCCACCCCCCTCGCATGCTCAAGGTCTGTTCATGATCAAACCCAACCGCCCGCACCTCAAAATCGTGCTGCAACGCTCCCAGGAGGCGTGCAAGGATCACTCCCCACCGCTTTTTGCCCCTGCCACCGCTGCCCCTGTTTCGTCTCCCACGGGGGCTCTCATGGGTTCCCCGGGGGCCGTCACCGCCGCTGCAGCCGGGCGGTCGCTGCTGCGGGGGAAGGACGACACAGCCAGGGAGGAGGGTGCGTCGGAGCCGCTGCCGCCGGCGGCTTCCAGCGCTTCCGCATGCGGACGACCCTTGCATGCGCCTGCTGCGCCTGCGGCTGCTGCGGTTGCTGGCAAGACGGGCACTGTTGTCAAGGGCAGCAGCAGCAGCAGCCGGGAACCCGACTCGGCTGCGGGTCCTCTGCCGGCGGTCATGAATGATGCTACTGCGACGACAACGACGACAACGATGACAGCGGCGGCGGCGGCGGTGATGGGTGGCCACTCCGCTCCCGCACGTGGTCCCGCTACCTACGCCGAGCTACCCATGCCGCAGCGGTGTGACCTGCGCCGCGGGGTGCAGGGAGTGCGGTTGTCGTCGTCGTCGACGGCGGAAGGGGCGCGGTCCGGCGGCGGCGGTGGTGATGGAAAGGGGACGTCGGCGACCCATGGGTCACTGCGGGAGCTCTTGGCCGTTTTGGGCGAGGAGTTGGGATTGAATGCGGAGCTTCGCGTGCTGATGAGCAGTCGGCTGGATAACTTGGTGCGGATGAGGGGAAGGGGGCGACCTTGAAACTGCGTTACTGTTCGATACCGCTTTACTGTTCGATACTGTTCGATACCGCTTGAAACCTTGTTGTTGGACACGGGATGGGGTACGTGCCGGTGTGCAGCGCGTCACGCTGTGGGGCATGGTCGCATGACTGGAATGCGACAAAACAGACAGACTCGCTTGTCTACGGTCGCGTGGGTACCGGTAACGGCACACAAAGACGCAATCCTTCAAACCATTGCGGAGTCCCTTACCTGCGGCGATCCTCGCCGCTTCTCCCCGCCCCCCGCCTCTCTCCACCCCCACCAGGGGAAGGCGGCTGTGGTGGCGGCCCAGCAGCTGGTGCAGCTTGGGGAGCTGCGGGGTGGTGTGAGGGGGGCGGTGTTGCGGGTGGCGTGTGCACCTGTGGCGGGGCTCAAGCTGCGACTGGCGCACCCCAGGTGGGCGGTGGGTGGGTGGGGGTGGGCGGTGGGTGGGTGGGGGTGGGCGGGGTGGGGGTGGGCGGGGTGGGGGTGGGGGTGGGGGTGGGGGGTGGGGGGTGGGGGGTGGGGGGTGGGGGGTGGGGGGTGGGGGGTGGGGGATTACCGGTAGATGAACTGAACGGGTGGGGGACAGGGGGACAAACGTGTATGCCAAATGCTGATGGGTGCTAAGGATGGGGCCCCGGTTGAGACACCTTGCTTACAGCGGCCGGGGGAGGGAGGGGGGAAGCAGCGACAGGGGCCCGTTGAACGCCGAATGCCCCCAACACAGATATCATTGGCCCAAACACGCTCCCCGTTACGCTCCTCTTACCTCCCCCCTCCCGCCCCTTCCCCATGCACCTGCCTCCCCTCCCGCCCCTTCCTCGCACCCCCCGTGTACGCAGCCCCTCTGCGGCCCGCCCTGCCCCCGTGTGGCTGGACGTGCGTGTGACGGCCCACTTCGGGGAGCTGCTGGACAACCTGGTCGCAGCGGATGCGGTGAGGAGGAGCGGACAGCGCAGCGCGGAGGAGATAGGTCCCTCCAGCGTGCACCTACCTCCTTACCTGTTTGGCTAACTTCCCTCCCACTCCCGTGCATGGGATGCGAACGTGCGACCCAATCCTCTTTGCTCGCCTGCTGATGTAAAGCTCCCCCCACAGCTTTTCTGCCGACCCCCCGCCCCCCCCCCGCCCCCTTACCCTCCATGCTGCCCCCTCCCCACACCCAGAAAACCCGGCTGGCGCTGACCTCCTGGCTCTATTCGCTCAACACCTTCCAGCCCTTCGTCAAACTGCAGCTGGACCCCGGGGCCGCGGGCGGCTGCGGGGCCCGGCAGCTGCAGGCCGGGCAGCAGCAGCAGGGTGGGGGAGGGGAGGCCGCGGCGGCGGTCAGTGTTCCGCTTAACACGGCGGATGTGGACGAGCTGTACGTGCGGCAGGACATGCACCGCCAGTGAGTCCCCGACTGCTGGTGGTGGTGGTGGTGGTGGTGGTGGTGTGCACATCCCAGTGCTGCAGCGGCTGCAGCAGCGCTGTGCGGGCCCTCGCGTGTTACGGTTGCAGGAGGTGGCATCCTGCCGGCCCAGCTGCTCGCCCGACCGTGCGACGGTTCACCGTGGTCTGCTCCTTGTAGACCCCGCTGATTTGTCTGCTTCGTCGTCTGCTGCTGGCCACGTGACCGATCCCTGCCCCCCATGCCATCCACAGGCCCGTCCCCCTGGCGCCCGCTGAGCCCCCCGCCACGACACCCGCACAGCCCTCCGCCCTCACCGCCCCCACCCCCACCCAACCCCTCCAAGCGGCTGGGCTGGCGCATCCACACGCGCCGCAAGCCGCCCACACCGCTCCGTACCACCCAGCAACCCAACCAGCCCATCAGGGGCTAGCTGCGGGGCCCCCCTGGCATGCAACCGGCGCCCATGCGGCCTCACACCTGACGCATGCAGCACCCGCAGCAGCTGCTGCCTGGTATGGGGCCGGGAGCTATCCGCAGTACCAATATACACAACCTGCACACCACCCACCTCCTCCTCAGCAACAGCAGCAGCAACAACAGCAACAGCAGTACTATCAGCCGCAGTACTACCACAGCCAGCAGCAGCATTACGCATATCTGTACTGGAATAACGGGGGGTACCAGTACCCGCAACCCTACCCGCACCAGCAACAGCAGCCGCCGCTTGAGGCTGCTGCTGTTGCAGGAGGAGAGCCGGTTGCTGTCGAAGATGGCGAGCAGGCGGGAGTTCCCTGGTCGCCCGCACCCTACCGCGGCGAGCAGGGTGATGAGCAGGGCAAGCAGCAGCAGCAGCAACAGCAACATGGGGTTGCGGCTGCCGGGGCAGCAGAGGCAGGGGGCACGCAGGGGGGCACGCAGGGGGGCATGCAGGGGGGCATGCAGGGGGGCATGCAGGGGGGCATGCAGGGGGGCATGCAGGGGGGCACGCAGGGGGGCATGCAGGGGGGCATGCAGGGGGGCATGCAGGGGGGCACGCAGGGGGGCATGCAGGGGGGCATGCAGGGGGGCATGCAGGGGGGCATGCAGGGGGGCATGCAGGCAGCATGGGTGCAGGGTGGAGCTGCGCCGGAGGCGGTGTGTGTGGGGCACGTGGGGGTTTCACGCGGTGCGGATACTCGGCCGCAGGGCTCCTGCGAGGACGACATGGAGACGGAGGCCGCCACCTGAGGCCGCAGACAAGCTAGGGCACTGTACGACAAGGTCGGGGAACCCCCTGCCGGGTTGGAGAGCGGTGGGTATCATGTGGCGACCGGCAAGTAAGCAGCAAGCTCCAAATGCGCCGGGGAGCGGCGAGGGAGCGACGTCCCCTTGACGGGGGTATGTCCCCACATGGCGTCAGGCTGTGTGCGCCACTGGCAAGCAGGTGGTGGTAAGGAATGCTGGGTCATGTGTAGGAGGGGATGCAGTGCAAGGGGCTTGGAACACAGCTGAATAGAGTTGTTGCATGCAGCTGCGATGCATGCGTTGGGTTCATCGAGGGGACGTGGTGCGTGAGGGGCTATCGGATGTTGGCGGTCTGACCCATGGGTCACCACCGTATGCGTGAGATTGACAGGCCGCTTGGAAGATGAGGACATGAAGGCCTTGTTGTGTCCGCAGCACGCCCAACGTGGCGCGTGTGGAAAGATTGCTGCAAGGTTGGCTTTACTGCATATAACAGTCTGCATGCAAGAGTCCCAGGGTTGAACCACCGGTACCGATACACACCGCATTAGCTGTATGTTGTAGGCGTTTTGGACCTGGGCCAAACTCACTGTAATAATTGGGTGCTCGGGCGCAGTTGTACAGGGGGAAAACGTTTCACTAGTCGTATGGTGCAAGGCACATTTGGTGTTGGCATTTATAGGGCTCCTGGCCATGCGTTACCGGTATGTCAGAGCTCCAGGTAGGTGTTTGGGAACGCTGCAAGTGGATGCTCGTGCCGTTGCTTTGATGGCCTCTTACATGGCTTATTTACGGTATGTTTATTCCTGCCATCAGTCGCAGCAGCCTCCTCGTACTTGCATTGCACAATCAGACTAACCCGTAAACACAGGCACGCCATGTTTGGTCGCCTGCCCCCCTGACAAGAAACCGTCCGGCAGCGGAGCTGTCATGTCATGCTTCTTCACACACTCAGGGCCGCTTGCTTGTTTAATACCGGCAACTGTTTTGAGTTTAGAGCACAATTTGCAGACGTCACAAGCAATGACGGATTACCATGCAAGAGATTTTCGTATTTATGGGAAGAAACAAACACACCCGATTCACAAACATACCTGCTTCACAAACAAACAAACCTGCACAGACCCTCTTCTGCGCCCTGACGTTTATTAGACTGCACGACACGGAACTACAAGACGCACGGTACGCATATCTAGGTATGTGGACGTGAGACGTTCACGGGCCAGCCGGTTACTCAACGGTAAAGCTATTTCAGTCCCTGCTATAGGACATGGGGGTTGCCCCTATACCATCTGTAACGCCCTGTTTCCTTAACAGACACTTCTGCCGCATGACAGACTCCAACGATCGGGGGCGTTCGCAATCGCTAAAACACACAATAATACAACAGGTGGAAAACCCGCACGCACGCCGGGGTGCAACCTCCTCATTCGGGGCGTTCAAGTCTCGCAGGCACCGGTCATCATGCACCAAGACTGCTGATGACCGCCTAAACGCCCATTCGTGGTGCGGCAAGCACGAGAGCCCCGAAGTCGTCAGCAAACAAGCCAACCGGCCAACGAACGAATCCCTGCATTGCGTCCTTGCACTCGCATCCTCCCACATCCCACCCCCACCCCCCCAACCCTACAAAACCGCTGCCGCCGCCTGGCTAAGCCGCCGGCACTTAACGGCCGCCGGCATAGGGCCGACCCCAGGCCATCGCCCCTTCCTCTCCCTCCACGTCCCGTCCCTGCTGACCCGAAGCAGCCGCACCCGCTGCATTCCCTCCGTGGCCGCCTCCCGCCCCAGGCTTGCCGCCTGTTGCGTCGGCAGCACCTCCCAACTGCTGCCCTGCCCCACCCCACACCTTCCCGCCGCCCCCCTTCCGGTGCTCCTGCCACTTCTCCAGCAGCAGCCTCCACCCGTGCCGCACCAGCAGCGCTAGACGGTACAGCTCGTAGAGGGAAACCACCAGCAGGGTCGACAGGAACAGGGCAACCATGAAGTAGGTGGGGTAGGGAGGGAAGCCGGAGACGTGCTTCACGACCGCCAGGGCGCAGGTGAAGAGCCCCAGCTCCATGACATGGGCAGCGATCTCCATGGCCTGCAGCTGCCAGGTGCGGTAGGGCCGCACGAGGAGCAAGAAGACGACCATTAGTGCCTGCGCGCAGTGGGGGGAAGATTGGGGCGGGGGCGAAGGGTTCAGGGTATGCTGCATGTCGGAGGTCATATGCATTTTCCGTCCTGATACGCTGGCTGACAATCTTGCATGCCGGTAGCTAGCGCACACATGTAACAAACTCATGATCCGTAGCTCTTCACACATATTGTTTGCGGCTAGTTGGTGACACACACACGGACCGGCGGTGCCCTTGCGGTTCAGCAGTACGGCAGTAACGGACCTGCAATGCGACCAGTACGACAAGCTGTACGGAGCTGGACTCCTCGAGACCAAAGTAGCCCAGTACGACAGCGCATGCGGCCTTGTGGGTGAAGTAGGTGGGCGACACGAGCACGGCCAGGGTGTGCTTGTGAGCGCGGTTCACGACCCATGGGTCTTCAGGAGGGTCCTGTAAGGGAGAGGACAGCCAAGGAAGGGAAACAGCGGAGGGTTACGAAGTATATACACCTGCGGGTGGGTTGCATTGTTACACAATTACAACGAAGACAACCGACACGTGCGTCATCATAAACGTAGCATCTTGCATGCCTGCGCAGCAAACCACCAGCCTGCACGGATAACTTGCGCCCGCAGCGGTTTCTTACCCCTAGGGCGTCCTCGAACAGGAATGCAAAGGTCGCCATGACCCTGTCACTTGGGATCAGCAGCCGGGCCAGCAGCGAGCCTGCTAGCGGGTCGTGCTGCGGTGCCCCCATGCCGCCGCCCCGTCCGGCGCTAGGACCCGCCAGAAACCCAGGCAGCGGTATCACGCAGCAGCTCGTGCGGCGGCCCTGAACCATGCTCCGGTCCGCGCCTGCAGCAGTCGCGGCTCCTCCTCCTCCCCCGGCGCCGTCAGCAGCCCCGCCGTCAGCGCCGCTGCAGCCGGATCCGCCGTCCCTCCACCTCAACCACCCAAACGGATACGCCCAGCGGCCATAATGCAAACCGAAGCCATAGCGATAGATAACAAAGTTATCCTCATCCTCATCGTAGTACACATCAATCTCTGAAATGCCAGCTGGCGAGTCGATCACGCCCTCTCGGGTCAGGGTTTCCTGTGCGGATGCAATCTCCTCGACCGTCATCCGACGCAGGGTACGCGGCGGCTTCTGGCGGGGTACCAGCCCTGCAGGAACACTATCTGCCATGGTCACCGTGACCACGCTGGAGCGCGCCCCGCTCATGCGGGCGTTGCGCGGCGGCGGCGGCCAGACTAGTACAGAGGGCGACAGGTAACGCTGCAGGGCGAACCAGGGCAGCCCGGGCAGAGGATCTAGCGGAAGCGTGGATCCGGACTTGGACTCGGATGACCTGCCGAGGCCCATTGCGTCGACGTGGAGTGGCCTGATGGGGTGGGGGGTGGGATAGGGCGGGGTTGCATGGGGGCAGCGGAGGGGTTGCATGGGGGCAGCGGAGGGGGGGCTTGCTAGGGTTGGAGGATTGAAGGGAGGGGCTACGGGCGCCGCTGTGGTTGGAGGTTTGCGTGAGAGGTGGGAACGGAACCAAGGGTGGTGCTGTGGAGTATGCTGCGGCAAAGCGCCCAAGGAGCCACCCATCCCATCCCATCCCACCCCATCCCATCACCCCAGCAGCTCCCAGGCGACATACCGCTGAACCTTAGCATGTAGGCTGCCTCCCTCACGTTCCTTGGCTTCCGTCACGTCCTTGTACTCCCCATAATATTCCACATCCACTCCGGGGATGACCCGAGCAGCAACGACGACGTCTCCGGGACTGCAAGCAATCGCGGGGCTGTTTGAAGAGTCGCGGTCCTCAGCGGAGGAGCTGCTGCGTTGCTCGGGGCTGGGCGGCGGCAGCGGGATGATCCGCCGGGATGCCGGAGTGACGAGCTGCCTGGGGCTCCCCTGCAAAGCAGGCCGTGCGTGCGGTTGGCGTCAAAGTGGTCAAGCAAGGGTCAAGTGGTCAGGCGGGTTCTGGAGCGAGAAGGTAGAGGCCGTAGAGGCTGAAGAGTACCGGTAATAAGGCACCATCGCACACGGCGCGATGTCACGCGACATGGAAAACAAGGAGCTAGTCGGGGGCTCAAACAGAGTCCACATCTGGCCCAGCAGGTTCCCGTTCGGCATCATCCATATTACCATCCGATCCGATCATTCCCTCCAACCCTCCAACGACTGAGAACCATGGAGCCCATCCACGCACGCACCCTCCCAGCCAGGTGTTCGCACCCCCCCGCTTCCTGCCCCCAGCCCACCTGCTGCTGCTGCTGTTGCTGCTCCTCGGTGGCTTCAGCCACAGGGCCCGCCCTCCCCGCCTTCCCTCCCTGCTTCAACACCAGGCTCTCCCGCGGCACCGCGAAGGGATTCAGCATCATTGCCATCATAGCCGACTCGCGCGGCTGCACGGAGGGCTTTGGAAACGGCGGCGGCTGCCAGGCAGGTGGCTGAGGAGTCATCATGGCGTTGGTGAGATCTGCGGAGGCGCTTTGGTGCCCCCTCAGGTCCGCGCCTGCGCTCACGGCATGATGCCCGCCCTTCAGGAGGTGTTTTAGCTGCATCCCGGTGGCTGTGAAGGGCGTGGGAGGCAGATCGGAGGTGTCGCCCTCAGCCCCACGCCGTGCGATGAACAGGTTTGCAGAGCCCAGCACGCTGGCGTCTGGGGGCCGCTGCTTGCGTGCAGCAGCGGAAGGGCTGGGCGGAGTGGCCGGCCTGCCCTCCCAGACGTCGCCCCGAACAACCCGACTGCCCGGCGACATCGCAGCATAGCCGCTGGCATCACCTGCCTGCGCTGAGGGAGGGCGTGAGCCAGGTCGGAGCCTGCTGCTGCTGCTGCCAGCATCTCCCTCCGACGGGCCAAGCGGGACCAGGCCGCCGGCAATGAAGCCGCCTCCTAGAGCGGCCGGGCTCTGGGGGCGGAGCCTGCTCTGGATCTCCCCGCTGCTGGCGTGTTCTAGGTGGCTGCGAAGGGCGGAGGTCTGGTCTCCCCACGCATGGTTGCCGGTTGCCGGGGTACGCGGCCTGGCGCTCCCAATGCGGTGCTCCACGCTGGACTGCTCCGGCAGCGCGTCAGCTGCAATATCTTCAACGGCCAGGGCGGAACTCCCGCCTGCATGCGGGCTGACACGTGCGTTGCTGCTCGTCTCACCACGGGCTTTGCCGACGCCTGGAGAAGCTGCCTCAGCGCCGCCCCACACCGGGTTATCGATCGTGTTGTCTGCACGCGGCCTGGCGCCCATGTCCCCAAGTTTGTTATTCGCTTGACCCGCTCCCGAGCTGGGTGGAGCTGATCCTGAATCCCAAGTTGCTAGCGAGCCTGTTGCGTCGCCAGGACGCGGCCTGCTCCTGCCTCCGCTGGTGCCACCCGCGTCCCGACCTGCACGGGCCGCTGCGCCAAAGCCACGCAGGGCCAGGTCTTTGGCGCGCCCAACGAGCATCTGGCTGCTCTTCTTGCGGCTGCCGCTGCTGCCTGCAAACAGAGACGCGTTGCCGGCCGGGCCCGCCGCCCCCCCGGCTGCTCTGCCCGCATGCGTTCCTGGGCTGACCTCCAGGCCGGGGCCCCTATTCATGATCACTTCAGCGCTGGTGATGGCCGTCAAGGGTGGGAGCTGCGGCCGTTTCGCCGCCGGCGGCAGACGCGCAAGCTGAGCCCCAACTGCGTCGCTGTTGCCTGCACCGCTGGAGGGGCCCGAGTTAGGCCGAGCACGACCCGGGCCTGCCGCCCCGGCCCCTGCAGTGCTGCTGTCTTGCGTGAACGCCGTCTTCGGTACGTTGCGAAGAGGTCGCTCGCCGACCCTCAGCAAGAGGCTCCTCCGCATGCGTGCCAGCAGCCCGGGGTTGCCCGGTGCCAGGACCGCCGCAGTCTCAGCGGCGCCCCCACGTTCCATGGGTAGCACAAACGTGGGAGTGATGCGCGACACGCTAGCAGCGGCGGAGGGGGGACGTTGGGGGTCGTTGCCATCAGCGTCTTGCTGCGGAGGGCCGGACACAGCCACACGCCAGTGCGGGCCTGCAATGAAGTCCGGCTCGGGAGCAGCGGTAGGCGGGGTGGCTGCACGGATGGCTGGCGCGTCGTTCCATGCTCCAGGCTTGGCAGCGGCAATGGTGTCACCTCCGGAACGGACGAGGCTGAGGTTTACGTCGGCGCCTGCTGGGCCGTTGAAGCGGTTCCAATGCGGACCAGGACTGTACAGGTCGGCTATGATCCGGCGTTCCTGTGAGGAGGAGCGGGTTATGGGGAGATGGGGTTGGTGCGTTTGTGGGGGGGGGGATGGGATGGGAGGCATGGCAGGGGGCCAGCAGGGGCCGGCAAATGGCAAGATGCCGCACGTGGCAAGGGACAGCTAATAAGCGAAGGGCTTATGGAGATCAGGGTGCTGATGTTGCCAACAACATCCTGCCATCCTGCATGGAGGGTAGGATGCTGTTGCTAGGGCTGGCCGGTACCTACCTCTGATGATGTTTTTTTATTTGCAATGTGTGCTGTTCTGCACCGCAAGCAGCGCAAACGAGCCATGCAGGCGTCCCTCAACCTTCCATCCTTCCCTTCCATCGTACAGGGTGTAGCCTAACCCTCCTGCCTTCAGTAACCACCCCTGCCTGCTCATGTCGACGCCTTATCCCTCAGTCAGTTAGTTGTTTCCTCTTTACCCCCTCTACCTCCCCTGCCAACATGCCCCGCCTCACCGTCCGGAACAACCACAGCCGCCCCAGCGCCAGCCACCAATGCAGCGCCGCAAAGGGCAGCACCAAAGCCACCAATACAATAACCGCCGGCGCGGTGTTGTCCCGCCAGTCACCCGCCGGGCCGCCCAGCGCCATGCTGGAGTAGAAGGACAGCGCCGCCAGCACCAACCCCGCCACCATCATCTCCAGCCGGGGAAACCAAAGGAACTGAGGGATGTCGGATGACACAAACCAGCGGTACAGTAGCACGGTGAGGAAGCGCAAGGCTGCGACACACGCGAGCAGCAGAAACGCAACTGCCAGAGTGTACAGCAGGTCTTGCATGTCAGACTTGTAGGTGACGGTGGTGCCGCTGGGCGGAAGGCCCGTCGCATTGCTGCCGTTGGGGGTGGGAGTGGTGTCGTTGCCGGCCAAACCCAGGTTGATGGGTGTTCCGGCACCCAGGCTGCTAACGGCACTGCTTGCAAGTGGGCTGTTTGCTGAAGTACTGGGCGGGTAAGGTCCTAGCGATAGCCCGGAGGAGTTGCTGCTGCCGCCGGAGCTGCTCTTCCCTTCAGGGGAAGAACCGATTGTCGTGGGGGTCCAAGGAAGCAGGTAGTATTGTACTTCGCTGCTGCCTGCACTGCTGCTGGTGCTGTCGACACTGGTTTGGTTTCGAAGCCAGTTGCTGAGCGGGTCATCCGGCGGAACGGAGGCGGTCGTGGCAATCGTGGGGGGCGGCGGGGGTCTGATAGCCGTTGCGGACTGCAAGCTGCTGGTTTGGAGCAACCCGCGAGCGCCGCCGCCGCCGCTGTTGCTGTTGCTGCCGCTCAGCGCTGCATTGCCGCCTGCTGCTACTGCTGCCGCCGCTGGCAGTGACGCGGTCAAATGCGGGAGCTCTGCAAGGATTGGGCCCGCCGCCGTTTGCAGCCGCCTTCCCGCGGACTCTGCATCTGCAGATTGGCTGTCAACCCCGTACACAGTTCCGTTTGTGGCGTCATCAGCATACAAGCCGGGTAGGGTCAGTGGGGGAGGGGCCAAAAGGAGAGTCAGGGGTGAGGGGGGCGGCTGGGGCGGCAGGGTGACCGGCCAGCCTCCCTGGATGCTGCTCCTGGCAAGCGCTGTTGCGTTCACGTCCTGTACGGTGTTGGAAAAACCGGCGTCGAGCGTTCGAATGTTGCCCTTGATACTCATAACGCTCCACCTGCGGTTGCAAGTGACATGCGGTGCATGCGGGGAGGGGACAAGTGTGAGTGTGAAGGACGGTCAAACACGGGGCCGCTACGGAGCGCTGGAGAGATGTGTTACAGTCACGCTCCTTGTGTGGGCTGGCTGACGTAAAGTATCCATGGCATGAGAGCGTCTGCCGTACATATCCCCAGCGCAACACAGCACAGCACAGCGCGCATGCCACATATGCCGTGCGGCGCCCTTGCGTGCCAACCCTCGCGCAAAGCACACCCCCGCACACCCCTGCTGCCCACCCTCCCATCCAGCCCGAGCACACAAAGCCGTACGCCGTACTACTGTCACCCCGCCGGGTACGACCAACCAACCTGAAGTACGCGGCGAAGTGGCGGTACTGCTCCCCCACTCCCGAGGAGGCCATGTAGGCCGACATGGCCAGCAGCTGCACATGGTAGCTGGACTGCAGCAGCGTCCCCCGGCCGAACAGCACCTTGGCGAAGGAGCCTGCAGCAGCAGCAGCAGCAGCAGCAGCAGGGGAGCACACGCAGCAGCACAGGCAGCACAAGGAGTCAGGGCCTTCTGTCCAACGGTAGGCGAGTTACCATATGGTCTGTGGGTCTGTTACCACCGGCAGATAGCGGGGCCATGCATCAATCGCCGAAATAGGAATCCGCATGTGAATCACTGCCCATATAAACCTCCCCAGCAGCAAAAACAGCGGTACATATCTGAGTGAGATCACTCACCAGAAGCCGCTGAGATAAGGCCAGACACGGTGGCAGCCGCTGGAATGGCAGCTGAGGCTGCAATGGAGGCGTTGGACAGCGCTTCCTCCGCTCTTGTTGACATAACTGGGTTGGGTAATGTGGAGTCATCGGTGATGCTCAGGGAGTTCGAACCGGGGTTCCCCATCAGGTCCCGGTAGGCCGCCGCCGGCAGCACAAAGTTTGCCGCACACTCGCCCGTGCCTGCCATGGCGAACGAGGAGGAGGGAGGGAGGGAGGGAGGGAAGCAAAACGCAGGTAGGGTTACGGGCCAACGGCCACTTAGGGGGAATCTATCTTAGGAGGACTTAAAGTCTGTAAGTGCGGTCATCAAAATGCCGTATGCTGCGAAGATGGCGGTACTGCATGACAGCATTTATTGTCACCCAGCACAACAGCATGATAAATATACGTCGGGGTTAGTTGTGCCACACATTTGTGCCTATCCAGTCGAACTTCACAGCCACGTCAATGCAAATCGGTTCCACGAAAGGGAGGGCAGCAGAGGGCGGGTGTCACGTACCTACTGCAAGGAGGTAGAAGGTGGTGTTCCCAGGGGATGCCAGCCACTCCGTTATGACAGCCCCACGGGTCACCAGGGCGGATGCCGGGTTGAAGTCCGGACTCAAGTCCTCGCTGAAAGACAGCTCCAGGATTATGGCACGTCGGCCAGCCGTACGCTGCAAACAAGCACCCCGATTTCGGACACTTGTGTTATCGTCCTGACTCCACAAGCGCTGATAAGACAAGCTCTCCGAAGGCAAAACGGACGACGGCCTAGTAAGATGCCAGTTAGTAGTCCGCAGCCCCCAGTTCTCTGTATTGTGGCACCATGCCACTACCATCCCTTTGCTTTGCCCGCACCTGTGGTTTCGTATGGTATGGTATGGTCTTTGACCCCTCGGTACGGCGTACCGACTACCGGTATGTGGGTCCATTGGCGACAACGCGCCCCGCGTGATCCTCTGTCCAACGGCCTAACCGAAACTCGTTCCTTGCTCTTAGGAAGTACCCTCGTTTATTATCCCGCCCCTCCCCCCTGCTGCTTATCCCTCAGTCAGTTCGTTGTTTCCTCTTTACTCCCCCCTGCTGCCACAGAATGGACGTACCCGCATTTGCCCCTCAGAGAACGCTGATGGCTCCACTCGCTCTGCAATAACGCGTGAATCCACAATGCGCCCTTGAACCCGAGGCGGCGTTCTGTCCACCAGCACTCGCAGCTCGGCGACACGATCGGCGGCTTGAACCTGCAGGTGCATGAGCGCACGTGCACACACGCACATGTGCATGGACTGCTTCAGAATCAGGAGCGGATAGACGAAGCAGCAACAGCAAAAGCCGACGCCAATTACACGGCCTGTGTGTACGACAAGTGCCTATGCGTGCAGTCAAACGTACGGCAGCAGCGGGGGGCACAATCGCTCACCCGGACTATCAGAGTGCCTTCGACACCGCTGTTTACACTCCACGCGGCCTCCACCGTCCCATCGCCCGCCCCGCCAGAGCTGCTGCTGCTGCTGCTGCTGCTCGCGAGCCTGCCCCCCTCCACATTGCTGCCTCCCACACTCTGCGTCGACGCGCCCGACGTCCCAGGCAACAAACGGATGATCCGCACGTTGGCCTCCACATCCGCCACGGCTGGGATGGCGGCCACCACTGTCAGTCTGCAGACGCACAGGGCGCAGAAGTCCGAGGTCGCCCCCGGCACGTTCATCGCCAGCAGGAAGGAACCGCTGCTGCGCTCGGGCGCCGCGACCCACCACGTTGCTGCTGAACTGTAGTAGGGGCAGTCGTTGGGGGCGGGTGGGCTGCTGCTGTCCGTCGTCGACTTTGTGCTTGGAGATGGCGGAGGTGAGGGAGGCACGGGTGAGGGCGGCAAAGGTGTGGGTGGTGACGGTGAGGGCGGCATGGGGGGCGGAAATGGTGAGGAAGGCGGCACGGGAGGTTGTGGCGGTGTGGGAGGTGGTGGGGGAGAGGCGGGGGAGGGCGGGGGAGGCGCCGGTGAGGGTGGGGGCGGGCTGGGTTGAAGCGGAGGAGGCGGCGTTGGGCTGGGAGGAGGAGGAGAAGGGGACGGGGGTTCAGGTGGCGGCGGGGAAGGGGGTTCTGGGGAAGGAGGCAGCGGAGATGGGGGCGATGGAGAAGGTGGTTCTGGCGAAGGGGGGTCTGGTGACGGGGGTGACGGAGAGGGCGGCGGCGGAAAAGGAGGAAGCGGTGAAGGAGGTGGGGGAGAAGGGGGCAGTGGAGAGGGGGGCGGCCGAGAAGGGGGCGACGGAGAAGGAGGCAGCGGGAAAAGGGGGGACGGAGAAGGAGGCAACGGTGAAGGGGGTTCTGGTGACGGGGGTGACGGAGAGAGAGGTGAAGGAGAAGGAGGAAGCGGTGAGGGGGGCGACGGAGAAGGTGGAACCGGTGAAGGTGGCAGCGGAGAAGGGGGCGGCGGTGAAGGGGGTGGTGGAGAAGGTGGTGCTGGCGAAGGGGGGTCTGGTGACGGGGGTGACGGTGAAGGGGGTGGCGGAGAAGGGGGCAGCGGTGAAGGGGGTGGCGGAGAAGGAGGCAGCGGTGAAGGGGGTGACGGTGAAGGGGGTGGCGGAGAAGGGGGCAGCGGTGAAGGGGGTGGCGGTGAAGGGGGTGGCGGAGAAGGAGGCAGCGGTGAAGGGGGCAGCGGTGAAGGGGGTGGTGGAGAAGGTGGTGCTGGCGAAGGGGGGTCTGGTGACGGGGGTGACGGTGAAGGGGGTGGCGGAGAAGGGGGCAGCGGTGAAGGGGGTGGCGGTGAAGGGGGTGGCGGAGAAGGAGGCAGTGGTGAAGGGGGCAGCGGTGAAGGGGGTGGTGGAGAAGGTGGTGCTGGCGAAGGGGGGTCTGGTGACGGGGGTGACGGTGAAGGGGGTGGCGGAGAAGGGGGCAGCGGTGAAGGGGGTGGCGGAGAAGGAGGCAGCGGTGAAGGGGGTGACGGTGAAGGGGGTGGCGGAGAAGGAGGCAGTGGTGACGGGGGTGACGGTGAAGGGGGTGGCGGAGAAGGGGGCAGCGGTGAAGGGGGTGGCGGTGAAGGGGGTGGCGGAGAAGGAGGCAGCGGTGAAGGGGGCAGCGGTGAAGGGGGTGGTGGAGAAGGTGGTGCTGGCGAAGGGGGGTCTGGTGACGGGGGTGACGGTGAAGGGGGTGGCGGAGAAGGGGGCAGCGGTGAAGGGGGTGGCGGAGAAGGGGGCAGCGGCGAAGGGGGTGACGGAGAAGGGGGCAGTGGTGACGGGGGTGACGGTGATGGGGGTGGTGGAGAAGGGGGCAGCGGTGAAGGGGGTGGTGGAGAAGGTGGTGCTGGCGAAGGGGGGTCTGGTGACGGGGGTGACGGTGAAGGGGGCAGTGGTGAAGGAGGTGACGGAGAAGGAGGCAACGGTGAAGGGGGAGGCGGAGACGGGGGATTTGGTGGAGAGGGAGGGGGTGAGGGAGGACTCGGTGGCGATGGCTTCGGTGATGGGGGTGATGGGAAAGGTGGCTCCGGTGATGGTGGGTCGGGTGGGGGATCCACGTATCCCGGGGGACGCGGTGGCCTAGCTTTCGATGGTTTCGCCGGAGGGGGTGACGGTCCAGGAGGTTCAGGTGAGGGAGGCTTAGGTGGAGGCCTTGAGGGCAGGGCAGGAGGACCCGGCGGACGAGGAGGTGGACTTGGCGAGGGTGGTGGGGGTGAAGGAGGTAGCGGAGGTGAGGGAGGTGTAGGAGAAGGAGGATAAGGTGAAGGCGGTACTGGCGAGGGCGGCTTGGGAGGGCTGGGAGGTGGTGCCGGAGGGCTGGGTAGCAAGGGGCTGGGCGATGGGGGATCAGGTTGGGGCGGTGAAGGTGAGGGGGGATCGGGTGAAGGAGGAAATGGCCATGGGGGTAGGGGAGAGGGAGGTTTCGGTGCTGGGGGCATCACGGGTGGTCCGATGGGAGGGGAATCTCTCGGAGGCATCGCGGGGTCGTAACGTGGGGCTGGACGTTTAGGGGGATTGGAATAAGTCACCGGTGGATTTGTTGGGAGTGTGGGTGGGCTGCCAGGGGGCGTAGGGGAACGTGGAGGGTGGAGAGGTGGACGTGTGGGGGGCATGGGTGGTCTTGGAGGCAGCCGAGGGGAACTTGGAGGGAGATGAGGAGGAAATGGGGAATTTGGAGGGAGATGAGGAGGATGTGGGGAACTTGGAGGGGGCGCAGGGGGACGTGAAGGGACCCCCGGGGCGACAGGGAAGATAGGGGGGAAAGAAGGAGGGTCCGAACTTTCTGGAGGTCCGTCTGAAGCCATGGCGCCTGCACGTAGCCATGGGAGTTGGGGCACAAAAGAAGGAGGGCAGCTGATGCGACGTCTTCTTGTCAACCGAAACACAACCGGCAGAAGTTTCAGGAGCGTACCCATGTGGGATGCTAAGCCCTAGGCGTGATGAGCATGAAGCGCAGCACTTCGCAGGATTCATAAACAGGCACGTATTGCGTGCGGAATGGTGTCCAGCGGGCAAGAGCGCTCTTTGCAATGCCAGCAAAGTGCACGACCACAACACACGACACACCTGCCCGTTGTGAGGTCCAAAGGCAGGAGAATGCCAAAAAGGCAAAGGCACAGCAGAGGGTCGCTCCTCGTGGTAGCACAGCAGGCCTCATGATAGAACAGAACAGACCACAGCACCTGCTGTTTCTTCGTCTCACAGCCATGGTGCGTGCTAACCGAAAACCTGCAGGGTCAGGGTCAGAGCCAGGGTCAGGCGTAACCAGGAATATGGCCAGTGCAAGGCAGTATGGAAGGGATTTACTTCAAATCGAAGGCAGACAGGCATGTCTTGGCATAATAAAGCGCTTGAGTATGTGCAACACCGTAAGGTTAAATTGCAAACGGGGCATTGCCGACCCTCCGGCGACTAGCTCCTCTGGCAGCGGGTAACATAACGGGTTCATTAAGTCAACCTAAATGGTTAAATAAGTAATAGGCGCCTTCACTAAGCGCCTCCCGACATAGCGCCGATGCGATGTGACCCCTCAAGTCGCAAGGCTGTAAGACGCACGCCAGACTGTAAGGCACTCTTACCACGGCCATGAGGTTAGTAGTGTTAACTTCTATGCTGCGTTCCAATCCGCTGGAAGCGAACCGGCTGGACACTATGGCCGTATTGTAATTGGGCAATAAAATGTGTAATGCTGCTTGGTTGACGATTACCTCAAGTACCCTGCACTAAGGCTGTGTGTTTCGCCGTTACTTTCTCCGTTACTATCCTCCCGATGCTTCGTACAGAAGGTCCAGGGACAAGTTTGGACAACAAAGGGGCGCGAGCGCGCGTAGATCCAAGCGCATAATCCTGTAGGATTTTCAATATTTTCCCTTCCATAAAATTTCCTGTAACATCCTTTCCTGTTGGCCATAATCCTGCTTGACAGTGACTTGGTGCCTCCTCAGTTCTTAACCGTAACGCTAACTGCCCTAACGTCTATCTATGACCGCTCACATCCCTCCCGAGTCCCGACCCATACCTACGACCGCTTGCATCCCTTAGCTTGGACTGCGACATTCCAATGTGTTCTGTTTACAAAACTTGCTGTGCCAAGAGACAAGTTGCAACCAGAGTCAATGAGGTTCCGAAAATTGCTAGGAAGCTTTTGTCATTGAACATTGCGATTTTCCTGGCATCCGCAAACCAAAAAGCAAATGGTTAAACGGTGCGTGAACCCTCCACGCCCCCCCCCCCCCCGCCGCCCTTTATACAGATGCGTGAAAGCCTCTACCCTCGACAGTACACGAAGACAACGCCCTCGCTCATGTTATTGACTTCACAGCGAACGTCGCAGCAAGTGTACAGAATACCTATGTACGTCGGCGAGTAAGACCCCACTATGCAACACGGCAAACATGCATACATACCCCTGCGAAGCAAGCCAGGCACGAAACGTTACCTAAATTTCTTCTCTTCATCCGTTCCCTTATCACCTCTATAGCCTGGCCCTCCCGCTTTGCACCTTTTTTCCGCACGACAGATGCCTTGTTCACACACACAAGGCAACGGGCCTCTGCGTCCAAACACACTGGCAACGCTTAGCATGCACATGCGTGCGCCTGCCTGCCGGTAGCGGTCCACTGGTCCACACGCGTCCCAAAACACACGCATGCCCTGTAGCGCTTTCACTCCAGCGAACTGCCCTGCCTGCAAGCGAAAGGCTGCCTAAACAAGCTCACATGCGTCGGAGGCTGAGGCTGCTAGGAAGCGTGAAGCTTCCTGTGCTTTCGCTGCTGCTGCTGCTGCTGCTGAGGCGGCGTCTGCTGCCCCTGTTGTTGCTGTACCGCTCCTTTGCAGAAGCGCTCGTATGCCGGCAGTTGCGTCCGGTTCATGGGATCCATTCCCCCGTACCGCCACCACTGGGCCACCGTCCTTCGTCCCCCAAAGCCGTACTTGTAACCCGCCGTACCATGAGAGCCGTTGAGCAGGGAAACGACCTGTACATCGTACATGCCGTTGTAAGTTACTTCCGTACATAAAAGAGTTTCTGACATGCGTTTTCACCCTTCTTCTGTTCTTCACCTTCGCCTACCTCCCGTGTATGGCCCTTGGCCCTGCCCATCATCCTCACTTACCTTCTCCAGGCTTGCCTGTCGACCCTTGTGATATGATGGGCTGTGAGCGAGGTCCTGACGGAGATCCAGGCCGGCGGCAGGGCACAGCAGCAGCGCGGGTAGTCAGGTCGTCAGGTTGGACTGACCGGAGCGGGGCCGAACTGCCTCACAGCAACGCAGGCTCAGGCACCCTCTAGTAAAGGTGTGGATGCAGGGTTGGCATGCGTGCATGCGAGTAAGCCACAGCTGTAGCAGTGGCAAAGACGCCAGCAGCAGCAACAGTGACAGCAAGCAGCGGCAGCAGCAGCAGCAACAGTGACAGCAAGCAGCGGCAGCAGCAGCAGCAACAGTAACAGCAAGCAGCGGCAGGAGCAGCAACAGTGACAGCAAGCAGCGGCAGCAGCAGCAGCAACAGTGACAGCAAGCAGCGGCAGCAGCAGCAGCAACAGTGACAGCAAGCAGCGGCAGCAGCAGCAGCAACAGTGACAGCAAGCAGCGGCAGCAGCAGCAGCAACAGTGACAGCAAGCAGCGGCAGCAGCAGCAGCAACAGTGGTGGCAGTGGGCAGGCAGCAAAAACAGCAGCAGCAGCAGTACCGACCTCCCAATACTTGGGTGCATGGCTCCTGCCGTAGTGGTGGAACGCCACGTTCCGGTCGGGTGTCAGCAGCTCCCAGCCAGACGTCCACAGCCTCGCACTGAGGCGGGACACGAGGGAGGGCGGGAGGTGTGAGGTGCGTACGGACGGTGCGGACATGGCGGAACTGGCGTGGGTGTAGCAGTGAGGAAGGTGTGCTGGCATACCATATATACTGGCATACATGATCTCGATAAGGCCACCACATCATCACTCCAGATTGGCCAAAAGATCGTTAGTCGCTGTATATGCTCAAGAGTTGTTCAGCGCCGTACAACCGCAAGCATAATCTGCCGCACGATACCAGCCGTACTGTACGTGACCCTGCCGTACGGCCGTACCTGTACAGCGGCTCCTCGCCGTGAAAGAGGTATTCAAGGGAGGGATCGTACGGCACATCGCGCATCAGCTGCGCCCGACCGAACATGAATCCCGCAGCCGCGAATGGAACGGGCTGCGGCAACCGTTTGCGAAATGGAGAGGGGTGGAGGCAGGGAGGGAAGCGAGAAAGGCATGCCGGGCTTCGGGCATTGGTGGGCCCTCCTCGCCACGTTTTGTGCTTCCCTTCTACTTCTGCCCCTCCCCGCCTTCTCCCCCGAACCTGAAGCCTTTCACCAAGACTTGCCAGTATAATTCAAAGCACGGTATTTCTCCTTCTTTCCCCCACCTTCTTCCTCTCTCCCGCCTGGCAGCAAGCCATCCCAAGTCCCCGACCTGTCCCCCCACCCATACACGCCGTCGCACCCCTCACCCGGTGAATTCCATCTATCTATTCCATCCTATCGTCCATCTCCACTCACCCGGAACGTATGTCGCGGCGGTGCAGGCTCCAGTGCGGCAGCAAAGTGCGGCACCCCCTCGGGTCCCCAGCTGGCCATGCACATGACCGGTACCTTTGCCTCCGCTAGGTTGTCCCAGGAGGGTGGGTAGTGCTAAGAGCGGCATGCAGAGCACAGGGTAGGGTAGTTGCACGTGATGCCCGGTACGCAAAGGGGCGGGGAGTCGGGGAGCGAGCGGCCAAGGCAATGCGGGGAGAGCGGTGAGACGGAGACGGAGAGTTTGTCATGACTCGGCAGCTGCTGCGCTGCAGCGGTTGTGTTTGACAGCTGCTGGTGCCTGGCGTTTGGTTGGTGGGCGCTTACCGTGAAGACGGCCTGACGTGTGGGTGCGGATTTAGCCATGCGCAGCAGCTCCCAGTCCCAACCGCCCATGAAGAGCATGTGGGAGTCGAGCTGCGTAGGGCGGGCAGGTAAAGAGGAAACAACTGACTGACCCTGTGATAGAGGGCGTCATCATGGTTTGCATGGGCGGGCGGGGGTAGGCGCAGGGGCGGGGCGAGGAGGTGTCGGGGAGGGGGCTGCGCACAGCAGGGCGGGGGTGAATTGGGGAGCAGCAGGGACTCAGAAGGTGCAGCCTTGGTTTGACAGAGAAGAGCGGCAACATCATTTGGAAAGGGGTGTGTGGTATGTGTACCGGTAACCCAAGCCGCTCCATCTACCGTACCTGCATGAGGAACTCTTGGCCGTCGTACAGGGTAGAGGCCAAGTACCGGGCAACCACGGGCCCTTTGCCCTCGGAGCTGTCGAGCAATAGACGCCTGTGCAGAGGGCAGCGATGAGGAGGTTGAGATTGTCGGTTGCAGCAGTTGGGTGTCGCTCTTCGCGATTTGGGTCGGCATGTTTCTCTACCGTATTCTCGGCTTTAGCTTGAAAAGGGTCGCACCGAAGGTTTCAAGTCATGCAGGACAGTGAATTAAACAATTGTTGTCAAGTGGCCTCCTAGGGCAGCCTGCTGCAGTCCGCACCGAATGTTCTTCTCATAGGGCGCCAGCTCGGCCGATTCGCAGCGTTCCGCCGCTGATGTGTTGCTAGACATGGAGTACGCGACTACTCCCACGTACACTTTCTCAGGCTTGTATGCCTGGTGAAAGAGGTTCAACAGGGTCGATGCGCACCTACGGGCGCAACAACAACAGCAGTAAGGATGCAAGCCAGCAGAGAACACTTACTATCCATAGTTCGCGAAATGGTACGCAAACGAGGGTAATCTGCTGAGCTGGGGCAAGCTGTCAATTTGACATTGCTGGGCGCAGTTTTGAGACTTACTCATTATCTCGGTAAGAGGACACCGACACAAAGATAGTATCCTTCCGTTCAGTTCGCCAAAGGCTGAATAGAACAGCAGCGATGAAAAGGGCAACTAACGGCGCCCCAATCTGTCGAATGCGGCGAAAGGGAAACCTAAATAGACCCATATCTTCGCAATAATATGAAGTTCTGGTCACAGCCAGCCTATACGTTCTGCTGTCCACACAACTACGTGCACTCATTGCCGGGTTGGCTTAGTGATACTGTTTGTACGGAATGGCACCATCAGGAACTAAGAAAGGAGGAAGTATACAAGGCTGTGGGATTATTTATCCATTGTGTCATATACCCGGTATATCGCTTAGCGACGATCATGTGCCACATTAGACTTCGCACCGTCGAGGACAATGGATGGAGGTCGCGCGATGCGTGGCACAAGACTTCCATGCGACCCCGACCCAGGTCAATGTATATCTATCCGCCTGCTATTACAGTATGCACCCCAAACGTGCAGTATAGTTGATTCCTTGCACAATTGCCCGGTATAAACCTTGTGCCGTCCACCATCCAACTTGTCAAGGGCCACTTGCTGCCAGCAACACGAACCCCCTTGCGCAGATGCACTTATGCACGGGTGTGGCACTCAATGCTTCAGAGCTTTTGTCCTGAGCGCAGCAGCAGCACCGCGCACAGACTCACCGTTGCCCGTATTGGCTGCCGCCCGCCCTGTGCACCGTAGACAGCGCGGCCGGCCACATTGGACGCAACCCAAAAGTGCACTCAGGTTACACTTTCCTTCTAATGGCATGAGGTGCTAACAGCCCCAAGGTTGTGTGCTCGGCGCTGGCCCAGAACATAGCTTGGGTTGCACGCTCGGGCCACGAGGCCGTCATACGTTCATGCTCGGGAGTACTACGCCTCCAAACATACCTAGATTCCGCTTCCTTAAGAGAGAGACACTTCCTAATCGCTCCTTCCAATCCTATAGAGCAAACACCGGGCGCAAGCCGCATCAGTTGACGCCTTAGCCTCTGCACAGCCTTCAGCACGCCAATGCCGTGGTTATGATCTCATGCCGCCTACTGGTAAGGACACGCGATGCACGGCGGCAGACGGCGCCAACCGCTGCATGTAGCATAGAGGAAGACATAAACCCGGCCTGCACTTCATTGAACATCGACCACACCACGCGGAACTAAAAAGGCTCCCTTGCAGACCCTGCACGACCTAAGTCCAGATAATCACGCGACACAAAAGTCCTACCCTTGCCCCGCTTATACCAAACCCACCTAGTAAACACCCCAATGCATGTATGAAAGAGCAAAGCTTTTTATGGACTCGCCTATCCTTGCTTACCCCAAACCACAAGTTGGCGCTAAGCAAGTAACCCACCCTGCCAAACTGTCGCTATAAAGCTAGTATCGTGGATGCGGGGTAGCAGCAGCAGCAGCTGGCGGCAGGCATCTCTGCCTGCTTCCTTCCAACCCCGAGCCCCGTTCTGTCCCCCCTCAACGCATGGCGTAGCTCACTCCTCAACTGGCGGGGCTGCCGGCCGCTTCCGAGGCGGCCTCCGCGTTGCTGCCTGGCTCCCGCTGCTGCTTCAGCTGCTGCAGCCGCTCCTCGTCCTCTTGCCGCTTCTTGGCCCAGCGCTCGTGGTAGCGCTTCTGGCGTGGCTCACGCACAATCTTCTTCTCCTTTTTCAAGCAGGTTGAGAGGTCCCAAGTGATCTCGGAGCAGACGCCAAAGAACTTTTGGTAGGGATTATCCTTGCGGCATTGCTGTAGGGCCTCCATGTACTGGAATGGAGGGAAGGAGGATCGACATAACAACGCGGGATAAAGGAATAAGCAGCAGCACACGAATCACGGGTAGCGCTCGCAACGGGGGAAGGCCAGGAACACAGGATGGAGTGAAGTGGGGAGTGAGGCAATGTTACGCTGGGGACAGGCTGGAAAGTGCCGAATCCCAGACAACTGTGCGGCCCAAGGCGCCCCTATCAATACCATTGTTAGTTACGCGGTTCAGACGCCGGAGCGGGGCTTTAAATGGTGCATATATAAAAGGATGATGTGAGAATCAAGGGTAGGTTGGTTGACTGACGACCACTCAGGGCAGGTGACATCCTTACGCGTGCATACCGTGTTGCAGGGCAAGGCAGCGGGGCTTGGAGTGCGGCAATGTGAACGCCCTTCTTTGGGATGGCTCAACGACGCCACCCAACTCGCCTGCTCGCCGACGACAACTATTCAGCCTCTTACCTTGCCGCATAATGGGTGCTTCTCAGGGATAAGCGCCGGGTGCATCCTCCCTTCACTCCTTGGTTACCAGCAGGGTACGCTACACGTATCGTAATTGACAGTGCCCAAGAAGTATCAGCTGTATGCAGTATGTCGTTGTGCAGTATTTAAAGTGCTTTTCTGCTTGTATTCACCATGCATAACAAGTATGGCTATTTTCCCCACCATGGTGTTGCCGTACAACCATTCCCCAGAGCTGTGACATCTGTCGCCCAGCCCAGCGCGGTGAGATGCTTTTTCCGTCGCGTTTGCAACTGTCACCTTCTAATGCAGACCCACACGCCACCTATCATTTTCTGAACTCCCGCTTCCTCCTTCTTCTCAATAACTCAAACGCTGTTGACTTCAGCGAGTACTTGGCTAACGAACTTGTATTTAGTGATGAGGCATCCACGCACGTTAGTAGACCGCATACCGCGTGACGTGGTCCCCAATTTGCCGTTTTAGTGACTCGGGCTTGTTCTGAACGAACATCTTGTAACGCTTGGCAGCCTTGAACATTTCGGCCCGAGGCGTCGCGTGGTCACCTAGACAGATAGTAGATAGCTAAGTTCTAAGGAGGTAAGTTCCGGTTCGTTTTCTCCAACCCGTCCAGCTCTTTTATTTTTTCCTTGTTAGCCATACATGTTGACTAGCAACTTGCTGCTACGCGGACTTGAGCGGTCGCTGGTCTGGCCAATCCTTGCTTGCGTTGCGAAGGATATTGACCCTGCTAGATGACATATGGCAATTGGTCATGATAGCCGCTGCGCAGAGCTTTTCCTGCCATGTTCGTATGCCGTTAACAGGTAACAACTTCGTGGCGGGCGGCGAAAGCAGCTCGACGTTGACGTGTTTCCCTGTACTGAAGCCGTTTCCTTGGAAGGGTCTCACTCAAACCGCACTTCTATTCAACGCCTAGCGCTTCGTGCCCGGTCTGCATGTCCTGTCTGTCGCAGCGCTGTCCGAGCGAACAGCGCCCTCATCAACTCGCAGAAACATGGCCAAGGTCCTGGGGTTCTGGCGCCGCAAGGCACCGGAGAAGTCAGAAGCACTCGCTCCCGTGCCCGCGCCTAGCTCGCCGCAGCTTCCACCCAGCACAAAGTCCGCGAGCGCAGCTGCAGAGGACAGAGCTGGAGACCAAAGCATCGACCTTGTCCCCACACGCCGCCAGGCCTCTCAGATCAACGTGAACAGGTTCCTCGCAAACTCACCATATGGCCTAACCGCCATCCTCAAAAAGTCCTCGCGACCAGACGTCGCAGACGCCCCAGCCACCCCGACCCCCGGCGACGCACCCCCCACGGCGGCCTCCCCTTCGCCCCCGCCCATGCAGCCCGTTGCTCCACCCGGAGAAGCCCCACCCTCGCGACCCATGCGCGAACGACGCAAGTCAACCACGCTGACCGAAATGGCCCAAGCCGTCCAAAACCTCGACGTCAGCCATGCGGCTCTCATTATGATGCCCGCGCGGCTGCGTCAGGAGCTCTCGCAGCCCAACGCCGAGCTGTCCGGCACCGCACAGCCCTCCTCCGGGCAGCTCCCGCAGCTCTCCCGCGCCTCCGCACTCCCCGCCACACCTCTCAGCCCTTCATCCGCCGGGGGCGGCGGCAGCACGGGCGACGGCGCAGCAGCCGCAGCCGGCAGCTACCTCCCCAGCAGCATGGGTCCCGGCGGGGCGCCTGGCCGCAGTCTGGACCGCACGCCCTCGATCATCCGAGAGGCTGTGAAGCAGCAGCAGCTGCTGCGGCCGCCACCCCAGCCAGCTGACAGCCAGCTACGCAGCTACATGTCCAGCCTGGGGCATGCGGACACCGGCGCGGGCGGGTGGTCGGTGGTGCCAGCAGCCGACAGGGCGCCGGCAGCAGCGCGCAGCGGCACCCCCCTGGAGCGGCGCACCTCCACGCTCACGCAAGCCCCGCAGGCCAACCAGGCCAGCACCCTTGGCGGGCCGAGCCGCCATGCCCTGGCAGCCATGCCAAGCGGCAAGGCAACCCCGGGGGTGGGCTCGCAGGGGCAGGCAGCAGCAGCAGGAACAAGCGGCGGCACCCTACCAGGCCCGGGGCCGCAGCCGGCGGTGCAGGGATCCAAACGGAGATCAGACCCGGGGGAAGACTTCCGCATGCGGGCCGCAGCAGCCTCCGCGATGGCACCTGCTGCGGCTGCGGACGCGGCTCGGGGGTCCAATAACCGCAACGGCACGGACGAGGGGCTGGGCCCGGGATCCGGCTCGCGGCCGTCGTATTTGTACGGCACGGGGCGGGGCTCGGATAAGGACCTCCGGCGGGGTATGATGGGCGTCAGTCGTACGGAAACCGCCCTAGATGACGGCATGCGGCGACCGGGCAGCTTCACAGGGGGGCCGGGGGCGGCGGCAGGGGCAGCGGCGGCGGGCGGGGGGGCGGATGTGAAGCTGCCGAACATTGGTCTGGCGGGAGCGCGGCGGGGGACGACTGCGGCGGCGGGGAGGGAGGGCGATGCGAAGGATCGGTCGGCGGTGGATGTGGCGGCGCTGTCTGAGGCAATTGCGACGTATGAATCCGAGGTGGGTGGCAGGGTGGCAGGGTGGCATACCGGTACATGCCCTAGACACAGCAGCCAAACCTAGCTCGTCCGCTTCATGCAGCGCCAACATGAGCCGCGACTCTCACATACATGCGGCACTTGTTCCCATGCAGCGCTGCTACCTCTAGCCGCCTGCTGGGCCCCTGAGTCTACGAAACGCCCTCCTCTGCTGTTGGAAGCCAGCATCAACGGGTCTTCCCAAGATCACGTTCAGTGCTTCCCCGCGGCTCAGCCTAAGTAAACCCCGCCCTCCGCCTATGCCTGCCCCCTCCCCTTCAGGCTGCTCGGCTGCGTGCCGCTGCACTTCGCAAGATGGACACGCGCATCAAGCGGCATGTCATGGAGCGCTTCCTGGGGCGGGAGGATGACGACGGCCCTAGTCCCAGCGGCGACAGCGGCAGCGGAGGCAGCGGCTCGATGGCGCGGCCGACCAACCCGCTGGCCCCTAGGTGGGATGCATGCATGCGGGTAGGGTGGCGGGGGGAGAGGAGTGGCAGCATCCAGCAGGATGGGGACTTGGTAGGGTAGGTAGAGGCCATCGGTGTGTAGCTACCGGTATGTGCGTTTCTTGGGCTTCCCATCCGCTTTTCCGCTTGGCCCCCAGTCACAGGAACTGACCTGTGACCCCCCTTCCAGGTCGCCGGGCCAGCATGCTAGCACGTTTCCAGCCATCAACTTGTCTCCCGATGCCGCCAACTGTCACAAACTCTGTCTCAAACCCTGCGCCCAACTGTCACAAACGCACCTGCAAGCCGCTATGCTCCTGCTGCGCCCCTGCTGTCCCCCCGCCACGGCTGCCGCCACCTTTACCGTCGCTGCTGCTGCCAACGCTGTGTCCGCTGTCGCCGGCAGGTCTTCTCCCGGCGCCTCCCAGAAAGCATTGCAACCCCCACCGCTCCCTCCTCCGCGGTCTGCCTGCCGGCCCGATTCCACCCCCGCCTCTGACACCTCTGTCGCTGCTGGCACCGGCGCAGGCTGCTCGGGCGCAACCGACTTGATGGCGCGAGCGCGGGCGCGACTGCAGGTGTGCGAGGTTGTGACACGCTGCCTCCCCCCCCCCACCGCGACACAAACCACCACCATGTCAGGAGGAAGCAGCCCACCATGCATTTACTGTAGCGACCTAGACAGCACCGTGGGGGTGGCTGACCCGTGGGTCATGTGCGCATTCGCGATTCGCTGCGATTGTCACGGGGAAAGATGAGCACACACGGAGAAGACATACACAGCGAAGGAACGGTGTCAGTGAGGTTGCGAGGGCCTCCCAGTGCCCGCGGGGAACCTGCCCCATGTCCTTCTCAGCTTTGGCACCCTGCCCCACCACCTCGAAACAACCCACCAGCCATGCGGCAACGCACCCACCTCACCTCGTAGGAGACCGAGGCGGAAACGCAGGCGGAGCTCCACCACCTGCGTCGGCACTCCGCTCTGGGGCAGCGGGTGCCTATGCCAGGTGCGGCGGGGTCGGGGGTTGGGATGAGGGAGGAAGGGGCTGGGAGGGGGAGGAGGGGCTGGGGAGGCAGCACGAATAGGGCGTCAGTACTGACCCGCTTCGTCGGCTCGACAGCAGCAAACCCTGCCGCTGCAAGGCCCTGCCAGTATTGCCTCTCGTGCTTTAGCTGCTTGCTGCGTCGCTCCCCTCCTCATGCCATTGTTGTCCCTCCCGCTGCACGCATACTGCTGCTGCTGCTGCTGTGGCCAGTGGAGCTGACGTCAGAGGCGGCACTCGCGGCCAAGCGGCGACCTTAGCTGCTGCGGGCGGCGGAGGGGCCGGGGGCGGGGGCGCACCCATGGGCAGACTGCGGCCCTTGGAATCCATGCCCGCCCTCGACCGGTGACCGGTACAAGCGATGTCACATGTTGCGGTGTAGGGCCGCCCCTCCCTGTCGTACAACCTCGCGAGCCGTTGCGGCCACCCATGGAGCTGCAAGAAGTCCGAGCAAACCACCCGACTTCATCGCATCATTCATCCCATGGCCTTGTAGCGGCGATGTCTACCGTTACCTCCATGTGCCGCCGGATAACCGAGGAGGATAATGTGTGACTTTCCTGTAACAAGAGTGAGTGAGTGTGATTGGGCATTTTGGGGGGTAAGGTATGCTGCGCCGCAAGGAGACACTGAGGGGAGGGGGTGTGACACCCCGAGGCGCAGGACACGCCGACCTTGTCCGATGGTGCTGCTGCTGCGGCTGTGACGCATGCAGAGCCGGGTTGGTTCGCTGGAGGCAGTGTGGGAGCGGCAAGTGTCGTGGCGCGCTCTCACGTGCTTGTGTTTACCGTACAATTCCTAATTTGATATTGTTTGACGTGTTGGGGCCTCCCAGTCCCCAGTTATTGCTGCGAAGCAAACGCGGAGTTTGTAGCGGCGGGGCAACTGGTTGGTTGGTCATTAATGGCTTTGTTTGGAGCTTGGCTTTGGGGCGCTGGGCAACGGTCACATACCGTTGGTTGCTGATACGGTTGGGGTTGGTGAGATTGCAGTAATTGATGTCTATGTGTCGCGATCTTGAAGAAAGACAGTATACAATTTCTTAATGAAGTGCTTACAGCCCCTACACTGGAGACGATTGTCCAGGGCATGCGTGTCTCTGTCATGCATGGGCTGGGCGGATTCGTGTGTTTCCGCCGCTATGTATTCACTGGTCAAGCTGCGCAGGAGTGTGCGAGCCGCTACGCGCATGGCCAGGACAGGAAAATGGTGTCGTGTGGTGTTTTTGTGGTTCCAAGTTCGTTGAGTATCGCGCGATGCATATCTGTGGTGCCCTGCCAGCGCTATGCTCGTGTTGGCAACCGGACACAGCTGGCAAGCAATCCGAAGGGCTGACTTTCGCGTGCGTTGATGAAGTTTACGACACGTCATTTTCAGCACCAGCACTGGTGTTGTTGATAACTGGCGATAGCATTGCCGCAGATAGCCTACCCCATGACGTTATGGCACCCCCCCTGCCCTGGTAACTGACAAGGCATGCAGGCGCCGTGTGGGGCGCCCGTTAGTCGCGTGCAATTTGAGGCTCATACTTGGCTTGGCCGTGGCTGCAGTATAATTGCGTATTGCGTACATATCAACGTGACGACATAACCCTGACGGGATATAACGGCTGCATGGGTGCAGTTGGAAGTTGCCTTGCAATAAGTTGTTGCAATAGCTCGTTGGCTGGTTAGCAGTCCGTGGGCAGGTGGGCATAGCTAATGGGCTGTTCAAACCCCCGCCCACCTTGTACCCCCACCACCAGTTGTGTTATAAATGCCGTCGCAGGCATGTGGGTCATTGTGGTTATGTGAAGGGGTGGCATCTGCATGCATGGGATAGCGTGGGTGCCTTGGAGGGTATGCGGTGACCTCATTTCCTTCTTCCCGCGATTTTCCTTTGCATTGTAAGCCTTGTAACTCCAGACAATACATCTGCGCACAGGGAGATTGCGAACGGTGTCCGAGACAGAGAACCGTGATTGCATAGCGCGAGCCACTTCGGAGCCGGGGCATTCAACGTGCATGGGACTGTGGTTGCAGTGGCTCCCCTTGAGGGGAGCTGCTCCTCACTCCGAAAACCAACACACCAACCCCCCTCCTGCTGCACCTCCAACGACGTCCCGCGCCACGTAAGCCCGGAGCGTGCGAGATCCCAAAGGTTGCTCACCAAGTGGTGACATTCCTGGCAAGAAACAAGGAAACGGCACCTCCCGCCCATTCCCCCTCGTAAGCACCTCGCCCTCCCAAACATCTTTCCCCCAAATACAAACGGTGTTTCCGTCTGTGTAGGACCAGTTCAGGTGAGCCCATGCACTGAAACACAGTCCTACATGTCACAAACGACCATCGCAGCAGTTGTCCAGTCAGCAAACCGGCCCTGAACCAGGTAGCCACACGGTCCAAACCCGACGTGCGCATAGAAACCGCGCCTGTTCGTTCCCCTTGCGGTCTGCAAAGATCAGCAAATCCATGGAGGCACATCCGTCCAGAACCATGCCAGTCAGCGATTGATCAATCAGTCCTGTACTTATTCGTACAGTAAAGCCAAGTAGCCGTACAGCCCACCGGGTCGCAACGTGTGCAACGTTATGCGTTACAGCCGCCGCATCACTCACATCGCAGTGAGAAACACGTGTGCAACCGGCCGTATGCATATTAATGCAACCATACGCCTCCTGTCCATGCGGCAAAACAAACGACCTTGTCACATATTGCACAATCCGAAGACCCTTTGCGCAACAACGCAGAGAGCATGTCACATGCATCGACAGCACACACACGCATGTTACGTACCGCGCACTCTACTCCAGCTAGGTCCCTTGCTACTATACCGGTAACCCAAGCTTCCTACTTCCCCAGTTCCTCATCCATTCATTCATTCATACACGCTCAAAGTGTACGAGCGCCATAGCCACCTCCCACCTCCCTCCTCAGCTCCCGCCATACCCCTGCATCGTCACTCGCGGGCTCACAAACGCAACCCCCTCCGTCGCACACCCCCCCGGCAACGCCGCCAGCAGCACCTCAACCCGCTCCGGATTGCCATTGATCTCCGCCAGCTTCAACGCAAAGTACTCAACATTGGGCGCCGAGGGGTCCTCCAACCCATCCACCAGCGACACGCCGTTCTGCTTGTAGCGTCGCCGCATACATGCCTCCACCCGCACCACCGCATCACGCCACCAGCGCTCCTTCAGCTGCGCTACTCCCATCTTGGCGCTCGCATGCCCGGCGAACAGTCGAGACCGCGAGGCGAGCGAGGCGGCGGCGGCCTCCGCGTCGGAACCCGAGGCGTCGGCGGCGGCGGCCGCCGCCGCCGCGGCGGCGTCGATGCGCACTCGAGAGGCCGTACGGCGGCGGCCGTCGCTCTTCAAACCTGCAGATGCTGCTGCTGCCGCCGCTGCTGCTGTCATGTCGTTGCTTGCATGCCCGCCGCCTGCTCCGCTGCTACTGCTGTGGGTGGGATGCGGGCCCCCCTGGTGGTGCTGCTGCTGCTGCTGCTGCTGGCGGTGTGGTGAGGTGTCGCCCGGGTGACTGCCGCGGCGGGCGGAGGGGGTGCAGGCGGAGGCGGCGGGGGAGCCATGGTGAGCGGCACCTCCGGTTGGTGTGGATGCGGATGTTGGTGCGGGTGCGGTTCCAGAGCCGCCGTGTGTGCGAGGGTTGCCGCCGCCGTTGTGGCTGTGACGTTGCTGCTGCTGCTGCTGCTGCTGGCCGCGAGAGGCAGCGGCTCGGTGGTGGGCGCCGTGGGAAGAGCTGGTGACCCGTGGGTCATCTGAAGTGGTGGGTGTTGCGGGTGTTGCGCCCGCGGCTGCCTGGCGCGCCCGGTCTAGCATGTGGCCGAAGGAGGTCCGCAGAAGCATCTCGCTCTGCTCGCGGAGGGAGGCGGGGAGGGCCGGAGGAGAGGCAGGAAGGGACGAGGCAGACGGAGGCGTCGGACAGTTGGAAGGGGTGGGGGGTAAGCAGAAGGCTAAGCAGCGGGTAAAGAGGAGCACACCCTCTCGCACCCTTCAGGCAATAGCTCTTGAAGGCCCACATTCCCATCCCCGCCCCATTTGTGCCTCCCTCTGTGAGTATATGTGTCCCACTCCTCCCACCCCCGGCCCCTCCCGCCCCCTCACATGCAGCTTCCGCTCCAGCTCGTAGATCCCGCCCTTCAGCATGTATGCGGTGAACAGCTCCGCCTCCTGCACGCCCGTCTGCATGAGCGCGCGAAGCTCTCGCAGAGTGGCGGAACAGCGCATGCGGGGCAGCGGCGGCAGCGGACCCAGCTGCTCCTCAGTCGCCTCCTGGCGGGGGGGGGGTGGGAGGTTGCAGGGAAGGAGGAGGGTCAGAGAGAGAGACCAACCATACGGGTCCATACCTCATAAGACCACGTTCTAGACGACATGGGGGTGAGGGTGGAGTGCGGAGGGTGTGCTGCTGCTGCGACTGCTGCTGCTGCCCTCTCACCCCTCTCACCCCGCCCCCCCATCAGTTTCCTCTTTCTACCTCCTCCGGTCTATCCTCCGGTCTATCTCTAATCAACCCCCCATCCCCACCCCCACCACTTTTCATTTTTTTCCCACCCTCCACCCTCCACCCTTCCCCCCCCCCCACACCCTCCCCCCCCACACCCCCACCCACCCGAGCCAGCGTGTCCAAGGTCTGCCACGCGCTGCCAGTCGCCACCACCGACTTGGCCATCGCCATGTTGCGGTGCTGAGAGAAGGTGGACAACCACCGGGCACGGCGCTGGGGGCAGGGAGGGGGGGAGGGAAGGGGGGGCAGGGGAGAGGGCATGAGGGCAGTGAACCAAGGGGGGGCGGGTGGGTAAAAAGAGGAAACTAACGAGCTGTACGACGAGGGGAGGAGTGCGAGGTGCGGCAAGGGGCAGGGGAGCAGGTGATTTGGAAGGACCACCTTTCTCAGTCTTCCCGTACTGGGGCCTGCCTGCTTCCCACCCACACACCACCCCCCCTTCCCACCCTCCCTCCCTCCCACCCACCCACCTTCCACACCCGCCCAATGACTGCCGTGAACGCCGCCGCCTTATGCTCCAGGAAGCACGCCGCCACCGCCGCCTTCACCTCCGCGGGCACCGCCTCCCGGCTGGCCTGCACCACCCTGTCCCCCGGCAAGCTGTGACACAGCGCCCAGTCCACCGTGAGCTGCTTGTTCAGGTCCTTGCCTGGCGGGGGGAAGCAGGGAGACACGGGGGCGGGGGGGCAGGTGGGGCAGGGGTGGAAAAACACATGAAAGTGAAGCAACCGGAGTCCCAAGCCCATATCCCGACCTAACCCATATCTAGGGACAAGGGGCAAGGAGGAGGGAGCAGGGGCAAGGAGGAGGGGGCAGGGGTAACATGGCGAGAAGATGTGAGGAGGGTGTGGTGGTTTGGGTTGAGACTTGAGAGGTACCGAGTAAGGAAGAGGCCGGCTGGCGGGTGCAGGAGGGCCCTCGACCGCACAGGTGACAGGGACACAGCCCAGCCCACCTACCTCCGCCCAGAAGCATCACGCCCTTCTTCCGCGCCTCCAGCGCCCGACCCAGCAGCCTCGTGCCGTGAGATGCGGTGCTGTGAACCTCCCCGGCAACCGCCGCCAGCAACTCCCGGTCGCCCCCGCCGCTGCTGCCGCCGGCGCCGGCGCCGCCGCCACTGCTGCCGCCGCTGGCGGCGGCGGCAGCGGCCCTAGCGGCGGCCGCTGCGCCGCTACGTCCCAGTCGCCGCCATCGGACGCCGCCGACGGTGCGCGACGGCGATGACCCCCGCAGCGAGTGAGGAGGTGGCGCCGCCGCTGACGCCGCTGACGGCGAGCCGGACGCGCCTGCCGCCGTCGCGCCTGAGCCGACGACTGCTGACACGGACCCTGCGGGGAGCAAGAAGCGGCAGAGGTGCAGGTCGGTCTAACGCATTGCAAGATTTGCAACAGGCACTGCGCGCGACCAACCCGCAGTCATGCACCCACGTCGCCCCGGTAAGCAAGGTATGGGTGCCGCATCAAAAGAGCCATGCCTCGTACACAGTACGACATCCGGGTACGACAAAAAGCGCGTACGACATTTTTTTTGAAATAGCACTGCCGTACCGTTGATTCCCGCCAGTATGCGCGCCTCCACCGCGTCCCACTCGCGGATGACGACTGCCACCGCCGCCTGGTGCCGCAAATCGGCCTTCTTGTCAAGCAGCCGCCGCCGGAGATCTGTAGCATGGCAGCGGAAGGGGGCGGGGGATGATGTACGGCAGCGGCAGCGGGAAGGGTTCGAAGGAAAAACCCAAACCGAAGGAAATCGGAAGGTTAAGGGCCATGTCAGGGTTAGGCCGAAGGCAGTTGGAACGACGGCCGGGTTGTGCACTGTAAACGGCGAATCCCCATCACCCATCACAATCTTCGCATCGCCATGCCGTCATGCGTCGCCCCGTCCCCCCTCCCTCTCCCTCCCCCTCTCCCTCCTCTCTCTCCCTCCCCCTCACAATTGGAGTGCAGCTCACGAAGGTCCATGGCCGCAGTGGCCTGCCGGCTGCCCGCGACCGCACTCAAGAAGCCCAGCAGCAGCTCAGCGGCGGCGGCGCGGCGGCGGTTGGTGCGCACCACGCAGTAGCGCAGCCGCGCCGCCCGCTGGATGCGAATTACGTGGGCGCGGAGTGTGAGGAAGGCCTTGCGTTCCCGGTACATCTGGGTGGGGTGGGGGGGGTGGGGGTGGGGGGGATGTGGGAGTATGTGCATGCAAGGATGCGGGGATGCATACGAGCGAGCATGCATGTGGATAGGAGGCACCTTTCCGTTCCCTTTCCCCTGCAGCCCTCTCCTCTTCTCACCCTCCATGTGGCCTGAATGACGGTGGCCGCCTCCTCGCGGCTCAGCGGCCCCCGCGGCTCCGCATCAGCCTCCGCCAGCAGCTGCCGCTCCAGCGCCCGTCGCGCCTCCCGAGTGAGGCCCCGGAGGGCGCCGCCAGCGACCCGTGGGTCATTCGGGTCGCGCGGACCCAGGCCGCGCCGTCGGGCCTCCAGAAGCGCTTGCTGCGGTGTGCAGGAGCGAGTGGGGACGCGCACAGGGAGGCAGGGATGACAGTGGTGAGGGATGGGGCTGATGGCACCTCTGGACTTCGGGAAGGGTTCTTGACGCTTTTCTTTCCCGACCCGGTCAAGCCCTCCTCCACCCCACCCCAACCACCCCACCATCTGCGCCTTGCGTGCCCGCGCCTCCTCCTCCCTCGCTCTGGCCACAGCCGCCATCTCCGCTTGCGCCGCCGCCCGCAGCCGCAGCGCCTCCGCCGCCCGGCTCTGCAGCTCCAACCGCATGCCCGGGTTGTGTCGCATGGCGAAGAGGCGCTTCTCCACCACCACCTCCGTCTTGCTCATGCGCTTGCCGGTCCACAGGCCTAGGGGGTCCTCCTGCAGGGGAGGATGGGGAGGTGGGGGAGAGGAGGTTTAGCAAGTACCGGTTAGGGAGACGGAAGGGGGCTGAGGTTGGTGACGAGGAGGGCAGACCGGTGAAGTATAAGAGGTGATTGAGTGAGTGAGCCTAGTTGGGACTCGGGAGTGTTCCAGTGCACACTCAGCAACTGGCAGTCGCCAGCAATCAGTGTGTGTATTCGTTAATGGCAGGGCTGCATTCGCGCGCGGCTCGCACCCGCCCACCCACTCACCCTGGGATGGTAGGCGCCTAGCCACTTAGGTGGGCCCTCGTCATCATCCGGGAAGCCGTTACCAAACGCGCCGCCGCCGCCACCCCCCCGCGACGGCGACATTTCCCGCCCCTGCGGCGGCAAGTCCAGCAGCGGAGGCTGCGGCGAGGTGCCGCCGCCGCCGCGACTCCTGCTGCCGCCGCCGCCGCTGCGCATGTCGCCGTTGGCCCTGCTGGCCCTACTCGACTCCGTCGCCAACCCGCCGCCGCCGCCGCCATCTGGGTCGTCGCGTGTGCTCCGTCGCCGCCGCGACGGCGACGACCAAGAGCGCATTCGCCGCTGCGGACTCCCGCCGCCGCCGCCGCGGGACTGCCCTCGCGATCCCGCCACGCCGCCGCCACCGCTGTGTTGCCCGCCGTACCCCCCATCATCGCTGCCGCTGTAGCCCTCGCCTCCCTCCTGCCCCTCCGCTCCTCCGTCACCCCCTAGCTCCCCGCCCATTCCGCCGCCGCCGCTGGCGCTAGGCCACAGCCCCAGCTGGCCCAGCCGCAGCGGCTGCGCACTCATTCGCTCCGCCGCGTGGTGCGGTGTGTGGTCGTTAATGCGTCGCAGGATGCGCGCGCCGTCCGCGGAAACAAGCACGGGGTGCCCCATGCCGTCGAGTGACCCAGGGGTCAGTGTGGGCACCGGCGCTTTCGGGGAGCCCCCGCCGCCGCCGCCGCTTCCCGTGGAGCGCAACAGCACTTCCTCCATGTCCAGTGCGACCAATCGCTCCAGGGAACGGTACGGCGAGGGAAGGGAAGTGGCGGCGGCGGCGCCACCGCCGCCGCCGCCGCTACGACCCAATGCGAGCGACGGTCGCCCTCCCGACCACATCCCCGGCGTGCGGCTGCGATGGGCCCTGTCGCCGCCGCTGTTGGGCGTGCCGGGGAGTGAGGACGTCGCCGAGGGAGCTGACCAGGGCGGCGACGGCAGCGCTGCGACGGCGGAGGCGACTGGGGAGGCGAGTGCCGCTGCGGCGGAGGCGGCCGCCGCATTGGCGGAGGGCGATGGGCCCGCAGTCGCCGCCGCCGCCGCCGCTGCCGCCGCTGCAATGACGGCGACCGGCTTGAGCAGCTCCTGGCTTGAGCCCGTGAAGAGGCGGCGGCGCTCCAGGGATGCAGCGGAGGCGCTGGTGTTGGGGCGGCTGTTCAGCGGGAGCAGCGGAGGGAGGGGGCAGCGGAGGGAGGGGGCAGCGGAGGGAGGGGGCAGCGGAGAGGGCGCAAGAAGGAACAACAGGGGCAAGACATGTTGGGTCAAGACACAACAGCAGGAGGGGTCACGGGTGGTGGGTTGTGACACTATGAGTGATGCCTGGGGACAAACCGGACCCCGGGAGCGGGCTCGTAAAGCTCTAAACCCTCAAGTGCGCGTGTGGTCAGGGCGCCTGCGGTGGGCTCCGAGAGCTGCGGCGGGCTCCGAGAGCTGCCTGCGGGGTCCTGTCACATGTGGACATGCGGCGGCTCCTCGCGCGTCCCCCCCCATCCGCCCCACAGCACCCCCGCCCTCCGCCCCTCCCGGCCCCCCGGCGTCGCACCTCACGAAGGCATCCTGTGTCACCATGCGCCCCGGAGTGGGAGGAGAGGAGCTCCGAAGGCCGCCGCCACCGCCGCCGCCGCCTCCACCTCCGCCGCTGCTTCCCGGGGGCGGTCGCTCTCGCAAGTGGCGAGGCAGAAACCTGGCGGGCGGGGGACGGGGGAGGGCCGCAGGGCGTGGGAGGGGCGCAGGGCGGGGGGCGCATGTGCGTGCATGGGAGGTTAAGATAGCTTACTGAGGACTTCCAAGGGAGGGAGGGGCTTGTGAGGGGGTTTGGGTTGATTGCCTTTGTGGTGTAGCTGAGGGCACATCAGCCTGCCATTGAAAAGGCTTTACTCCAAGCGTTAAGAGGTAGCTGGGTCTGCTACGGGAGGGAGGGAGGGACCCTATGGGATGATGCAGCCGGTGTTGTGCATGGCAATGAACCCACACGCACCCTTCGGAGGACGCAAATAACATCAACTGTTGGTGGTGGTGGTGCTGTTGCTGCTGATGGTGGTGGTGATGGTGGTGGTGGTGATGGTGGGGGTGTGCGAGCGCCGCGGGAAGCGGCGGCGGCGGCAAACCCGGCACCAGCACAAGGCCCGGGCCCCAGGCGAGTCCGGCCGCCTGAGGGCCCCCGCCCGCCGCCCCCGCGGGCATTTGCATCGGAACCAGACCCGACACGGGGACGAGCACGGGTATGGGAACCAGATGCGGGTCTCCTGCAGAGGGAGGGGGTGTAGGGATGGGAGTTGGGGTGGGGGTCGGGTTGGGGTGGGGTTTGGGAAGAGTGCTAAAGCGTCCAGCTCCGTAGCTTCCAGCCTCCGTTGGGGAATGCGCCTCCTGGACCCTGCCTCGACAGCAGTACCCGACAGCACCAATCCGCCCGGGCTGCAAGCAAAGGGCTATGCTCGCAGGCAACTCACCGCCATCCGGCGGTGTCCAGGGATGCGGGGGAGTGCCTGTGGGTTGGGGAACAGGGCGGCCGTGGGGAACGGCGCAGGGCGGCATGGTGACGCTCATTGATTGCGGCAGGTCTACGGATCTCCGGCTCGTTTAGACCCTAAAAGGTCTGTGACAGCCCTGGCAGGGTCCCCGCCATGAAACAGTGGGCCCACATGTGCTGGATGTCTGCTGCGGATGGAGGAAGGATACGTGACAAGATGCGGTGACTGGATGGCCAGGGGTGTTGGTATAATCGACGGATGTATTCCTTTCGTATTGGATGGAGCTTTCTGTGCGGATTTTGGGTCAGCGCTGAGCTGCTGACCCTAGCGGTTGGTCACCATGCGTGGGCAATCTCCAGTTCCTGAGCTTGTCCAACCAACTGCTGGTGCCAGCAGTTCCCATCGAAGCGAAGAGATTGATGACTAGCCAGTGTCAGGGTCCTCACCTGGAGTGCTCGGCACTATAACGGCACCATTTGTGCTGATAAGCACACATGGCCCCCGGTGAACAGAAGGAAGACCAGTCATCTGAGGTCACGTTCCTGCGCAGTGTACCATCTACGTAACTTCCTATTAACGACGAAGGAGGCCCAGATAAAACCCGTAGCCGGGGTACATGGTGAACAGTTCAACACCTAAGCTCTCCACGGATAAAGCTCAGCACCTGTTGGCAATATTTTGACCCTTAGGCTAGAGCCTGGCCCCATCCTCCATTCCTGAAGCCGTGGCAGGCTCCGCTTGCGCTTCTTCGTCGAGAGAAAGCCAGCGCTAACCCTGACGACAGTACTTCAGTATCAAGCGTTGTAATGGGTAATTGCGTAAAATTTCAAGTAGTTACTGTGGAAAGAAGTTTCGAAGGGCAAGGTGGTCTTGCATGCAGCTACTATTACACCGGTTATTGACAAAATAGTGTAATCCAATAACACTATGTAAAACGTTCTATAGCAATTCTAAAGCTCTATGCTTGTTGAAAGCGAGCGCTGATCGGGAAGCCGTTTGCCGCACATGCGTCGTGACATGTTACTATTGTATTAATGTCGCTCGACCCATTCTTACTGAACCAATGTTTTTTTGCTAGTAATGACTACTCATGAGTATACATTACGAACCTCCAGCAAGCACAATGGATAGTAACATCGCGACGGAGCCCCTTTCACTCAGCCCGTCGCTAAAGGATTTTATATCCGGTCGGTATGGCTTGAAGAGTACGAAAGGCTTTAGTGGCTAGACAATGTGACCTGACACGTTTTGCCGTTGCCGGTGTCGACGATTGCCGCAGGGGCCATCGCCGGTGCTTTTGCCATCACCGTCTCTCAACCGCTAGACACTGTTCGGGTCCGCTTGCAGCAATCGGTAACTGTAAGCGGGCCCAAGCAGAACACGATGACACTCCTATTAGCGATGATACGCAAAGAAGGACTGTTATCGCCATGGAAAGGGCTCACATATCCTCTACTATTTGCGTCTGTACAGTCCGCTATCCTCTTCCAGGTTAGTGGCATCGTGGTGGGCGGCCGATGTTGGTTAGGCTGCGGCAGGCGGACATTCAAGCGCAGCAAAAGGGGCTGCTTTACGTCACTGTGCATGATGATTAGTTGTTAGTGTGGCCATATAACTTGTTATTCTCTGCGTTTCGTGCTGTGACCAAGCCGGGGGCCCATATCTATCCCCTTTCCTCTTTCAAACCTTCCCAAACGTGTCGAACCCGCCAAACAATCCTCTCCCATTCCCAGGCATACGGCTGGACCCTGCGTCAGCTCGCCTTGCTGCCCGATTCAAGCCCTGAACCGCTTCAACAAGCTCAGGCGCAGGCCAAAGTTTCCCATCTCCCAGACCGCTCCTCCCCTTCACCCTCCCCGTCCTCCTGGTCTGGTGTGGCTTCCACGCCCCCAGCCCCCGTGGCATCTCTCCTGCCTTCTTCTCTTTCCACACCCCAAACCTCCCACCATCACCACCATCACCACCACCTACAACACCTACAACACCACCTGCTTCCAGCTGCAGCCAGCAGCGGCACCTCTGCGCCCCAAGCACACCCTCAGACAGCCCAGGATGCGACACCCCATTCCAACGGCACAGGGCCCCAAGCTGCCGCCTCCCTCCCCCATGCAGCCCCTCACCAGCTGCACCACCACCACTACCACCATAGCCAGCAGCACCAGCAGGGGGGGGCTGCCGTACAACAACAAGCTGCCGTACAACAACAGGTTGCCGTACAGCACGGACCCCCGGATAGCAGTACCAGCGGGCAGCTGTTGCGCTGGGCTGTGGCACGGAGCGCCGGGCTGCTGGGGCTGGGGCTGGGAGGGGGGCTGGGAGGGGGGCTGGGAGGAGGAGGACAGCTGGGGTGGGGTTTGGGCGGGGTTTTGGAGTCTGCAGCGGGAAACCAGCCCCGGTGGCTGTTGGAGGAGCTGCATCAGGAGCCGCAGCAGCAGGGTGCAGCGGCGGAGGCGTTTGGTGCCGCTGCTGATGAGGCGTCTGAAGGAAACGGAGGAGGGGCGCGTGTGGCGGCGTGCTCGAGCCGGCATGGAGTGGTGGCTGGTGGGGATGGCTCGTGCGCTGGAACCGATAGCAGTAGCGGGAGCTGTAGCGGGAGCAGTAGCAGCAAGGACGGTTGCAGCAGCAGCAATAGCAGTAGCTTGGTTGGGGCAGCAGCAGGGACCTTGGGTTCAATCATAGGGCCATGTCAGACAGTGTCAGAGCGGACTGGGGTGGAGCTGGAGCGGCTGGAGACATGCCAGGAGCAGCAGCAGCAGCAGCAGCAGGAGCAGCCTGCGGGGTTACTCAAACCCTGGCACGGTCTGGCTGCTGGGGGCGTGGCGGGCTTTGCGCAGGTGTTCCTGTGGTCCCCGGTGGAGCTGCTGAAGCTGAGGTCGCAGCTGCAGACAGCGACCCGCGGGTCACCCGGCTACCGCAACCCCGCCGCACTAGCTGCCCAGGTGGTCAGGACGGAGGGGGTCGTAGGTGAGCCCGAGTGGGGGAGCCTGGGTGAGCCGGCGGAGGAGGAGTTGGGGCTTGGGGGAGTGTGTCGCGTGTCTTGCTGTGTCCGTGTCGTGCAGCCCAGGGGGTTTTCCCACGCATGGAGGTCCCCTGATCAGACCTGCCCCCATCCGCGGCCCTCCGCCGCACCCCCGCCCCACCAAACCTCTCGCAGGCCTGTACCGCGGCTTCACGCTTACTCTGGTCCGCGACGTGCCCTCCTTCGCCATGTACTTTTGGTTGTACCATGACATCGCAACCGCCCTCTCGCCCGGCATGCACCCGGAGGAGGCGCCGCCGGCAACACAGGTGGGGCTCGGGGGAGGGGGGCTTGGGCTGGGGTGGGGTGGGGTGCGGTGGAATGGGGTGGGGTGGGGCGGGTCCCTTCCTCGTCCCCTACCACTTTGTCACCCTCCACGCCGTCGTGCATGTCAGAGGACGCTCACACCCTCATACGCTCCCATTGTCGCATGTATGACTCCTCTTCTTTCGTCTTCTCATCGTAACATCAAAGCATCGAAGCAGATCTTTCCTGGTGCATGCTGCCTCCTGTATTCCCTCCATGGCTCCATCCCGCCATGGGTCCTGCCACCACTTGTGTGCTCCGGCCGCTTCTCCCACCCGCAGGTTATTGCGGGCGGTATGGCGGGAGTTCTAGCTTGGATGCCCATCTACCCGCTGGATGTGTTGAAAACGAGGGTGCAAGCGGTGCCCGGAAGCAGTGCGGGCGGCGGCGGCGGGGGCAAGACGATGCTGCAGTATGCGCGGGAGGTGGGTCGGGTGGGGAGGGAGGGAGGGAGGGAGGGGTGCTGGTCGGATGTGTGGCCGTTCTGGTCGCAGATGCGAACATGCTTACGTATTTCCACGAGATAAACTGGAACGGCGAAAGAAGACTGTTTCATAGTGAGATCCTTTGTGTGTTTCCTGAACCCTTGACCCTGAGTCCCTGCCACAACCACCACATCCTCCTCCTCCTCCTCATCATCATCATCATCATTACACGGTCAGTTAGTCGTTTCCCCTTTACCTCCTCCTTCTCCTCCGCACACCCCGTAGATGTACTCGGAGGCCGGTGTGCGCTCCTTCTACCGCGGAGTGAGTCCCACCCTGGTGCGCGCATTCCTGATGGACGCCGCCGCATTCCTCGGCTACTCCACCACCCTCAAGCTTCTGGGCGGGGGAGGGGGCAGCAGCGGCGCGGCGGCGGTGGTCGCGACCCGTGGGTCACCACAATAGGAGGGGAGGGGGTGATGGGGATGGGGATGCTCGTGGGGGTATCTGCAGGGAGGGAGCAATCAACCGGTGTATTGCATCTGCAAATGTAGACGCTTAACGTAACGTATAATGGTACAAGCGATGTAAACGCGCGTGTCTTGGATGATCTCGTTTGTTATGTCGTTATGTGGCTGTGCATGTCCGCATGTGGCAGGAGTCGTGGCATCGAATGCTGCTGGGGGGTCGCATTGAAAGTGAACTTTCGGGAACCGCTCGACGTGACAGCGTGCTCGCTCGTCTGGGGTCCTTCATGTGTCTGGTGTCCTGTACTTTCTCATCCACATTCATATCCCCCGCCTCTTGGTTGAGGTATCGCTGTATGGTGCAGCGCATCTTGACAGTCGGGGGTAAGCTGATTATGAAGTTGATGATGGTGGGCGCGCGCGTGATGAAGTCGCATGTCGCATGTAGGCGTTGGTATTAGGGTTGTGGTTGAGGATGTGAGGAGAGCGTTAAGAGGACGGTTGAGGACGTTGGTAGTTGACCTTTGCGACGACGAAGGAGCGGGTACACGTTCGGAACCTGCGCACTCAATGTGTGCTGGTATGGTCGGGAGGTGGAGAGCCCGTCTAGCCTGACACTGATGTCTACTGAATGACCGTTGCAACAGTTGTAGGGAACACACCGCTCACGGTGGGTTGGCAGTGCATGCTCCTCCTTGCTCGTCTGCCGGTCTGGGGCCACCGCTGTTTACCTTCCGCGGATGTGAGGGTTGCAAGCAAGTAGTTAACACGCCAGTGGTCTCCCCCACTTTCCCACCAACCCGAACTCACACCGGCCGAGTGCGTGTCTCCAAACCCCTGCTGCCCCCCTGCACTTTCCGCTGCGCTAACCTCTCCTATCTGCCAAACCCCGGAGCGCCGTTTTAGTAGCTACACGTACGATAAAAGTACCCGCCCTCTGACCTGTGAGTCAAGAAGGGCTCGGAGGGTGCAGCCGCATACATACACACACACACACACCTGGCCACACCGGCCTGATCGCGGTTCTCAACGCTGAGGACACACCTGAGGAGGGGTACTCGATGGCGGTGGGGACTGGCGGACCAATCGGGCAGCTACTGGTTTTCGTGATCCAGCTCCCCCTCGCGTCCTTAAGGACCACATCCTACACCGGTTGACACATGCAGCCCGACCCCCTTGCACCCCAAACCATACACCCCTACCATCCGCATGCACACACGCGGGAGATTCATGTGTTGGCCACAGCACTCTGACGCGGAGGTGTGTGTCTGATGTGCGATGTGCCAGCCACGACACTAACTGAAATCCTGCGATTCCGAAACTAATCCAAATGCAAACGCACAAGAATCCAGCCTGCCCTCCTCTGCTCGCACTCGAGAAGCACAACCCGAAGGCAGGCGGGACGACTGCTACGCGGCCTCCGGGCCTGCAGCCAGCCTGCCAGCCGCACCGCTGGGCAAGTATGCGAGCAGGGAGATTGACATTCGTCGTCGTCGCCAGAGGAGGAGGAGGAGGTATGGACGACAGATAGACAGACGACTGCATACCGGTGTATATATAGACATCCCTTTGCGATGCGATGTAAGTCAACAAGCAGCCGATAGATCTACCGCTATCAGCAAGCAAGCAAGCAAGCACTTCCATTAGAATGTCAGGTTTGCTCACGCGCGTTATGCAGCACGTCGCAAAACATTCGCAGTCGTCCTGATATTAACAAAACAAGCCGGGTCACGAAGCACCGCAGCGCTGATGGCTACTACTGGGTGCAATAAAATACATGCATACATGCATAGTTCATGTTTTAGCAGGCCGGCCTGCAGCCCCCTCTCCTCCTCCTGCCTCATGCTTCCGTCCGCTGCACGGCCCCCTTAACCCCTTCCCCGCCACCCATGCTCCCCCTTCTCTCTCTCCGCCGCCGCCGCCTTACACAGCCATATCCTCACCTCCCGCACCCCCACCCCCCACTTCCGTCCCCCTCCCCGCACCCTCACCTCCCTCTTCCCCACCCACATCCATCCCCTCCCCTCCCGCCACCTCCCCCTCCCCCCCCTCCGGCGGATCCACCGAGCAGTCCGACCACACGTACACCTTGATCGGGGTGGTAAACTCGATACCGTTGAAGTCGCATGCACCCGCCACCGTGTACGCCCCCGCGTTGGGCCACAACAACCAGTCGCCGTTACGCAGCTGAGGCAGCGCCACGTCCTTGTACACCACGTCGGCGGAGTCGCAGGTGGGCCCCCACAGCGTGGAGGGGAAGGTGGGGGCGGGGGAGGAGGAGGGGGAGGGCGGCTCCAGGGGGGGAAGCAAGGGGGAGCGAACGATGCGGTACTCGGGGTTCTGCCCGTCGTACACGATACTGCGGGGGGGTGAGGGGCGGGGGGAGGGTGAGAAGACCCGATTGGGGGGTCACAAATATACCAAAACCACAGGTTAGGGCAAAGCAGTACGCACACGTAGAGCCCTCCCCTGTCCTGCCCTGTCCTGTCCTGTCCCCACCTCGCTCACCTGTACACCCATACATAGGGCTACCCCTCCTCTTCCTCCCTCCTCTTCCTTCCTCCTCTTCCTCCCTCCCTCCCTCCCTCCCCGCTTCTCACCAGTTAAAGCTGCCGTACAGTCCGTCCGTCAGCCAGTAGTCCTTGTGCACCCCCCCGCCCCCCGCCACCGCCCTGTCCCGCTGCCCGATCACAACCGTCAGCAGCGTGCTGCTGGTCTCCGCAAAGTAGCGCCCGGGCTCCGCAATGACCCGCACGTGACCCATGGGTCCGCCAGGCGAAAAGTGCTGCGCCAGTGCTGCATTGATGGTTCGCGCGATGTCTCCAAACATGACGTTGCCCGCCGAGTCGAATCGGCCCGTGAAGCCGCCCCCGATGTCTAACAGCTCCATGTGATAGCCCAGGGCGGTGGCCTGGTCGAACACCTGAGGGTGAGGGGTGTCATGGGGTGGGGGGTGGGGGGTGCCATGGGGGCTCTAAGGGGCAACTGGCGAGCTGTATCCATGAGACTTCACCATGACAAGGGGAAAAAGTTATATAAGTGAAACAACGAGTCCCAATCCCATATCCCGACTCATGCAGTGAGCGCATGACAAGGGGAGGGGGTGACATGGGGCGGTGACATGGGGAGACACGTGAAGGAGAAGCCATTATGACTGGTATAAGTGGTGCAACCTGCCAACCAACCCCGCCCCCCATCCGACCCAAACCCACATCCCCACCCCCCCCCCACCCTCCCCCACCTTGCGCGCGTTCTCAATCGCGTTGCTGAAGGTCGCCAGGTCCTTCGCCGCACTGCCCACGTGGAAGCTCACTCCGCACACGGACAGCCCCAGCTGCCGCGCCGCCGCCAGCAGCCCCCCCGCCTCGCCCACCTCCGCGCCGTACTTGAGGCCCAGCGGCACGCGTGCGCCCGGGTCGTCGGCGCGGATGCGCAGCACCAGGCGCATGCCGGGGTCCTGCTCCGCGATCTTTTGCAGCTCGGACAGGGTATCGAACTGGGGTGGGGGGGGCGGGTGGGGGTAAAGCACAACTCACAAGAAGCCAAGGAGGCCAGGGGAAACCCAGCCTGCTCCCCTCACGCGCCACCTCATTCCCCCCTCCTCCCCCACATGGCTGGCTCACATGTTGCAACCCATGTTGACGCCTTATCCCTCAGTCAGTTCGTTGTTTCCTCTCCCCCCCCCCCAACCCCCCCCACCGTGGTGAACTCAATGCCATGCTCGCGCGCGTATCGGAAGTCGCACCCGCGCTTGCAGGGGTGCGCGAAGATGATGCGCTCTCGAGGCACCCCCATCCGCAGCATCATGTCTAGCTCGCCGCGGCTGGCGCAGTCGAATCCCGCGCCCAGCGCCACCAGCAGGCGCAGGATTGCCGGCTCGGGGTAGCACTTGACGGCGTAGAAGGGGTGCACGCGGGGCAGTGCGGCGCGCCAGGCCTGGGGTGGGAGGAGGGAGGAGGGAGGGAGGAAGGTGGGGGGGGTAAGGCGTATGCCACACTGTATAAGGAAAGCACGAGTTCGGGCAAAGTGACGCAAGCTGGTTGGGAAGGAGGGAGGAGGGGAAGGAGGGAGAGGGGTGTGGGGAATGTAGGATGTAGGGGGAGCATGGTGTTGGGTAGGATGTTCTTGCTTCCGCTGATGCAGGCGGTTCCGTCATGAAGCCGGCTGTCAGGTGTTCCTCTCTACCCGGGAAGCAAGTCCAGCCGGGGTCTCCCACCCCTGCGCCCACCCACATGGGCCGACCCACATGCAGCCATCCCTCTCCCTCCGCTCCCCCCCCAACCCACGGTTGATTCCACCAGGGATTGTCAGCAACTTGTATCATTATCATACCACACTTTGGAATTTCTTTTCCCCCCCCCCCAACCCACCTTGAACAGTCTGAAGGGCGACGCCAGGTCCACCACGTATATGCTGTCGCTGTCCACGTCATGGCGACGAATGTGCCGTACAGCCACCTCCGTCACACCGCGCGGCCCGCCGTTGCGGATGTGCTCGCAGCCCACCTCCGCAATCACCGCCGCCACCGCCGGCTTGCCGCCTGACACCCGGTACTGCCAGCTGGAGGGCTGCAGCTCGGAGGGGCCGGAGGCGTCGGTGGGCTGTCGGTGGCGAGGGAAAAGAGAGTGAGGGATGAGATGGATGGGAAATTGTGAATGGGTAGGAGGTGGCTGCAAAGGCGTTTACTTGTTTGACGGACTATATAGGGATTACAGGGAACAGAGGGGCTTCCCTAAAAGGCGGTCGGTTTGGAATGGGATTGTTATGGTTACTGAGAGTCGCAGATGGCACGCAGGGATGTGGCAACAAGTAGGAGTGTTGGTTACTTCCCAAGCAATATATTATACGCGTGGCCTGCCGACGTCGTTGCGACAGAATCCACTTACAATAGATGGTGATCCTGTGCGCTCGCTGTCAACGGCGGCCTCCGCGTCGACAGCAGACGACAAGGTCTGGGCCGGGCCAGCGGTCCCTGGCGCCGACTCTTGGTCTTTGTTTGATGAAGAGGGTAGAATCACCTCCAATAGCGTCATGGCGATAAAAACACCCTATAAAGCTGGTATGCAGAGCCGGCGAAAAAGTAAGCGGTAGGCCGCCAAGACAAGCTAACGCTTAGCTAGTACACCCCGTTGCTTCCGCACGCTGCTTGGTATACCGATGTAAAATGGGAAACTCGGCGGGTCCGTTAAGCAAAAAGCAGCGAATAACGGAATTGCTTTACAGCGCCGACGGCCGCGTTTAAACAGGACGCCCTTAATATATAATACGAAAAGCAGGAAAACTACATCTGTAACTGAAGCAAACCTATAGTTTCAACACTGCAGGTGGGACGAGCGTACATCGATTTAGGCATGTCCCTAACAAATCCGCATGCCTGATGCAAATTCACAACCAACTAGCAATAAAGGCACCAAAACGCATGAATTGGGTGTCAAATTTCGGCTCCAATCCTTTCCGCATGTCATACCACAAGTCAGGGTTAACCGCCGTGCTTGTGTCGACACCAACAGGCATTCCTTTCGGGCGGTGGCTGCCCAGCTACCCTGACCAGAATCAGTAAGCTGCAACCCTATTGATGCAAGCTAGCTTATTAGCCCTTGGTCAGCAACCCAAGCAACACCGCTCGTCATCGTCAAACTTGCACGCCGGCTATGGCCACTGTTTCGGTTTGAAGACACAAAGGGCAGCTAACCGTGACACCGGAAAAGGAGGAAGGTCAGAAGTTCCACAACGCTGCTGCTGCTGCGCCCCATCCAGGACAGCGAGATGCTCCTCGGCGCGTCACTCCTCCTCCAGCTCCATCCGCACATCACCTGGCGGACAACAAAGGAGGGCCGGTCGGCAGAGGGAGGGGGGAGGGCGGGGCGCGGCAGTGGGAACAAAACAACACACCAGTTGCGATGAAAGCCCCGCCCCTGCTTCCAACCGCAGTCACCTCACAGGCAACCACTGTTGGTTCGGGTCCGCGCTCAGGGGCAGTGCGCACGTGCCCCCCCCCCCGCTCTCCGGCAGCCCAACATGCCCGCCCCCGCACCCGCCCTGCCCCGCACCCCTCCCGCACCGATGATGTCATTGATCCTCCGGATGCAGCCGTCCAGCCCCTGCGTGCCACCAGGGGCCAGAGGTGGGTGGGGGCAGGTGGTGGCAGTGGTGGTGCAAACGGGTGCGGTAGGGTCGCTGCGCTGCAGCACTGCGCTGAACTGAACTGGGGTGGTGTCGCTTGTTTAGGCTCCGATGGGGAAGTACGAAGTACGGAGTACATGCGTACCAGTGTGCGGCAGAGCACATGTGTGGAGGTGAACGTTGTGGGCAACGGGGACGTGACGTGGCTGCGGGGGCACACGCTGCCTAATACCCGCCTATATCCCCTCCTTCACCGTCCCCCGCCCCCCATACCTGCAAGGCCTCCCGCACCGCTGCCCGATACTCCCGTCGAGTGGGCTCCGCTGCCTGCCCCCCTGCAGCCGCATCCCCCGCAGCCCGACAAGCATGGTCACAGCAGCCGCTGCTGCGGCACCCCGCCGCATGCTGCTGCTGGGGCTGCTGGCCGGCGTCCGTAGCCTCTACCCCTTCAGCTGCTGCTGCTCCTGTCCTCCCTGCGGGTGGCAGCGTGCTGCCTCCTTCGCCCCCTCCTGCCTTCTCCTCCTCCGCCGCCTGAGGAAGGGTGCGCCCCTGCCCCCCACACGCAACCCCGTTCGCCCGGCAACACCCCCCCGACTGCTGCTGCTGCTGTTGCTCATCCTGCACCTGCTCCTGCCTTCGCTCAGGCTGCTGTTGTTGCTCTTGCTGCTGTTGTTGCTGCTCTTGCTGCTGCTGCTGGTGGTGTTGGCAGCCGCAGTGGTGCCGCTGCTGGCGAGCAGCCGCAGCTGCCCCGGGGTCCAGCAGTGCCAGCGCCTCCAGCTCATCCTCCTCCGCCTCCTCCGCCTCACCACCTCCGATGTCTGCCCCCGCGGCCCTTCCTCCCTGCTGCCAGCTGAGGGTGCGGAAGGCGACCGCCTGCCGCAGCGCCTGCAGCGACAGTGTCAGCCGCAGCTTCTCACGCTCGCACTCCTGCAGGGTTGCATGCGGGTGGGGCAGGGGGTCAAAGGCCATACCAAACCATAGAAAAACACAGGTCAGGGCGGGTACCGGTAGGGGGGTTGAGTGCGAGTGGGAGCAGAGGGTAGAGGGGTGTGGTGGGATGGGGGTTCGGCGGGGTGGAGTGCAACGTCTGTGTTCAAAAGCGGGCGGGGCGGGGCATTGGGCATGGCACGAGTGTTGTGCGACACCGGTGCCGGATCCTCTCGTGTTCCCCGCCCCTCGTCCCCAACCCCCCACCTGCACCTCCCGCAACAGTCCAGCTAAGTCTGCCCGCCCACATTCCTTGAGCTGCGCCTGCATGGGGGGGGGTAAAAATATATATATATAATGAGACACCTGCATGGGGGGGGAAGGGGGAGGCGCATACACGCACGGTGGATCCGTTGTTGTGGTTTCAGGGGTCCATCGAGGTGCTACCCTACCTCCACTGCTATGACCCTACCTCCAGTGCTATGACCCGTCGCGAGCAGTCATTGAAGCAGGGCGTGAGCTCCGCCATGAGAGACTTATAGGCAGCCTCATGCCTGAGGACATTTAGAGGCATTGAAAGAGGTCAAGTTGGTTTGGTACAAACGTTGTCCATATAATTCCCATGAAACTTACTTGTTCAGTAGAAACGCCTTAAACCCGGCATCGAAGCGTGCGTAAAGCTGAGCACGACACGTCTGCACCTCCAGAAACATTCGCAAAGCAGATGGGACGTCGGCGGCCATGGCCACCCTGCCGTCTTCCTGAAATCTATTGCTGGATCCTTATTGTTGCCCTTGCAGCTTGTCGGTGGGCTCGAACGTCAGCTCGTCACTGTATTTCTTCAATGCTGCACGGATCTCGTCGACATACGCAGGGTTAACCAAGAGTGTCTGATCATCAAGGTCCGCAATAATGAATTCCTTCTTCCTACGTATGAGATCAGCGGTAAGTTAAACGTATGTTGCTGGGTGAGGCGCGACGAAATTGCCTTACTGATACTCACCCCTCTGCTCTATACTGGCTGTTCAAATGGACGACGTACACCTTCGTGGGGACGTCGCTGCGATCATTGAAAAGTAGGGGTAAGCTTGCGCCAAGCCCCAAGCAACCAGCAAGGATCGCACCAGCGAAGCAATGTGCCCTTCTTGGCTGAAACCATCGAGCCTTTAAGACTACTAGTTAGTATGCATTATACAATGGCTCCTAATGCTACTAGACGCGTTAAAAAGTAAGATGCGTTCCAACGGCAAACCCTCGGCAACTCCTCGGCGCGTGCACGTACGCCGTGCTACCAATCACTTAACCAAAGGTCAGCATACATTGCTAGTTATATTAACAACGCATACACCGTATCTTATATAACCCAAATAGGAAGCTCTGGGTATGTGCGCCCGGTGATAGATGCAGGTTCAGCTCTATGCTGGCATAAATTGCCTGTTTTCAAATCACATCTTAGCTAGGTTAATAATCAAGGGGTTCTGGCTGAGCCCCGAAGTACTCTCTTCGCGATGAGGAAGATGGGGACCCACTCAAGGCTGGCGCTAATACCACTGGCGTTCATCGTGGTATCTTTGGTCGCACCAACCCAAGCAAATGTGGACGCTCTCCCGGTAAGCTCGGAACTTCCTGTCGCCCTCACTTCCTTTCCAACCTGCCATGGATGTTGCCCACCAAGTCAACCACCCTGCCATCCCTCATCTCCGCATAACGACGACCACACGAAAGCCTCCGTCAGATCCTACCCTATCCTGCCATGTTATAACCTATGCCCTATGCCCTATGCCCATGGGTGGTGCCCTATGCGCCACCTGCCCTCATAACCTGCGGCCACAACTCCCGCGGCCTCAACTCCTACAGCAGCAGCAGCAGCAACAAGCCTCGAAGCAGCCCCTGCCCACCCAGGCCGCTGCTAAAGCCCCCCTGACGCAGCAGCCAAACTCCACCTCGACGCCCTTCTCATGCGAACGACTTGACCGTGTCCCACGGCCCCAGCGTTGCGAGTTTGTACGGCAGCAGTGCGACTCGGACAGCCTGTTGCCGTACACGGAGTGGTACTACTGCCACGTGGCGCCGTACGGCGTGTTTGCGAGTGTCATATTTGCGGTACGGCAGTGCGACAGTACGGCAGGGGCGGTTACATGTGTGCCGGTTGGTAATGCCTTCTTGTCGCAATGTGTCATCCTCTTTTCGCCCTCCTTTCCCGTCCTCTCCGCTCTTCCCCGCCCAGCACGTTCTCCTTTTCCCCTCCCACCGCCCCTCCCCTGTGCTTCCTTCTCTCCCCCACTCCTCCCCTCCCCTCCCACCGCCCCCTCCTCCCTCCCCCAGTTGCTGTTGTCGGCAGCGCTGCCGCTGCTGTTCACGCTGCTGGGTGACACCGCGGAGCTCTACTTCAGTCCCATCATGACGCACGTGGCGCAGAGCATACCCAAGATGAGGCCCAGGTTCGCAGGAGGTGAGGGCGGAGCGGGGACGGGGGGGAGGGTCCAGGGCATCAGGGTGCGACGTGTCGGTGCTTGCCTACTACCCAGCTAAGCGTACCCACCCTCATCACAATCTTATTGCGGTGCTTGTCACGTGGTCGCTTCTCCTCCTCCCCTTCCTGCTACACAACACACATTGGAATTTCTTTTTCCCCCTCCTGCTCCTCGCCGACGCTCCTCGCCGACGCTCTCGTGTTGTCCGCTGCTGCCGCTTAGTGACATTCGTGGCCATGGGCAACGCGGCTCCCGACCTGTCGTCAAACATATCCGCCGTTCGAAACGGCGGCGTGCTGCTGTCGGCGGGCGCACTCACAGGTCAGTGGGTGGGTGGGCAATGCCCCTATCTATCTCTGCTTCCGTAATCTGTGAGTCCACGATCCTGTTGCTGCCATGGTGGTCTCCCTGCTACCGTGACCCATGGGTCCGTACCGCTGCTGCTGCTTGAACAGCTGCCGCTGCTGCTGCGACCCATGGGTCCGTGGCTCTGCTGCCGCTGCCGCTGCCGCCACCGGTGCTGCAGGTGCCGCGATGTTCGTACAGTGTGTGGTGGCGGCGGAGGTGATGCGGGCGAGCAGGTGGGAGGGGGGGGTGGGAGGGAGGGAGGGAGGGTGGGCAGGAGTAGGGCCGGTGAGTGGGAAGGTGGGTGGGTAGCAGGGAAAGCGCGGGGTTACTTCATGCTCAGTTGCCTCTCGGGTCTCTCACGGGCGGAGAAAGCCCTTCCTTTGAAGCCATCACCGCCCCCGCGCCTCGGCTCTCCTTACCCGCCGGCCCCCAATTTTACCCCTCCCCCAACATCCCCAAAACCCCCCAGAGGTCCCATCAAGTGCCGCGGCGCCATGCTTCGCGATGTGGCCATCTACTGCGCCTGCGTGCTGCTGGTGCTGGGGGCGTTTGCACACGGCAGGGTGGGGACGGGGGGACGGGGGGCGGGGGGGGGTTTGTGCTCGTGGGATGGCCTCCCCAGGGGTGGCTCTGTACACCGGTATATGCTTGTGGAGAGGGCTACTGAGATGGGGGGTCGCTCACAACGCACGCATGAAGAGTTGGGCTCCTGAACTCCCGAGAGAGGCCCGATGCATGGGCACCGCTGCAGCGTAGCCGTTCAATTTAGGCCGGACTGGATTGCTCCTTGAAGGCACCGTGCATGCATGTACGGCATACAGAGATGATGACGATGACCCCCTGCTGTGTGTGCCGTACACATACCGTACTCCTGCCATACACGCCCCGCAGATCACGTACTGCTTCATCGCGGGTGCCGTACTGCTGTACCTGTCGTACATCGTGTGGGTTTTTGCGGGCGATGAGTGGCACGAGCGGGGCAGGCCGCGGGCGGGGGATGTGTGGAGCCGCTTCCGAGCGGCGGCGGAGGACAGGTGAGGGGAGGGGGGCGGAGGAGGCGAGGGCAACTGATACACGGGCATGGCATCTGGCTGTCTGGCTGCAAAGGCAGGGGTTGTCCCGCTGTCGTTCGCTGGCAGCATGCACGGTGTATAGCACGCTGGGCCCGTGTGCTTACCACGTTTGCCACCGCTTCTTGCCCGTGTCATGTCCCCCATGTGCCCCCCCCCCCAGGTTCGGCTCCCGACGCGGCCTGCTGGACTCGGGCGGGTTGCTTCCCTGGGCGGCGGTGGAGGAGGGCGGCGCGGGCAGCAGGGGCGGAGGGGGCGAGGGGCCGAGCGACATGTGAGAACCGCGAGTCGGAACGTACTGTGTGCCGAGGGTGTGTGTGCTTGATGGCTCGCGCGTGTTTGTGTTTCACTGGTGCTGTTGACGGCTGGTTAGCCCCAGCTGGTCCCCAACCACCCTCCTCCATGCCGGCTAACCGCCAACCGCAACGCCGCCCCCCCACCGCCACCTCCCCCGCAACACCCCTGCAACACCCCGCCTCCAACCCGCCAATCCACCCACCCCGCAGGGCTACTGAGCTCACCTCTCCCCTCATCTCAGCAGCACCCCACGGCAGCGGCGGCGAGCATGGCCTCCCCAGCCGACCCACCTCCCCCTCACGCCGGCTCTCAGCCCCCCTGCCGCCCCACCAACCGCACCACCACCACCACCATCTAATGAGTGCCAAGACCTACCAGAGCCTTGTGTGGGCGGACTTGACGGGTCCCGAGGAGCCGGCAGCAGCAGGCGCGGCGGGGGACATGGAAGGAGGAGGAGGAAGGGGGTGGCGGGGGGAGGCGGGGGCGGGCAGGAGGGGCGAGGTGGCGCGCCGCCGTACCACTGCAGTTGCGGGCGGGGGCTTTCGGCGGTTGCACAACGGCGCTGGGCGGTTGCGGCGGGAGCTGGGCGGCGGTAGCGGCAGTTTGGCGGCTGGGTCGAGTTTGGAGCTGGGTCCCACGGCTTCTGGCTTGAGTGGGCTTTGTGAGTGTGGGGAGGGAGGGGGAGGGGGGACAGAGAGGGATGCAGGGGTGCTACGCATGGGGCTCAAGACCCTACGAAGTGCAGCTGCCATCCCGCATCCCTCTTCTATCCACCCCGGTAGCGCCTCCGAGCATCACTGCCCCCTTCTGGTGCTTCTACCTCCGCCCTCAGTGTTCGCCTGGCCCTTTCACTCCCCTTCTTGCCTCCCCCACCCCTGCCACCTCTCCCCTTCTTGCCCCCCCCCCTGCCACCTCTCCCCTTCTTGCCTCCCTCCCCCTTGCCGCCTCTCCCCTTCTTGCCTCCAGCCGTCACCCACACGCCCTCAGCGCCTCCCACACTCGTCGCCCCCCAGCTGCTGCCGCCGCCGCTAACAACCACCGGCGGCGGCGGCGGCGGCAGCAGTTCACAGCTCCTGACGCTGTCCTCGCTGGACGGATCAGCGCTCTCAGCACCCGCGCCGGTCGACGCCGCGCCGGCGGGTCGGCTGGGCTCCGCTGCAACAACCACATCAACCGCCGCCACCGGCGGTGTCGGCGGCGGTGGTGGTGGTGGCGTCGGGCCGGCGGTGGTGGGTCGGAAGAGTTCTCTGCCTTTGGGGCCGTTTGGGAACCAGGCGACTGCACCCCCGTTGGAGACATGGAGCGAGCCAGCATCAGAGGCTGGGGGTGGCGGAGGCGGGGAGGGCAGCAGCAGTTATGATGACGACGATGAGGAGGACGAGGACGATGAAGAGAAGGCGGGGTTGCTGGGTGGTAGAGGCGGCGGTGGTGACGGAGCATCAGTGGCATCATCTCGGGAGCAGCCGCAGCGGCAGCAGCCCGGGGGGGCCGGTCTGTGGGAGCGAGTGCGGTTCGAGCTGACACTGGGTGAGCAGCAGTGGCAACGCAGCCGGGGGGCGGGGGTGGATTGGGATGTTGGGAGGTGTGTAAGTCGCCAACTACCTCGGCTTCGGCCGCGACAACCCACCTCTCAACCAACGCTCCAAGCGCGGCCTGGAGCGTGTTACGCAACCGCGTGGAACCCACTGTGATGTGATGTGATGTGATGTGGTCCCTCCCACCTCCTCACCTCTTCTCACCCCCCTTCCACCCCCAGGCTCCAGCGCAGAGTGGGACGAGCTGCCTCCCCGCAGCCTCCGCCGCCGATGGCGCTCCCTCACCTTCCCGCTGCTCCTCCCCGTCTACGCCGCGCTCCGCTTCTCCATCCCCTTCGTCGACCCAGCCTCCTACAGCCGCGCCTGGCTGGTCGTCACGTGCGCAGGCGGACCGCTGCTCGCAGCCATCTACCTGGCCCCCGGCTCCTGGGCCGCAGCACTGGTGGCGGGGGGCCTGGGAGCGGCGCTGGCGGCCGCGGTTGCATGGTTTACGGCGGGTGAGGAGGATGCGCTGCCGGATTGGGACCTGGGCACTGGGTTTGCGTTCGGTCCGGCGGTGTTTGCGGTTTTCGGGTTCCTGATGGGGGTGTTGTGGATTAACGGTCTGGCGTCGGAGGTGGTTGGGATCATAGCGTTGATGGCGGGGTTGGTGCGGGTGCCGGCGTCGGTGATGGGGTTGACGTTGCTGGCGTGGGGGAACAGCCTGGGGGACTTTTTCGGAAACCCGGCGATGGCTCGACGCGGGCAACCCACTATGGCCCTGACCGCGTGTTTTGGCGGGCCGTTGTTCAACATGCTTGGGTCGTTGGCGCTGGGTTTCGGGTCGTACTTTGCAAGGCGGCACGTGGGTCATGCGGATGTGGAGCTGCGGCCGGAGGTGGCGCTGGGGTGCGTGATGCTGGTGGTGTACAATGTGGTGGTGGCGGTGGCGGGGCTGGTGAACCATGGGTCGCTGCCGGAGCGGTTCTACCTGTTTGCGCGAGCATGGTACGGGTTGTACTTTGTGGCGGCGTGCGTGACGGGTCTGTGGGTGGGGCAGGCGCAGTGAGGAAGAGGTAGAGGAGGGAGGAGGGACGAGGGAGATGAGAGGTAGGTGGTAGGATATGTGTTTGGTGGTGGTGGTGGTCAGGTGGAGATGGAGGTTCTCATTGCTCACATTCAGTAGAGGCGTGAGCAGCCACCGGTGGGCTGAGGCTGTTATGCTGGACACACTTTTGAGGGACGGTTGAGTGGTGGTGTGATGTGGTTCGGCTGTGCAGACTCGCGTAATTACTTTACGACAGGTATTGAATAAATAAGGTACGGTATTGATGAGTATCGATTACAACATGTGCAATGTGTTCTCCACTACTCGCGTCCTCAGCAGCAAGCCCACCACATTGCCAGCAGCCACCCCGCGCTGGAAAGCCACTCGCTGGTTCCCACAAGCTACTGCTGTTGCTAAGAGGCCCACAACGTTACTTGCCCCGACGTCGATGCCCACTGCGAGCAACATGAATCATGTCGCATTGACCACCGCCGAGCGTATACCAAACTTGTCGACGCATTTGTAAGCAAGGCCATCCTCCAAAACCCACGTCTCTTCCTCTCTTTCAACATGCGGGCAAACAATTATTCCCCGGCGCGGCGAAGGTGCATGGAACATCATTGTACTGTGTCGCGCTTGTAAGCCGAGAAGCACATCCGCAATAGCAGTAAGTGTGAGGTAGGGGCCTACGTGGCTCATCATTTGTCATTCGGCCCAACCCCAACTCCACGCCTAACTATCCTGGAGCGCAGCTCAGCAGCCGGGCATCACGAAGACTTCAGCAGCAGAGGAGACAAGTGGGGGGATCGGGGAGCACATGAAAGGCCTTGTCCATTCAATACTAGAAGGGAAGACATGTCAAACCAGGCAGCCTCACGCAGACCTGCCCGGCCTATCGTACTCAATTGATTAGTAAGTTTTTAGCTACGATCCTAACTTTTGCTACGGCCATGCACTTTTGACAGGTTGGTGCAAGCCGCGTCCCCTACATACCGTACATGACAAGACTAACCACCCTGCCATAAACACACACACACACACTCGGACATTCTCGTGCTACTGCGAATATGTACGAAGGAAGAAGTAATACACTATGTTTGCTACGATAAAAACTACTAAAAAGGTGACGAGGACGTGTATCTGCCGCATCTTCTGGATGCAAGCAACACGCCACAAATAATATAAAGGAAAGCTTCCTCCCTCACAAACACAGACCGGACATCTTCCCTCCGCACTCACACGCCTCTCCCCTCTCTCTCATTTTCTTTCCTAATTCACCCACACATTATCCACCACACGTCTCGAATTCGAAAACAAACAAAACAACACATTAACAAGCAACCCGCATCCGCACCCTCCGTACAGCTGTACCCACCCACACCCCACACTTCTTGACTTCTTGACTTGAATTAAACTAGCATCCTTCCAGCATGCCAGACCCCGCCCGGCCCTGCGACAACAACCCTCACCCTTCCTCAAAGCCAGCCCGCAAGCCGTTAGGCTCACCCACACTCGCCCAAACCCAAAGCACCCATCTCATTTCGCCCAATCCTCATCCAACCGTCTGTCTGCAGCCATACGTTTTAGCCTGTTTGCAGCCAACCAAACCCTCAAATGAAGATCTGCACAGTCCGCACCGCGGCAGCGCCCGCTGCTGCTCCCACTGCCGCCGGCATCACCGGGGGTGGCGCAGGCAGCTCCACGGCTAGCATGCCGCCGGTGGCGTCGTAACGCCAACGCGCCGCCTTGCCCTCTGCCACCACCCGCTGCACCGGCCGGCGCTCCTCGCCCCGCCCCGCCGCAGCCCCCCGCCTGCAGGGCCGCACGTCGCTGCTGCCGACGTCACATCCGCCGCCCTCCGCCCCCTCCACGAATACCAGAAGCGTGGCTGCGAAGGGCGCCGTCAGCTCCACTTGTACGACCAGACCTAGGCCACCGCTGCCGCTGCCGCCAGCAGCAGACGCAGCACCGCGGGACGTCGAGGGCGACTCGGCAAGTGTCGTACTGCTGGCCAATGCGGCGGCGGGCATGATGCGGCAGCAGCGAATGGCGCCCTCGCGGCGTCCCGCGGCCTTGACTCCCACAAGGGCGAAACTAGTGAGCGCTTGAGCGGCGGCGCCGGTGGGCGTTGCGAAGGAGGATGCGACGCGCTTGGTCTCCATGTCACTCATGTCGTTGGCGAAGGGGCTCAGCGAGGAGGAGGAACGGCGAGCAGGAACAGCAGGAGCAGCGGCACCTGCAGCCTGGACAGTGGTGGTTCCGGCAGCCGCGCCAGTGGATGCCACCACTTGTATGATTGGCGCGGCGATGATGCTGCGACCGGACAGCGAGGTAACCGGTACGGCGGAAGGAGCGGCGGCCATGGCAGCACTGCTCGGCGGGGGGGACCCTCCTCCTGCCGCTGCATCTGCCCCCGCCAGCGCAGCTGAGGAGGCTGCAGCAGTACCCAGTGGCTCCAAGACGGCCACGTCGCTCAGGGCCGCGCCGGCGCTATTGCATCGTGACATTGCGGGTGAGGGCGCAGCGGAGGTGGAGGCGGAGGCGGAGGAGGCGGCAGCGGAGACGCCGGCAGGGGAGTCCAGGCCAAGGCTGACGGCACGCGCGAAGGAGCCGCTGCTTGCGGCGGAACGGAGACCGGCCGCGGGCGCCATCTTGAGGGCCGCGGCGGTGTCCATGACGGCCAGCACGTGACCGGTGGCCTTCCCGTACACCACACTCCTATCGCACGGCATGGGGAGCCATGGGGACGAGGGGGGAGAGGCAGGAGAGAGGGAGGTAAGGATAGGACCATGGTTCAACGTAGCATGGAAAGTGGTATGAAAAGTCAGTCAGGACAATCAAAAGCCCATGTCCCACGCGCATATAAACGCACCCAACCAGCCCCCCCGTGTCGTGACTCACCTGCCCGAGTAGCGGAACCCTAGCGGCGCGCTCATGCCCGGGCACAGCCGCAGTCCTGGGGCCTGCAGCAGGGGCTTGGCGGGGCAGCCGGGTCCTTCCTGCCAGGAGGGCAGACAAGGGATACATGTCGGGAAGGCGGGGTTAGCACATTTGGGTCGCCGATGAAGGAGACTCCTGGTGCGGTGCATGCGGTACGTAAGAGCCGAGTGCCGCCGCAGCGCCAACTGAAGTACACGACACTAGGCATTTGGGCCGTCAAGTATCTTGCGCGCAACGTTGGCAACAGGGCCAGCAGGGTGCGAACGGTACGGTTACGTCGGCATCTGGACGAGCAGCAACAGCCCTGATGTGGGTCTTACTGACCCAAATCAGTACGGTAGGTGCAACCTCTGCGCGCCCCGATTTGGGTCAGCAAGAGAGAGCCCCCTCCACTCGCCCCCACCTGCACCAGGAAGCCCTCGTGCAGCTGCTGCTCCAGCGCGGCGGCCGTGGCGGCGGCAGGGCAGACAAAGGCCGTCGGTTTCTCCTTGTCGGGTGCTGACGCAGCTGCTATGGAGGCGTCGTAGCGCATGCGGTGGACGCAGTCCATCAGCGGCAACATGTAGGTGCGCACGTCGTCTGGTTGGGCGCCTGAAGGAGGCATGGAGGGGGAGAGAGGATCGCGCATGTGTGGGATTAGTAAACCAATGGCAATTTCCAAGTTGAAACGCTAGGCAATGGCTGGAGACCGATCAGTTTTTAACCGGATAAATCTGCAGATACTATGGGTACTAACCTGTGGCTTTTGCAAGGTGCTTGGCGGCGTCCAAAGCAGTGTCGTAGGGATCCGGTCCGCGCGAAATCACCACCAAGTTAAGGTTGATAGAATCAGGCCCGCCGACTACAGAAACCGGGCGAACACGCACTCCACTGCCGTTCGAAGCGCCTTCCCTGCAATACAGGTAAGGCGGTCACGGTTAGCTGACGGCAACATCGGGTTGCATGTCGACCAACTTACAGAACATCAGCAAACAAAGGAACACCTATCCGCCAAACAAAAAACAGCATATTGTTACGATGGGATGGCTGCATGCATAGCGTTTAGTCATTCCGCTTACCGAGGAAGAATGAATTGTGCACCGTCCTTTGGCGACAGCAGGACGGCATATTCCGGGCCAGCACTGCTGGCGCCAGAGTAATAGGAACACACTATTGCGTTAACCGAAGGAGGCTGCTCGCTGAATTTTGTAGAAGGAGCGCAAGGAACAGATAATTGTCCCCGAGCTGTATTGTAGACTCCAGTTGCAATCCTTAAGGCCAGCAGCTGTAAGAATAAGCCACGATTGGTGAATGGAAATGAAAACCGTAGGGAATTACAGATTAGTATATGTAACCCTGGGTTGTACAGAAGATACGCGAGCGAGCATTTGCATAGGTATCTACCTCGCAAAGAGGCATTGTGCCATCGACGTCCACAAGAGTGGGATCTAGGTTAAGAAGTCTGGAAGAAGCGGCCATATCCTTGCCGGTAGCCTGGTCGATGACTGCCATCGGCATCCTGCTGGGCGTCGTCCTTGACAGCCGCGACGCGTGTTCACGTAAATCCTAGACTGTCTACTTCCAGGAAGTCCACGAGAGGATAAAGAAGATACGTGGGGTCGACCACTTTGTCACGCACGCAGATAGGATAGGGGTAGGATCACGAATAGATCACGTGTGAGGAAACAGGGGACGGACTAAACGGCAAACCCGGGTGTATGGGAAAGACGGTGATGGAAAAACTATATAACGTGCTGAGGAGAATTAAAGGGTGTACTGCGCAGAGTACAAATCTGCATGGTGCCTCCATGCAGCTGCCTGCACGGAATCCAAAATTGTCAGGACAGCAGGCATTACTGCTTCGCTGCGCTTCTTAGTAATCGGTTAGTTAAGTTAGCTGTTGTTAAAGGTCCTCTAAAGAGTCGTGCAAGTAAGAGCCTGCTGTCACCGGCGGAATGACTGCATCGCTGTTCGAAATGCGCATAATTCCAAGCACTTCTCAACGCCTCTTCAACAGGTTTACCTCAGCTCTTTGCGAACCTATCCTTACATTGTACAACCTAACACAAGCACTGCCATGGCTACGGTCCCCATTTCTGCTCCGGGTACGGCCACCCAGATTTTGGACCGTGCCCCTCCGACCCAAATCGACTATAACCTGAAATATTCTCCTCCGACTGCGGCGCCGCGGAGCTGCGGCGCGGCATTTGCCCATCCCTACCTTCGTCCCACCACGCGACACCTCCTGATGTACGGCTTTACAGCCCATGCTACAGCATGTATTGCAAGTGCCTTCACTTCCCGAACACAAGGTTACTACCGTCTAATAAATCCTAAAGCAACAAGCAACATGGCGCTCAGCCCACCCCGACCTGCATGGCTGGTACGGCACTCACGTACAACACAGTACAGTACTGGCTGTGTAGTTGAGCGGCAACAAGGCTTTGTAGTGGCTGTGTAACAACCGTCAACACACAACCGCACCTGCCATTCCGCCTAACCTACACTCGCCCCTGTGAACAAACTTTCACACAGCCGTCGCTCTCTACATCTGCTAGTAACCGATCAACGCCAACCGACGCAACCTGTAAACATTACCGCTAAGTCTCTTCACTTGGATCACGCGTTATTCCTGTGCCCCCTGTCTGCATGTACCCTCCATAAATGCCCCCAGCCCCGCTCCTCCTCACGCCCCTCCCCCCAAACATGGTCCTCTTCTTCTTCTCCTGCCACTTTCTGCTGCTTTTACCCCCACCCATCACCCATCACGCATCCCCCTGGAAATCAAACACCGCACACATCATCCCGTAGTACGACGGATGCCCGTACTCCAGCAGCACACTGTGCATGTTATCCGGCTTCACCTGATCCAAGATGCCCTGCAGCACCACCATGCCCGGGAAACCACACGACTTGGCCTCCCCCACACTCTTCGCAGCCGCCTTGAGCAGCGCATCACGATCCAGATCTCGCGCCCATTGCAGTACGGCGGCATCAAATTGTGCCGCCTGCTCGCTGAATCCGTACGGCCCCGCGGAGTCCCAGGTGTGAGCCAGGTCGCCGCTCACCAGCACCGCAATGCGCGCGTCAAGGGAGTCCAGGTACGCGAACAGGGCTTTACCCAGGGCTAGGAGCTCCGGAACCATGCTGACGCTGTGCTGGTAGCGGCGGGAGGGCATACTGAGGAGCAGGAAGTTGGGCAGTGCGGTGCTGTCGGAGGCGGTGGTGGCGGGGTGTTGCACTTCCGAAAGGCGGATGCCGCTGTTGCTGCTGCTACCTGGCTGCGACTGGGCTTGCGCTGCAAGCCTACGGCCAAGCCGCCGCCGCCGCTGCGGCTGCTGCTGGGGACCCTCTTGCTGGGAATGTAGGGGCTTCTGGGTTCGCTGCATTCCTGGCTGCGCCTCGCGATCTGGGTCGTTGTAGGCCCGCTGGATGAAGTAGAGCGGGATGACTTCACCCCACGCAAGCGGCATGGGCAGGGAGCCCTCGCCCGGCGGGCCGAAGCCGGATAGCGTGGTGACGTTGTTGCCTGAGGCGACTAGCGCGGCCGCTAGGCGCTTCGTGAGGTGCGTGTCGAGCTGCACGCTGGCGTTGTAGGTGCAGGGCGCGAAGGTGCAGGGCAGCCAGGAGTTGAGGTCCACATTGCCCGCTGTGGCGTGTGGGGGGATGACGGGTGTGGTAAGAAAACTGGGTGTGTGTGGGTGTGTGTTTGGGAGGAAGGATGAGAGATCAAGTAGCGAGGGAGACATGTATGCGTCTGGCGGCAAGTGGGCGTGAGTGTTGCATGTGCTGGGGGGAGTTGGGCTTCTTCCCTTAGGTGGTGCCGCCGGGTGATTTGAGGTAGCAGCACTGGCTGGGGCATCGGGTGGCTGATGCAATGGCACGCAGTGTTACATGATGCCCTTCAGTGTTACAATGCGGGCGTAAAGGCGTTTTTTGAAATAGATACCCCAGCTGGGCTGCAACCCAAGTCGACGCCCACCCGTACCAGCAGAAGGGTTGTTGTAAAGCACGAAAGGCTCTGGCAAGGCCAGACCGTGCGGTGTTAGTAGGAGTATAATATCAGCCTCTAGGCTTTGTACAAAACGCCCAGTTGCCAGGGCCGAATAGTGCAAGGAGTTCGCTGATTCTGTGGCATTGTCCGAGCCGTTAAAGTTTCGAGGATCAAGCGTAAGGGCGCCATGAGGCATCACGGCTCCACCAACTATGTACGCAGAAATGCTTGGACAAAGGCATACTAACGCGACTAGGCAGAGCAGTGCCGCCATTGCCCAGTTCAGTCGTTTCGCTAAGACGCTCCTATTTAATAGGTCATAGTTACTCGCGCAATTAGCATAAGCTAAGCCTGGCAGACAACGTTGCGTTTTCCGATTGTTAGTCATGTCTATCCGTACCGTATCCAGCCCACAGCCTTCCAAGCAATCCACGTATTATTATTGTTTAGTAGGAATGTAAGTGTAGTATGCCACAGCGGCGGCCACAGGATGTGCTAGGGTTTACACCATGCTGCCCCAGGCGACTCGCTCGTCGATAGCGTTCCTTAGCCGCGAAACACAAACCTGATGAAGACGTTTCGTATCCTTTGCTTGGTCCTTCAGGTCTACTCATTTTAAGATAGCAGCTTGAACATTCGTCTGCAATCTAGCCTTGTCCTTGTCAGTCGCGCTCAGTTCAGAGAGAGCTCTTCGTCGGATATGAAGTCGCCTTGCTCAGGCGATTTCGACCACCCTAACACCCCGTCGACTGGTCATCTCTTAACCACAGAGAAGGCAGGATCCTTTCTGTACTCGTACATCCCTTACATCATCCGCGTCGCAGTACTCGAAGAACCCTATGTACTGGACAAACGGGATTGCACCGCTACCACCCATTACCCTGGGCTTGATCTGGGTATCTAAGTAGCTTACAGGACAGGTTGGAGAACCCGTTACAGAAGGCGTGCCCGACGAGGCCAACCAACTAAACAACAAACATGTAGCAAAGGACTACTTCTTCGCCTCGCCTTCAACTTCTCCGGAATCACAAGTGAGGGATGCACCCACTGTGACATTCGTTCCTAACCTGGCAAGGCCGTTGTCTACATGATCAAAACTACTGTATACCCTACCGCAACGTTATCACACATAGCCATGTGCACGACGGGCCGACTTACAAGCGCCGCAACACCCTTACGCGACACCCAGAGGCCTGCAAGCCGACAACGGTGCACCAACCGAAGAGAAAGAAGATAAAGATGCCGTACTGTAAAGGTGGCATGCGATGGGGTGTGCGGTTGCATATGTGGTGGGATATGTGTGCATGACACGATGTTGACTTGTGGAGGCGCCTATGATGCAATGGACAAGGCCTGAGGGATTACGCAGCAACTGCTCATGCCGCCCACTCTTTACTCAAAATCCGCAATAAACGCCGGAGTCTTCACAACCACAAGCAGCCATTGCATAGTGCGACGATGTGACAGAACATAACACTCATCAGTCTCCTGTGCGTAGCTCCCAGTATATGTCGTCCCCATTGCAACTGCGTATCCTATCTATTCCATGCACTGTGCACGGTATCTAGATGATCCCCATCAGCGCAGAAGCAAGAATGTTTAACCGCAAGGAAGATGTATCCTTCACAACACAACAATAGCATGCGTTGAGTGATACCTGCCGCAACCAAGTTTAAAGGTAAACGTAAGACTGCCGCCAAACGTGCAAGGGCACCAAGAATACCGTAGTGCCTTGCGGGTAGGGGACAGATAGACAGACAGCCAGTCCTCCGCGCAAGACGGCAAAATCCCTTAAACTCCAATAGCTAATAACACGAGCATCAGTTCATAGACCCGACGCATTCGTGGGGGGAGACACTGCATCCAAAAATAGGTACACGGCCAGCAGTGGTATGGCCGCAACTGTAAGAAAGTGGACATACAAGAAGCGGCAACGGAGGCAACGAGTGCCAAAGGGGCCCTCCTGGAATTCCTAGACAGGGCCTCTTCACACTCGCGCACACCCATGCATGCCGTACGGAGCTCCCCAAAAAACGCACATACGCTCAATGCCATAGCTTCGTGGCTATCCAGCTCTCGTAATAACTAACCTCGTAATTATCCCGAAGGAATACGTCCAGACAAACCAAACGAATCACGCCAATTCGGCAAGACACGCGGGGCCTTAGAAGACGGAGATCCTATCAGCTCGCTCGCTCCCTCTTCTTGGCTCACCACGTCCCTCTTAACACAAAGCTACTTTGTTTCATTTGAAACGGGCAGTGACATCTTGACATTGCTCGAACCGCCTCGCGTGCTACACACACACCACGCCATACACGCAACCAGTTTAGGAGGTTAACCGCCACACAACCGCAGCACCAATAGCCGCACCAAATGGGTGGACGGCATTTGCCGCGTTCGGCTGCTGGCACAGCGTTATACGCCACGTAGGGCAGCTACTACAAAGGTAGAAGCAAAACACATGCCTGCATTTGTGTTATCATGTATTAAGCTGACCCATTCGGCAAACGCCAGACAGGAAAGGCAAGAAAAAAGGTCAAAAAGCGCAGATCGGCGCAGGGCCAAGAATATCTTCGCTCCCTTCGGAACGCGTTTCAGGTTTTTCCACCGTTATCCACGGTCCTGGCAGCCCGAAGCCGGGGGGGAGGGTGTATCTTGTGTCATCCTCGTGTACTATCTCTTCTCGGATAGCGCCCCTAACCCAACGACCACGACCCACATCTTGCAGTGATCCCATGCACATCACATGCACTGCTGCTCACTTCTGAGAGCCTGAAGCCATGCACCCAACCGCTTTCTCAAACGGTCGAACCACCCTCGTGCATATGAATCCCAAATGCCCATATGCACCACCGGGTCCCAACGAACAGGTGCTCATCACATCATCTCAGCACCTAATAACGCCGCAGCGATCAACTCTTGACACCAGCATCAGCGGGCTGACCCAACACACCTCATGAACGCCCTGTTGTCCTCTACCCCCGGTACTTTCACCGTCGCCGCTGCGGCGCCGCTCCCCAGCCTCCCAGGCAGCCCGACGGCGCAGCCAGCAGGTGGGGTCCCGAGCAGCAAGCACACGGCGCCGCTGCCGACACCAGCATCACATCCCCGCCAACACCCCCGCTGCTGCTGCTGCCGCTGCCGCCACCAAGGCATTCAGCCGCGGGCTGCAACCGGCCCCCGCTGCGCACCACCACGTCGCGGAAGAAGTGCAGCGACTGGAGCTGCGGCCACTGCTGCTGCAGCAGCTCGGCGGCGGGCGCGGACAGCGCGGCGGCGGGGCCGGCCGTGGCGGCGAGCAGGGTGGGCAGTCCTCCAGGGGAGTAGGCGCGCTTGATGGCGGCGAAGGTGGCGGGCTGCTGGGCCTCGAGGATGCGGAGGTCCTGTGCGGCCGGGGAGGTGGGAGAGGGGGATTAGCAGGCAACGGATGTTCCGCACAAGCTGGCAACAGCGCTTGGTAACTGTGCAAAGTAATTTCTGCCAGAACGTGAGGTCCTATCCCCGCACCCCCCTCCAGCCTCCCCACCTGCAACCCCCTCAGGTGCCTCAGGTGCTGCAGGCACCGCCGCATGGTGTCCGGGCTGCCCCTCAGCTGCTGCGCGCCGCCCAGCTGCAGGCTCAGGTGCAGCACCTGCAGGTCGGTCAGGCCGCCCAGTGCGCGGAAGTCCCATGGGTCGCTCAGGAAGCTGCCCTCCCAGTGCGAGTAGCCGGCCAGTGTGGGAATGTGCAGCGCGCGCAGGCGGCGACCCATATGGCGGCGGGAGCTGCTGGGGGCTGCTGCTGCAACAGGTGCAGGTGCTGCTGATGAGGAGGAGGAAGAAGGCACGGAGCGCTGGACCGGTGGCTTCGCAGCAGCAGAAGCTACAGCAGCAGTACTGCGGTTGCAATCCGCAGCGGGTGCTGTTGGGCCCTCGGAACGGACTGCGGTGCCGACCTGGCTTCTAGCTGATACGCCGCTGTTTGCAAGCTTGGCTGCGTTGGTGTCAGTAACAGCGGCGGTGGCGGGTAGGGAGGCGAGGGAGCGGGCGTCGTCGTTGTCATGGGACCGCTGGGCAGCCTCTCCGCCCACCTTGCCCTCCGCGTCTGCCTCCGCGTCCGCGGCTGTGGAGTAGGCGGCGCATGCGGCCTCGAACACGGGCCGGTTGAGGGCACACAGCGGGATGGTGAGGTCCTGCAGCTCGGAGGGGAAGGTGAAACCCTGAGCCAGCGTCGAAACCCGCATTCGCTTCTTGGGTCGCCGGGGAACCTCACAGTCAAGGGATCTCCTGCGCCAGGACTCCGCCTCCGCTTCCGCCGCCACAGCTCCCGTATGGTCAGCGGCGGCTGGCTGTGTCTTCTCAGGTTCCAGCGGCTGCAGCGGCGGCGGTAACTCGCACGGAAAAGCTTTTGCGCCCGAGCGTTTCCCTAGTGTTGGCAGCTGATAGCCGGGCGCCGATAGTTGCGGTAGCTGGGGCAAGGCGGGGAGGACAACGGCGGGGAGGGCTGGCAGCGGTGTGGTTCGAGGTGCGGCTAGGGCGGGCAGCTGTGGCAGGAGCGGTAGCGCGGGGAAGACTGGTGTGGCGGGAAGCCGCCCACCGAAAGCCGGCAGCTGGGGCAGGAGAGGTGGTGGTGGTAGGGCGGGTGCCGCGCACTTGAAGCCGCCGACCGTGGCCAAGGTGCTGGCGGGTCGCGAGGGGGGCAGCAGCAGCGGCATGCCTGCAGCACCACTGTTGTTGCTGCTGCTGCCGCTTCTGATGAAGAACGACGACAAGTAGCCGCCCAAGACGCTGTTGTTGTTGCTGCTGCCGGAGGAGTTCCCAAAGTTGTTCCCGCCGAGGCCGTCCAAGCAGCCTCCCTCATCACTCTCATCCTCCTCGTAGCCATCCTCACGCCCATCCTCCTCCTCATCATCATCATCGTTCAGAGCCGCATCCCCGGAAGCCACCGCCATGGGCAACCGCAGCTGTCGCAAGCCCGGCAGCGCGCGCAGCAGCTCGCGGTAGGTGGTGGCTGCCTGCGCCGCACCGCCCGGACACTCCAGGCAGCCCGCAAGGCTGAGCGATTCCAGGCCGGTCAACGCCCCCAGAGCCGCAACGCTGGCGGTGCTGAAGGCCAGGCTGGACAAGGACACGCGACGCAAGCCAGGCAGGGAGAGCGCGAGCTGAGCCATGGCGTCGCCGCGGGTGCGAAGTTCGGGTTTGCGGATGAGGAGGTTCATGGCTCCCTGCTCCTGGGCGCTGCTCCAGGAGGCGTCGCTGATTTCTAATTCTACCAGCGTGGATTGGAAGGAGGAGAGCAAGGGCGGAGCTGGCACCGCGCACGCTAGATGCAGGAATGCTAGCGAGGTGATGTTGCGGTCGTGCAAGGCTCCAAGCGCATCGAGGAGGAGGTCGTCTTCGGATGAAATCGCTGCTGCTGCGGATTCGGGAATGTTGGCCTGTGATGCAAGGGCTGTGCTGCTCCAGGCTTTGCTACGAGGTTGCTCCAAATGGAACACAACGCGCCTCGCGTTGGGATAGGCAGCCAGCGCGTCAAGCACTACATGCCTGTAAGGAAATAAATGCGCACAAGTAAGCTTGCGGTTCCAAACCGCAATATCAGGGCTAGCCAACATCAAATGCAATGTGTTATTCATCAAGCTGGTCGAGAAATATTGCAAATACATAAGGTCAAAGCGCGCTCCATGAAACATGACAGACCCATAATTGTTGACCCGGCTCACCCTGGCCCATGAGCGACTAGGCGACCATGCTTCAGCAGTATTGCATCACAAAAAGCCGCAAGCGATGTAGAGAAGGCCTTGCACGTTGACCTGAGCGCGTACTTGCTAGGCACATCTCGTAGGACAACCTGTGAAGCACAGCGTTGCAGTATCTTGGTAAGCTCAGTCATAGCCACTCATTACCGATGGCTTTGTCAACAAAGCGCCCTGCGACCGTGTTCTGCTTTACAAAGCTCGTCGCCTTTCCCGGTCAGCGCAGCAGTAGAGAGCGCGCGGAGCCCCGCACCTGAAGTAATTCCTGTGGGAGCGCTATAATTGGGGCCTCTTCATCTCGCCTCCGGCCGGGCTCCATTAATGGTATGCCCGTGCACATACCGGCAAGCGGCGGCGCTAGGAAATGAAGACGACACCCAAACTACCCTAACCAAACAGCGGTCCTGTGCCCCAAGGTCGTCACATGTACGATTGCCATAAGAAGCGCTAATACAGAATCTTGCCATGTGTCGCCTGCGGCCGCGGCTGGCGAAAGGGTGCCGTACGTCTGATATAGATTTGGACGAGCTTCTTCAGCGGCCACGAGCAGATGCCATTGCGGTTAGGGTTAGGACCGCATGGGGTTGTCCGCAGTGAGCGCTGGTGCAGGATGTGTGGCTGCCGAGATGCGGTGGAGGATGAGTTGCATGTGCTGCTGGAATGTCCCGCCTATAATGAGATTAGGGATGAGCTGGTGAACAATGGTGTTGTTTTAGATCAGGGTATGCTTAGTGTTATGAGTACTCCTAATCAAAGATTGCTTGCTAAAGTGGTAGACAGGATCAGGCATGTCAGGGCAACTAGTCTTGACACTTAGGCTGGTTACTGCTTGCTACTTTCTGCTTTTTGTTTTCGGTTACATGTGAAATTTTCTTTCTTTTATTATTTTTTACTCTGTTTGTTTTGTTTGTGTGTGCGGTCCATGAGCCTCCTGGCTCGTCTGGGCCTTACGAGCCTTACAGCTTGTAACAACTCACTCACTCATGCCATTGCTAAAGTATGTTGGCTTGTTCCTTCCTATTTCCCATTGTGATCATGTGTGTGGGTTTAACATATTCCACAATGCTATGAAATATGAAAGCCGTTGCTCGTTGACATCCCGACTAACAAGGTCAGCTGAGTGGACAACACAGCTAACCTAATATAGACATATATAGAATTGCAAGAGTTGATACTGGGCGAAGAATGATAAGGCAATTCGGCATTCGCAGATACATATTCGCCTAGCGGCTTGGTCAGGCTACTTGGAGTAAGACGGCGATACTCTGACAGAGCAAAACCGTTTTCAATAAATATCACTTTTATGTTACAATGAACAGCTCATCGCAAGGCCTCGAAGGTCCCGACATACAACCCGTTGATCCATGCATGGATTAGGTATAGCGCCAAAGCCTCGGCCAATGGGACCCCAGCATTAGCATGAACCTGTAACTAATGGAAACTAGCTAGGCACCAATGGGGTTGAAGTCCACATGATGGTATTTTACTTGCTTCGACCAGTTACATGTTGCCTGCTGCACATAGCTGTTTCCATATTATTACAACATCAAGTATATTCTGATAAATGTGATACTGTTAAACACTACCCATAGCGCGCAATGCGCTTTAAATCCTGTTTATACCCGGTACAGGTCGAGGCACACGGGTGCGTGGCACGGGTCAATCGTCTGGGCACCTTACTTAAGGGCCTCGCTGCGCTGGTCCATGTAAACTATTAAATAGTTGTCGAAAAGCAAGTACGCAGCCCCAATGAGAGCAGCGAAGGCGCTCCTGTTGTTGCTCGCCATGCTTGTCGCCATGGCGACAACACTTGCACGCCCACATCATTGGACGCCGGATACGTATCCAAATCCTCACAAAACTCCTGGAGCCTGCCAACGGCAAAACCAGACGGGTTGGGTGTGTGATCCGGACAAAGTTCTGTCCTTCGAAAGCGCCAATGCCGTCGACGCGCTCCTGCGGCGGGTAGCAACCGGCGCCAAGCCTTTCACACAGGCAGCATGCGGATCCTCAGGACTCGAGGGCTTCCCGGTAGGTCCAGATCCCTGCTTAGCTGCCATTGTATTGCTTACCTTAGCCTGCAGTTTGGTCCATGCATGTCCATCCTCCCACCATACCCTTTTGCACGCCCATTCTAGCCCATTCCAAAACCCAACAAAATTAGAGATGTCCCATCCCTAAGCCTCCGGCCCAGATCGCGATCGCACCCGATGCTGCTGCAAAACGCCTTTCCCCCGCAGCTCGCGGTCGCGCTCATGCATCGCATGTACACCACACCCGACCAGCACGCCGCCGCCGCCACGTTCGCCCGCCGCCTGCAAGACGCCTGGGGTGTGGGCGACCCCGCCTGCGACAACGGAGTGCTGCTGCTGCTGGCCGTTCTGGAGGGGGAGGTGGCGGTGTCCACGGGTGCAGGGGTAGGACAGCTGCTGCCGGCTGCGATCCTCGCGGACATCACGGACAGGGCTCGTCTGGAGGTCCATGCGGGCAGGTGGGGTGGGCTGGGGGGTGCAGTGTGCTTAGAGGGGCTGCGGTGGGATCCGAGGGGTTGGTATGGGGCTGCACAGACATGGCAGCCGGGCCGGGGATCCGGAAGCCCCACCTCTCCAGTCTCCACCCTTGTCGTACTGCTTCGTGTCGCTTCCCCGCAACAAAGTGTGTTCAATCCATGCCCGCCGTCCTTCATTTGCCCGTGCCCTGTTGACGTCCCGACCGTTGCTGCAGCCGCTACTGCTAACCCTACCGTAACCCCCTCCCTGCTCCCTCCCTTCCTTCCCCCTCGCAGGTTCTCCGCGGCGGTGGAGCAGGCGGTCAACGAGATCGGGCTGGCGCTGGCCGCGGCGCTGCACCCCGACCCGCACCCCGACCCCACGCCCAAGCCCGACCCCACGCCCAAGCCCGACCCCACGCCCAAGCCCGACCCCACGCCCAAGCCCGACCCCACGCCCAAGCCCGACCCCACGCCCAAGCCCGACCCCACGCCCACCCCTTCTCCCACTCCCGACCCTACCCCCAACCCCAAGCCCGGCCCCGACCCCACCCCAAAGCCCGGCCCCACTCCGACTCCCGACCCCCACCCCGCCCCCTCCTGGTGGGCCCCCGGCGAGCACTTGGCGGTGCTGCTGGAGGAGCTGCTGGCGCTGGCGGGCCTGATGTCGGCTGCGGGGCTGGCGGCGTATCGGGGAAGGAGGCGGAGGCGGCGGGCGGCAGGGAGGTACCAGGTAAGGCGGGGGAGGGCGGGGGTGGCGGGTGGGGGAGAGAGGTCCAAACAACACAGGGTTTGAAACGAAAGATGCGACTGCCCGTTTTACGCATCCTCCTCCCTCTCCTCCTCTTCGCAGGAATGTCGAGCCGTGCTGGAGTCAATCCAGCACGACCTGGACTCCGCCGCCGCGACCCCAAACCGCGATGACACGACCGCTGGCGGCGCTGATGGCAGTGACCCATGGGTCACACCCTCGTCCTGCCCCCTCTGCCTCGCCTGCCTCCCCCAAGCTGGCACGGTCTCCCTTCTGCATGACGACGACGATGCTGATGACGTGGCGACCCGTGAGCCGCACCTGACCCTGAACATTGCCGGAGGCGGCGGCGGCGGCGGCCGAACCAATATCAGCAGCGATTGCGAGGTGGACGACGGCGACGGCCACAGCAGCGACACGGACCACCAGCGGGGGCTGCGCATGCCGCTGCTCTCACCGGATCCTGTCGCGGGCGGACAGGCGAGGAGCGCCGCTGGGCCGCCGGTGCTGCTGCCGTGCTGGCATGTGTTCTGTGAGCCATGCATTGCGGCGTGAGTGAGGGGCGACAGGGAGGGGTAGGGCGACTGGTGTGGGGCGGGCATGAACGTGGAACTTTGGCAGGAAAGGGGCCGCGGAAGGAGCATGATGAAGAAGGGGTACCTGCTTCCGTATGACTCACATGCAGCCGTTGCGCTGGTCATCCTAGCATCCAAGCAGGGCAATGCTCCTCCGCAACTCTTCGTACCCATGAGGCCACTGCTCCTCCTCTTCCTCCGCATCTCCCTCTCTCTTCCACCCCTCGCCCGCCACAGGCGCTTGGAGCAGGGCACCCCCAACTGCCCCATTTGCTGGCAGCCCATGGAGGGCCCCGATACGACCGGCCTGCTGCCTGCGCCCCCCAACAGCACCGCTGCTGCCAGCGCCCCACAGGACCGCCGCGTTGCACTTCTTGCGCGGCTGCGGCAGTCATGGAGCAACCGAGCCCAGAAGCAGCGCCCCCATCCTCACCCTTACTCAGCAGTACGACCCTCCAGTGCAGCCTCCTCCTCCTCCGAGGGACCTGCCAGGCCTGCGGGACCTGTGGCGGCCTCCGGGGGTGCGCTGGCGGCCGTGCTGCGGCCGGCACTGGAGGCGAGTGTACGGCAGCTGCGGGTGCGGTTCCCGGAGTGGGTGACGGGCGAGATGGCGGCCACATGGGCGCAGGACGTGCGCAACGGTGCGTGGGGGATCCCGCGGGGGGCGGGCAAGGACCATACGTCCATACCAGACCACAGGAAACCACAGGTTAGGGCAAGGCAATAGGATGGAGGCGGGGGGGGGGCATGGAGGGGCATGGAGGCGGGGGACGCAGCTGCGGATGCTGGTGCGGAAGAGCAGGCAGCAAGACGTTCCGGAAGCAGCGTTCTGTAGACGTATCAGGCCGAGCCCAAGTTGCATATGAGCGTTGTTGTTGTTGTCGTTAACCGCTCCAAACCGTTCCGGCCGCTCTTGTTCAAATGACATGGGAATCCGCAAACCCTAACCCGCAACCCGCCCGACCACCACGCATGCAGGCCGGCCGCTGGACAGGCAGCAGCTGCGCCTCTTCCGCAAACTCGACCCCACAGGCGCCAGCGGCAGCGGCAGCCAGAACTGGATGACCACCTGGCGTCTGCTGTTCGGCACTGTCACTCGGCTGAGGGCCCTGCGGCAGCAGCAGCGCAACCAGCAGCCGCGGCAGCAACCGCAACTGCAGCCACAACAGCCGCAACAGGAGCAGCGGGAGCTGTTGCTGTGAGTATGTGGGGCATGTGGCTCCTGCGCGTGTGCGCGTGCGTGTGTGCAGATGTGGGGTGCGCACCTGGCGCATGCAGGTTTTCTGGCGGGATGGTTTTCTGGCGGGATGGTTTTCTGGCGGGACGCGGTTCTCATGCGACATGGTGCAAGCGGTTGCAGTCTGGCTGGGAGGGGCATGTACAACAGATATGAGGACGTTGTAGGTTAGGGAGTGTTTATGAGGGATGGAGTCGCCGGTTCGTCTGCGTGCTCCATTGCAAGACAAGACAGCAAGCGGGCACAGTGTACTTTAGGGCACAGGATGGGTGTGTGTGATGCAGGCTGGACTGGAAGAGGCCGAGCAGCTCTGGGCGGGTAGAGGAGAAAGTCAAGTTATAAGACGCATTAGGCAACAAGTGACTGCGGTCGCGCTGCCCGTGGCGGCGCAAGCGTACGGCTTGGGGGCCAACGTTAAAGCCTCGAATCTGGAGGGCTGCTGTACAGTAGAAGTATGTACCGGTATTAGGCTCGTCTGTTGTCTTAGCTTTGGCGCTGCAATGCACTGTACGAAGACGTTGCACATGGCAGTGGTAGACTGGTAGTAGGGGCGTGGTGCGAGTTGCAGTCTTGTGTCTTGGCCTGTGAGCGGGGGAGGGGGGCGGTGGGAGGGCGGCAAGTGTACGGTATGGGGGACTGTTCACATTACCGTAGGACAGCGCGGATACGGGGTTGAATACCTGAATTTGGTTTGCCTTGTCTTGCACGCTCAGGCTTTGTCTTACCGGTGTGAGGGGTTGGCATCAGGTAGTGCTTACAAACTCGCCTACTTCGTGTGTAGACATGAATGCTGTCTTGGACGCCTGCGACGTCCAGCTTTTTGTCAAGCTAGGAGCTGCGCAGGGGCGGAACAGGCGCCAGGCGGGGCGCATCTACCATTATGCTGTTGGAAATAGCTGATATGCACGTTCTAGGTTGCTATCCTGCTAGGGCAGTCCAGCTTCAAGGGCACGTCGTCGCGCATCGCGCGTCCCTCCGACTACCGTATCAGCTCTTAGACTAGTTTGGGTCGGTTGCCGTAAAATTGGTGCAAGTTGAATTGTAACATCGCGAAGGTTGCTGGTGGTGGCTTTCGTGTGGATTCCTTCTCATTTCCTGTTCACCGCTGCTCCATTTTTGTCGTCACAGCTCCGAAGCCGTGGATCCTCATTCCTCAATCTTTGCGCCTGCCAAGCAACACTACAATTCCAAACTTAAAGTCCAATGTCGTTGACCAGTTCGGAAGCTATCATCACACGTCCTTTGTAAAATGTCCGCACGAATCGGCGCAACATCTGAACCTTGCAGCCGATTCTCAGCAACAAGTTTCGCCAGCCAAGGCATCTCTACGGCTTGTAAGAAGGTAGGAGCGTGTATGTCTGGGTGCCTTAGGGGGTTGGTGGGTGCAAGCAAACCTAGCAGGCGCACAGCGTGAGACGCCTCACCGAGTTCTGCGTTAACGGTCTACCGGTGCGCACCAGCGGAACCTGGACTCCACTGATAGCAAGGCCATTCCCACGTCGTGGATCTTCCCTAATCACGCCATGGGCATACTGCTTGGTCTTGTAGCAGCACGGAGCCAGAACCCCCTGGGGTTATGCTCCGTACTTGCGTACGAGTATCCCGGTTACTGCTCTGCCTTGACGTTTCCGGCTTGGCAAAAAGTGTAAAGACGCGTATCATTATTTGTTATTTAACTGCACGCACTAGGCCTCTTGCTCTAAACTAGCTTGAGAGAATTATTGGCCCTTCTACGACTCTAGGTCTTCCTGCGCGTGTTTCCTAGAACTTACATAGATCAATGATATCAATGAGCTTTCGCTAGCCCCTGCTGACGCTTGGCTTAGGTTGAGGAACGGGCTGATAAGCAGGCTCAGCGGGAAGGATGGCCTCTGCAGCATCCGCCATCTATTTCCTTAACCTCCGAGGAGATATTTTACTCGAACGCAAGTACAAGGACGATGTTGAGTGAGTAGCGCGAGAGGTCTCTTGATAGTTGCATACGGAATGTTGCCCCTTTTACCAATAGCTGCTTGACCAGTTATGTATAGTCTTTGCTGCGCCGCTCCAATAGCTCCGTGCTCTACTCAGATCCAAATTAAGTGCGACTATACTAGGGCTGCGCTCATGTCACCTGCTGCTTGAACGATCTTGGTTTTGATTTTTCTCTACGTCCCTGCTCACGTAGCCGAGAGATAGCAGAAAGCTTCCGTGATAGGATCCTAAATGCCCGCGACCGAGATGCAACGGCTGTGCACGTTCCCATCCGGACGCTTGGCTCGGTCACCTTCATGTACTTACGCCACGCGGACATCTACATCTTGCTGCTCACACGGAGCAACGGCAACGCGATGTTGTCCTTTCGGTTCATGACTTCGGTAGGTGTAGCCGGTCCAGCCAGCAAAGGGAGGTTGTTTGCTCCTTCCGGGGGGATGTACAACACCACAGCTCACAAGGCACGATCAACAGATTATGCAGGCACCATGTTAGTTCCACAGCATCTCCCGTAACTAACAATTCCCTTCCCGCCCCGCAGCTTGTGTCACTGTTCCAGTCTTACTTCGAGGGCGACCTGTGTGAGTCCTCCATACGCAACAACTTTGGTAGGTTGTTAGTGCCAGGGAGGGGGGTCAGGAAAGAAAGACCAAACCATAAGAAACCACAAAAGAAGGCAAGAGCATTGGGAACGAGGCGGCAGGTCGCCACAAGACAAAGGGAGGGTTAGCGGCCATGGGGATGTTGCGTCGGGGTGTGTGGGGCATCTGGGTCGCATGGGAGCTGCAGGGCTGAGTTGCTTGCGGTGCAAGTGCTTGAGGTTACAGCGGTCGATCAGTTCCGAACTGGGTAAGGGTTATAGCGCAGCTGCGATAGGGTAGGGGCCGTTACCCAGATTTTAGTCGACGACCCAGATGAGATGATCAGGGAAAGAGACACAGAAGTAAGCTGTGGATCCACTGGGGGGATGTCGTGTCGTACATCACACCACATTACCCCGCTGCCGCCTCTTCGCCCCGTCGTCTTCGTCCAGTTGTTTCTTCTTTACCACCACCACCCCTCCTCACACCCCCGCCGCCCGCTCCCCCTCTGCTGCAGTGCTGATGTACGAGTTGTTGGACGAGGTGATGGACTACGGCTTGCCGCAGGTGGGCACAGAGGAGGGGGAGGAAGGGCCGAGGAGGGGAGACTGAAGAGGGAGAGGGGAGACTGAAGAGGGAGAGGGGAGACTGAAGAGGGAGAGGGGAGACTGAAGAGGGAGAGGGGTGACTGAAGAGGGAGGGGGAGACTGAAGAGGGAGAGGGGTGACTGAAGAGGGAGGGGGAGACTGAAGAGGGAGGGGGAGACTGAAGAGGAGGGAGGGGGTGAAGGGCGAGCGTTGTGAAGGTACCGCTGTGCCTGGGAACACGAGGAGGGGGTGTGGGGGACATCAGGAACACGAGGAGGGGGTGTGGGGGACATCGGAAACCCGTCGTGGAATGTAATGGAGCTCGAGCTGCTGCTGACAGCCGAATTTGGTGCAGGGGCGGCACCGACCCACATCGCTGCCGTGCCTTCCGGAACCCACATGCCCCACCGCCGTTGTCCCTCACCACCCACCGCTGTTCCCTCTGCTCCCGCTGTCTTCCCCCTCCTCATGCATCGCCGCCTACGCAGCTTTTCAACGCGTATCCTCCCGCTTCCTCTCACGTCCCTCTCCCCCTTCCCGCCTCCCTCCCCCGCTCCCCGCCTCCCACTCTCCCCCCGGCCACCCCTGCCCCCATGCAGATGACGGACCCCGCTATCCTCAAAACGCTCATCCTGCAGAAGGGCTACCGGTCGGATGGGCTGCTGGGGCCGGGCTCGGCAGCAGACGTGGCGGTAGGGGCGGGTGGGGGTGGGGGCGGTGTGTGGGGGGTTGGCTGGGGGGGGGGGGGGCGGCAGCAGGGGCGTTGCTTGGGGGGCAGGGATCGGGGTGGGGTCAGGGTTCGGCAGGAGGGGGGACAGAGGGGCGGCCTGGGCTGCAGGGGGCAGCTGGGCCGTCTACTACGCCTACTAGGCAGTCGCTTCGGTTGGCTGTGAATCCGTGCAATGGCTACATCCTGGGTGTCAGAGGTGCTAGGGGTGCCGGACGCTACCCCCTCAACCGCCCGCAACACCGGTTGGGTCTTTGACCCCCCTCCCTGGCGCCTCTTTTCCCCTCCATTGCTTGGCCTACTTTGTGTGGTTTCCTATGGTTCGATATGGTCTTTGCCCCCCCATCCTTCCCTCCCCCCCTCTCCCCCCCTTGCCACTGCAGGCCAAGAAGGCGCGCGATGCCGCCGCCGCCGCCAACGCCACGCTCGCCGTGACGGGCGCCGTGGGGTGGCGTCGCGAGGGTCTCAAGTACAAGCGCAACGAGGTCTACCTGGACCTGGTGGAGCAGGTCAACGTGCTGCTCAGCAACAACGGTGGGGCGGGGGGGGGAGGGGAGGAGGGAAGGGGAGGGAGGGAAGGGAGGAGGGAAGGGAGGGCGGGAGGAGGGGAGGAGGGAAGGGGGAGGGGGCATTGGCTGCATTGGGGCTGCATTAGGGTTATGACAGGGCACCTGTTAGGGTCAAGATTACCAGTACTCGACACAGGTTACCCACTGCCTGCTCCTCCCCCTTCTCCCCCTTCTTCCTGCAGGCACCGTCCTCCGCAACGACGTGGTGGGTCGCATCCAGATGAAGTGCTTCCTGAGCGACATGCCGGAGCTGCGGCTGGGGCTGAACGACCAGATGCAGGTGCGCGGGGCAGCCCCTCCCTCCTGCCCCTCCCCTCGCACCCCAATGCATTCGCCCATTGGTGGTTTCATACGGTTGGGTCCAAGTTGTCCCCTCCCCTCCCCCTCCCTCTCCGCCCGCCCCCCAGGACGCCACCTTCCACCAGTGCGTCAATCTGGGCGCGTATGAGTCGCAAAAGGTGGTCACCTTCGTGCCGCCGGACGGGGAGTTCGAGCTCATGAGGTGGGGGGGGGAGGGGAGGGGTGGGATATGGGGGAGTGGGGAAAGGGGGTGGGAGTGGGGGAAGGAATGGGTTTGGGTGCGTTGCAGATGGGGCGCAGCAGCGCCGCTTGCCCACCTCTCCTCTCCTCTCCTCCCGCGGTGCTGCATCTGCACGCTCGGCCGGGCAGCCAGCCAGCCTGTCCTCTTGCATGCCCGCCCGTATTGTACCCGCCTTTATCCCCCCCTCCTCCCCCCCCCTCCTCCCCCCTCCCCCCCCCCAGGTACCGTGTTGCTGAGGGTATCACGCTGCCCTTCAAGGTGCTGCCGGTCATCAGCGAGGTGGGGCGCACCCGGCTGGAGGCGGCGGTGAGCGTCAAGGCCAACTTCTCACACAAGCTGCAGGTGGGAGGAGGGGGAGGGAGGTGGGAGAGGGAGGAGAAGGAGGGGCTAAGAGGAGGGGACTAACTAACCGTCTGACCAAGGCAGTTAGCATGGGTTACATCAGGAGGAGGAGTTTAGGAGGAGGGTGTCGTTGCCGTTACCCGGCACAAACGCCATGACTACCATGCACCCCCCCCCCCTCACACACCCTCCCTCCCTCCCTCCCCCCTCCCTCCCCCCTCCCTCCCCCTCCCAGGCGGGCCCGGTGGTGGTGCTGGTTCCCGTGCCCGACAACACCGCCTCCGCCAAGCTGCTGGTCACTGCGGGGCGCGCCAAGTACGACGCCACCCGCAAGGCGCTGGTGTGGAAGGTGCCGCGCTTCCTCGGGGGGGCCGAGCACACGCTGCGGGCGGAGGTGACGCTGGTGGCGGCAACTCGGGACAAGAAGCCCTGGGGCAGGCCGCCCATCCAGATGCAGTTCCAAGTGGGTCGGGGGGGGAGGGTGGGGGTGGGTAGGGTGCCCCATCCACCCCAGCACTGGATGGGGCATACTGCTGTGATGTCGCAAAGGAGCGAAGCCGCAAGCTGTCCTGTTTTGTGGCACCCTGCCGCCTCATTCCCCATTGCTTCGCCCTGAATCGTGGTTTCCTATTGTTTGGTGTGTTTTGTCCCCCTCCCCCCTCCCTCCCCCCCCCGGAAGGTTCCCATGCTGGGCTGCAGCGGGCTGCGGGTGCAGTACCTTCGAGTGGTGGAGCGGAAGCAGGGTAGCGCATACAAGGTGGGGTGGCGGGGGGGGGGTGGCGTGTAGGTGGTAGGGGGATTAATGGTGGATACCGGTCAGTTAGGGGAGTGGAAAGGTGGCTGAGGAGCAGCGGAGGGGGAACAGTGCGCAGAGGGGGAGGGGAGCGACGGAAGGGTGCAGCACAGTGGCGGGAGGGGGCATGCGGGCAGGCAGGCAGGCAGACAACATGGTGAGGGGTGCAGCCGTGGGGCCGGGGGATCAAAACCAGCCTGCCCCGTTGCTTGCAGCGGGCACTGACGTCGTGCTGTGCTCCCCGCTCCCCTCCCCCCCTTGCCCGCTTCCCTTCCGCCCCTCCCCTCCCCTCCTCCCCCGCCTGCCAGGTTGACAAGTGGGTTCGGAAGCTGTGCAAGAGCGGCGACTTCCTTATCCGCATCTGAGGGGGGAGGCTGGCTAGGGGGGAGGGCTGGGGGGGCAAGGCAGGCAGGCAGGTCAGGGAGGAGGCTAGGAAGGCAGGCATGGGAGGAAGGCATGTAAGGGGGAGGCGGGCAGGGGCAGCAGCGCCGCCTGTTGTGGACAAGGAGGAGGAGGAGGAGGAGGGGCAGGCCGGGCAGCCAGCCGCAGTGGTCGGGGCCTGGGGTGGGGGGGTGCGGGGGGAGGGGTACGGCGGAGCGAGGGGGTTGCGGAGGAGGGGGGGAGCAGGGGTCGTGATACACGGGTGGGTTATGGGGGTGGTCATATGAAGGTGGGGGTGGGGGGGGGGAGGGTGGGGGGGGCGGTTGGCGTGGTAGGAATAGGAGGAGGGAGGCGTACAGTGGAGGAGCGGAGGATGCTGGGAGGAAGAGGTCAGGGGACTGTGGCTAGAAGTGCCCCTTGGAAGGGCCGGTGGAGGCGAGAGGCGTGGAGTTCGTACAATGCTGTACGGCATAGCGCGGAATTAGTTCTTACACACATGTATAAAAGTTGGTATACGGCATATAAAGCGATATGCGGTATTGCTGGCAAAAGCTAGGAAGGGAGTAGGTAAAGTGGTAAAGTCGGGTGGCGCCCGGGCACGTGCTGTACATGCGGGGGTGGTTCCGGTTCCGTTAAACACTGCGTGGGCTGCATGAATGCAAGGGAGTCGGCCCTCCCAAAGTTCGGGAGAGCGTGATGCGACATGAACGTGTTTATGCCGCTGTTTAGGCATCTCCCTCTTCCAGGATCGCGAGCATACCCCCAAAGATTCCGTTCTTGGGGCGGGTTTGAATGTTAAATAAACGTTACAATGGTTCCCCGAAAGGACGCACGGGTGGCCGCCGTTGGTGGTACCGTTCCTCTCCCATCTCGCTTGGCTTGCTGCATTTCAGCCAGCACAATATAAGTTTCCTGGTTGTCCTGTCACATAAGGAAGACGGAGATTGCCTCACGACAGACGCGTGTTAAGAAAACTGGCCGCAAGGCGGAACCTGCCGTGATTTCCGGAAGATGAAATCCTCCCACCGAAACGTGTCACCGTGTCATCGTCAGCAGTGAAGTGGACAAAGTTGCCAAACAAACCACGTTCGCTTGTTTTCAAAACAACAAGAAGTCCCTCGCGTCTCCGGCTTCTGAGAGCTCAGGGCGAGGACGTCGCTCTAATTTGTTTGGAGGAGCTTCAAGCATACGGTTATCTCGCAGCCCAGGCGGAGCGAAACCTGGCAGGCTAGTAACAAGGTTGGTAACATGGCGAAATGCAGTTGTCCTAGCAGCCAAGCAGACATGTTGTTTCGCGCGCTTCAAGGAATTGCGTCCATTCCTGAGTCACTCACTTTCCGCAACTGCGCACCACCCGTCGCTTGCTGCGTCTCTACTGGCAAGAAGCCCTTTGTTGTTCAGGCAAGAACACCTGACGGCCGCAGAAGATTGAAGTGACAGGTCGCAAGTGGCGCCCGAGCGATGGGTAAAGCCCGCGCACATGCCGCCGCGGAAGGTGGTGGCGCTAATGCCAATGATGGAGCGCAAGGCGGTGTCAAGCAAAAAGAAGCGGGCCGTGACATACCGGTAAGATTGGTTTGGAGTAATTCTGGGAGTCTTTGGGTGTCGCGTGGCGGCTGTGACCCATGGGTCACAAGACAAGCCGTGTTATGCGCATGTGTTGCATACGCATCCCGCTTTTGCCGCCTGCGCACATGCCGTCGCGTGATTTCGTTGGCTGTTCATCCTTCCACCACCGGTATGTAACTGTCTGAGGGACCGGTTTGTAACTTCGGAGACAGAGGCGGAACCATATCAGTCTTTTAGGGAACCATTGTACCATTGTCATACACATACCAGCCGCGTCGGTCCCGCACATGTGCTCCAACACGCAGGCGCCCCCTAGCCACCACCCACCGTCACCACCTCCTGCTGGTCGACATGCGCCTTCTCCGCTGCCTCCGACACCCCAACAGCAACCCCAAGCACCCCCACACCCACACCCACAACACCGGCAGCAGGCGCCTTCAGACAGCCGCGGCCATGCCGCCACCGCCGCCGCCGCTGCAGCAGCCCCCGCCGCTGCTGCAGCCCTCGCCGCTGCTGCAGCCCCCGCCGCTGCTGCAGCCCCCGCCGCTGCTGCAGCCCCCGCCGCTGCTGCAGCCCCCGCCGCTGCTGCAGCCCCCGCCGCCCCCTGCAGGCCCCGCCTGCGCACGGTCGCGGTGGTGCGGCGAGCCATGCTTCGTCGCGGCTACTTGCCCCTGGACCCCACCTTCGTTCAAGAGGTCGGAATCCCTCTGCAGCAGCAGCAGCAGCAGCAGCAGCAGCCCCCTCCGCCTGGCGGGCCCGCTCCACCGCCAACACCGTCTGGGCCCCTGACGGCGACGTTGCAACTGCGGGACACCCTCGGGCCCGGCAGCAGCGACGGCAGCAACGTCGGCAGCAACGTCGGCGGCGGCGGCGGCGGCGGCGGCGGAGGAGGAGGAGGAGTGTTGTCAGCTGAACTGCGGTGCTGGCTGCGAGCCGCAGGAGGCCGCCCGCCGCGGCAGGATCATTCCTTCACTCAGGCGGGAGGCGCAACCAGCACTGCTGCCAGCCACATGCCCCGCGCCGCGGCACCGGGAGTTGGCAGCCGACAACAACAGCCGCCGCCGCCGCCGCCGCCGTCGCCGCCGCCGCCGCCGCCGCCGCCGCCGTCGTCGTCGCAGGCAGGAGGAGGCGTGGCGAATGCGAACGATGGCCTGCTTCGAGATGCCCGCTGCGAGCTGCACGGGCTGGGCGGCTGGCTGGCGCGTCATGGAATTCGCGAGGGCAGTTGCGTGTATGTGGCATCCAAGCGGCCAGGCGACTTTGAAATTGGGGTTCTACAGCAGGTGCCGGTGCAGGCCGGCGGCAGCGGGCAACAGGCTCCTCCAATCCAGCAACAGCGGGCAGCAGCAGCGGGAGCCTCACCTGCGGGCCAAGCGGCGGCGGCGGCGCCGCCGCCCATCACACCAAATGCGACTGCCGTCGCCGCTGCACCCGCCGCTGGCTCCGCCACTGCCCAACCTGCAGCGGCTCCTCCAATGGAGTTCGATGGGAGGTGCTGCAAGCGACTGACTGCGTACGAGATCCAGGAAGGCCGCATCCAACCCACAGTGGGCATGCGGCGGGGTGACGGCGTGCTGGCGTGCCTTCCTGCGCGCGGGCCCTGCACGCTGCTGTTTCTGGAGCAACAGAGCGGTCGGAGCTGGGAGGTGGGTGGTGCAGGAGGCTGGAGGCAGGGGGCTGGGGGCTGCTGGGGTAAAGAGGGAACAACATACGGCAATTCCAGCGATCCATCCGTTGTAGGACCCGTGTAGCAGTTGTGGCATCGCCGGTGACCTATTCCGCCACTCCGCCACCTCTCACCCGCATTTCCCTCTTCCCCGTTCCCCCCATGCGTGCCTGCATGCGTGCATGCATGCGTGCATGCAGGTCAAGACCAGCCGGCCGGCCGTTTACCTCTGGCTGCATGACCTAGAGGCGAGCGGCGGTGACATCCTGTCACTTGCCTCCGAGGGTCGTACGGCAGACGGCAAATACGAGTTCGCACTGCGCATCATCCGCCGCCAGACGCCGGATGATTCGGGTGCAGCAGGCGCCGCGACGGCGGGGGCGGCAGCGGAGGCGGCAGCCATTCCTGCTGCTGCAGCGGCGGCGGCAGCGGCGGCGGGGGCGGCAGCGGAGGCGGCAGCCATTCCTGCTGCTGCAGCGGCGACGGCAGCGGCGGCGGGGGCGGCAGCGGAGGCGGCAGCCATTCCTGCTGCTGCAGCGGCGGCGGCAGCGGCGGCGGGGGCGGCAGCGGAGGCGGCAGCCATTCCTGCTGCTGCAGCGGCGACGGCAGCGGCGGCGGGGGCGGCAGCGGAGGCGGCAGCCATTCCTGCTGCTGCAGCGGCGGCGGCAGCGGCGGCGGGGGCGGCAGCGGAGGCAGCAGCCATTCCTGCTGCTGCAGCGGCGGCGGCAGCGGCGGCGGCAGCGGCGGCGGGGGCGGCAGCGGAGGCGGCAGCCATTCCTGCTGCTGCAGCGGCGGCGGCAGCGGCGGCGGGGGCGGCAGCGGAGGCGGCAGCCATTCCTGCTGCTGCAGCGGCGGCGGCAGCGGCGGCGGCGACGCCACAGCCACCGCAGCAGACATTGTTGCCGTTGTGTTCGCTGAGCTCCGCCCACCTGCGCGGCTGCATCCCGCCTGATGTGTGTCTGCCGCCGCTGCAGCCGGGCGAGCTGCGGCTGTGCGGCCTCACCTTCCACCCGGACGTGGCGCAGCGCGTGCGGAGGCGCATGGCGGAGTGGGCGGCCGCCATGAGCCGGGCTGCGGGCGGCGAGGGACCCGGGAGCTGGGAGCCCACCAGCCTGCAGGTGCACATCCCGGGGGTGGATCCGCCCACCGCACCGGGTGCACTGCCGACCGGAGGCGGTGCTGCGGCTGCCGTTGCAGCCGCGTTCCGTCGGCACGGGCTGCGTCGCCGCGTCCTGGCCTGCCACCTGGCTCGTTACCTGGGCATGGCGGCGGACTGGGGGGCGGCGCTGCCGGCGGGGGGGACTGTGCCGCTGCCGCTGGTGGGGGAGCTGGTGGCGCCGGGACCTGACCCGGGGCGGGGCGGGTGGGGGCTGTTTGCGCGGGCTCGCATCAGCAACAGCCGAGTGCTGGGGGTGGTGGGCGGCTACGTGATGACCGGGTCCGCTGCGAGAGCACTGCGGGATGCGTGCGTGTGGCAGCAGGGGCGGTTGCGGGGGGAGCTGGTGCGGCGCGCGGGGGGCTGTGCGGACAAGCTGGGTACGGCATGGGAGGTGCTGGTGAGGTCGTACGGCATGCAGTTACCCTGGGGGGCGGGGGGAGCAGGGGAGGAGGAGGGGGAGGTGCTGGAGCTGAGCATGCTGGGGTACGGCAACGAGGCGGCGCTGGTGAACGACCCGCGGGTCATGTCGCCCGGCTGGACCTCGGCCGCAGCAGCAGTTCCGGAGCTGCCTGGGGAGGCTGGGAGCGGGGAGCTCA